ATTTGATTCACCGCAGCAAATCTTTTACGCACGTCTATTTCGTAAAGCATTCTGCTGGGTTGCTGGCGAAGTCTTTTCTATACGTCACAGTCGCAATCTCATGAGCAGTGACATTTCGCCTCGAGAGCCTACTTCCAAACATGGGTACCTTCAACTAGAGATGAGCAGTTGTACGCCGATGAAGATACCCTCACGAAAATCACAGAAGTCATTTTTTTTGGCAATCACGAGTACACTTCAAAGTGAATCTTTTGTCATAGATTCCTACAACAAGCAAAAACATATGTCTTGAAGGATACTGCTGCCCGGGGACAGGGGCGAAAACTATGAAAAATGTTTACATAAAACCTTAACACACTTCCAGATGTGTACGAAGCACCCTTTTTCGGATGCGGGAAGTCCTCACCCAAAGCACCTAATGGAAAAAGATAATAAATGCATGACAAGTTGGAAGCGTTTTATCAGAAGATACTTGAGCAGACTTCATTTTTAGGACAGGGAATTGCATTTGGCTGAATTGATAAAGCACGAGCAAATATCCAACATCTCAGCCTGTGTGGCGTAATGGTTAGCGCATTTGACTTCTAATCAAAAGATTCCGGGTTCGAGTCCCGGCATGGGTTCATAACACGCTTGTTTCCCCACGCGGGGTAGAACATTTATTTTTCTTTTTCATCCGCTAGTGCATTCGATGAACAAAGAGCCCCCGCATTGAAACCCGACATCGGAATTCATGGCGGGTTTGGTCAGGGTTTTCTATAGTACTATCTCACAATTTAGTGTTTTTAGTTAAATGAATCACCCAAAAAAAAATCCCGTGCCTTGGTGCATGAGTATATTTACCAATACGCTACTTTTGCCTTTTGAGATATAGACGACAAAAATTCCCCTCAATGACACAATTCCCCTTCTATCGTAAAACTTTATTTTAGGCTGTTCAGGGAACTCACAACCAATCCAAGTTGATGCCGTACAGTTTGATTACTGCTACGTGACATGCCCCTATGTTATTTATCGTTTTCGAAGCGCAAAACCCTCGATTAATTTATTTTTGTCGCTGCACTCAATTTTGGAAATAAGCATATGCACTGATAAGCTCACGATGTTTTTTTTTTTCTGAAAAAATCCAACTTGCGGGCGGACTGGTGGAAATTTGGGCTGGGAAATGGCTGGCCCCATCTTTCAAACTCCGCACGCGGTCCCGAGGCGCGATCACGCGAGCCCAATTTCCCCTCTCCCTCTGCTCGCCCAAAAAAAAAAAAAACCTCGGACTTATGCCGCGCGAGGAGACATGAGGTAGCAAACTCCGTAAGTACAGCCTAAGCGCATTTCTCTATTTTTGTAGGTGAGATATCACTGCACAAGCGTGCAAGTCCCATGATAATGAAAGAAATCTGCAAATATTGTGAAGCTACATGTATTTCGAAGGTGACGAGCCACCTGAGATCTCGGCGATGACTACCCTGTAAAATGACTCAAGAGTCGGGGCGAGGTCGGACTTGAGTCGCGCTTTGCATATTGGCCGACGTCTCCCAGATTTATCCGTGAGTCGCGGCGCAGCGCCGCTCGACAAAAAGCCGGCCTGCAGACAAAGCGCCATCCCCTCCATTTCCTCACATCGTGTTCTCCGCAGTTCCGTTATCCGAGCTCACCCGATAGCCCCGACTGGGCGGTGCATGTGCCAGACGAATGTGCCCAGGTCTTTTGTCTGTAGTTCATGAGCCGTCCACTGTAGAAAAACTTGAACAGAATCATAGGGAAACCTCTATAATTTCTGCAAATTAAGTTTGGATGGGCTCCGTGGTCACCCGGGTTCAGCCGGGTTGCCCAAAGAAATGCGTCACCCGAGAGAGATGCGTCGCGAGAGAATATCTCTTTCCGATTTCACCCGACACGGCCGCACTTGGATTAACGCCGATAACACAACTTTGGCCTGAAAGACGGATTTTATTTTCACTGTGTCCAGTGGAGGGACTCAGGTGAAGTCAGCTGATTTTTTGTCGGACTTGAGACTAGAAGAATCATTTTCTGTGGTGTATGATTATCGTGTGCTGTGCCTGTGTCCTGTAGATAAGTTCCGCCAGTCGGATACCCCAGACGCATCGCCTTCTTCGGACATCAAGCAAACGACCGAAGGTGCTTCGTATAAAACTTAGCCGTGGCCCGGGTGACAGCTTTCTCTTTTTTCGTCTTCCCTCTTTTTTCTTTCTTTTTTTCCTCTGATACGCTCAAGCAACCTTGCCTTTTCTTTTGGTTATCACAAGACCCTCCAACGCAAGTTTAATGGAAGTTGTACCATCTCCGCTAATATCTTTATATTTTAGACACATATTTGTCTGGCAGAAGTCCAACTAACTCAGAAAACCCGGACACACATCAACTCTGCACACATCACAAGACGCCAGAATGTTAGCCAACGACCTTCTTTCGTATTCGATCATGCAAAATGGCGAGAAAGCAGTGGTGCATGCCTTGCCGCACTATGCATCTTTAACGAATACCAAGCCCCAGGCGGTCAGGTTGCCGCCAATAAATAGCTACGTGAGCCTCACGGAAAACAACCTCAATCTGCTCAACTCTTTCTTACACAAACTGTCTACTTCAGGGAGCACCCCTCCATCTTTGACTCTGCTGTCGTTGGTTCTGGAGCTGCCGTTTGGGTCGCCGCGCATTGATCATTCCACGTTCAGTGACATCAATGATCGCTACAGTATCGATAACTTGCCCATTTCTATACACACGCATTCGATTTCCGATGTGCCCTCTGCGGCCCTGAAGAAGCGTCGCCAACGGTTGGGGCCTTCATGTGACAATTGCCGGTCAAGAAAAGTGAAGTGTAACGCAGACGTTGTGATGATCAGTCGCCACTTTACAGGCGAATGCAACGACGACCAAAAAAACGAGGCCGAGGATGCCGAGGAATATTTCCTGCTATCGCCCGAGCAAAAGCAACGTCTTCTTGCGGGAGAGCCCGTTCACATAGACTCGAACTACGTGTTGGTGCTTTCCAATTTCAAGCTCATTAAGTATAAGCCATGCATGTCATGTGCAGGCAAAGGGCTTGCATGTTGTTTCTCCAAAGGTTTTACCAAAGAGGACATTGTTCACAGCAAACGCCAATCGGGCGCAGATGAGACGACGCAGTCAAAATGTGACAGAAAGCACACAGCGCCGCTGAGAGTTCAAAAGAGACCGCTTCTGGAGGCTGGCTCCTCTGGAGGCTTCCAGAAGCTCAGTACTCGGAAAAGCTCTTGCGGAGCCTGTCGCAAGAGAAAGGTGAAGTGTGTTGTTTTGCCCCACGGCAAGTGTGTGGGGTGTGCCAAAAAAGACATTGCGTGCACATTTTGAGACGCTCGGTTTCTGTCGCAACTTCTTAATTTTCATTTCTCGGAACGGTAGTCAATAGAATTCGCTTTTAATAATATGTATCGATTACAGATCAGCTCCTGATTTTTCTTGATTCTTCCTTTTCCGACGTTTCGGGGTTCTCCTCAACTTTGATCTGCCAGCTGTAAGAAATTGCGGCCTCACGTAATAATTCTGCCCGCCTGAGGTATACATTTGGTGTATTTACCAAATGAGGCCTGTGATTCCGCCAGCTTCTAGCTACGTTAATTATGTAAATTTCTGTTTTTGTTAGATTCTTTTGATGTAGGGATATACTTGTAGAAACGATAAAGTAGCCCCCTAATTCGTAAATGGCTCCACAACACGGCCCGTTTCATTCGTTAAGTGCGACCTGGTAAGTCCCTTTTAACACCTTGACACTGTCTCGCATCAAATTAGGAGATATAGTCATTTGTGGCTACGAGTTTGAATCAAAAGGGAGTGGATTCAGGTCACCAAGCTTAGATTGGCCCCTTTTTGGAACAACCTCAAAGAAAATTACTACACCCATCATTCTCTACAAGATTCAAATGATCAAAGGAACATTTTTCTCAGGGGGCCCTAGCTGTTTTATTTGGTAGATTCTTCTGATTCAAGGTGCAAAATTATACAAATGATATATATAAAAACAATAATATATATAAAACCTTCATACAGCTCCAAAGTCTTATCAGTTTGTAGATTTGGTAAACTTGAACTTTGCAAGCGGTCTCCACATATTTCACAGTTGTTGCATGCATAGTATGGTCCCAATAAGCCGCTGTGGCGTTGCCAGCATGGAACACCTCGTCTGCGCAAAGGTATCTGAACGTCCAAAATTCTTTTGGTTTAGTATGTCATTTTTTATGGCAGGATCATCTGATTAAAGCAACAAATCTATACACTAATAGATATAGAAAACCTTTCAACAGCTATCAGATACTACCATTTCATTTGACGAAACTTTCCCCTGGTAACCACGACGTGGACGGTCCTCTTGGATATTAAAGCAAACTATTATGTTCTGTTCTTCTTGTGGTAGGGTTTCTGACCAGAGGGACAAATTATACACGATTATGGAAAATCCATTTGAACACCTCCTAGATATATAGCTCGTGCCGGAAAACAGATTTTTTTTTGGGTAGATTCATCTGATTAAAGGGGCAAAACTATAGAAATAATATATATAAAAAACCTTTAAACAGCTCCCAGCTACGTACCAAGTGTCGGAACTCGGCCCGTCCCCTTCCGTTGGTCGGGGCCTGGACGGTCCTCTTGGTCCGTATCTATTGGATATTACGTCATCGACTCCTACTATACGCCTCCTGTAGTAGTCGCTTCAACTCAGATGGTTGTAGCCGACTTAAGGGGGCCACTTCCTGCGACTTGCCACGCCTTCTGGAGTAAACCTCGAGAATCGTGGTGACGAACCAATTTAATTTTGTTAAGTTCTCCAATGAGTTGTCGACTGGGGCCAACATTGAGTTCAAGCTCTTGAGGCAGTCTCTTGTAGTAGCGGTTTGATTTCTCAATTTTTCTCTGCCAGTTTGTTTTAAATGGTCACAAATAGTTTGCAAAAGGAAAGAAAATCCAAGATGCTGCATCGTGAGTTTGACAGGAGATATTCGTCATGTTTAGAAAACAGCCATGAAGTTACAGTGGCCGAGTGGTTAAGGCGACACCCTGCTATCAAGTGGTTCAGGTGTTGGGCATTGCCTGCGCAGGTTCGAATCCTGTCTGTGACGTTCTTTTTCATTCTCCTGGGGTTTTGTGCGGCTTCATGGGTGGGTGAGCTCCGCACGGCCTTGTCGAGCCGTTTTTTTCGAGACCCGTAAATTATGTATCTCGAAATCAGATTGCTCATACGCACGCCAACCGTAACGCCGAGGAAAGTGACGAAAAAAATAACTACCCCTCAAGACTGCACCAGCTCCCACACGTAAAGGCCGATCGTATACAGCCGTCAACATATAAAGCGGTCCGCTCTCTCACTATCGGTGTCTCTCAATCCAAGAATTTGATCTCTTTTTAGGATATCCGTCTACCAGCTCTGGAGCTTTCTCAATGGACCCCACCAACGACCCCAATTTCACGCCCCCTTCTCTCAACAGAGATATCGAGCCGCCCGCAGATTCCTCCAAAATCCCCGCGAACATTCCTATCGAACAACTTGTATTGGCAGATATGGGTGAGAAAGTGGATGCCCCCACCCCGCACCCGTCGGTATCGTCCCAAACCGGGCGCCAGGAAACGCAAGGATCCATATACCAGTCCAAAATCCCGCGCATACACACGGATTTGATGGACTCTCTGAGCGACGAAGAAATTACCAAGCCCGTAAAAACTGTCTTGCCGCCGTCCATCAAAGTGAGGCTGACCCAAATTGCAGATTTGGAGGAGGTTCCGCATGGTATCCAGAGACAGGCCAAGGACTTGAAGAACTACCAGTTCCCAACCCATAGACTAGCCACCACACTCTTGGACGAGTCCAAGCATCCTTTGGTTGTGGTTGCGTGCGGATCGTTCTCCCCGATTACATACTTGCACCTCAGAATGTTCGAGATGGCGTTGGACGCCATCAGCGAGCTGACCCGTTTCGAGGTCATTGGCGGCTATTATTCGCCAGTGTCAGATAACTACAAGAAACAGGGCTTGGCACCCTCTCACCATCGTGTGCGCATGTGCGAGTTGGCATGCGAGAGAACATCGTCATGGCTCATGGTGGACTCGTGGGAGCTGTTGCAAATAAAATATACTAGAACCGCACTTGTCTTGGATCATTTTAACGAAGAATTAAATGTCAAGCGCGGCGGGATCACCACTAAGTCCGGCGAACAGCGCGGGGTCAAGATCATGCTTTTGGCTGGCGGAGACTTGATCGAGTCAATGGGGGAGCCAGACGTCTGGGCGGACCAAGATCTACACCATATCTTGGGTAAGTATGGCTGTCTTATCGTGGAGCGCACTGGTGCCGATGTGCGGAGCTTTTTGTTGAGTCACGACATCATGTACGAGCATCGCCGCAATGTCTTGGTGATCAAGCAGCTCATCTATAACGATATTTCGTCGACCAAAATCCGGCTTTTCATCCGAAGAGGCATGTCTGTGCAGTATTTGTTGCCAAACTCTGTCATCCGCTACATCCAAGAGCATAAACTATACATCAACGAAACTGAGCCGGTGAAGCAAGTCCTAAACGATAAAGGCGACTGATTCAGGACGTTCTTTTCGCATTGGTATTGCCTTTAAAGTCCATATACGCTTTACTTCTTGTTCACGGGTTTGACCTTCCATTGGCAAGTTTCCTCGTTGCGCTCATTTCTGAGGGCCGCCTAATATTTATACCGCTTTTGCTCATCTTAGCGCCATTAATAGATTGATTCATCTTCCTTTGCTATTTGCCGCTTTTCCCCAAACCTCGACGAGCGATGTATGATTCTTCGGAAGCATCAAATATTGAAATTTCTCACAAGAAGTATCTTTCACCTGCAAATCGAGACCTTCGGCGAAATTGAGTAGTAACCTTTCAAGACGGCCTTCTTGACGGAAGACGTGCACAAAATTCCCGAATATTTCATCGAATGTCAACGCCTTGTTCTCCATAAAAAGCCAATCAGTTGTTTCATAGTGGCCTTTGTGAGTGAAGTGTATCCCACCTTGTAGACGACGAGAATTTTTGAGTTTGAGTAGAACCACAAATAAAGGATATAGATTCAAGCAAAGAATGACCTTTTCTCCCAACTTCAAGCAAGTCATCACTGCCACTCTTGAAGCGTAGAAAAGGAAATAAAATGCAAAGGTTGTGGGCAACAAATAAATTAAAACCAAGAAAATAAACGTTCCCAAAAGCAACTGATCGATTCTGAGTTGATCTTCTTCGATTTTGTCGATACGATTCCTCAAAATATTGTACTTTCTTCCTCGGAAGAGCTGCATCAAAGACTTTAGCATTTCAACTTGCCGATGATATATCTTTGTTGCCCCAAGACTGAAGAGATACACATGAATGTTCACAATTTTGATGTAATCAATGAAAAATGCTGTAACGAATGATACTCCCAAGTAGCAAGACGCCTGGAACCAAAGCTTGATGGTGTAATTGAACCAGGAATCAGATTCTATCAAGCTTTTGAATACGTCACCGCATAATTGAGATGTCCAAAGAAAAAGTAGTTCCATGAATTGGCCAAGATCATTGTTAAGCTTGAGGCCACCAGGATAATCACAACCTATCCAAGTTATGAAACTATTCAATTTTGTAAAGCACATAGCAAGCAAAGTATTATTAAACATGTTCATTCGCTCTGTCAAACTTTCCGAAACGACTCGGTAAATTGTGCATCCGATGAGAATGTCATTGATCATTAACCAAAGTGTATTGTACAAATTGATGTAGTTGGAGTTATTGATGTTGTATCTCTCATTCGACATGGGTATGCCAAGCTGTTGTCGGATATTGGGTCTGAGGAAGGATGTATCATAGTAGCTCAAATATTGGAACGGAAAGAAAGAAACTTGCCTTAGCCGTATGTCTAGTTGCCGGCACCAAGTAGATCTCTGAACAAGCTTCTTACCAAATATTTCAGTGTCTAAATATGTGATTGTCCTAACAAGAACTGAGATAATAATACCAATGGTTTCTAAAAGAGCATTTGAGATGACCCTTTTGAAGAAGTAAAGAAAAATGTATAATTGTCTCAGAAAGATGCCTGGAGACCTGCTCTTTCGGGCACTCTTGCCAAAATTTAGGGCTCTAAACTGGACGCGTGTTTTGGAACAAGCATTGATTTTGTCTAGGACGGTTTCACTCAACATTGAAAGATGGTCAAGTCCATCATCTCCGTTATGCAAAAACTGAATACTCTTGGTATATGGTTCAGTCTCGTGTGCCAAATAGGTGCTTTGGAGTAAGATAGGACGCACAGTGAAATACTCCAAGTTTCGAAGATTTGGTGGCGCAAAAACAATAATGACGAATTTTTGATCGAAGCTGTAGAATCTTGGATCCACGAAAGGTAGCTTAGATATCGAGTGGAACCGGAGATACAAAGATTGGTGCTTAGATGCATCCACGCATTCCATGTTTGTATGACCGATAACTTTCAAGTTTGGATCGATTTGCTGTAGGTCCGAGCTTGTTGTCGATTTCACAATATCAATAACGACATAACAATCGTCAATGTGATACCCAATAACAAAATGCGGCTCCAGAAAGAACTCGACAACATTCATCGACCACGATGAGCGCCTAAATGTATCGAATGGAATATAGATATAGGAGAGCATGGGAAGATAACTATCCGACAAAGCTATCACGTCTTAAAAACTGTGAGCTGTTATTCAAGTTCTCGTAAAATAGCAGACGATCAAATTGTAAGTACTCGTCTTCGTCTGGGGTAGGAGAATGCGCAAACCTTTTTTGTCTATTGACACGACGACTCAACGGTGATGCAGAGTCAAATGCAGATGGCGATACCTCGAAAGAAGTGTCTATACTCTCTAATGAGCTGTTGCTATGAGAACCACACACGTCGGCAAATTCAGTGAGAAGTTGATGGTGCTCTGGGAGGTTGTAGCGACGAACCACGAGACGGTCTACCAAAAAAGACCCGAGCAAAAATAGAATAGTGATGCCCACGAAAGTTAGAAGCGCCCTGTAACAGACAGTATAAATTACAGTGACGGATGCCAGATTGTCACCACTCGGAATTTCCATCGGCGTTTTAAAGCAGAACAGTGATTGACTGGTAGCGGATACCTGACACGATGTCGCACTGCCGCATCACTTGGGAATGGGTGCGAAAGTTCATCTTGGCACTGAACTGCACCACCTCATTTTTCTGTGTCGACATTGAAGCTTTTGAGTTACCTAGATGGTTATTCTGGTTCCATTCTCGGGCTAGATGACCCCAAGGCGCGAGAATGAGTAAATAAATATATTAATGATCGTAAACACAATACACAAATGGCATCACATCTCTTCCTCAACTGAATCTGCTTCCAGGGCATTTGAGTCTGCCTTGTCTAGGATCACTATGACATAAGTCATCAACACCACCAACAAGAAAAAAATGCACGAGAATATCACAAAGACAGTCTGTGGTAAATTCCACTTGGAGATGGAGGCCTTATAAATACCGAGTGTTGCCACCGGAGAAATTATGGCGAACACGTTTTTCACAATTGCCATGGCGCCAAAAACCTCACCTGTCTTAGATTTGGGGTAGAACTTGACGACTGTTGAGTTGATGGCAGGCGTTGCGAGACATGCTATGGAGTTCAAAACTAAGCAGAAAAGAAAGAATTGCCCGCTCGTCGAAACGCTGATCAAGAACTGGCCGACCGATTCGAAGGCAAAGGCAATTGCAACAATCCCATATTCGATCTTGTCAAACCTTCTTATATCGGGTTGAAAACCCAAAGTTTTTTGAAAGAAGTTGTACGACAACAAGGGCGAGACAAGAACCAAAACAATAGCTCTGCTGGAACACGTTATCGCCATCAAATGTCCGATATCAACTGCAGTCCACTTGAACCTGTAGATACCGTAAAGAACATATATCTCCCCGAGAGCAGGCGCCAAGCTTGTGACAAAACAATCCGTCAAGATCAAGAGCAAGACAGCAATTCGACTGCTGGATATTGTTTTGTGCCTCAGCTTGTGAACGCTATCTTTCGGGTAGAAGATCAATCTCACTGGGCGAAGAAAGTTGAAAGATCTCATGAGTTTCTGTGTCTTGCTAGGTTTGAGCAATGTACCGAAATCCGAAATCAGCGGAGCCGAGGAGAGCGATCTGGACATTCTGCGTGCATCCTGCCCCCTCGATTCAGGAAGAACAAAAGCGACGAAGAAGATCAATAGGACCAATATTATCAACTCGAAGCGCAATGGTGCAAAGTCAGCGCTGCTCAAGCCTGGGCCGTATGTTGTTCCCAGTGGCGCATTAATTGCCTGGTTTTTGAAGGTGGATATAATGAAGTTACCCACTAAAGGACCAGTGGACATGCCGACAAAAAGACTGGCCATATTGATCCCCAAATAGTAAGTTCGTTCGCTCTGCTCCGCAATATCTGAAACGTAGCAGTTAGCGAGTGTTATGATGGTCATGATGCCGCCAAAACAATTGGCCAAGAACTCAGTGGCCACCATCAACGCGAACTGAAGGGTCGGATAAGTGGACATGAGGGAGAACCTGGAGAGCTTGCCCAATGTTTGGAACACAATTATACCCATCAAGAAGATTTTTCTTCCGTACTTGTCTGAGAGCGGCGCCACCTTTCCCAGCGCCACTATCATGGCAATGCCCAGAGAAAAAGAATATGCCTGTTGAAGACTCAGTACAAGCACCTGAGTTTGGGCAGGATCGCAGAACTCAGAGCCGGTGCTCTCGCGAATCGAGTTACATCCAAGTCTGAACTGGATCATTTGCCTGGTTCCCTCGGCGGAAGAATGAGCAAATGCAAACATGAAAATGGAAAGCCCCACCATGATTACCGAGGGCCTGTAGAGCCAATGGAGAGATCTATGCAGACGGCGTTGATCCCTGAGCCACGTAGCTTCTTCATCGAGATTATCGCTATCTTCCTCCATAATTGCAGCATACGAGTCGTAGGCAGCGTGGCTGATTGTGGCATCCTCGTCCGTGTTGGCCTCTGCGTACTTAGCGGGTTTGACAAGAGGCTTGGATGACATGGTAGTGTGTTCCGTCACAAAGAGAATTGTCTATCTAAAAATCAGTGAACAAGACAAGAAAAAACAGACACGTTTTGTGGTACAGTAGTGATAAACGAGGACTTGTGGCCGGAGGAAAGAGTACTCTAGCTATGGGCTCTCCGACTTGCACGATGATCTGATGCAGTGCGTTGCTATCTTAGATAAAGTTGAAGCGCGATGCGGCGGGCGCACGTCATTGCTGCGGGAAGGCCCTGGGTTCCGAACTCTTGAGCACGAGATTAAGTATGTCGCCAATATTTTGTTTGGAAGGACAAAAAAAGTTTAGAGGAACGGGTTTCTCCATTTGGGCCGTGGCGCCGTTTGGGCAAGTATATAATTGTAGAGACAGTTCGTTTCGCCATCTCGACCGAACGGCGCAGGTGATGCAATAGAGTTTCTGAGTAGCTAATACGGGCGAGACATCCAGACATAATCATGCTGAAACAGACAAGACATATGCTGCAGATTCCAGAACGTGGAATAAATCACGAAGCAAGGATCTACTTTTTAGAGAATAAGGGCGCCACGGCTGCGCAACCGGTTCTGGTTTTTGGTCCGCTATGCTAATTATGCGGGGTTCGGATATATGGCCAGATGCAGAGCATGCGAGAGAACAGTACCCACGCACTCAGGCTCACAAGAAAGCTTCTGGTCACTGCTTCAAATCAAAAATGGATCCAGGATGCAAGTGATTTTCTTCGTGACTCCCCAGAATACACATATATATATATTTATATACATACATATATACATACATAGTATAATTGTTATGTATATTAACAGCGAGAGCCTTAGGATCAGCAGACACATGGTGGAGGGAGAAAAATCGAGGATCCAGCCCAATATCTTTAGTTGACGAAAACACAAGTCACGAGCCGAAGCCATGGATCGAGTCGATACAACAGCACGATCAATCATGGCCTTTTCTATCATGTGTATAGTTGTTGGTAGTAATCGGGCTGTTGTGTGTGGAAAGCATGCAGGTGTTGCAGGGTCGCACCCAAGGCTGATAGGGCACCGACCCTAAGCACGTGAGCGTGATCACCCGAAAACCACCGCGCACCCGGGAACCCAAGGGGCCAGGTCGGCAGTCCACTGTGATAGCGACACCGGTACATCCCACGCGACCGGTCCTGCGCACACCTTGAGAAATTTTCATTCACTTTTTCTGTTTTACTCCCACCATCAGTTGTTCTGAAGACAGTAATTCACGGAAGAAAACAAATATGTCCTTGCCAGAATCGTTTGCTTTGACTGCCGAAGACGCCAAGTTGTTGTTGGCCGCCAACGTCCACTTGGGATCCAAGAACGTCCAGGTGCACAACAAGCCTTACGTCTACAAGACCAGACCAGATGGTGTCAATGTCATCGACATCTCCAAGACCTGGGAGAAGATCGTGTTGGCTGCCAGAGTCATTGCTGCCATTCCAAACGCCTCGGATGTCGCTGTCTGTTCTTCCAGAACTTTCGGTCAAAGAGCCGTCTTGAAGTTCGCTGCTCACACCGGTGCCACCCCAATTGCCGGTAGATTCACCCCAGGTAACTTCACCAACTACATCACCCGTTCTTTCAAGGAGCCAAGATTGGTCATGGTCACCGACCCAAGAACCGACGCCCAGGCCATCAAGGAGTCTTCTTACGTCAACATCCCTGTCATTGCTTTGTCTGACGTGGACTCGCCTTCTGAATACGTCGATGTCGCCATCCCATGTAACAACAAAGGTAAGCACTCCATCGGTTTGATTTGGTGGATGGTTGCCAGAGAGGTCTTGAGATTGAGAGGCATCATCCCAGACAGAGAGTCCGAGTGGACTGTCATGCCTGACTTGTACTTCTACAGAGACCCTGAGGAGATTGAGCAAAACGCTGCTGAGGAGGCCAGAGGCACCACCACCACCACCGAGGAGACCGAGGAGGCTGTCGCTGAGGCTGAGACCGAATGGAACACTGAGACCAATGTTGAGGACTGGGCTGACTCTGGTGTCACCGCTGCCGGCGAGGAGGCTGCTGCTACTCAATGGTCTGCTTAAATGGCCAAAAATCTTGATGTCGCTTCATTCCCAATACATGCTTAGGTTCATATAGTCTGTGTATACTGTACCCTATAAACTACGTTAATAGTCGAAACGATATGTAGAGGACGAGAATGATGCTGTAGGATGACGGTAGCAAAAGGGCACTCTTGGAACCATTTAGACTCTGCATGGGCGGCGCCTGAACATTACAGTGATGACAGTGACGAACGTTATAGTGACAGACATCACAGTGACAGACATCACAGTGACAGACATCACAGTGACAGACATCACAGTGACGGACGTAGGGCGGAAAAGCGTTCCCGGAGGACATCTTGGGTTTAGTGTGGCATGGACGACGATCAAAGAAACAAAATACAACTTTTCTACCGAAGAAGTCAAAAAGTGCACGGAACAGAGTCAACAAGTGCAAGGAACAGGGTCTTGTGGGCACGCGACAGCTGGCACGAGGCCAGGCGAAAAAAGGGCCAGAGTGCGGCCGGTGGTGCTAGGCTGTCTCAATCTTTTCCTGCCTATTTCAACAAAGTTCCCGCGCCGACGGACGCCGAAACCCAGTTCGCATTTCCAGGTCAGTTCGCATTTCCATGCTCGTCTTCAAATAGACAATCCTCCTCTATTTAGGGAAATTTCTCACCTGGTCAGAGATTTTTGTCGCCCTCAATTGTGCGCCCCACTACCCTCGTAGTAACAACCCCGTTGCCTGACTTTCGGCTGCGCCGTATTTTCCTGGCCCGTGATTATTTATTATACTTTGGCCGTATTTTACTAGCTCTCAGGTCTGGTATCGCACTGGGCCCCCTCTACTAAGTGCACCCTATGATCTACGATCCGATCCACGATACGTACAATCCCGTTGCCGGGTCAACCTCCGGACCTGCCAACCCCACGGACTTAAATCTGCCCCAGAACGATCTTTATACTCCAGCAGAGACAGCTGCACTGGCCACTGCATCACAAATTCATCGCTCAGCTTTGCCGCAATTAAGAAATGATCCCCTTGCGCCGGCCATGATGCTGGGCCGCCCGCAATCCAACCTTCACCATTTACTCGACGGCTCCTCCCGACGCTTGTATTCGGATGGGAATTCTGAAAACACTCCTTCAGCGTATCTGGCGCCAGGTGCCGGAACATCCGGAGTGGCTGCGTTGCCTACTGGCTTCCATGATGATTCTCGCGTGCTCCACGATACTTCAGACAAATACAACGCCAACAGCCCTGCGCTTAGCTTTCTGCTCTCTATAAAGAACAATCCAAGTGTCGCAAAAGAGCAATATCTGCACGCTACTCCGCAGGCCTCTGTTGAAGCATCTTCAAATGCCTCAGATGGGCCTCTAAGCACCGCGCAACTCTCCCTGGAGCCAATTTCTGCCTCGGATTCAAAGCCAAAAGACTGTGATGATTTGACTGATTCACATGTCATCCCAGAGACAGCAACAGGATCCGGAACAAGTGACGTGGAATCTCAGAGGCAAATGGATTATCTGGATCAGTCGAGTTGCTTTGATAATGGCGACTCTTCATCATCTCAGCGCAGTGTTCCTTTGGGAAGCTTGCCGCCCGATTTCCGGGCCGTAACGAAGGGCTTGAAGTATTTGAAGAAAACTGATGGTGAGCCATTTTGGAGGAGGGATATCCAGCATGATTTTCTCGAGGAGTTGTTTGGTGACCAGCTGAAGGTGTTCACCAATTACTTTCCTCCTAGTGACATTGAAAACGCAGCAAATGGCCCAAAACTAACCTTTGCCGAACTCTACGTCAGAACTTTGGCAGAGTCGTCAAAATCCTCCAGAATTTTGAGTGAACGCTTGATCAGAGACTCGGAGGTCGGAATTCTGGTCAGCAAAGTGTGTTTGCTTGTCAACGCTGGACGTATGAACACAACCATCAACTTTGTACCTGACATGCGGTCGGTACTCAGAACCTACCACCTGATCCCATCCCTTCAAGCTGATCCTGATGGCATATCGAAACCTTTGCAAGACACTCCCAGATTAAAAACCATCCTCAAAGCTGTATGCGACGGTCTCGAGGATTACCAAACTTTGTTTGATGTCTTGCGGGCACCAAAGCAAGAAAAGCCCAATACAAACATAATCAAACTAATTTTCTTGATGAGCTCATTCTTTCAAAATATTCCATACCATTATGATGATTTACCCAGCGAGACCTCTACAGATAGCGCCAACGGTGTCCCAAACTCCCATGGGCCCCAAAATAAATTCATGGAGTTTTTTTTAAATGATAAAATGAGCCCCAAAAGCAGAGCGAGAAGATTTCTCTGGCTTATGTACACTTATATGGAAACTTCCTTTCACGAAAGTGAACTTGAAAAAAACCCTTTCAACCCCAAGCATATACCACCCATTGAGTATATATCTCCAGAGGAATTGGGATCATTTGATAGGGACACAGACTATGAGATCGAGTATGCTACAAAAATGTACCACACCCGCATGATGCACTTGAATGAAGACATTGTTCATCCCGAACCAAAGCGAGGATCCAAAGGCAAACGTGAAAAACAAGATTCCAAGAAAGCATCTGGTGAGCAAAGTCCTGGGACTGGACAAAGAATTCCGGGAAAGGGGTCTGTTCATGAATCAGTGGTTGATGACTCCATGACTCTCGATGAAACCTGTGTTGAGGATGGTGCTGAACCTTTAGAAAAAGTTGTCATATCAAACGAGTCTTCGACAACAAGCAATTTGTTGAGGGTAAGCAAGTCTTTGGATGCAAGCAATGATTTGAGACAAAGTGAAACATTAAAGCTCGGCAATTCGTTTAAATCAGACCAATCGTCTAAACCAAGTCAATCTTCTAAACCAAATGAGTCCTCGAAGGTGAATCTGAACTCAGATCGACCACAGAGAAAGAGGCCGACACCATCATTCAGCTCCTTGATCGATGACCATAAAAAGACTTCTGATTTGCAACGAAAATGGAAAAATCCTAAATTTTCTCCCAATAATATTCCCGAATATCGCACAAAGTTCTCTCTGTGTACAAAACAACTTGATATTCCCCAACTCAAGAAAGAAAGTCATTTATCAAATACCTACAAGAAAATGAATTCTCAGCGTGCAAAAGGGATCGTTGCGCATATTCTGAGATCAGTACCGAATTACGAAGCAAGAAGGAAAGAAATAACTCAATGGATGTATCGTTACTTCCAGTATAAGAAGAGTTCGGGTAATGGTCTTTTGGGTATGGAGTGGGAGGATATTCGGTCTGATCTTATAAACGGTGTTGAAGCCTATCTTTATCAAAAGCTTGGGAAAGACTTCATCACACAATACTACGACGAGAAAATATCTGAAAGTCGTCAAGAAAACTCTGATCTCGAGCTGATCAGAAAAGAGAATTTTATGACTAGCTCAGATCAACTTCCTGGCGACTCTGCTCCGATCGATGTTGGTGACATCAACGAAACCGGACATGGGTATGTTCCTTCACACGATTTTGACTGTGCGAATGAACGAACGACTTATGAGTTCCTGTTGCTACAAATAGCGGAGGACGTTATCATTCAAAGCCTTCGGGAGAACTTCTCTCAGACTGAAGCCATTCATTTCGATCTTGACACTGAAACACTCCTGTTTCGAAAAAAGTAGTAGAATTATGCGTACGCTAACTAGATTAATCCCAAATTTCCTTTTCACAATTAGTATTGATCATTGATAATTTTGTTCCTGTTTACACATTATCATATCAACTCAAAAGAAGTCTTTAAAGATCGTTAAGATTAAACTCCAAACAAGTTTGAAAGCATCAAAGAAAACGCATTCATAATTCCATGCTCCAGCATCAAACTCAAAAACACCTCGTTGACATTTTTCAAAGGACCAGAATCACGCCGTTGTACACTGAAGCGCAATTGAGACTCCATTTCCCCTATTGCGGTATTTTTGAGAATCATTTCCCAGGAGAGTTGGACTATGTGCCTATCTCTATTGGTACTCTCTGGAATTGTCAACTCGATGTGGTTGAGTGACATCAAGGATAGTTCCGGATAGGAGGCCCATGATTTGGGCCGTGTCACGAGATCCGCATACTTCAGGAGGAGCTGAGACAAGCACATGATTCTGGATTGTTGCAATTTAGCTAAAGAGTGATAGCTGTGCATGATCATGTCGATTTTCTTCTGTCTGCAATAGTTATTTATAAGAGTTTTGCAGAAAGAGGGGCTTACTTTTTGAAAAATTGGCGCAACCTCACTATAATCAAGCAACTCTAATCGGTGAACCGCATCATCATTGCTATGAAGCCGGATTGCTAAGGGTGGTAGCCCATGAGCAAAAATCTTGAAGCGTATTACTGTGAAGAGCACATCCTCCTCATGAATTGTCAGCACGTGTTCCTGAGCTACGGACATGCAAGGGTAGAATCTGTTTAATAGTTTCATACGAAGATGCACGTCAGTTGTAGGGAGCACATCCAAATTTTTCAAGATGAAAGAGGCTGCTTCATCGGGCTGTGTGAGCTTGGAACATTCATGATCATTTTTGTGGAGGTAATATTCGAGTTTTTGCTTTGTCTCATGTTGAAGTTGTTGTTCCCTGTAGAAAGATAAACTGGCGGAAAGCCTCTCGATCGATTGCTTAAGCTCCAACCGTTTTTGAGCCAAAATATCTCTTTCTTGAATAAGCTCGGCTTTCTTGGATTGTAGGATAGGTATATCGTCGGGGTCTTCCTCTTGCGTATCTTTTGGAGAGGCGGGCGAAGAAATTTTATCCGAAGATATGGGTTCTTTATCCATCTTATATGTTGATATAAAGCTTTAGAAAGGCTATAGTTTAATTAGAAAGTTTCATAATAGATAAAGGGGCATCCAACAGCTTTTCCTTGCAGATTCGGATACCGAGGAAGTTAACGAGCTCGCTTGTTTGGGTTAAAAGCTCGATGAGTGCGGCTGAATGAACTTCAAAATTGTAACGCGTGAGGTAAACTGCGAGTCAAACACCTCGGGAAGCTGATTTATTCATCATGGTTTCTGCCCCCGAATTGAAAAGCGTATGTTCAAGAATGCTTTATTACAGCAATGACATATACAACTATATCAGTTAATGTGCCTGGCTTCATCAAGTACTGGTCTCGTCTACGCATCACCTAGATACTTGAAGAAAATGTCTACTAACAAGTCAGTATTTGGACAAAAAGGTTTCTGTACAACTAAACGGATCAAGAACCGTTACAGGCACACTCCGTGGATACGACGTATTTATGAATATCACAATGGCCGACGCCCTAGAGCATGACCCCAAGGGAGAGCAGCTCGCCCTAGGAACGATAGTCGTTAGGGGAAACTCCATAGTATCAGTTGAGGTATGTTTCCAGTTTCTTCTTGCAACCCAAGATCACAAATCTAGGACAAATTTTTTGGGACTTTTACTAACTTACAGGCTTTGGAGAAAATTTGAGATAGTGTTAATTAACAAAAGACTGAGGTATAGAATAAACGTTAAGCCTAGTCGTATCTTTTGCACATTTCGATACCAGCGTCCTTGTAGCCACACTTTTCATAGAATCCAACATTTGATTTGGAGCAATCTAGAATGACTTTGTAGCAGCCCGCTTCCTCGGCTATTTTACTCAAATGCTGAATCAACATGTTTCCGACCTTCAATCCTTGTTGGGACTTTGCCACTGCAATATCCTCAATATGGCCAACCCTCCCACATCCGTGAATAAGTTTTTGCTCTATGAAAAGCATTCCTGTAGCAACTACACAGTCATTCGAATCGACAATGACTTTCGGATAGTATATCTCGGAGTACTTGTCCCAGTGGCGAACGAGCTCCAAAAATTTCATTTCCGTCACATCTCCAACAGAGGTCAATACGGACAATGTTGCCATATATTGCTTGTGATCATTTGCTTGAACCGCCCTGACTTTGTATCCTTGGGGTAGAGCCATTGCAACGAAGTAACAAGGTCAATCCAGCGGCTTTCTCGAATGCGTGTCTTCACGTGTGCGAACACACGGCCCAAATATAGACATTCTTCGGCAGTGCACATATGGTGTTTGTCTGATATGGTAACTTAAACAATAAAAAAGTTCCTAGCTCGGCTTACTAAGTTTCATACCCAAAAGAATCGCAGCCTGAAGCCTATGATTTAGCTTTTCTTGCCCTGGTCTCAAGATGTATAAAGGATTGAAGAAAGTTTAGTCCCGCGTTGGCGCACTCCATTTGCCATAATATATTATGCTGAATGTTCTCATCGCTCAGAAATTCAGAGGCGACAGAGAACTATATTCATGCAAAAAGCAGAAGATGTGAAAATTGTAGCATATATAATAATTTTCTAGGCAATTCCCTAAGAAGATCGGAATTCAATCGAAACAGTCAAATAAATTTCGGGAAGGTGCATAAAAAAAGATGATCGCAAAACTTACCAGCGTCGCGAAGACAAAAAGATTACTTCTCAAAATGGGCGTAGAAGACAGTTTGAAGCTTAGTATTTCCTGAATGGCTACTTTCCATGTTAGCTAGAGATTCTCACTTCTGAGAGCGCAGATCAATTTTTGATGATCGAGATTGGTAAGGTATTGAGCACTAATACAGAACAAAATATGCAAGCTAATTTCAGAAGCAACGATACGATTTGACTTGTTGTTGGGGTGGCTAAATATGGAATTATCCTCTAAGTATGCTCGATCAACGAATTTGATACAGATGATAGGTCCAATCTCTTTGTAATGTCTCTCTCCAAACAACCATCGACTAGCTTATTCAACCACTCAAATTCTTCCTGATTATGTGTGAGCCATTCTGCTTCTATTTTCTTCAATTCAGATATTCTTGTAATGTCCACCAACGAACTGGAGTAATCAGATACATCTTTAATCAATGGAGACATGAGCATGGCTTGTCTCAACTCAGTCTTGTCGATTTTTCCTGCAGTAATCATAGCCCTTAGACGAGGCTCATACGGGTGTTGGAACGGAAGCCTGCCAACAGACATTGTATAAAGGAGTACTCCGAGGGCCCAAACATCTGCTGATGGTCCTAAAGGTGGAGGCAGTGGAGACAAGAGCTCTGGGGAAGCATAAGGCAACAGGCCGATATGCAGGTGTGGAAGTCCGGTTTCGGGTTCGTTGTGCAGTGTCTGCTCTCCTGATCTGAATTCATGGAAGCTTGTTATTTTCGCTTCTGGATGTGTTGTGGATAAGCTGACAGAGCAAAGGCCATTGGGAGGGAATAATTGCAGTATTCCAAGCTTGCTATCATCTGAGAAAAGCTTCTTAGAGTTGAGAGAATCAGGGCCATCATAGGGTCTTCTGACAGCCGCAAAAGAGCTTTTCGATCTTGATGCATGTTTGGTGTCTCCTCCAGGAACGGTACGACTCAATCGAGGGTTGTATACCCGAGACATACCGAAGTCACAGAGTATCAATTTTAGCTTTTCGGTATTCACATCTTCGACCAAGACATTTTCCAACTTGACGTCGCCATGAACAATACCTAATTGTTGATGCATATAAGAAAGGGCCTCGACAATCTGCTGTGCATAGCTTGCTGTCTTCAAAAGCCTCAATCGTTGAGACTCAATGTTGAATTTTATTGGCCCGCTCGTGTTATCAATGCCCTCGTCAAAATGTCCCCAGCTAGATACCAAGTCAAATAGTGTGCCTCCATTCACGCGATTTGTCAAGCAAAAAATCATGACATCGGTCTCTAAGCTATCGAGGAGTGGCAAGATATTAGGATGATGGAGCTGCTTCCAAATTTCAATCTCCGTGCGAAAAATTTGCAATACTTTCGGGTTGTGAAACTTCTCTGAAGTCTCTGAAATCTTGGTGGATTTCACAATTTTGATGGCTTTCACTACGCCTGACTTTGAGGTGCATTCACGAATGATACCCCACGCGCCAAACCCGATAACTTTTCCTAGTTGGTGATTCAAGACATAGGCCCCTTTCTCATCAACGTTTTCTTTGGGAACTTCGTCAAGCTTCTTCATATCTGCACACAGAGAGAGAGCCAAGAGACGGCCAGCAACTGTGTTGGCACTATTTCTCCTCGAGCGGCGGACGAAACTACCATTCCGCGCAACAGAATTGGGGTCTGAGGCGAGGGACCGACCTCCATCGCCTAGACTATTCGACATGTAGCTTTTCGCGAATTGGGAGAATTGTGGATAGTCAATTGAGTCAGAAAACTCTTTGACCATTTTCTTTCTCTGTGAATACGGAAGGTCGTTGAAGTTCGAGGGGAGGCTAGCCAAGACGGCTTCGAAACTGACCTGGCCAGAACTGCCAGAAGATGCCTTGAACTTCTTCTTGATAGGGTCAACATCGTCGCCTTCCGAATTCATATTGAAGATCTTCTTGGTTTGGGCGCGGCTGTGTATCGGCTGAGGGGAGACTTTGGCGTGTAGCTGTTTGAGATCCAAGTAAGAAGCATCCCTGGAATTTGCAGCAGAGTGGTCCAAGAGCGGCCGATTCCAGTGCAGAAGGACTTCCGAGAAATTGAGGCCCGGGATATATTCGTCCTCAAGGCCCATGAACCCTGTAGCATCGGGATTAAGGAGAGTCACGTGGGAACGAGTATGTAGCCGTGAACTCGACCCTTGCCTCGAAACGCCCCGCGAATCAAGACCAGACAGCATGGGAGACGACGCCCGCGAAGGCCGGGCTCGGATTCTCCCGTCGTCATAGAGCCGCTGACCTGTGTTGGCATCAAAGTTGTTCGCTTCAGTCTCAGAATAGGTTCTTGCTAATTTATAGTGGTTCCCCTCATTGCGGGCCGAGCTGATACCACGCCGAGGCAGGGCGGAGGTGCGTGGAGACCGCAGTCTTGAGGCAGGCCAGCCCAGCAGCTGACCAGTAGATAGGAGGCCAGAACCCTCTAGAGGGCTTGTCATGGAGACTTTAGGTTCTGACTTCAAAGGAATATCCAATACCATGGGACGAAGAATAGGACCGGGTTCGAAATCGTCTGCTTTCAGTAATAAATAGTTTCGGAGCGGTGTATCAGAAGCCCAGACGGTGTTGTCTATATTTGGTAGTGGAGGATTTCTAAAATAAAGAGGTTGAGACTGCAAGATTCCTTACATGCGCGAGAGTCAGAGGTTTCGTACATGCGCGAGGATTCATGAGCCGTGATGACTCGGCGCATTTTGCGGAGAGTGCAGGTCGGCAGCGCTACCTCCCGAGGGAAGAAAAGTAGTAAGAACAACGTTGGGCAACACAATGGCAGTTTCTGTGAGGCTTTTTGCTCGTCGCATCTGCGTAGGGGTTTTTTTTTCTTTTTTGAAGATTTTTTAGGCTGGGGATTATTGTATCAGAACCCCGTGCAATGCATTTGGTGCTCATCCACGATAATGGTGTTTTGAGTGCCTGCACCAGCATATCTAAAAAGCGAATGAATGATGTATGCCGAAGCTTACCCCAGACTCGCGCCCGGCGTCCAAACACAATGTGCTACACAATGTGCTGGACTGTCGTGTAAGTGCCTGTGGAAGCGCCATTCTTGGACAGATTCCCAATCCAAGGAGAGATTGTATATGGTAGCGTGAGTAGCACTTACAAAAATGAGCGACATATCTCAGAATCTCTTCCATATGTGAGCCCAGTTCACTCAAAACTGTAATCAAGAAATATACTTGTTTTTGGCCAATTCTGCATCAATTGACAACGAAAAACAGTCCCATATAAAATCACGGCAGACCACCATTGAGAAAACAAAGCCACGATACCCGGCCGTACACCCAAAAGAACTTCCCGCATGCTAGAATTGTCTCCGCAACCACGCGTCTAGCTCCAAGCATTACTTCATACTGCGCTGTAGGCTCATGTAGATCGCAATTTGGTTTTCAACCCTTACAGTGCGACTGGAGCTGACCTCTTTTCGTTGTCTGTGTCAGACACAATCAAAGGTGCCAAGAATGAATCTGCAAGCAATTCCACCGCACTTGGTCTTTTTGAATAGTCAAACTCGAATGTTTTATTGAGAAAATCTTGACCTTCGATCGTACACCACTTCGGAACCTCTGGGCGAGTGTGTGTGCCAATTTTAAAGATAGCCTGCATTTGACTAAAGCTGGGAAAGGGATGGCGGCCGGTGAACATTTCAACAACTAGACATCCAACAGACCATATGTCCGCCTTCTTAGTGTATGCTGTTTGTTTGACAACCTCTGGGGCCATCCAATAAACCAGCCCTTGAAGAGAGGCGCGCTTAGCTTGCTTCCCCGTAGTATCGTTGCTTTTCTCCTCATCTGTTGTATTCACCTTCTTGGAAATACCAAAATCACTAATTTTTGCTATTCCCTTGATATCAATGAGGATGTTGGCACCCTTGATATCACGATGTATGATGTCAACTCCATGCAAGTAGCTTAATCCCACAAGAACTTGTCGAATAAAGTTCCTGATCAACGGCTCTTCAAAGGGGCCATACAGATGCAACATCAGTTGCACAGAACCCCCTGGGATATATTCCAAAAATATGTTAAGAAAATTCGCATCTGAAGACAGCCCATAGTATAATACGATATTTTCATGATTGAGCTCCTTGAGAATGGCCATTTCTCTTTGTAAAGCAGATATCATAGAGCGGTGAACCTCATTTTGCTTGGAAGACCCGGTTGGAATTGGTACTTGCTTTACAGCCATCAACTCACCACTCATAGGGTTCATACCTAGGTAAACAGTACCAAAGCTACCGGCTCCAATTCTTGCGCCTTGAAGCCATTTTTTTCCACCACAAAAGTCGAACTCATCCAGAGCTTCGCTCAAATTATCTCCGTATTGCGATAAAAAGTCTTCTTCATCTTCTTCTTCTTCTTCACCTTCATCTTCGTTCTCTGATTCCACATTCATTAGCTCAATGCGTGAATGTCTGTTACTCCCTGAGACAAACAGAGTCATAATGGAACGCGTAGGCTTTTTTGAGGTCTGGGTTGTTCGATGTGAAGCCATCAGCTGATTATCACTAATTGCATTGGTGAGTGGGCTGAAAGCTGCAGAAGAAGCTTTGCTGGTGAACGAAATACTGTCAGAAGAGATTTTGGCCTCGTCTAACATGGTCACGTTATGCACCAATACATCTCCAATGGTCCGCTGCTGATGCACACCTCTATACCAACGTTCTTCTGAGGTGATGGATGGCCTTCCCAACAGCACATTCAGAACAGAACTGGAAGAGTTAAACCTTCTCAGAACTCTCATGCTATGTCGTACAGAATTACGAATGGTTGTTTCTAGGGCATGCAGGCCTGCAGTAGGGAAGTACTCTCCCAAATTTGATGAGATCAACTCACTTGGAGGCCGTTGTCCAAAGAAACTGCGGATACTTGGATTGGTTGGCTTCTTGCCAGAAAGTCTTTGCACGATACGGAGTGATTTTGCGGTTGCAGTTGGCGTGGGCGCTTCATTTTTCGGTGTTAGCATTATGCGATGCTTTTCCGGTCTATCTGGAGAGAAGCATATGGTAACAAACTCAACGTCATACAATGATGAGATCTTTATGTCACCAGATACATTCATGTGAACGAACGTGTCGTATTCGTTGTCGTCATCATGTACTCCTAGTTTTTTTAAGACTTTCTTTTTGATCAGTTGTGCACTGAAGCATCCTTCCACATTGACTTTAAGAAGTGACCCATCTGGTAGAATAAACGTTACAATTCTAGATGTTGTTGCCCCTGGAGATAACAAAGCTTTCTCCGAGGTAGGAACCCGCTTTATTGGAACCTGTTCTTTTTCGATATATTCACGAATTTCTTTTAGGGGGACCTTTTTTTTAAGTGTAGCTAACTTGAGCTCTGCTATTGCAATTTCCAAACGGATTCTATCTCCAACTTTAAGCACGCCTAGCTCTCGAAGAGCGTCTGAGTCCAAATCGGAGAGGAGATCAAACGTGATGTCATGTTTCACGAAATTTGCGTGGTATTGCTGGCATGCTGATCTGGCTAACCATGCGTATAGATCTGTGACCTCGGACATCAATTAGTTTTCTAATAAGAATTGTCGATGAGCTAGAATCGGAGGGCTTGAAAATAAAGATAGTTATTCAGAAAATAATCGAGGGTTCTATAATTGCGAGCCAGTTCTGGGAGTCTGATCGCATTCCAGTACGCGGCGCCTGGGTCGAGGCGCATGCACCAGGCGCGGCTGAGAAACACCAAATTACATGAATTGAAGTTTTGTTCTCCCTGTTGGTTTTTTTAAAAGATACTCAGGTGATCCATTCCACTTACTTTTCCTTTAAATTATCATGTGAAGGGATCGATCTTTGTTTTATATCATGTTCTAAATTAATCCTTAAATTCACATCATTTACATTCGCTGGCTTCAGCGACAAATAATTAATAATTGGTTTATAAATGCTCAGGATTACAAATTATTTGTTCATGTGAAAATCAACTTGTTTCTTCCTCGTGCCCTGATTCATCAATCTTCTCAACCCAACTTCCATGAAGCCAATGTATTTTTCCGACTATTTAAACAGATGTAACTACGCTGCCCTGCTCGACAACTAGTTGCTGATCAAATTTTTCGTCTGGGTTGTTCTCTGCCCTTTTCCAGGTCTCAATGGTTTTCTCATTGGAATTTAATTCAAACACTCTGACTCTTCTAATATAGCCTCCGTAGCCACCGTAACCACCTTCTCCAGCACCACCGCCGTAGCATAGCCACATCAGGTTTTGTGCGTCTGAGTCTTGATTCTGTGTATCAACCAAGCAAAAATCGTTCGCATGATCATGTCCACAAGATACAACTTGCACACCGGCCACTCCAAGAGCTTCCCTCATTTTGGTTTGATATTTAGGTGCAGTGATGCCTTCCTTATGCTGGCCCACACGAGGTTGGTCTAGATTGCGATATTCCGGGAGAGGAATATGAAAGAAAGCCATACTCAAGAACGAGTTTCCTCGCACGGCGTCCTTCTTTGCCATCGCTTGCATTTGAAGCCAGTCGACTTGAGATTCCTTAAACCAGTCGTAACCTGGGTTGGACTTGGGCTGTTTGGAGCGACTATGGCTGTCAAGAAAATATAGTACTGCTCCCATCTTTTTGCTCCCATTTTTGTTTATGGTAACCTGGTAGTTGCCAAAACCATCAACAATTTCGGGGCCAACTGTTGCTAACAGATAGGGAAGCGAAGAGGCGAGATTCATCATTTGCTCTCTAGAAAGAATGCTCTCATCATCGTGATTACCCAAAGTGATCGCAAATGGGATTTGGCGCTTGATAAATGGGTTCACGGCTTTGAGTAGTGCAGTTTCTGGGTCGGGGGCTTCATCCCCAAACACTTGATCTCCAGTCAATACAACAAAATCAGGTTTCTCTATATCCAAGACTCGATTCAAAAAGCTGATTGTGCGAGGATCAGCTTCGCATCCTTTGGCGCTTTCTTCGGGGACAGGGTCTCTGCAAACACCCACGCCGGTGCTGAAGTGAAGATCCGCGACCTGTAATACTTTGAATTTTCCTTCGGCATTGAATTGGATCTTAGGCAGATAATTCAGACTCTTGTAATCGACCTTTTCTCCTTTTCGGATAGATAGTCTGGGTTGAAGGGATGACGAGTAAGCTAGCTTTTTCAAGGGAGTCCTCGCTAGATCCCAATTTGGCCTGGGGTCAACAGCATCCTCGCCAAAAAGAATATCAACCCCTGAAACGGCATCGTCAGTTGCTTGACCAAGTTTCACCCAGATGTTGTTCGACTTTTTCTTCCACTTCGAGTCTGCAATCTCTTGGTCGGAAGGTATTCTCATATAATTTTTGAGATTGTGATGAGATTTTTCTACATAGCGCTTGTCCAATCCATCAATACTATCTGTATCTTCAATTGTTTCTTTCTCTTCGGAACTCAGGTCACTTGAGTCCTCCTTGCTCTGGTCAGACGCATCCTTGTCATTCGTAGAAGCTGCTGATGTCTTTTTGTCATCAGATACTTCGGATTTTTCACTGTCAGTGCTTTGGACATCTGCCAAGGCCTTGTATTTCTCATTTTTTCTCTGTTCGTAGTCCTTGTTGTATTCTAACGCCGACTTGGATTTATCCGTTTGTAGATTTGGTTTTTCGTCCTTGTTCAAGTCTCTCAAGTTGGCTAGGTCCTCCTCATTAAAAATGTGCTTCATGTTGATTTCCGTCATAATGGATTTGGGAATGCATTTTTTGTTGCCTCTGATTGCGCAGTCTTCCTCGGGATCACCTACGGCAATATCTAGGATAACGTCACCCCTGTTTCTTTCGTAATATTCCGAAGAAATTCTCTTCACACTTAGGTATCGTTTTGAGGTCCAATGTTTTCCAAGAAGCAAGTCTTTCTCCACACGTACCCAGCCTCCGTTGGTACCAACATCTCCATATAGCCCATCAGAAGCTCTAGGTACACCGCACTTTGCTGAATTTTTCGATAGAATGTTGCAGTCACCTACAGCAATATCCACAACATAAGAGTCCGAGCCTGGCTGAAAGTACAGAGGCATGATCTTGGAGGGAAGAAATTCATCTAGATGTATAATTCTTCTTCGGTTCGCCATGAGCAAGGCGAACAGAACAAAAAATGCAAGAATAGAGACGTAAATCAACCCTCTCAATAAACGTCGAGGCGGAAACATCGTATAGGGCTTTGATTGGAAGTGACTTTCAGGTCAGTATCCATTAAACGGTCCAATAGAGGAGAATGCGAGCTCGATGATCGCGCCCCAATCCAAAGGCAGTGCGCAAAAGGGTTAATTTCGAAAACCAAACGAATACTAATCACATTCATATTAGCGCACACTAAGTGCGTGGACTCGCTTGAACTTGTGGCAAAAACTTTAGAATATGGCTAACCAGGCTCGGCCACAAATTCATGGGTGTGTTTCAATATTTTGGTGGCTTCCTTACTTTGAAAATATTGACACGCTTTCTGGTGCGGCACCGCGCCGCAGCCAGATGTCCGAAGCAACCCAGAACAACAAAAGCGGCGTCGTACGGAGCCTAAATCTATGTGAATGTTATCCAATACAGAAGAAAAAACGTCGTGGATTTATATGAACTACACTCCAAAAATTTCGATAGGCATGGGTGATATATTTAGCAGGCATACTCGTTTGGTTGCCAAAGGCCACAGTGTCCACTATATCACTCAGTTGTATATGAACGCAAATTGATTAAATATAGACTATTTGAGTTCTGAGAAGAACGAACAATTCACGAATCCGTTTTCTCGGGTTTTTCTTGCTCGTTGTCAGATTTCTTGTCTTGTTGATCCTGGGCCCATGGCTCCAAGGAAGGGAAGTTCTCCAAGTTCGGGATGGGCTTGTTCGCGCCGCCAACAACAACATTGTGGGGTTTGTTGATCTTGCTGAAGGGGACCTTTTTTCCTCCCATATCAAGGAGAATTTCTTGGTTGTCTTTCAGCTCGTCAGATGCCATAACGTTGAGTAGAATATAGAGGCAAAAACTAAAAATTGCCAATGCGAATGGCGTTTTAAACATAGTTGAGAGTGTGTGCTGCAGGGAAAACAAACAGTCAGCGAGCGTCACGGGCCTGATTTAATTTAATGGTTTGTTGCTACACGTCTCAGCAAAGCGCGGAACCGAGAATAAATCTGCCTCAAGCATACGCGTATAATGTACGTGGCCGCTGATGATAGGTCAGCTGCTGCTTATGAGCGAATCATACGGACACATAATCCTTCCAAATATATTGGGCAGAGACATAGTCGAAATTAAGAGCGAACAAGACTTCTCAATTAACTGCCTCAACATTATGAGGCCAATGGTCACTAGTGTGGAGATAACACGCAGTCTCGAAATTATAGCATGCCGCGGAGAGTCTAGCTAGCCAGAGCCAGGCATGCACAGCCATTTTCCTTAATTCGCGCGCCACGCCACGCTCGTGTTCTTGCATACATTACGTGTCACAATAAAATGAAATCTTTAGTGTGCTTGATTTCGTATCACTCTGTGAGAGTCAACAATCAAAGTCTCATTCATCCACTCTACAACAATCGGGCAAAGTTTTGGGAGGTTCAATATCAAAAAAATAGAAAGGTTCAATACGCGCAATAGAAGCTAATAGATTCCCAAACATTTGAGTTTAAGAAATGCCAGAACCGTTCCTTGAATGGGATCCCGCCCAAGTCGCCCAGTATTTCCTGGAAGAACTTGGCAAGGACTTAACATCATCCTTCATCGAACACAACATTGACGGCTCGATATTACCGTTTCTCACAACCGGTCATTTACGAGAATTGGGAATCGAACTGCTAGCGTCAAGACTCCAGTTGAAGAAAAAGATCAATGAGTTATTGGCATCGAATTTCGCCAGCGGTGAATCGAGAACTTTGCAGGGAAATGACTTACATTTATCAGCAATAGATATCAACTCGAACTATGTCTCGATGGAAGCCCTCTCGTTATGTCTGATTTTACTCCGGGATTTGAGTCTGACAACCCGCCAAATTTCAGATGACACAATCGACATGAAGAATCTCAGTGAGCAATTCAAGAAGCTAAAAATGGACCTTAATCCAGTAATACGCCTAGCAAAAGACTCGAAACCACTTCCTATGCCAACATTGGACCCTGGTGTATCTCTTTCCCTGCCTACGCATTCGGTGGGCTCGATTCAATCCACTCAATCCTGGCTGGCGTCTGATTTAGAAAGCGGAATCACTCCCACCACTGCAACGACACTCATTCTTCCTGAACCTTCTGCCAGCAAACTGAGCAGCTCCCCGAACGCGGGTCATTTTCTGGCAAATATGCCTTCTCCAAACGGGTCTCTATATGCCAGTTCAATTCAGACGCAAACAAGTATACCTCAGAAGTCTAATACTATGGCCCCAGTGTCAAAGCTGAAAGCCGAATCAAGTCCTACTCATTCGTATAGGTTTTCTTCCGGCTCGGTCCTCTCGGTTGGCGTGGGTAAGATTGCGGATATGAAAACAGGCCTCTCATCCAGATTTCCTCCAAAACCCAGGCTTGTCGAGGCACAGACATCTCCTGCAAATACCCAAGAGATGCATGAGGGTCATAAGGTCACCCTGGGCCTGGATCCTAGTAATGGAGTAAGACCTGTTGTTTCGAAGAATAAAGTATCTTCCACTCTGGTGACTGCACATCCTCAATCTGTCCAGTCTGGGCTGACAAACCAGCCACTCAAACAATTGAAAGCTTCCTCAGACGACACTTGTTTGAAGGTTCTACAGCACGCTATGAAAAGACACCACATCCCAAGAGAAAAATGGTCCAAGTACGTCCTTGTTGTTTGCTATGGTGATAAGGAACGAATCTTGAAACTTACGGAAAAGCCTGTAATGATCTTTAAGGATTTGCAGGAACACGGACAAAACCCCACCATAATGCTCCGAGAGCGTGCTTCCACTTTTGAAAGTGATGGTGATTTTGATGATTCCAGAATAGGAAATGATATCCCCGGTGGTAGACTTTAACCCCAGTAATTCTATCCTATCAAACTGTGCGAGCCTCCTACATGACCCAGGTTCATCTTGGTTATATTCCGGGAAGCGGTTGTGAAACACATACATAAGGGAGAAAATATAAACTTAAGGCAGCCCAGGCTTGCTCAATTATTATAAGCGCTGTCTGTGTCCAAGTCTCACTTACTGTTCTGTCCTTGATGCTAGAAACCGCAGTCATTAATATTTCGCACCCACAATAATTGTCCTGTAGAAGACTCACAATCAATCTCACATCCCCAAACACACTCGCCTTGGACAATCATTAGCCAGCGGAAAAACAAAAATTCCCAATACTCTACTCATCCCTTGCAATACATCTCTTGAGACACTGAAAAATGTGTGGCTACTTAAAAATGACCCCTTTTTGTGTTTAATCTCTCTAGAACCGCGCAGACACCGGAGCGTTAGGGCTGAAACCCTATTGTGGGCGCTCATCTCTCCAAGACATCCCACCGCCTGCGCAGCGCACGTGACTAACCGGCTCGCATGGCGCACCCTTTATCCAAAAAAATTTTCTACTCTTACAGATCTCTTTCACCACCCTAAGAAGAATTCAACATGCCTCCAAAGTTCGACCCTAGTGAAGTTAAGTTCCTCTACTTGAGAGCCGTTGGTGGTGAGATCGGTGCCTCCTCCGCCTTGGCCCCAAAGATCGGTCCTTTGGGTTTGTCCCCAAAGAAGGTCGGTGAGGATATCGCCAAGGCCACCAAGGACTTCAAGGGTATCAAGGTCACTGTCCAATTGAGAATCCAAAACAGACAAGCCACCGCTTCCGTTGTCCCATCTGCCTCTTCTCTTGTTATCACTGCTTTGAAGGAGCCACCTAGAGACAGAAAAAAGGAGAAGAACGTCAAGCACTCCGGTAACATTCCATTGGACCAAATTTTCGAGATTGCTAGACAAATGAAGGACAAGTCTTTCGGTAAGAACTTGGCTTCTGTCACCAAGGAGATCTTGGGTACTGCTCAATCTGTCGGATGTCGTGTTGACTACAAGAACCCACATGACATCATCGAGGCCATCAACGCTGGTGAGATCGATGTTCCAGAGAACTAAGTTTTGTATACATAGGGTTTTAATATCGTTTAACGACTGATTCATTTCATGTAAGATTGCAGTAGCTGTCAGTGGGCAACACCGTGAAATCACGTCGGTTTCTAAACGGCATGTGCAAGCACAAAATGTCAGATGAGGTCTATGCTGGGTTCTAACGGGTTATTAATATTAATAGTTCCTCTTACATAGGTTCATCATCCGTGGACTCATGCGGTACGGGTGCCCAGCCCCACAAAGATCGCACGTCCTCGCTCGCTGTCTACCCGCACGTGACACCTTATCATAGAACAACATACCATTCCCACTCGACCTCAGAAGCAATAATGTCAGACTCCATAGGTATGTTTCTTTGTGGATGCAAGTCTTAGGTGGTCCCCGTTAAGAGTCTAGTAAGCATATAGAGAATGATTGTGTCTCACTCGATGTTTTCCTCAGGTCCCTTGTAAACTAACAGCCCCAGATCGAGTATTCGTGAAAGCCATAACCACAATCAGAGCTTTGTCCACGCGTACAAATCACGGCCTGTTGCCTCGCCCTCCGGCAGAAAATCGAATCAAACTCTACGGATTATATAAGCAGGCAACCGAGGGAAATGTGCAAGGTATAATGTCTCGGCCGGAGGGGTATACCATTGAAGACGAAGGCGCAAAGAAAAAATGGGACGCCTGGAAAAGGGAAGAGGGGCTCTCCAAAACACAGGCAAAGAGAAGGTATATTCTGTATCTAATTGAAACGATGAGAGTCTATGCAAGTGGCACGCCGGAAGCTCGTGAGTTGCTCAGTGAACTAGAATACTTATGGGATCAGATCAAGGACATGGATTCTGTCGACGAAGAATATGCTTTCCCTTCATCTATCCCTCACTTTCCACACAATATCACCAGACTGGTGATATCCAATGTCGACCAATCGGATCGTTTTTCAACAGGGACCCCGTGGCCGATGCGGAGCAATTATTCTGCGCTGGTTCTGGCACAGCAACACAGGAGCAATCTCGAACAAATTTACCTGCACTCTCGAAGAAGCACACAGATTTGGAACAACGACATCAGTCAACAACTCAGATCAATTGGTCCGCTTTCCCATGCTACCGCTACAAAAGAGACCGGAAAACCAGCAACATTTACAGGCGTATCTGCATCTGTCCCTACTCCAAACTTAGAAGATTTTAGAGCATGGCAAAGTCAAGTGAATTTGATCATCAACAAGCTCAGTAAGGAATCTGCCCTCACTAAGCAATCCACTTCACAATCACAACCTCATACACCAGAAAAGGAAACAGATCCTCGGGAAAAGCTAAAACAAACAGTGGTTTATTTGCTCAAACGTGTCGGAAAGGGTGCATTCTATCTCCTTAGAAATTTTGCGATTAGTCTGTTTGCAGTTCTTTTCATTACATGGTGCGTGAACAGAAGTGTTGTTGTCCAACGGACGATTGTGAAGAAACAGTTGCAGGGCAAGAGTCAAAAAGAGCTTGTGATAAATATGGCGATTGACACCGATGAAAACAAGTGGTTCATTCGGCTACTCACACTTATCAACAAGTTTGTCGGATTTGTGTAACAATCTGGTTCTTTAAGCGTGAGAAGCCTCGAAGACATTAGTTTAAGGAGCTTAAGGGTTTTGCTGGACAAGTACTGAATGTTGATCACAATCAACATCCACAGATCTAAAACTACAGTGCACAGAGTTACTAGGTCCATAATTAGAAACACTGGTTAGATATATATTGTTTGAGCGTCGGTAAACAGTAATGACAAGACCATCCCAGCACAGTTTATTATCTTACTCAGGTGTGATAATAACGCGATGCTTGATTATACGTGCGCGCCTGTACATTTCGCAGCCCATCACCTCACTTCTCACTTTTCACCTCTAACTCATCACCTGCATGGCGAAAAATATTTACCTGACTCCATCATCCTCTTGAAAATCAAAAATGGACATACACAGGTGTAGATTTGTGGACTATACGCCGCATAGTATCACTGCCCTGGCATTTTCTCATTCCAGTGATTCTTCAAAAGTGGCTCCCCAGGGATTACGTCTTGCGGTGGGCAGGTCAAATGGTGATATCGAAATCTGGAATCCCAGGTACAACTGGCTTCATGAAATGACGCTACCGGGTGCCCGCGGCCGTGCCATAGAAGGTTTAGTATGGTCTCACATTGAAGGTGAGCTTCCAAGATTATATTCTATCGGTGGCTCGACCTACATCACTGAGTGGGATTTGACTACAGGAAGGCCAAAAGCCAACTTGAATTGCAATGCTGGCGTCATCTGGTGCATTGATAGCAATGCCTCCGGCACAAAGCTCGCTGTTGGTTGTGATGATGGTACCGTTGTCGTTGTCGATGTTTCTGGTGGAAGCGGGGTGATGGAATATGAATTCATATGCCAAAGACAAGATCAAAGAGTCTTGGGAATGCAGTGGTATGGAGATGATATGTTGATTGGCGGTTGTGCAGACGGAAAGGTTCGCTGTTGGGCCATTAAAGGTGAAAACAAAGGTAAGATAGTATGTTCTATGAAGGTTGACAAGCTGAAAACCGAATCTACCTTAGTCTGGTCGATCGTTGCGATCCCATCCCGTGGTCAGTTTGTCACGGGTGACTCTACCGGCTCCGTCAAGTTCTGGGATGTGAACACTTTCTCCTTACTTCAAACTTTTTCTGCTCATGAAGCAGATGTCTTGTCTCTCGCATGTGATGCTAGTAGCGAGAGAGTGTTCTCCGCTGGCATTGACAGAAAAATCCATCAGTTCTCTTTCCTTAACAACAAGTCAAGAAAAGACTCTAAATGGATTCATAACTACAGCAGACTCTTGCACCTGAATGATGTCAGAACACTCGCGTTGTTTGAAAGCAAAGCTTACAACTTTTTGGTATCTGGCGGTGTCGAGCGCTCGATCATTGTCCAATCTGTTGAGAACTTTCAAATTGGCCCCTATAAAAAAATATTGATGGATCAGCAAATTTCGAATATCTCTCTCAACTCCTCGTCAAAATTGGTTGCCTTGTTTCAGGATCAAAGTGTTAAGATTTGGCGTCTTGCTGATGACAAGCATAAGCTAGTTGCAAAAGTCACTCTCTCTGATGAGGATAATGTTACATCGGTGAGTATGGGTGATTTTGCTGAGTCTGTGTCGATTTTGGCAGTTGCAACTATCAATTCTGTGAAAGTCTTTACAATGACGGAAGCAGGACAAAAATTACAAATCAAGAAGTTAAGGGATGCAAACTTTGATGCATTGATCAGTGGCGCAAAGAAAGTCATTGTTTACAACGTAAACCACATTTTGATACACACCCCTGAGGACGAAATCTACACATTCATTGTGAATGATGACTCTTTAGAATTGGAAGATGAGGTGGAATCTGTGACGCAAGAAGGCAACAGCTTGAGAGCTGGCTTTGACCACTTCAATACGATTCATACTATTGCCATGAGTGATGACAATTCAAAAATTGCTGTTGCAAGGTTCAATAATACTGTGGAGATTCTACCACTCACTTCAAACGAGGAAGCACACACTTTGGCAACTCTTTCCAATACGGTTAGCTTGATTGCTTTTACTGGCAGGGACACTCTTGTTATTCTCACAGAAGAAAATAAACTTTTTGAATTCAACATTCTTAAAGGTGCTAAAAGTCTTTTGACTCCATGGTGTCAAAGGAACAGTGAACTCATTCCTTTGTCATTCTTAAAGCTTGAAACTAAACCTGAGGGCATTTTCGTTCAGGGCAGCAAGGTGTGGATTTTCGGAAATCAATGGTTAGCTTTCTTTGACCTCAATCTTAACTTGGAAGTAAACAAGAGTTACGTTGCGAATTCCAAAAAGAGAAATAAGGATGGTTTGAGTATTCGTGAAGCTGAAGAATTTGACAACAAGTCTAATTCAAACAACTTTTTCGATCGAGAGTTGACCGCTGCGCTGGTTAGGCGTGCTGAAGAAGACGACGAAGAGTTCGGGGAAGAAGCTAAGCAGAAAAAATCGTATTGGATCACGCAGAAATACAGACCTGTACTTAAAGTGGACAGGTGGAGTGACAGTGATATAATCGTCATCGAGAGAGAAGCATTTGCATTGCCCACTACATCGGCATTCGAGGCGCCACACTTAAAGATCTGATGCACCTTAGATAAATTGCATAATAGGATTGGGAAGTCTTTAAAGTACAAAATAAAACAAAGTCGCAATCACTTACTGTAACAGTGGGCAGATTCTGGCGCCCTGATAAAAGACTCTTGCTGCAGACCCTAGCCCCATCAAACACTTTTGGGGTTTGTCGCCATCTTTGTCATCACCTCTCATACCGTGTCCCTTCTTGCCCCCAAACTGTCTTTTGTAATCTCTCTCGTATATTTCCTTGAAAGTACGATGTGGCTCGAAAGACTGAATGTACAATCCATCCTTTAGGTCCTTCAGATATTTGTAGAACATTTTCAAGTGGCGTTCAACCTCAAGGGTAATTTTCTGCAGTAAATCCTCTGGAACATCTGACCCAACATACAATAAGTAGTCTGCTAATCCTTCAATTAAGAGCTGCGTCCAATATGAGGGATCACGCCAATATCTTTTGTCGTGGCCATAATCACGATCATAGAAGGGAGAGTTTCTGTTAATAGCAGCTTTAGCCAAATTGTCAGCTATATCCTTCCACTTGTTACTTTTGGTGATACTGTACAAGTGAGAAGCAGCCGAGAGGGTTGTTCCAGTGTTGTATGTAAGTTTGACTTTATCAATCTTGCGGCCTTCAGGCTGGATTCCATCCATAATACATTTATCGCCATGATCCTGAAGAACTTCAATTTGCCATTCAACGCACTTGGTGGCAAATTCAACGTAGACACTGGCCTCCTCCGGGATAAATTTTGAGAGCTGTAAGCACGCTTTCGCAACTTCGGCAGTGGTACAAGCGTTGACGTATGTTTTCGACACGTGCCATTTAACCCCGCCAATTTTTTTGTCCCAGCCACCCATCAAGAATCGAACAAGTTCACGTCCTGAGTCTAAGTATTTTCTGTCTCCAGTGACTTCATAGGCAGTGATGATAGCACTAGCAACCTGCGCATCATCGTCATAGTAAACGTCATTATCGCTGCCACTATTCTCTGCAGCAGAGTATCCTTTGGTCTGGTTGTTTTTGTACCTTCTGAAAGTGTCCACTGCAGGAGCAATTAATGGCTTGAGCTCGGGAAAAATTCTAGCACCATCAACAACTGCTTGCACGGCGACAGAAACCGCCCAAATGACAAAAAGATTGTCATTGTAGCAACCACTACACTTTTTTTTTGCGTAGAAACTTCCTCTGTGAGAATTGTAATATTCTAGCCACATGCCACGTGTCACGCTGTAAGCCTCGAGATTTGGGTTGGTGAGAGTCATAATAGTCCAGATCTAATGGTATGTTTGAGTAGTTGCGGATTAGGATATTCACTCTCAACCGTCGAAGCGCGGTGAATGACAAGGTATGCCTACATAATAGACAATGGAATGTTGACAATATTTAGAACCGCAGCAAAGTTAATCAATATTGCTCGCCGAACTAGGTGCATAGTTCTGCGTGCGGAATAGTCTGCGAAATGCGGAGACGAAAAAAGGAAGGCTGACAACGCATCTTCGGGAGAAAAAAAGGGAGACAATTTGAACTAAAATAGGGAGTAAAACATGTGCCTCTACTGCAACAAGTATTGTGATTCAGCATCGTACAATTGGCAATGACCTTCTCCTCAAAACATAAGACTTTCAAGGCTGACGTTTAGGTAACTTCTGCATCCTCAAATGCTGGAATGAAAAACAGTAGCGCAAGGCACGAAAGGTGGACACCGTAATTGATATATAAGCGCATCATTCATTACTGGGAGCCTCAAAAATCTCTAACTGTAAATTCCTAGGCAAGTTCCATTTAAAGTGTTGGGGGTAGCTTCCTATACCCCATCCCCATGGCGCTGTATGCAAACCTGGATTTGTAAAGAGTTGAATGAGCACACTGTCAACAAAAACAGTGCTTTCAGTATAAATGGAGCTGACTAGGTAAATTTTCAATAAGCTTCATATGTAGCTTTTTCACCTCCTTTGTACATCAGCGAGGAGGTTGTTTTTTTCACCCTGTTTGTATTTTCTAGAGCGTATTCTTATATACTTTTTTTGAGGCACACTCATTAAAAATTTAAAAAGACACTTTCATCCAAAATCTTATTTTTTATTGTGAGACAACGTATTGTTAAAAAAATACGTACACTAGCTAATACTATATCACATATACCTATTTTCACCCCTCAACCAAGGTATACGAACAAAAGAGAAACGGGATTTTCTAAAAGTTATATTTCTCATGCCATTTTCAGGATTGAAACGATTTGGATCTTTACATCTCTAAGTATTGGAAGCCTTTACCCCTTTCTCAAAAAGCGAACGTGGAGGTGAAAAAGAGTATACACCAAGAAATTCAATCCAAAGCTTCAAAATTCGATACTCGGGGAAACCACCCAGAAAAGCAATCAAGATACACAAGCTTTCAGACTGATGCGTTCGAGGTGTGATAAACCTGGAAGTAGACTATTCCAACAGTTGTAGATACCGTTGCAGCCAATTGCATATTCGAAAAGCGGCTGTACGCTGCAGAAACAACTTTATGGGGAATGATGCAGATGCACCTATTCACTTGAACCTTTCGATCTTTGAAACTTAAAGCGGGACAATAGATTGAGGAAACAAAATTCAGAACATTAAGACTTATTTACTTAGGTAGCTCGAAAATGAATCAGTGTTGACCAGGTTTTTCTTTTTTCTTGGTTTTGAATTTTTATTAGCCAAGGCAGGGTCAGATTTGTGGGAAATCACAATTCTAATTCCTGAACTTTGTGGGAGGATGTGTGAGTCGGTCTGTCCCTCAAAGATAGAGTACTCAACAAGTCGAAGTTCAAGGGCGTGAATTTTCGTAATACTTTGGGAATTGAAAAACTTGGAGACCCCCAAAGCATCATTCTTATATGGTGTCACTGCAGAGATGTAAAACCCCAATACTAACGAAAAACTATAAAGAAAACCCCAGGTATGGCGTTTCGTTCATTGAGCCGGCGCAAGCAGGAAGAACTTCCGCCACTTTGCCCGGGGAGTTTCCTTGTGATCTGCCCCCAATTGGAGACGATGAAACGCTGGCGAAAATTTCGGAAAGAATTCTACAAACACGAATGGTTGGTACAAAACGATCTCACAGCCATTCATATATTCGAGCACGGCTCCTATGTTGCCTTTAATAATAATGAAATGGACGCGTCAAGATTCGAATGCAGGTTGTGTTTGAAAAGCTGTTATAGCGATCATAAGTCAACCCACCTCTACAATGAGTGTGACATTGTGCACTTTTGGTGGCAAAGATCGGCTTTCAAGCTCCAATTAACTTGAGGGAGAGGCTAGCTTCTTTAAATACTTTCTTTGACAATTTAAGAAACCTCTACCATTAAAGTCGTTCACAGGGTTTATTTACTTAGGAATCAGGAGGCAAAGACAAATGTACGTCTTGCCGCCTTGTCAAATGAACTATGGCCACGGGCCATGAGGAAAGCATCTCCTATGGGACGATGACATTTAGTTTTTTTATTCAAGTGGTTGATATTGGTTATAAGCAGAATTTTTTTCACATCCTCTTTGGGAGATTTCGTGAATTGGTGCTCGCGCCTTCTCACCTGAGCCAATGTATTACAGGCTTTATAGTTTTTCGTTAGTGGTGGAGTTTTATATCCCTCCAGTGACACCCTATAATATTATGTTTCCTTAAAAAGAAATATAGATCGCAACTTTCTGATACCGAAATTGAAGTATCGATTCATGAGATTTAGGATAGCTTCGATAGAATCCGAGAAGTTTAGATTTTTCATAGCTTATTTTGCTATTGCTCACCGGCTCGAAAGCTATGATTATCTTTTCGATTTTTTTGTGGTCGTCTATATCCAATTCTCCAAACCTTATCTTTTCAAATATCTGGCGACATATTTGGGTATCCCAATAAAAGGGGTCAACGGGGCAAAATTCACAACCAGCCTCCCATTTACCACCCGACAACTGGGATATCAGAGCCTCGACTTGATCAGCAGAGTATTGGGGACAAACATCACTCTGCATACAACAAAGCACCGAAGGCTTGTTGCTTTAAGATAATCTTTAATGGTGGTTAATCTCAGAAAGAAATCATAAAAATTCAAAATCACTGAGATATTGGCTTTTCAAGTAAGTCAATGAATATGTCAATTAGGAACATTATTTCACCTGTAAAAGGCTCTGTGGCCGAGCGGTCTAAGGCGGCAGACTCAAGTTCTGTTATCGTAAGATGCGCGTGTTCGAATCACGCCGGAGTCAATGTTTTTATACTTTGCAGACAGTTTTTTTAGAGCTTTTGATTCTTTTTCTGGGGAAGATATATTATTCTGAACCAGGGCTTTATTGTACATATGGGGAAAATAGTAGTAAGATATAAATTAGTTCTCGGCATCCAATGGTTTACGCGCGATGTACAACATCATAGGCGTGAACAACTTCTGCTTACCTCCGGCAACTAAGTTGACCGCGGCATCTTCCAAAGCTCCAGTGACCTGCTTAGAACCTATGGGAGCAAATCCGATTTTTTCCAACAAACCAACCATTTCGGTGGTGACCTTTCTACCGATTTTGGAAGTTCTGAAAATAGTGTAGTAATCTGACAAGGTTTGCACGTGCTTCCATTCACCAGCCAAAGGATAGTACCAGGGAATTTCATCATCGGTGTCAGCCAAATCTTTTTCATATTCAACATTGAATCCAACGTTTTTCAATGCTTTTTCTGCAACCTCTCTTTTGTACATCTTTGGAATACCATCACCGACTTCAATACCGTAGGCAATCTTACGGTGCTCCTCGTTTGTTTCGTCGTAATCGTCAGTCATAACCCATTCGTAAACACCAAAAACTCCCCCGGGCTTCAACACTTTGTAAATTTCAGAGTACACACCCTCCAAGACAGGGGCGTGCACGGTAGCCTCAATGGCATACACAGCATCAAAGGATTCAGGCTCGAAGTCCATTTGCATGAAGTCGCCTTTGACATATGATAATTTGTCATCCAAGTTATACTTCTTGGCATAGTGTTGGGCTCTCTCAATTTGGTAGTCGTTGTTGTTCAAACCGACAATGGTGCAGTCAGTGAATCTGCAAATCTCTCTACCAGGGCCACCCACACCACAACCAACATCCAAGACCTTCATGTTCTCTTGGATGTTCATTTTGTGGGCCAAAAAGTGCTCATGTCTCGCCGTGGCTTGTCTGAATGCCTCACCCTTATAGTATCTTGAGAAATGGAACGAAGAGCCCCAACCATACTCATAAAAGTCCGTGACCAAGTTGTAGTAATGAGCAGTCAAGTTCGAGTAGTCGCTCAATCTTTTATCCTCATCGTCTGCCGAAACACCTCCATCCCAATGCTTGAAGTAGCCTTCATTGGCGACGTCAGAAGCCTTGTCAGATTTGGACATGAGGGCCCCAAGACCAGTCTTCTTAAAAGCTCACCATGCATTGCCTTTGAAAATTCACGGTCCTTCAGATAGTTTTTTTCGGCTAATTTTACGGAAGACATGGTAAAAAATGCGGCAATATAGTATTCGAAGTTTTTGAAAGTTGTTCAAATGCCGAAGGTTGAAAATAGAAACGCGGTTTATAAACAAGTAACGGAAAATTTATCCTCGTATGGTCGTTTAAGCACTCCAGCAAAATCCTGCACCAATGTACTTCGTATACTCGTACGCATGCTATGGTCTGTACGAACGCGAGCGGCTAGAATGAAGTATGTGCCGAATTCCATCTATTTACGCATCCAAATCATATTCAATTTCATCGTCTTCTCGAAGCATTTTATCAATGGCAGCTAGGTCTGTTTCGACCAGATTTGCGACGTTGTTGACAGGCGTTCTATCAGTTTCAAGAGTTGAGGCGGCTTGCAGATCAACTCCGTGGTGGGAGTTGGCCGCGTTTTCCAACGCGGGTCCTGCCTCACCGAGGATAGACAGTGCTCTCGATCGTGCACTTTCATTTTCTTGCGGCAAATTCTCTGCCTTTTGAAGCAAACCATCAACATAGACATAGAATTTCTCGAGAGCACGTTCCGAAGCTGCGTCCAAAACAAACTCCGATTTGTCTTGGTTTCCGTTAATCAATTGTTTCGTGTCATCGATCGCATTTAGTAGCCCTCGCAAGACTTCAGCCCCGAGGTGCTCGGATAAAGAAAGCCTGTGTAAATTTTGTAGAACGGCTTTCTTTATATTTTTGGAAGTATCTTGCTCGATGACCTGAAGTAATTTCATTGCCTGCCAAAAGTGAGACATACTTTTTTGTAACGCATCCGAAGTAATGTTGACAACATTTCCAGGATCGCACCAGTAAATGAGTTGCTGAAGAACGTTTGTCGGCGAAAGGGAGGATCCGAATTTCTCGAATTCGCTTCCTGTCTTAAAAATGCGGTAGAAGCATTCCACAGTAATCGAGCTGATTTTGAGCTGATGTTTCTCATGGCTAAAACAATATACTGGGATGCAGAATGCAAGTGTTTGTCTCAACTCCTGATTCTCAGCGTTCAACGGGTGAAAAAAAGACAATAAAAGGAGCTCTAGCAAGTGAGCTTCTTGCAGGATTTCTTCTTCATCATTATCGGCTGACTGCACTTTCCCAAAATCAATTAGTAAATCAGCAAGGAAAAGCTTGCAAAGACCTTCAGCAACCGTGGCTTGCAATTTGGGCATGTCATGCAATTTGAGCAAGCTGTAAAACAAACGAGCCAAAGAAAGTGAATCAACCGCATCTTCGCCTTCAGAATCTAATATTCGAACGCCATGGGTGGAAAGAATATCGAAGATTGTTTTCATACAAAGAATCTTCAAGTCTTCATCGTGCGCCTTGGACGCGCTTATCCCAAAAAATTTCAAGTTGGAAGCACCTAAACCCTCATCGATAAGGGTGAAAAGACCGAGAGTTTGATATCCGAGCATTCGAATCATGCTGTTTTCATTATTTGTGAGTGCTGGTCGAATCAACGTATCTATCAACGTATCAAGTTGGTGACTATTGGCACGCGTATCTTCTGCAATTTCGAGGTAGTGCTGCAAAATGGTCAAACACTGAATCATAAGATGATCAGGTGGTACTAAAGGAGTGACCTTTCGTCTTTTCGATGACTCGCTGAGAATATCGTCAGATTCATTTGATTTATCATGTATCAGCTCTCCATTTGCACCATCAAGCTCTCCATTCTCGGACTCATTATCCTCATTGTTCGAGTCATCGCCAAACAAATTTTGAGCGGAAACGAAAGTCTCATCATTTTCATCAAGAACAGAATCCCTAATGTCAGTGATAATTTCGGTACACAATTGCGAGAAGTAATTTTCATCATCTGAGCCCATACGAATGATCTCGACACAGAGTTTGAGATTCCGATCATTCAAGTCAGCAGCAGTCATGGCATTTGTGATGATAGGCATGAGTCTCCTCATGCCTGCAACATCAGCAGAATCACTCGACTTGATAATTGACAACAATTGTTCAATCACAAAATTTAAATCTCTTAACTGCTCCCCCAACGGAAGATATTTCTCCTCAAGTTCAAAACTGTTCTCGATGAATTTGTCTCGCTCATTTACGCGGTGACTTTGTGCTCTTTTTATATCTTGCAACTGCAACTCAATTTGATCTATCGACTCGGTATGATCTTCAATAGAGTTAGAGATTTCACCAAGTTCGGTCGCGCAATCTTTTATATCCATCTGCAATTCATTAATTTTTTCAGCGTTTGTTTTCTTCATTTCGGGCTTTCTTCTACTCTCGGATCTCAAGGACTGAACTTGAGCTTTTCTTTCGGTGATTTGTAATTTGAGCTCATCTTGGTGCAGCTTGAGTTGTGCAATATAGGATTTTGCCTTTTCAATACGTCGCATGCAATCGCGGATTTCTCCAATACCCCGGCTGATTAAGCGATTGTACTTATCCTTCTTCAAAGCGTGATCCGAGTATTCCTTCGAGAGGTCCAGGTTTGCATCAAGCAACGACTGTCTCAATTTGAAATATTGCTCAACCAAAAATGCAAGTCTCATCAACTCAGGCAAATACTTCTCGATTCTATCATACATTTTCTTACGATGACAGAAGTCGAAGAAGTATCGCACAAAAAACGCCTTCTCCGCAGTTAGCTCTTTCCAAATTTCGGAGGGAATTTCAACTTCGTCAAATTTATCAGGTCGATGCTCAAATAATAGTTCGAGTATCGTGTGTGCAACTTCACTTTCAACCACGTGCATAGATTCCAAAAACTCTAATATGTCATCATGATATTGACCAAGCCAGTGTTTGGACAACATTGATATAGCTGCCTGCTTAACACTCTCATCGCGGTCGTTTAGGCCCCACTTTAAAATTTCATCTCTAAGATTAGAATCCAATTCCAGGAGAGAAGGCATTTCCTTGGCAATTCTAGAAAATACCAACCTTCGATTGATAGCGTTTACATCTCGTGCTCTTTTGAATAACTCTGGTGTTGTAGTTGGTGTTTTAACGATGTTTAAAAGTGCAGCCCTCCTCACCTCCGGGGAGTCATCGTGATTCAACGCGTCAATGAGCGAATCGGAAGCTTTCGTTATTTGTTTTTCCTCAATTTCATCGAAATTTTGGAACCGTGATATTGCAACTATGGCCTGGATACGCACGATAGACTCCTTGTCATGCAATCGACGATTGAGAGAGAAATGGAGTGCCACAAAAAGTTGTTCATCGATTTCAGTGATATAGTTCACTAAGTACGCGAGAAGCTGAACAACCCGGTATCTTACTTCCCTCAACCTAGACTCTATTCCACGTAAAAGGTGTCTGATCAAATTGTCTATGAAATCAGACGAAATACTCTCCTCGAGCAGATAATCAGCAGCACTCTTGGTTTGATGACGCGGGGTTGGATTCTCTGATTCTTCTTTGGCCAAGGTAGCGACAAAGTTCGAGCAGAACTTTGCTGTACGATCTGCAGAGCTCACGCCTTTCTTTTGATTGAGAATTTTGGATACTAGTTTCGTGAATTGAAGATTAAACATGTCTTCGAGCCCGATTGCTACTGCTTTGATCTGTGTTTTTCTCATGAGCATCACCAATTTCCTATGTCCAGATAAAGTCATTTGCGCATCTGCGAAAATATGGGCCATGGCGATTTGGATCTCATCAAAAGATGTGAACTTAGCTATTTGAGATAGCGTCGGCTTTCCGGAAACCATTGTTGTTGGGGATACTGACTCACGTGGATTACCGATGGGAGCCTGATGATTTCGTATAAACAAATACGCGAAGTATACAGGCCGGATATACCGAGGCTGTCTTTAATTTCATGTGTAATAACAAATAAACAAACCTTTCATCAAATCGTTACGAAGTTCAAAAACTATATCGTAAAATGTAAACAAGATGAATAAAATTAAGTCTTCGGTTTTCGCTCTTACTATAAATAATTGGCTTATTAAGCAAAAAATGAGTGGTACGGGAATCGAACCCATGTCTAATGCTTGGAAGGCATTAATGCTAGCCATTACACCAACCACCCCTTGATGTTGACTTCCTTGAGCATAAGAACTATATAGAAAAAGACAAAAATTCTGTGGTCTCATATACTTATAGCTTTCACAATCAGGGGAGTGTGTTAGGCCAAATTCAGTTAGATTAAGTTTTAGAGCGACTATCTCAAAAGAGATTAGTTGAGCCATCAATAAGATCAGTCTGCCAAAACCAAAGAAATTCGTCTTTTTTTCTGAAAAAACATATGATGTTTCTTTGAAAATATATATATTCTAGGGTATAGCTGGAGGGATGTAAAACCTCACCAAACTATAAAATTAGACATATAATAGATCGCCACATTGGCCTAGGTGAGAAGGCCCGAGCACCAATCCACGAAATCTCCGAAAGAGGATGTGATTGCCCTCAAAAAAGACTTCGGCCCATGACCAATGTCAACCGCTTGAATAATTTGATTTATCTATTAAGGTGATCTAACTGGAATAAAACTTGGAATTGAGAAGCGGAGGAAAATTGCACTAAATTTATTCAGATGATGACTTGGGGTTAGCTTCAATGAAATGTTTCCGTTTGACAATTCTCCAGAGAACTCAATAAATTTAAACCGGTTCATGATGATTCAAGGTATACACTCAGAAAGACAGGAAGTGAGCTCCTCAAGTCCCTTCCAACCATCTGAGTTGAACCAAATCTTACAGAAGATTTATCCTAGGAATTGATGGCGTAATAATGCATACCAAGAGGTCCGTCTAGGCCGGGATTAACGGAAGGAGGGGGGCCCGGTTTAGGTTCAAGTCTAATGGCATTTAAAAGGTTCTTTATCTATTATTGCATATTTTAGTTTGGTGGATGAAACTACCGAAAAAAAGAGTCTTGATTGTGTTTTGTTTCTCAGTGTTTGTATTGTCTGGTCGTCCTTCACCGCGCATTCAACTTTTCAGTGTTGAACCTTCGTGACTTTCACAGCAGTGTACGGGTAACATCGGCTTCTTTTTTTCCCACACCAATTTTGAATGAAATGACTAGTAAGTATACCAGTTTTTTAAAACTTAAGTCTCTTATATCATGTACTGACCGCATAAAGATACCAAATATGTTGACGTCACCACCGAGTTTTTCGATGCTGTGAAGCAAATGGAGCCAGGCAAAGTTAATGTGATCTCGTCCTTTGATATGCTAGAAGGTGCGCGTGCGTTAGAAATGGGGAATCCTAGGCTTGACACAGGCCTCCTTGAGCTAAGTCAAGAGGAGATCAGGTTTGATGCAAGTGGGGGCCAAACACTTCCGACAGTTGTGTCGATTATGAACAAACTTTTCATTCTTTATATGAGCTGGTTAAGCGGACTGTCACTTCTGGTGACTGTTCTTAGTTGCCGTTACATGCTTGATTTTCTTCAGAGCTTTCGTACAAATGGTCAGCTTCAAAAGGCAAGATTCACCAATCCCCGGCTACATCCCGCGGATTACGAACCTGCGAGTAACACGAATTCCCAGCTTGTCAACATTGTTCTTCGTGCATTTGTCATTGGTCTCTGTAAAACCATTGGGTTTTCTTTGAACGTCGCAAAAAATGTGCTATACGACGAGGAAGACATCGTTACTAGATCTATGAACGTTGATTTCCTTAGTCTGGTTTCGCTTCGAATTGCCTCTGCAGAGATCGAGGAGGCAGAAATCTGGCTCCAACAACAAACCCAATTGAAGAATGAGAGGGCCTTTGCTATTGCAGTCAATCAGCTAAAGTTAATCAAAACTTTAGTGCAATTGGAAAATGTTTTGAGAATAGATGTTCAATTGTTTATGGAACCCAAGTCCTGGGGGTTCCCACCCACAGCTTCATCTCTCCAAGTCATAAAGCTGTTTGAAGCAGAATGCTTCGAAGATTACCCTTTGGCAGCCTTTTCCAGACTTGTTCAACTCGATTGTGACAATAAGCACCTTCCGTCCAAAAATGTTGAAATCACTCAAATGGAGGCCTACCGTGGTTTGGCAAATTTTATTTCCTCGATTGATGAAATGATCAAAAATTTCACACTCATGAAAAATGTCTCACAACTTCAAACGTACTTGAGACACAACATTGGCTTTGACTTAGCAAAGGGCGCCAATGCTCTCACTAGAGGTATTTTCCAGCTTTATTTTATTCGTGATGACAGATCGATTGCTGGTCTGAATGAAGATTTGGGTTCAATAACTACTATGCTCCTTCAAACAATATCTCTATGCGGAAATTCCATCATGGACCCTACCCAATGGAACATAAAGAACTCAAAAAATGTGGAGAACACAAAAGCCGCGTGTTTAAACAAAATGGCCGAACTTTTAAATGATTTAGAAGCAGCAAGTCTTCACAAATTAGGTGCATATGGAAACAATAGATGCCGCCAACGCCAAGTCAACAATAAAAATATTCTATTGTGGGACTCTTTACATTTCAACGCCGAGACCATCGAGACGGAATTGTTCAGTTATGGAATTGGGGACAGACTTTCGCCAGCTTGTTCTGATCAACCTGCCTATGGTATAAGTTCATATATCTTTCTTGAGAAGCTTGATACGATGATTGATGTTGCCCTCAGTGGCTTTGAACAGGACCTTTACAAGCTGCACGAATCCTCAGTCATGTATTGGTTTGTCTCCAATTTGTGCTTTCAAGCTCATGAGCTCATCACAAAGAGAATCATCAAGATTAATGATGGGAAGCTATTGTCTATTCAAGCCTTACCCAAAAAAATAAAAGGGACCAAGGCTGGACCAAAAAAAGAGGCATTGAGAATGGAATACTCTCGCATGAAGGAGCATTCTGTACCGATACTCACAGATAATGTCTTATTCCATCAGAAGTTTTCTGCCTTGAGCCACCTATCCATGTACCATTTGACAAAGGGGATATCATCAGCAATTGAAATTATGACTATAACGGGCGGAACTGGAGAGACGAAGTCCTACTTGGCGCTGGATGAGAAGCTTTATAATTTACGCATGAAACCCTGGTCCTCGATCGGCGTCCCTGAGGTGCCAAGTCATGAAGAGTACCTTAGGTCTCATCAATCAATATTAGAATTACGCGGTCTACCTGATTCTGAACGGAAGCAGAAACTATTGCCACTAATTCGTATTGCGAGACTTCAGCTTGAGAAAGCAACCAGCTGTTGTGAAGAGCTTTGTCACAATTTGGAGACTGAGCCCGTCTTGAGAGAGAGAACTCGAATTGGGAACAAATGCGAGGTTGCTTCATGGTACAACAATTTGAGAAAAACTTGCGAAGCTTATAAAGCCCAACTAAGCCGTCTAGAGTCTAAAATTCATATGCTGTACAAGTTAAGACGGTCGGAAGGTTGCTCGCCGTACTTTCCCATCTACTCTCTTGTGCAACAGAACTAAATATCGATGGCATTGATGACTGATTCAAGTTTGTATATACAATCATGTGACCATTGGTCCGTCTTACTTGCAAAATGTGGGAAAAATTAAGGCCTCAATACCCATTTTCAATTTCTGTTGCCTGTGTACTTGGTTTAATATCTTCCGGGTGCTATCCACTCAATTTTATGTCCCGAGCCTGTGCGGGTGCAAGCTTTGAAAAAGAAATGGGGCACACGGGTATGAGCCCTGTCTATGGTGAAGAGAAATCCCACGATATCAAGAAAAAAAGAAACTTTATGACTCGAAATAACCTATATTTTTGAGTGTTTAAGAACATAGAGATCATCAGAATATTATTCGTTCATTACGTAGTACAAAACCATAGCAGTATGAGTATTCTAGGGTTTCCTGGTTGGATTTGTCAGCCGGACGTGAGACTTCGCGACTCTTAAATTACTCAAATATATGTAGGCGTGTGTCACTAAAAAGCGGGGCGATCAGGAATGACTCAGTTTTTTGAAATCCTTCCAGTAAGCATTTGAAGAATGATACACATAGAAATTTAACAAGAAATTTTCTCGAATAACAAAAAAAACTTGTCCATGGTACTACGAACCTGATGATTATCTCCCACTTATGCTTCGTAGGTTTTCAGCAATGGTGCTGCACACGCCCCAACATTCGGTAGAATGATCTATGGTTTCCAGCCGAACATCGCACGTTGGCTGCGTGCACACCTGTATGGATAATATCGCAAAGCCAGATATATATAGAGGAAGCATCCCTCGCCCGCGCCTCCCTCACTCTGTCATTCCTGTCTCAACTTTCCCTTCTAAAGAATATTCGAGTCTTCATCCTCATTTTTCTTTTCTTCCCTCACTTTCTCCATACTCATCATCTTCACATTATATCAGTACACGTGTTGATCAAATCCTTTTGTGATTCAAGCAATACTATTTACGCGCCGACAGCTCGCAATTTGCCACCGTTGTCTTACCTTCACATCGATCGAATACCCCTTCAGACCCAACAAAACTGTAAATCTCTGAGCTAGCTGATTAATTTCGTCACTCAAATTCCTTCATCTTCAAGTTTGCCTTCACGAGCTTTCTTGTTTCGTTTAACATCCGCCTTAAATTGATGTTGGATACCAAAAGACCCATAGATGAGGAGTCGCCAGACTTTTCGTCGCACGACGACAAAAAGCAACATACCAAGCCAGGACGCAAACCGATTGACACAGAGCCGAAATCGAAGAGAACAGCTCAAAACAGGGCGGCTCAACGTGCATACAGAGAACGCAAAGAGCGCAAGATGAAGGACTTGGAGGATAAGGTTTCTCTGTTGGAAGATGACAAGATGAAAGCAGAAGCCCAGATTGAACTTCTTAAATCCGAATTGAGTCGATACAGAGGTCACTCAGACTTCTCAGACCTCAAGCCTTTGTCAAATGCGAGAGTTAAACGCGAGTCCAGCGAGAGTGGATTGTCACTGAGCGACTTCACCGTGGGATTCCCTTGGGCTAAAAAGCAGTCGGCCGACTCTGAAGTACGCTCCAACGCTTCCAGCAACCATCTACCCGACTTGACCAGCGGGTCGTCATCTTCAAATTCGCCCTTGAATGAAAATGTGATTGTATCCCCACATTCTAATAGCAGTGATAATTATTCAGTCCCTTCTTCGGGACTGGTTGATTTGCGCCACACAACTTCAAGCCTTTTTGACGAAGAGCTCAATCCTTTTTGCACCAGTCTAAACGAGGCATGTGGCACGAGGCTTAAGCCTATTCCTAAGTTTCATAGGGATAGTCAGTCTTTTCCACTACAGCAGGACACAAAAGCGTCAGCGCTACCCCAATCCTATGCAGATTCACCATTCCAGTCTTTGTTCACACCAAACTTGGACTTGCAAGATCCTTTGTTCAATAGCACTGGTGAATCTTCCTTCAATTTTTCCTTGGACAACCTAAATACGAAGGAATTACCTACCTCATTATTCAATGATGCGAATTTCGACATAAATTTAGCCCTTGGAAACTTGAGCAATGATCCCATCGAGAAAAACATCCAAAATCATGCTGATGTAGACTCTCTCGCAGGAGTCGTTAGCGAGGAATCAGCGTATGATCCTTTCAATCACGGTAATACCGATTTCAATTTCAATGAGTTTGTCAAATCTAGTTATTCAGCGTCCGAAAGTTCAAGAAACAACTCGGTTATGGATGGCAACAAGACAGCTTCCTCAGTTACTAGCTTCAATAGCCCGGCCATTCCAGAGAACGAAGAAAAAGAAGTTGTTCCAGCTCCTCCTTTGACGATGGAATGCTCTGAAATCTGGGACAGAATAACTGCGCATCCAAGGTACACTGAAATTGATATAGATGGCTTGTGTGCCGAGTTGAAGGCAAAGGCGAAATGTTCAGAGCAAGGGGTAGTTTTGAATGCTGATGATGTCAGCACTCTCATTGAGAGGTCTGCAAACAAGAGATAATTGACTTTTCTTTTCAATAGCTAATCGAGTAGTTTGGTGTTTGTCTTTAATCCGGGTTGCTCAAGGCTTATTCTTGTGTGTTCAGAAAACGTGATGCTCAATAAGTGCGAGTAGGACTATTCTTGTCGAATTGCCAAGACCTCAAAGCTACAGAAATTCTGCTTCATGGCGAAAATCTCAAGCTGTAGCGAGAAATGGAGCGGAAGAGTCTGAGCTGTCCTCCACAAGAAAACATGCGGCTTCGATGGTAACCTACGGGAGATTTCGAAATGGATGTTTTGTTCGCAGACATGTCGGAGGGCATTTTTGAAGCTGGTCGTATTATGTGCTGGGCACACCTATGCTCGCACCCAATCAATGAGAGGTGATTTTCTCGTTTTCCGAAGCAGGCCCAAGGCAATACAAGGTAGACCATTCCATCATGTCCACGTCTATTTTCCGTACCATTAAAAATATCTATGCCTCTGGATTAAAGAGAGCAGCCTGGCAAATACACGCCCACAACGATACCAAAAGAGGTTGGTTAGTGGGCACTGACGACTGGGGCAACAAGTTCTACGAGACTGATGCTCCTGAGGAAATCCACATGAGAACCAGATGGGTCGAATATGCCGACTGGGGTGTCGACATGTCCAAGGTTGAACCAGGCTGGCACTATTGGTTGGGTTATGGTACCAACACGCCACCAGACAGATTGCCAGTTGACCAGAGAGCCGTCAGAGCGTACCCGTTGCAAAAGCACAAAATGAACTTGACCGCCACCAGAGGGGCATACGTGCCATACAACACAGCTAAGGCTAAGTGCTCATCTTGGGAGCCTGTCGTTAGTGAAAGGGTTTAATTATTGTATTGTATATTAAAGAACAATTTGGTATATATTGTTTGCCTCCAGATGAGACAGCCAAGACTGGGAATATACTGAAGCTTGATAGTATTTATGTCTTCGGTACCGTTTCATTTGTAGTCAGCCAACTCTCAGTATGCCCGGGTGATGTGTGGAAGCTGTACAACTACGGAGCATGTGGCGTGTGCATGAACCTCAGAATTGTCTCTTACAAAGAGCTTCACTTATTTCCTTCAATATTTTCTGCTTTATGTCGGATTTGTCATACTCGCCTAAGGCTCAGATAATTTATGTCTGAGTAGCTTATGTTGGTACTCTTCACAAGGCAAGGCAAATTGGATCATCTAACCTCTCTATTCCAAGAATTCCCTGTCCAAAGACCCAAAGAAACAAGTGTGAATTATCCAAAATACAAGGTCAAATAGAAAATCCACAAGCAATGCCGACGGCGCTCTTACACAAACATGTTCTGTGGGTATCAAAGGTAATCCTAAGTACCCTGTATACCTCCGCGACCTCCGGTGGTCCCACTATACCTTTAAATCCAGTGCGAAATCAAGATGAGCTAATTTTCCACTCGAAACACTAATCATGGCACAAGACGACAGCCGCCCTTCCCTTGCAACCGATGCTGTACTCAAGCAATCTGAGCCCATCCCAGAAGACTTTGTCGAAGTTGCGGGGATCGACTACTCCAAGGATAATGCGTATGACATGAAGGCCACAGATTTAATCAAATCGATGAAAACTATGGGTTTTCAGGCATCTTCTGTCGGAACTGCCTGTGAGATTATCAACGAAATGAGCCTGTGGCGTGGAGAGCATATCGATAAAGTTTCTGAGCACGAGAAGACTGGTGAATTCGACAACCTGGGACACCAAAAGGCCACCATCTTTCTTGGTTTCACCTCAAACTTGATTTCCTCAGGAATCCGTGACACTTTGAGATACTTGGTTCAACATAAGAAAGTCAGTGCCATAGTAGCATCTGCAGGTGGAATTGAGGAGGATTTGATCAAGGTTTTGGCCCCCACGTACCTTGGCGAGTTCAGCCTTCCCGGCAAAAGCTTGAGAGACAAGGGTCTCAACCGAATCGGAAACTTGCTTGTTCCAAACGATAACTACTGTAAGTTCGAAGACTGGATTGTCCCAGTGTTGGACAAGATTTTGGAGGAGCAACAGGCAGAGGCCGAGAAGCTTGGCGCCGAAGCCTTGAACGCAGACTCTGAAGCAGTGTGGACTCCTTCGAGACTTATTGACCGCTTGGGCAAAGAAATCAACGACGAACTGTCTGTTCTCTACTGGGCTCACAAGAACCAGATTCCAGTGTTTTGCCCTGCAATCACGGACGGCTCCATTGGAGATATGCTCTTCTTCCATACTTACAAGGCGTCTCCACAAAGACTTCGCCTTGACATCGTGTCTGATATCCGCAGAATCAATGCTATGTCCATTGCTGCCTTCAAGGCAGGTATGATTATTTTGGGTGGTGGTTTGATCAAGCACCACATCTGCAATGCCTGTCTCATGAGGAACGGTGCTGACTGGGCAGTCTACATCAACACAGGCCAAGAATTCGATGGCTCAGACGCCGGAGCCAGGCCCGACGAGGCTGTTTCTTGGGGCAAGATCAAAGCGGAGGCTAAGAGTGTTAAGGTTTATGCCGATGTTACTGTGGTTTGGCCTTTGATCGTGGCCGCAACTTTCGCAGCCACAAGACCTGAATAAGGTCAAATGCGAGTCTACTATTTGTTATTGTGTAGAATGAATATCAATGTATATGAGTGCTACGAGCGGCTTCCCAATCACGAAACAATGGCCGAAGATCATGGAGATGCTAGTGGTGATGCGGATCGCAATCAGCCTGCGCATGCTGGCTTCGTTGCGGATCAGTGATACTTCTTATTCATTGGATACCTGATGGTATTTTGACCAGGTTAGTATGTTTTCACATACCCGCTTCTACGCCTTAAGAGCATGACAAGCCTGCTTATTGAACGGAACTAGAAAGGAAATGAAATAAGTACAGACCGGGGGCATCATTCATAATTCTGCTGGTCACGTGCGCATTCCTGGTTTTGCCGCAGCCACGGTACCGAGTGGCACGATAAGGTATCTGTTTAAATACCGCGAATCGGCACTGGGAAGCGAGCCCATTTCAAACGATCACTCTAAAGCACTTTCGATTACCAGAGAAGACAAAAACGAAAAACAGAAACGAAATACGTAAAAAGAAAACGAAAAAAAAAAAATACCATTCATCACTCAAGCATGTCTCGTTACGAAGAATTACTCAAGGCGCTCAACGACGTCTTGCAAGAATCCAACGAAGCAGGTAGTCCCGAACTTCGTGAGCAATTGATTGCCAAAATTAGCAAGCCAAGGCGCTCTAACTCAGCGTACGACGATGAGTACTTTAACTCGCATGCGGCAGAGTACATTGAGTTCACGTATGAGAACCCCACGATCTACCACGTGGTGGACCATTTTTCCTCCAAGTTGAAAAGAGCTGGCTTCACGTACCTCCCTGAGAAAAAGTCGTGGAGCAAGCTTGAGCCAGGCAAGTACTTTACGTACCGAAGTGGGTCGAGCTTGGCTGCTTTTGTCGTGGGTTCTGACTGGACTCCCGAAAAGGGCGTTGGTGCCATTGGATCGCATATTGATGCATTGACCGTTAGTTTGAAGCCCAGTTCCAACAAAAGCCAAACAGAGGGCTACGACTTGCTTGGTGTTGCTGCCTATGCAGGCACTTTGGAGCCTGTGTGGTGGGACAGAGACTTGGGAATTGGCGGGCGCTTGTTAGTGAAAGACCGCAAGACTGGTCGCATCGAGCAGAAGTTGGTCGATTCCACGCCCCACCCAATCGCCAAGATTCCTTCCTTGGCTCCCCACTTTGGTGCACCAGCCGTAGGCCCTTTTAACAAGGAGACGCAGGCTGTTCCAGTGATTGGGTTCTCTGGTACAGAAAAGGAAATCGAGCCTACCGAAGCAGAGAAGTCTGCACCTTTGTATGGGAGACATCCTTTGAAGTTGCTCAGATACATTGCTTCGAGTGCCGGTGTCGCTGTTGAAGACATCATGCAATGGGATCTCCAGTTATTTGACACACAAAAAGGAGTCAGAGGAGGCTTGGACAAGGAATTTGTCTTTGCCCCAAGAGTGGACGACAGAGTCTGCTCTTATGCAGCAATCTCGGCCTTGATTGAGTCTGTCGAGACAGGAACCATTGCTTCTGATGCTTTCTCTTTGGTTGCCTTGTTTGACAACGAGGAAATTGGGTCCGCAACAAGACAAGGTGCCAAGGGACAATTGATTGAATCTGTTGTGTCTCGTGTAATGGCTTCCGAGTATTACAGCCCCGACGCCTCTGACATTTCGGAGAAGTTGAAGGTTGTATACGCAAACACGATTGTTTTGTCCGCTGATGTCAATCATCTCGTTAACCCCAACTTTTCCAACGTGTACTTGGAGCACCACAAGCCAATTCCGAACAAGGGAATGACTATTTCGTTGGATCCAAACGGACATATGGCAACGGATTCGGTGGGCCTCGCATTGGTCGAGGAATTGGCCAAGAAGAACGGCGATGAATTGCAGTATTTCCAGATCAGAAATGACTCCCGCTCTGGAGGGACTATTGGACCCTCTATTTCCCTTCAGACTGGCGCAAGGACCATTGACTTGGGAATTCCTCAATTGTCCATGCACTCAATCAGGGCGACCCTCGGAGCCAAGGATATTGGTTTGGGCGCTAAGTTTTTTGCGGGATTTTTTGCCAACTGGAGAAAATCTTACGACAACTACAGTGATTTGTGAAGCTTTGGGAAGGATGATTTGACACACCCGGATGAGATGTCCAGAACAATCGAAAACGAACTGAATCGAAATGACATTGTAAGCTAGCTAGAGTTATTCAATTTCTTGAAAACAAAAATAAAATATGCCAAACTGACAATAAAGACAATCAGTAATGTATGGCTAATTTATCTTGCGGTGTTGCGGCCGAAGACGTGGGGCTGACCGCGCGGACAGCCCGCCTTACTGTTCCAGGCGGTTCAGGTCATAGACACGTCATGGTTCTGCATGTAAATCGAAACAGGATTTTCGAATCTCAGGCCGAATGGACTCATACGCCACATCACCGTTAGATTGTTGACAAATACCAAAAATGAGTATGTTTCGTAATTCTTGTTACACTGATTCCATCTGGGTATGATCCCTAATATGTAGATGCGAGCCACGTGAATAAAGCACTTGATGCACACCCTACGAACTGCGTTTGTTTAAACCCCGCTCCAAAACACAGAGACCGATATATGCAACAAGTCATCGGTATCACACAGTTATGCTCATCTGCAACTGACCGCTCTGGGATTGATTCTAAACTTTCGTACATGAATACTAACAAGAAAAGCGCCGCCTAAAAAGATGTCTTTGCAGGAGTTCTTCTCCGATGAGTGTATGTTTTTATTTCATTCTATTTTTTTTTTTCGCCGTGACTACGGCCTTAACTTCTGATTGCAACTTTGGACATCGATGTACTAACTAGTTCAAGCATATGGTGGCTCATGGGCTGACGAGGACTTTGACATTTCCTCGATCTCTGTTCCTATCGAAAAGAATAAAGGACTTGGCTATGGTGGAAATTCTCGTTATGGGGCAAGCTCCAGAAATCTCGGAGGAAGAGGTTCTTCTTTTCTTGATAACGGGCCTCCATATATTGTAAAACTCTCCAACATTCCTGTCACGAGCAACGACGCGTTCATTAATGATCTCTTTCGCAGTAGGTTCACGCCCTTGGTCAAGTTCAAGATTCTATTCGATCCTTTCTCTCAGCCCTTGGAACTGGGAATAGTTAAGAAAGTTGCTTTTGTTGAGTTGCCTTCCTTTGAAAGCCAAAATAAGGTCGCAAAGTGGCAAGATGTTGTGTACAAGGGATCCCGCAGAGTCACAATTGAGGTTGCAAACTTCAATGACTTCCAGCAGAGCATGCAATACAATCAAGAAAACAGCCAGGCCTTGTTACGCGTCGAACAAACGTTTCTATCATCTGGGGCTCGCCCAGGTCACATTAGTGAGGTTCATCCAGGAAGAGGGCAGTCCGGAATGGGGCGATCTCCTGGCGGCATGCCGTTGGATCAAATTCAACTTCCAGGTTCTAAGCACCCATTCGGGCCACAGCTAGGGAGTCGAAGATTGTCTAATACTGAGCAGCAACATACGGGAAGCGCCCATGAAGATGATCATTCTTTGGACGCACGCTCCAAACCCAAACCAAATCCGTTTGGTAGCGCAAAGCCTATTGACGTATTGGCTCGGCAACTCGAGATCGAGAAGAACTTGATCGTACTGAAACATACTACACACACCGCTCCATGGGTGGAAGGAGTGCATCAGCCACCTAAATCGACCCAGAAATCCTCAAACACGAAGAACCCATGGGGGACCACCAATTTGCATGGTCAGAGTTCTAATCAGACTGGTACCAAAACTAGCTTAGCGGATATTCTTAGCACTTCGAAACCAAAGGACCGCACCAAAAATCCGCGGGCAGGAAGTTCCAATTCTACTTCAAAGCCTGTCGCTAAGAAACCAACAATTTTGATGAAAAAACCAGCAGCGCTGCTTCCCGAGTCCCAAAATAATCTACAGAATACTTCCAAAACTTCGGAAGAAAGTGTGACGAATACAGGTACAAGTTTGTCCAACTTGTCAATAGATTCAGGAAATGGGAAGGAGTTGGTTTCAAAAGAAGACGGCACGGAGGATGCCACTGGCTTGAATCAAAGCAAATCACATACATCATTGGACACACACCTGAATCAGCATTCAGAAGAATCTCATCCTTTCGACGTTGACACAACTCCTGACACCAAAAAACACGTCAGCGAAAAGGAGCAGCTGTCTGAGGCGAAGAAACTGAGTGGCAGGAAGCGGTCCGAGAAAAGACTAGGCTCCACAAACACTCAAAAGGATCAAAGCCAGACCTCCTCAAAAACGCTTTCGGAGAGAAGACAACGAAGGGACTCCAATAGATTCTCTGAACGGTCTTCGAGCAAGGATGTTTTGGCTAGAGAAAGCGGACAGAGGAAAAGTACTGATTCTGCCCAATCCACTGACACTCAGAATGAATCATGCGATTTAAAGTGCAAGGACGGAACAAAAGAAAAGCGCCTTGATGAAACCATTCTGACGGAACCCTCTACTGGCACCGTCTCGAGACGAGTTGCAAGAAGGCCTAAAAGAAAATCGGAAGTATCAAAGAATATTCACCTTTCAGATGTTGTGGACTCAGTCCCAGGGTCAGGAGCACCAAAGAATGACGTTCCTCGGGAATCAAGTTCCGCACAAACAGAAGACCACCAAATACACCTGCGCGGGAAAGGTCGTGGGCGAGGAAGGACTAGAGGAGGTGATGGCGAAGGCAGAAGGAGGAGACGGGGCAGAGGAAGCAAAGAAGATGGCACCAAAGAGAGTGCATTTGAATCTGAACTGAAAAAATAGGAAATCTACTGAGAGATCAGCTGCTTTAAAAACGCATGTTTATTCTTATCAATGTACTTCTGACACTCAACATATGCGACATATACCCCCTTTGTAGATTTTACAATTCTTTGAGTATAAGTTCAGATGATGAAACTAGCATTTTGTAAATTTCGTATTAAAGGGATACAAGGTAAAGACTTAGTCGGTCAAAGCCTGAAGGTTTGCAAGGCCCTCCAATTTTGGACCGCACTTCCATGCTCTTGCATCAATCGCACGACAATAAAACATGTCGTTTATAAAATTCCGCTGTCTCTCAAGGAATTCTCGAGAATTGTCTCTTTGAGCGCAGTGAATACCAATTGAATGTTCGAAGTGTCAGTCGCTTGGGTGACATGAGGATAAATATTTAACCCAGGTCTGTTCACCTGAGTGAAACGCCACAAAATGTACTTCACAGCTTTATTGAGATTGTCTCCACCATTGTAGTCCGGAAAGTGGTTTTCGAGTGGCGAATTGGGTAGCTTGTTAGCGAAAACATCGATTTTGTTCAAAAATAAGACAACAGATGTTCTAGAGAACCAACGAGAGTTAACCACGGAGTCAAACAAAGTGAGCGACTCCTCTAGCCGGTTTTGAGAACTTTCTTCGAGCAAAACCTGGTCGTACTCCGAAAGGGCAACGCAGAATATGATCAAGGTTACATTATCGAAACAGTGAATCCACTTCTTCCGCTCAGATCTCTGTCCTCCGACATCGAACATGTGGATGTTTGAGTTCCCCATCTGGAAGCGAAAGTCGAATATTCCAGATGTCTTCTTTCTTGTTCTCAATATGTCCGCCTGGGAAGGAACGTAGTCTGCCTCAGAAATGCGGTCCATTGCCGACAAGAAGTAGTCGGAAGAGTCTATGAGATAAAACTTTGCCTGGTTGTGTTTTATGAAATCACGAACTCGCTGAGAGGAATAGATGGTGGCTATTTTTGATGCAATGTCAGGCTTGAAGGGCTCTTCGGCGTTTATTGAGTTCTCATAGTCCAAAATGGCTTGTAAATCTTCGTGTGCCAAGAATGGAGTCTTCTCCTGGGTCGTGTCGGCCGACGGGCGGGAACCCTCGGGGGCGACAAATTCTGGAGCCAAGTCAATAATGGCGTTTATGATGTTTTTGATACAATCCATCACATTTTTGTATACGAAAGGTCTGTAGTCGTATGCCTCTGCGTCAGAGAACCCGTCTTTATGAATGATTTTCATTTGCTTGACTATCGTGGATTTCCCACTCTCGCCAGAGCCTAACAAAAGGATCTTCACGTCTTTTTCATTTGTCTGAACCAAACTGGAGTTGTTTGCCTGCAAACTATTACCGTTTGTTGTCCCATTTTGCTCTAGATTACTCGACGATTCGGCATCTTTATGTGTTCCAGCGACCGCATTTGAGCCATTGGCTGAAGCTTTAGATTTAGTGCCATTGACCGAGTCATGCTTGGGGGTCTGAGATTTGAGGTGGGTATTTTGTTGGGCTCGCTTACTCAGCGTAGTACTTAGCGTGGTGCCTTCTGCGGTGGGATGCTCTTTGGAAGTGCAAGAGCCCATTCTGAACGGTCAGAAAATAATTGTGTAGCCCCTAAAGAATTGCTGTTGTGATTTACTGTCTGTGCCAAGAAAGCCTGGTAGGAAGATGTGGCACGTATTTTGTTGTTCTCTCAAGACTTCTCAAATGGTCAAAGCAATCTTTTGCCAGTGCTTCGATGTGGCTTGCGCAATCGCGAGATGCATATATGTCTGACAGAGGATTGGGCGGATTCCAGTGAGAGCGTCTCTCCCGCATACACTACATGCCATAGCTTTTGAGAAAGATGTCTGTAATTTGTTTTTAGCTTTGTTCTCGGGTCCACAAATGAGAACAAGCCACGAGAGAGCTTGGTAGGTTTACAAAGATGTCAGAGTGAACGAATATTTCCCAATTAACAGGTCACTCGGTGTAAAAATACCGCGGGTCGCTGGGCTTGGCATCTTTCGAATAGTGATGCAGAAGGTCCGCGCATCGAGCGGGGCAAGTCATGACTAGGTATTTGAATTGACATCGTACTATAGGTGTGAAGTCGGTGTATACTGCAGTAAATCTTTATCCATTTCCTCCAATTCTGCAGTATGTACATACTTGTATGAGTGTCCATTATTTATATAATGACCTTTTGTTTTGCTATTCCTCGCGTGCTGGATACTTTGGTGAGTACGCCCTATGATAAACTTAGACTTAAAGCGTAGAATAGGCGTTCTTTATTTTTTTTTTTTCATTCTTGTTATGTCGTAGCTAATGTTGGATTTGAGTAGGGGACATGAAAACGAAACTAGTTAATTCCCGTCGCATAATCTCTAGCTTTAAATTGAAATAAAGTATACGACTGCATCATTTTGCCTCCCCGCCCACACCTTTGTTATCGATGACATTCGGCTCCATCAGTTCCGGGTCATTGGCCTTCTCCATCTCAACTTCAGGTTCTTGTCTCTCTATGGTTTTTTCCTCGGTTGCTGTCGAACCCTCCGACCGCGTAACATCTACGTCGTCTTGGGTTGGCATAGTTTGGGATGTCTGTACAGCCTCATTTTCAGTGTTTACGACCTCAAGATTTGCATCTTGTGTTTGCTGAGGGGAGTCTTCTGAGACATTCACGGCTTTCTCAAAGGGAGTTGCAGACACTGAACGCGTCGTTATTGACGGGGAATCCAATTGAGTTGACTTTCCAAGACTCGGAGGAACTGAGCTTTCTATTTTTTTCGTGTGCTTTAGCTCCAGTTGTCTTTTTCTTTCATCTCTTCTTCTCTTTTTTGTTTCAAACTCGTGCCATTCACCGACTATACTCTCCATGAATTTCAATTCCTCTGGTTGAGGATCACTCTGGAAGTAAGGATGCATGAGCGCTTTCTCAGCAGTGATCCTTCTTCCTGGATCAAGCAGGAGCAACTTTTGGGCGAGGTCAAAACCATCGTCGGTCATTAGATTCTTAAAGTCCTTTTCGAATCTTGAGGTACGCTTGATCCGCGGCTTCAACATCTCGAACCATGGTAAGTTCTCAATGCCAGGCCAACTTTCTGCGGTAGGGGTGCCCATTACTTCATAAATTTTGTAAAGCTGGGAGATCTCTTCGGCACCTTGAAAAATGGCCGCTTTGGTATACAACTCGATCAAAAGACAGCCAACTCCCCAGATATCAACTTCTCGGCCATAGTCTGTTGATCCCATTAGCAACTCGGGTGGTCTATACCATATAGTAATGACTCTGTTTGTATAATCAGGGCTATCTCCATCTCTCAAAACTTTCATATTTCGAGCCAATCCAAAGTCCGCAATTTTGAGTATACCTTGAGAATTAAGCAAGATGTTAGAGCCTTTGATATCACGGTGAATTACACGCATTTTGTGGAGGTAATCAAGCCCCGTCATAAGCTGCTTGAATATCATTTTACGGTGACCTTCCGTTAGCTGCAAATCAGGGAGTGTCAAGAGGCCTGTGAGATCGTGGTTCAAGTAGTCAAAGATCATTGTTATTTGGTTGTACTCGACCATCATTTCCAATAGCCCGACGATATTCGGGTGGTCGAAACTCTGCAACAATTTGATTTCCCTCATGGCAGTAATGGGGAAACCCTCTCTTTCGGTTTCAAGCCTGAGCTTCTTGATAGCCACGCTTTCTCCAGTTACTTCATTTCGAGCTTTGTAGACTTTGCCATATGTTCCCTCGCCGACCTGCTGGACTCGTTTGTATAGATCAGAGGTTCTAACGCTGTAAACCAGATAGATCTGGTTTGGCCTAAGCCTATGTTTTCTGGGGCCGGGGCCTGGAACCGGTCCATTGACAGGAGGTCTATCCCTAGTCTTTTTTTCGAACGCGTGAACTACTCGTGGCCCGCGGGGAGGTTCAGCTAGATTCGGATCTGCTCTTTTCGGAACAGGTTCTAGTGCTTCTGAGCGGGGGCCGCTGTTCATGTCCCTGGAGACAAACTCTCTTCTTTTGTTCGGCCCGTCTGTGGCTCTTCCTTGCCTGGCTTCGGGATATGACCGTTTTTGACTATTGATAGGGCCATCCCTATAACCGGAAGGTCCACTTGGCCTCTCCATATCACGGGAAGTGCCGCCTCCTTGGCTGCTTGATGTATATCTTTCCCCTCCATAAGGCCGATAATGATCCCTTTCTCTGTACCGTGGAGGCCCGGGTGTTGCACGATGATGAGGCCTAGACCCTGGCCCTCCCCAGGTATTTCTAGACAGTGGAGGGGGTGCTCCTCGTGGACCTTTTGGGCCCGAAGGCGGCCTATATCTATCGGACATTATCAGATTCGAAAAGCCACACTCCTTGAAAGAACAGTTTTGCCAACTACCGAGGGTAAAGTGCTCACAGGATATTCACGAAACGGCACAGGAACTGTGTTGGCCTGTGCTTCAACGAACTTTTGAGGTGCACTGAAGCTCGTGAGTGCGAGACCTGCAGAACCCTCTGCACTAGCGCATGTTACCCGGATGGGCATTCGAACAAGCCAGCAGTCTGCTTTAAATCCCATTCATGAAATTCGACTTGACGCAACGATAACAGATAAAAGCAGTGGACTTTGGCTGGCTATCCTGCTTACCTCAAACGTGATCAGCTAGTAAAGAACGTAAAAGTGTGAAGTTGATGTCCTCAGTCAATGAGATAGCCATTCGCGAAACGGACTAATAATCTGGACAAGGCGTGTTTTGAAGAATGAGAGATCACAGAGAAATAAAGTAGAAAGAGTAATTTAGGGCAGTGGCAAACAAGCGATTGCTGCTGCAAGTTTCGGAGTCGAGGTTTTGAAAAAAACCCAGACTTGCTGAACTGAACTCAAGACTTGCCAATCCTGAGACATGGCCGAATACTAAGGCAAACAGGCCCCAACGCTATTCACAGAAACCAGTTGGCTCGCCCCTCTCAATTTCTGCAAAGCACTCAAATAAGAAATTGATTGGGCGACGCTGAGTTCGGCGTGGGAATCTTATCGCAAAAAATGCTTTTCATCACACGCACAGTATGTCGGCTCGAACAGAGGAGAGTAGTACTGTTCAGTCGCCTATATCTGCGATTGTAGACAAGTTTGGTAGCCCTGCGCAGAACCGATAGACTGACAGATCACTTGTGATTTTTCCCGATCCATTCTTCAGACCCAGTAGTCAATTGACCGACAGTTAACCCGATCTCATTTTATTACAAATGCTCATAGTCTACCTGAAATGTCACTTCCGGCAAACAACCACGTCATTATGAATGAATATAAAAGCTTCAAAAAACAGACTGATATAATTTCACATCGACAATTCAACAAACTCAGTTGTGGAAGAATAGAGCTACCATAGATGGCCCAAGTCAATTCCAGATGCCTCGATATCTGGACAACGCGGGGCCTGCAGGGCCAGCCACCATATCACAACTTGTACCACTCAAGTGACCAAGCAAACTCCCCGTTATATCTTCCCGCATAAATCCTGAATTACACGTTCTGTATTGACGAAAATGGTATGTGCTAGGACGAATCTTTTGCTCCGGCTTGTATTACCGGCTTTACTAGCAAGCAAACATCGAATTTCCTTATTTACTAACGCCAGGGTGCCATCAGTAAATCTCTCCACATTGGGTTCGACTTGATAGTCGTTTCCTCACTTTTAGCTGGTATTCGCAGAAACACCGGTCTAACGTACGTATAGCTCACATTTTTGAAGCATTTACATAATATCATACTGATATCCAGCCCCGACTTCGACAGCCTCGGAAATGAGTCTGCGATTTACTACGGCAAGAAATACTTAGATGTTGGAGAAAAAGCGTTTGATTTTTCTTCAGCGTGGCTTGGTTCGTCGGGCTACTTCAAACGTAATTGAATAGAGTAAATATGGTATAAATTAAACGGGTGTCGAGTCAAAAATTCTATTCAACAGTAACAGACTTGGCCAAGTTACGAGGGAAGTCCACATCAATGCCTCTGTTAACGGCCAACCAGTAACTCATTAATTGCAAAGGAATGACATTCAATAATCCTTGCAAACAGTCGACTGTCAATGGAACGTGTAAAGTCGCATAGGCCTTTCCCTTCATTACATCGTCCCCCTCGTTGCAGATAACAATGGGTCTTCCATCTCTGGCGGTGACTTGTTCAATGGCTGACATGACCTTGGGGAACAAAGAGTCCCTGGTGGCAAAAGCGATGATTGGCAACTCCTTGTCAACCAAGGCCAAGACACCATGCTTCAACTCACCAGCCAAGACACCCTCGGAATGCATGTACGAGATCTCCTTGATCTTCAAAGCACCCTCCAAAGCGGTAGCGAATTGGTAGCCACGTCCCAACAACAACAAGGACTTTTGCTCGTTCAAGAACTCGTCACAGAGTTGCTTGATTTTGTCTTCTAAGAGCAAAACCTTTCTGATCTGCTCAGGGATTTTCTTCAAGCCTTCGATAATCTCAATGTGACGATCTCTCTTGGAGATGGAGTCATTGGACAAGGAAAGGGCAATCATCACCAAGGCGATGTATTGCGAAGTGTAAGCTTTAGTAGAAGCCACACCAATCTCTGGACCCGCGTTAATGTGAACACCACAGTGCGTTTGTCTGGACATGGAAGATCCAACGGAATTGACAACACCCACAGTCAAAGCACCTCTTTCCAAACAGTACTGCAATGCCATCATCGAATCTGCGGTTTCACCCGACTGTGAAACAAAGACACAGGTGTCGTCTCTGAAAACAGGCGACTTCCTATCCAAGAAGTCAGAAGCCAATTCGACAGTCACGGGGATGTCGGTCAATTCCTCGAAAATTGATCTGGTGGCCAAGCATGAGTGATAGGACGTACCGCAAGCAATCATTATGATTCTTCTGCATCTTCTAATAGTAGGCAACCAAGCCTTCAAGCCTCCGAGGTTGATGGAGTTGCCCTCGAAATCAATTCTTCCTCTCATGGTGTTGAAGGTCGAGTCAGGTTGCTCAAAGATCTCTTTTTGCATGAAGTGCTTGTAGGGGCCCTTCATGATTTCGTTCAACTCCATTTCCAACGTCTGAATCTGTCTCTGGGTAGGTTCGTTGGCAGAAATTTTCTTGGCACGGTGGATGTGCAATTCACCATCGTAGATATGGGCGATATCGTCATCTTCCAAAAACAAAACCTTCTTGGTGTGCTGAATAACAGACGCTGGGTCGGAAGAGAAGAAGAATTCAGCAGGGGAAGGAATTCCGTCCTCGGCGAAGAAAGCTCTGGACTGCGAAGTCCTCAAGTTTCCCTCAGGGTTGTTGATGGTCAAGTTATCTTGGTTCTCTGGAAACTCTACGTCCACAAAGTCCACCTTCAACTTTCTCTCGGTCTTAACTCCCACCAACAAAGGGGAACCCTTTCTGGTTCCACAAACCTCGCCTGGGAAATGGGACGACTTCACCAACAAGCCGTATGAGCCTTCCAACTCATACAAGACCTGCTTTGTCAACTCGTTCAAATCCAATTCGTAACCTGCCTTGACGTTGGTGTCGTGAATGTGCTTGAACAATTTGGCAATGCACTCGGTGTCTGTTTCGGACTCAAATTGGTAGCCTTTGGAGAGCAACAAAGTCTTCAATTCCCTGTAGTTGGTGATAATACCATTGTGTACGATCATGAACTCACCAGTGGGGTCGGAACGATGTGGGTGACAATTCGAGTACTCGGGCTGGCCATGAGTGGCCCATCTGGTGTGAGCAATTCCAACATGGTTGTCAAAAACCTGCGATCTGTCAACATTCTGCTTTTCGATTTCTTCCTTCAAAATCTTGACCTTTCCTGGGGTCTTGATGATCAAAGAAGTTCCCTTCTCTTGGCCATCAACGGCTATACCAGTCGAGTCATAGCCTCTGTACTCCAATCTCGAGAGGCCCTCAATAAGATTGTCGATGATTTCACCTCTGGTTTTATCCACCAAGAAGTTTACGTAGCCAAAAATACCACTAGTTTGTTAGTATCACAACGTCAGCCGACATAAAATGTGGGAGATCACCCGCTAGAGTTATACATACCACATAGTGATCTATTCAATAACCGTAGGGTTGGACTTAGTGTGAGAGGCAGGTTTCGTAAAAAGAAAAAAAGATTTGGTTCCGAAGTCTGGGAGACCTGATTCTGATTCAATTATATATCTTCTAGTTTTTTTCCTTCTCTTCAACCGACAAAATATATTTAGAAACATGACATGTGAGGAAAAAATGTCTCTATAGCGGACGCCTAATATACATCGCCGCCCGAGGGAAAGTGGAAACACGTTTTTTACATTGAACAGACCCAATAGTGGTGCACTTGCTCCTTCCGTTCAGATATCCCGATTAGATGATATGAACAAGTCTCTGCTAAAAATCAGTCCTAATTTGGTGAATTATGTTGACCTGCTATCTTTTGTTTTTGACATTCTTAACTCGAACCCTGGGCGCGAGAGCCTAAGAGCGTAGGGAGAGCCGGTGGCGTCGTGTGTTTGAGGCACAAATGCGCCACTTCTTCTTGCCGTCTTTTTATGCGTCCTTCTACGATTGCACCCCCAAAAGAATTTTGTGCTGTTCATCTCGATCACTCGCTTTGCAAATCATCCTATGGAACGATGTATACCAGATTGTACTCGGGCATAATCAGATTCTGATGGCCGCGGACGCAGGACCACTTCCGAAACAATGTCGCGCCCCAGAGCAGGTGCAGTAAAAGCAGAGAAGAAGTATTTGTCGCGCTAGGGTATGAATAACTGACTTGGCTTGAGACAGTTCATGATCACCAGTTTCCCAGATGACTTGGCAGTTATCCGTTTGGCGTTTGGATCAAAGTGGCACTCCAACAAAGCTTGCTGATATTTCTGCGACGAGTCCTGTTTCAGTCCGCTCAACTTCAATTTCTGTGGATCCATCACCCAGATCACTTATACTTCCCATTCGGGACAAAGAGTAAATACGGACCGAGATTAAGTCGCTAGATGGAAGCGAAAGAATACCTGAGGCAGGCGAGCTTTCGATCCGTTGTGCAGACTTCCAAACCGATCTTACTTATATAAGTGCTGGAGTGTCACTGTCCTGATCGTGTTGAACAAGTCTACGTTTGTAGTTCTATATCCTTCGGTGGTCTCAGCCTCGTTTATGGGACGGGGAACGCGAGAAAATACCAGGCCGACGCGTAAGAGACCGGTGGACCAATACGAAAAAACATTTTTAAAAAAATGTCTTACTATTCATGACGTTCGAATCTTCCTTGCCCAATGCTCGAAATGATAATGGCAAATGATTTTTTGTTTTGCCATCGATGGCTGCTTTGTGGCTAGATGGGCTGAGAGGGCTGAGAGGGCTGAGCCCTGGCGCTAAGACGCCGGCACTGCGCGCGTTCAGAGTCTTGGGGCCACTAGGGCCTGGCAGGCGCCGTTCGCCCCCAGCTGTGCGAGAGGACATCCTATTGGCCCTGCGAGTCTTGGGAACATTAATTTGCATCATATGGGTTTTTTCAGTGGCGATGACTTCCAATCATTCCAAATCCTGACATAAAACGTTCATGGTTTTCTCACAAATTAACAAAGCGGAATTCCCTTTTAATGACAAAAAAAAAAGGGAAAAGCTAAAATTTTGGGTGTGGGCTCTTCTTGCCGCTGATCTGAAATAATGCACCGATGCACCAATCAAGAAATCTAATAAAAAAGAAGATTGGGCTGAAAACTAATAGTGACGCTGTGCCAGAGTCACAAAGCAAGAGCCGAATGGTCAGAGAAACCCCCAGTTTTTTTCCGGTTGCAGGTGCTCTACATATTCTCTTTCCCGGGCACCTCGGCACGGGACTGCCATCGCACTATACAGAATGCACCTCATTCGTCATTTGTAGGACACTGGTATCGCTCAGACATCCTCATGTTTCGACCTAAAACCACACACTTTCGTGTGGTTTGTCCGTCCCTTTTCAAATCCACTGGGAACCAATGTGCATACAGGCATTTTTCACAGCAGATTCCAGACGTGCTGGTGGTCACACCCGTTGCTGGCAAGAAAAAGCTGCCGAAGCTGGTTCTCCAGACTTTGCGCAGAACAAACCAGAAGGAGAACGTGGCCACAAATTCGGTCATATCCTCTCTTCTATCAAAATACAACAATAGGCAGGTTGATCCAAGCGATCTCAAGAAGTACGTGAAGCCTGTGACTTCGATCACCATGGGAGAAACCATTGACTTGGTGAGAGCCAGTGAGATTTTACAGCAGAACGGACTTCATCACAGTGTCCTCGTGGACGAGGAAATCATCAATTGGCGTGTGACCCTCGACAACGATCAGCATGATTTGATGGTTCTTGCCAACGGAACCTTGGTGGGCTGGGGCCTAACAGAAGAGCAAATGGTGCGAGCATATGTGCCCACGCTTAAAGGGTCCGTGGGCGTAATCCACGAGCATGAAAGCGAGGAAATGGATTACGTAGAGATCGATGTCGGAGCCCTCGATGAAGAGGGCTCCTTCATGCAAGGAGATGTATTGGTCATTCAGGGACGGTCTACTGAGAAAAAACAGCTTGAGATGGCTGCGTTCGCCATGGGTCTTTCGAGATCCACCCGGCTTTCGGTCCTAGAGGAAATCTTGGAGAAACACATCCAGATCACTAAAAAAAACAGCGAAACATTGAGCGGTGGGTTGAAATTGACATCAAACGAAGCCGATGTGTTGCGGCTCACGGGCAATCTTTTTCTTCTCCGCGGAAAACTCAACCTATACTCGGAGCTCATCGAAACACCCGACCTCTACTGGACCGAGCCAACATTAGAAAAGATTTACGAGGCCGTGAGTCGCCGCTTAGACATTCAGCCCAGAATCACCATTATGAACCGTAAATTGGATTACGTCACTGAGGAACAGCGTGCACTCCTCAGTGTGTTGAATGAGAAGAAGGGCACGCGTTTGGAATGGATCATCATTATTCTTATCATGGTGGAGGTGGGCTTCGAGACTGTACATTTTGTGGAGAAATACTGGGACCGCGACTCACACACAGAGTAGCGGGCCTGTCTCCGAAAATGACTTGCTCAGCCTGACCGCGCGAGAAATCTATGTCCAATCACACGCAAGCACGGTTCGGCGCGCAATGTGAGTGCGAACAGAGTCATCCGAATAGCGAAAGAACATATCCACGGAACCTGTCCCAAGGCCTGGAAATTCACAAGGCGAACTAGCTAGAGAAAATGGGGGCAGCAGTGGAGACCAATCGGCGGAAGGGCGTCAGATCACGTGCCTGTCATCATGAGATAAGGGTTTCTTATTGCTTACTTGTTTTGAATGCTTTTTCTCGGCCCACGCGAAATTGCCCCCCGGGCTTGATGCGGCAATTCGGTATCTGGCACAGGTTGACTGTCTGAGAATGCCAACTTGCAAGAGTGATCCAACCATGCATATTATTTCTTTCTGATTATATTCCCGGTTCCATCAAAATATTCCTGGTGGAATTGGAGGCACGCCTCATTTCCATTCTCTAATGCACGAGACTTTTGTACGTTTAGGCAATCCCAGAAAACCATATAGGTGCGAAGTAAAAATTCATGCGAAACGGTGTGCTATTTGCCCTGCACACCGGCTGATCATATCTTTAATCTCCGTCGAATAGGCGGTCTCGCGGTACTGCATATAGCTGTCGGAACTCGTCCAGGGCGAAGGATGTATTCTGCTCCTCCTGCGCATGTGCGTTGCTTGCAGGCATCTCGCCATCACCGCCCGATGCTTCCTATCGCAAATCATGGGTTAATTACTTTATATATGCACACAGGTCCGGAGCCTTTTTTTTTGTTCAATCAGGTTACGACTTTAAGGCATTCGTACCAAAATTGTTCTTGCTGAGGCGTCTTCTGGAAACCAGTCCTACAGCATATTTTCCATACCGTTAACGTTTGTTAATAAACGCATCACATCAATTTCATTTCACATTCGGGGATCCCAATAAAAAGCCCACCCGCAATGATACCCTCCAGAAGAGAGCTCTTCACAGAAAATGATGACTACGATCCCAGTTACGTTTTGCTTTTTACGATAGCATCGTCGGTCATTTGGATCATGGTCCCCGGTTTGGCCTTTCTCTACTCAGGTTTAGCTCGAAGAAAATCTGCTCTATCCATGATTTGGATAGTTTTCGGATCTTCGTTTGTCGGAATATTTCAATGGTACTTTTGGGGATACTCGCTCGCGTTCTCACCCTCAAACAATAATTTTATTGGAGATTTGAACTGGTTTGGTTTCAAAGATATCATAGGTGAAAATGGCTCAGGGAACCCTTACCCAAATATTGCATTTGCCATTTTCCAGATGCAGTTCTTGTTGGTGACTCTAGCCATCATGGCCGGAGGCTTGGTGGCAGAGCGCGGCCGTTTCGTCCCTGCCCTCGTCTTTCTCTTTTTGTGGGCCACTGTGGTCTATTCGCCTGTCGTCTACTGGATTTGGGGTGGGGGTTGGGCCTCTTCGTGGCGTGGGGGTGTACTCGACTATGCCGGTGGAGGACCTGTTGAGATTTTGTCCGGAGTGTCGACTTTTGTCTACTCCGCCTTCTTAGGCAGAAGAAATGAAAACCTCATGATCAACTACAGGCCACACAACATCTCGACGATTTTCTTGGGAACATCCTTGTTGTATTTCGGATGGCTTTTCTTCAACGGGTTTTCCTGCGCGAACGCATCGGTCAAAGTACCGTACTCCATGCTCAACACCCATCTTTCCGGGGCTTTCGGTGCCATTACCTGGTGTCTTTTGGATTTCCGTTTGGAAGGGAAATGGTCGATGGTGGGCTTGTGTTCCGGGTGCATTTCCGGGTTGGTCGCTGCCACCCCAGCCTCTGGTTTCATTCCGCTCTGGGCATCTGTCATTCTTGGTGTTGTTGCCGGTATTGTCTGTAACTTCCTGACACAGTTGAAGTACTTGTGTCGTGTTGATGACTCACTCGATGTGTTGGCCGAGCACGGTATCGCCGGTATGATCGGGTTGATTTTCAACGGTATTTTTGGCTCTTCAACTGTGGCTGGATACGACAATGTGACCGACCACGCCGGTGGCTGGCTCGACCGCAACTGGAAGCAGTTGTACATCCAAATTGTCTACATCTTGGCAACGACTGCGTACTCTGGCGGTGTCACGGCAGTTTTGTGCTTTGTGATGAACAAAATCCCAGGATTGCAGTTAAGAGTCGATTACGATGCTGAGGAAATGGGTGTCGACGAGGACCAAATTGGTGAATTCGCTTACGACTACGTCGAGGTGAGAAGAGATTTCCTAGATTGGGGTTTGCCTCTGAGCGCGCCAAACGAAACTAGCTCTGCTCCACCTGAGCCACAAGAGTTTTTGTCGGCAGTGGAGGCAGAGTCTTCGGAGGGACGTTCGGTGGCAGCCTCGGAAAAACAGGACTAGTCGGATTTCTACAAGTCCACCATGTCAGTATTGACACGCTTTACGATAAACAGAAGACTACTGCATACATGACCAGCATGTTTCCATAAGAATAGCGAAACTGCAGATGACGGACTGATAAGAAGCAGACCCATTCGCCGGGTCACGTTTTGCCTCCCTCTCGCTCCAGGCACGTGAGCAGCGCGACTCGCTCCTCCGAAATCCGCTGGGCCTGAGCGGACCTTGCCGGAACCGGCGGTCAGTATGCATTCTGTGGGCACGTGACTTTCCTATCTCGCCGCAGTCTGGTGCTACGGCTGTCGTGTAAGACTCTGCGTGACGGGAGTTTGGCACGATTTTTTTTTTGCTTCTTGAGGGCTTGGCTCAAACTTACATACATTATTTCGGAATCTACGATTACTTCACTTCGGAACATATCTCTTGTCAGAGTCGGTGGCGGATTGCTTTTTCTCATTCCCGATCCATCTTGCAAGCTGCGCCGGACTTGAAGCGCGCAAGGTACTAGGCCAAACAGGCGGGCAACCTCCGCTGGTGCGAGTGAGACTATCCTGGATGCAGTCCCCCGGCTCGAAAAAAGAAAAAAAAAAGTCTGACTCAGAGACTTATAAGTTGAAAAAACTTTCCACTAATAAATACGAAGACCCCACTGCCAGTTTTCAGCCTCGCCCCGAAACAAAATCTAGATTTTTCCGTGTTCTCAACCAACACTCATATATTCATAGAATTGCAAATATGCTCCGCGGCATAAGATCAAACCCAGCAGCCTTTGCTGCTCGTCTGAAGCCAGTTGCAATCGCCTTTGCCAGACTGGCCAGATTAATCAGCACAACCAAAAGCAAAAAGGCCGTCAACAGCCATACTTCGCTGGAAAACAGAAGACCACAGCCAGCTCCTTCTTTTGACCAGGGACCTGAGATTGCCAAAAAGCCAACGGCGCAAGCCAATGACATGGATGACTCTTTCATTGGCTTGACTGGTGGTGAGATTTTCCATGAGATGATGTTGAGACACCAGGTCGACACTGTTTTTGGATACGCCGGTGGCGCCATTTTACCGGTTTTCGATGCCATTTACAACTCGGACAAATTCAAGTTTGTGTTGCCAAGACACGAGCAAGGTGCCGGACATATGGCAGAAGGCTATGCTAGAGCCACGGGTAAGCCCGGCGTTGTATTGGTCACCTCCGGTCCAGGTGCCACCAATGTTGTCACTCCTATGCAAGACGCCTTGATGGATGGTGTGCCTTTGGTTGTTTTCACTGGACAGGTGGTCACCACGTCCATTGGTACGGACGCTTTCCAGGAAGCCGATGTCATTGGCATTTCCAGACCTTGTACCAAATGGAACGTGATGGTCAAGAATGTGGCTGAACTTCCAAAGAGAATCAACGAGGCTTTCGAGATCGCCACCTCCGGCAGACCAGGCCCCGTTTTGGTTGATTTGCCCAAAGACGTCACTGCTTCCATCTTGAGAGAAGCCATTCCAATCAACACCACCTTGCCATCCAACGCGTTGTCTCAAATCACGAAACGCTTCACTGCCAAGTTCACCACGGAGGCCATTGAGCGCTCCGCCAACCTCCTTAATAAGGCCAAGAAGCCTGTGCTCTATGTTGGAGCTGGTATTCTCAACAGCCCAAAAGGCCCCGAGTTGCTCAAAGAGTTGGCCGACAAGGCGAACATTCCCGTCACCACCACCATTCAAGGTTTGGGTGCCTTCGACCAGAAGGATGAGAAGTCCTTGGACTTCTTGGGTATGCACGGAAGCGCTGCTGCCAATACTGCCATGCAAAACGCCGACTTGATCATCGCTCTCGGAGCGAGATTCGATGACAGAGTCACGGGTAACGTTAGCTTGTTTGCGCCTGCTGCCAAGCTTGCCGCCGAGCAGGGCAAGGGTGGTATTATCCACTTCGAGATCAGTCCCAAAAACATCAACAAGGTCGTTGAGGCCACCGAGGCTGTCGAGGGTGATGTCACCCGCAACTTGGCTTCTTTCATTCCATTAGTCAAGGAGGTGAAGGAGAGAAAAGAGTGGATGGGCCAAATTAAGGCCTGGAAGGAGCAGTACCCATACAGCTACATGTTGGAGACCCCAGGCTCGCGCATCAAGCCCCAGACCTTGATCAGAGAAATCTCGGACCAATCACAGACTTACGACAAAGAAGTCATCGTTACAACTGGTGTCGGCCAGCACCAAATGTGGGCCGCTCAACACTTTTTGTGGAGAAAGCCAAGAACTTTCATCACTTCCGGTGGCTTGGGAACCATGGGCTACGGATTGCCTGCTGCGATTGGAGCCCAGATCGGTAAACCAGATGCGTTCGTCATCGACATTGATGGAGATGCTTCCTTCAACATGACCCTCATGGAGTTGTCGTCTGCAGTGCAGGCAAACGCCCCTGTCAAGATATGTGTCTTGAACAATGAAGAGCAAGGTATGGTCACTCAATGGCAGTCTCTCTTCTACGATCACAGATACTCGCACACTCATCAATCCAATCCTGACTTCATGAAGTTGGCAGAGGCAATGGGTGTTAAGGGTATCAGAGTTTCCAAGCAAGAGGAAATGAAGGCCGGCGTCAAGGAGTTCTTGGACTGCACAGGCCCGGTCTTGATGGAGGTTGTTGTTGAGAAGAAGGTGCCTGTTTTGCCAATGGTTCCCGGTGGTAAGGCTTTGGACGACTTCATTGTCTACGATGCTGAGGTTGAGAGACAAGAGAAGGAGTTGAGACGCGAGAGAACCGGTGGTAAGCATTAAAGAATGACATTGGGGGAGGTGCTTTGTTTCCGTGGGTAGAGATCATAGTTTTTGGACGTGCGTGCGCGACCGTGTATTGTAAATCGGCCATTCCCACTTAAAGTCGCCTGCGGAAGGATCCAGCAAAAAATAAAAATGAATTTGCAGAAGTATTGTAAGAAATTTGTTTTCTCTCCATTGGTTGGCTGGCTCTCATTGCCATCTAGTAGGTTATCAGGATAACCGCGCGTGTTTATGGAAGGTATCATATATATGTACTGCACATACACATCCCCCCACAGTCAGGCGCTCCTCCGGAAAACCGCGGGCGTCTTCTGGGGTAGATGCGAACGTTTATAAATGCCCTTCCGCTTCCCCGGGAATTCTGGAACATCTCACCACTATTGATTGAATAATTAGCGTCCAACAAGATATTCCACACACAATCGACTAATAATTTCCGGAACAAATTTAGCCCCATCCTGCTTACAATCTGCTGAAGGGACCGACTCTTTTTATTCTATTTGCTGGTCTATATATGGACGTCATCGATGCCTCAGGCGTTCGAGCTATTCCCACTCTTTAAGTCAACAAGAAACTCAAATTTAATTGACAAAACCGCTACTAGAAATGGCCAATTCCAACGCAAGGTTCATAAATACAGAAATGGGAGTGAGGGCATCGCAAGCCTGTGACCGGTGTCGGATAAAGAAAACAAGATGCGATGGAGGAAACCCATGTTCGAAATGTGCGTCGGTGGGTTTTCTGTGCACCGTGTCCGACAAGCTAGCTCGAAGGTCGTTTCCAAAAGGATATACTGTCAACTTAGAAAACAGAATCAAAGAGCTCGAAAAGGAAATAAAACTGCTCAAATCGCAAACGAGCTCGAACGGAGTGAAATCCGAAAACCCGGGAGTCGAACCCACGCCGAATCCTGAGATCCACAAAACAAAAGATGCAGAAAATGGAACAGCAATTGGTGAACCGCCCGCAGTTATTGTGAAGAATCAAAACCATCTGATCCAAATCAATAATCCAATCGATCAGATCTTCAATCTCGATGAAAACGGCATTATCATTGGTAATGACAACTTGAACTTTGAGTCACAATTCAACCATCTTCTTATCAATTTGAAGCTCCCTTTTCTCAAAATCACCAATTCTCATAACTATCTACAAGATGATCCGAACACCTACTTATTCCATCGTTCTTACAAGAACTACAACAACTATCATAACAAAGACTTAGGGGTCATCTATAACCCTTTAACTATGAAAGGACTGCTTCGAAACTCTGGTCCAGGTAGTGAAGAGCTTCCCACCGATGTTTATGACCTATTCATTAAGCTTGTAAGCAATTTCAAAAAGTTATTCAGCTCCAAAAAAGAGCTAGACCATCAAATCGTCCAATACTTCCTCAATTATAACACATTTATCCCTATTTTTGAATACGAGGTGTTCATGCAAGGATATGATGCTTTCCACACAATGTACCCATTCATGTTTACGTACGATGATGCGACTATCAACGGCTTCAACTTGTCCTCAAACGACTATCAGGTTGTCAACGAGTATCTCGTCCTTGTGATCCAGATATATGCCATGATTCTGATGAACGATCCCTCCCTCAATCTTAATTTATTGCTCAACCACAAATCTCCAAATTATACTTTTCGTCAAGGAAGAATGGAGAAAAAAAATTTGGTGAGCTCGCTTTACGACTTTCTTCCTTATTTGAATGTATTTCATGTCTCCGTCAATCAACTACACACATACTTGTTGTTTCTTTACTACTCGCTTATCACAAACAATAAGGAGAAATCTTTGGTTTTATCTTCACTTATCAACGCTTTCATTGGAATCTTGGGTGTTAACCTTAATTGTGACAACTTGTTTTTCAGTGATTTGAGCCTCACTTTATCTCAAAGACGCGATCGAGTCAAAGTCTTTTGGTCTTTTAAAATATTGCTCAAGTGTTTTAACTTGAAGTTTGGTTTCAAGCCAACAATCAATACAACGGTAATTAATCCAGTCACCATTGATCGATATTTCAAGCTAACTCCCGAAAAGCTCAGTCTGTTAGTCACTCCAAATACTGATGGGAATATAGACAGTTTGTTCGAAACTCTTCTAGCCCCTAGTATTGAGTTTTTGAATTTGATGAATATTGTCATTCCATCTTCATTTTCCCCAAATTACTATGAGTATTTGAAGCAAGATCGACATGGAGGTGAAGCTCAAAATCCCGCCGCAGCAGCTAAGAAAGGGCATACCAGCCACCTTGACTGGATTCTAAATGATGATGATGGAGATGGCAATGACGGAAACCTTAATTATAATTACAACCAGTTTTTGTCGATTGATAAAAACCTCTCCAATTGGAGGTATGCTCTCCAAGATAAGAAATTGAACATACAGCCTTTGGAAAAGGTAATTGGCTTGTCAATGCTATCAAAATTCGAGGATTCCTCGCTTTATTACAGAATTTCTTTCGACGGGGGCAATATGTACCAAAACTTTGGAATTTCTCAAGAAGGGCTACATCACTATGTCAACACTGGCATACCTGATGTTCATTCTGCAATACAATTGATCAAAATGCAGTTGCACTTTCATTACCTCATGATTAGGTCTATGAATTACTTGAACTTTGTGATAGAACACGAACTAGCCTCAGGCTACTATTTGAAAATTGCGAGTATCTCCAGAGAAGTCCTTGCATTCTTCTTGATCATTTTTCAACATGTGGGGCACTCACATACCGAAGTTCCTGATGCTCTCGAGAGCATAAATGAGATGAAAAATGTTTACGATCCTTTTCCTTCCACATTTGATATCGATGAGGAAGGTTTGATTATCAATGACTTTTCGGCAAGACGGAGAAGAAAAGATTCAGGCTCGAAAGTTCGATTTCCGAGTAAAGCCATACCGAGCTCCCCTTTCAACCCCATCCTAAACGGTTTATCTTTGACAATGATTAATTTCAAAAAAATCATCGTACTCCAAATGTTATATCTTCTTATTTGCAACTTAAAGATTGCAAAGAAGGGAGGCAGCATGAGTGGCGATACTTTACAGATTTTGAGCGACAGTATATCTCTCTTTATCAAAATCTTCATCAATTATAAACCTCATCCAAGCAACCTGCTGACTATAAACAAAAAGGAAGAGTTTCTGCTTTTCAAACGGATCATCAATGATGAATTGAAAGACGACATATTGAACGACAGCAATAATGATACAGACTTGGAGGATGAAGAAGCAAATGAAATAGACTGGGATGATGAAAACATGGATGAGGATTTGAAGTACCTCAAAATATTGAAGTACATCAAGTATAAAACAAGCTCCTTAACCGAATTGACAACGAGTCAGGGGTGGAAAGACAACAAGGAACTAAAGCCGGATATTCTTGATAGTATGGTAGTGGTTGGTGTTCCTGGCAACAACAGTTTACAGCAACAGAGGATTCCAAATTCTGTCTCGACTCTGAACTCGGCCAACCCATCGGCATTCCTTCGGTTCTCACCTGGTACTTATACGTCTGACCTAAACCTGGCTGCAATCTATCCAAATTTTGATTCCCCTGGCACAGTAGCCAAGCTTGGAAGTATTCTTGAAAAGGGAGACGAGAAGAATAAGCAGGAAAGAGAACTTGCCAATGATTTAATGAGCATGCGAAATGGTGTTCTTCGGCAAAACTAGTAGGTACGAGTGAGATTCATAGATTGTTACTAGTAATCTATAAGACACATTTTAGAGACTTATAAACCTCCTTATTCTGGCCCATCAATGATACATTTTGCAGCGCCGTCACCAGAACGCACTTTGTCGTATGCCTTGATGGCATCGTCGAATGAGAACCGGTGAGTAATCAAAGCCTCGAAGTCTATCATTGCATTGTCTTTTCCGTTTTTGTAATTTTCATCCAAGATATCCACAGAGGTCTTGTAGTCATTGTATCCATACCGGAAGGACCCAAAAAGAATCAACTCTTTGGTCACAAGCTCAGTAATTGGGAACTTGACATATGAACCGGCATTGCCCACTTGCACAAAGCGACCACCCGCTTTTAAAGCCAAAACACCTTGCTGGATACAAACTTCAGCTCCGGTACACTCCAAAACAACATCTGGATTCACACCTGCGGGCAAATTATCCCCCAAAGAGTCGGAAGTCCTCGAGTTAAAGACATGGGTGGCAGCACCCATGTCCTTCGCTAGCTTTAATTTGTTGTCGAAGATATCAACAACGGTGACGGAGGCGGCGCCAAATTTTCTTGCAACAGCGGCTGCAAGAATTCCAACTGGACCAGCGCCAAATACAACCACATGATCACCAAAAGTGATCTTACCCAACCGAGAAGCATGCACACCCACGGTCAATGGCTCGACCATTGCTCCCAATTCGAGCGACACGTGATCAGGCAATTTAACCAAGAAGTCTGCGGGCGACTTATAATACTTGCACAAAGTGCCCGGAGGGTTTGGTTCACCCTCTTTCGAGTTGGGGGTAGCAGCAAATTTCATATGCGGGCATAAGTTATAGTGACCGCTCTTGTACTCATCGCTAAAACGAGAAGGCACTCCAGGCTCAATGGCAACCTTGTCCCCAGCTTTCAAATGGGATACAGCATCACCCACCTCAACAACAATTCCCGAGGATTCATGGCCTAAGACCATTGGCTTTGTCAAAACGAAGTCTCCGATTTTTCCATGTGCGTAGTAGTGAATATCAGAGCCGCAGATTCCCGTCTTCTTTACCTGGACTAATACTTCATTAGGCTCAGTGATTCTAGGGATCTGGTAGTTTTCGAACGAAATATCGTCCACTTTGTTCAATACCAACGATGGGTTTGTAGTCATTGTATCAATTGAATTACGATTAGGAATAAAAAAATGACTGAGTAAGATATTGAAAGTGGTTCGACATTTAATTAAACCCCACTTCCAGGATGCGGGGTGCGACTTGCGCAGCAACGAAATTTCGAGAAGGACGCGTGGTGCATTTTCTGTTGCTCCAATGTAGATTACTCATTCTCGTCAATCACGCCTGTTTGCTTGATGTAAATCAACACTCGATAAAAGAGATTGAAGAGCATATAAATTATTTGGGGAATTTGCAATTGAAGTAAATGAACTAGTCGGAGTGCCTAACATAGATATACCTGGTCAACACTGCAAGTTTCTTCGGACTGCAAATCCATCGGACCAAAAGTAAGTCACAGCTTGGGAAAAAATCCAGAAAAAAAGACATTGCTCTTCAGCGAGGATCTTGATTATTTTTCAGCAAAGCATCGTCCCCTGCAGAAAAAATAAAAGCTTATCTTTCAATCATAGCTTATGTGTGCCCCAAATAAATTTTTTTCTGGTGGATTATTCTCCCGCTTATCACATATATTCGCGAATAATAGCTGGTAAGATAAAGGTTCAAGGTCGAGTCAAAACCTTTTCGGAGCAACCGGTCAATATTCTCATCAAGTACAATCTGGATTCCTCAGTGGTCTTCTGAATTCTTTCTAAACCCACTAGACATTACACTAGATCCGATTGTATCATCGAGCCACAATTCCGCGTCCTCGTTTTCTCTTTCATTCTCCTCATCAGAAATATTGGGTGTTGTTACCTCGCTTGAAATATCTTGATCTGTATGCGAATGATACTCTTCACGCTCGTCGTCTGTGATATTCGGTGTTGCTACATCACTTACAATTCCTTGTTCTGGATGAATATCATAATCTTCTGCCATAACAATTTCATTTCCAATCATTTTTCTTCTGTGCTTCAAGCGGTCATTGAGCCTGTCGGCCCCCTTTTGAAACGCTTGCGCTGCTTTTTCTGTAATTTTATCGTTCGAAATCAAGGCTGCGACTAACCCGATGGTGGCACCTAGCATAAGTGCCGTTTTGAGTGAAGCAGCTAGAAAAAGAGGCATTCGTTTGGTGGAATTGTTTGTAATTCTGAGGAATGTGCTTTATTGCACTTGTATCGAAGTGTTGTGTAATTGCACCAGAGTTGGTTCAGTACACAAACAGAAGACGGTGCTTACAGTTACCACACAGTAACAAGGCTTAGAGATAAATCAAATGTGCGATCTAGTCTATCTTGTGGATTAATGAGTTGGCTTCTCAAATTTCAATCGCAGGCCACAGTGTTCTTTTAACTTCATTCTTGAACCCCTGCGTATAAGTTACCCCGTGTTGTTTCTCTGACTTGGTGGTGCATGTAATGATGTTGTCACATTGTTGAAGTCTACCCCCATTGAAATTATAGGCATGTCTAGAGTCTCTGTCAATGTTGAAGACAATGCTAGTACTTTTATATCGGCTTGACCTGGTATAGTATCAAGGGATAGTGAACACGAACAGTCACATGGTAAAGATCGCATCAGTGGGGCTTAGCTTATAGTAACCTATGAGCCAATTATGACGCAGATCTAAGTAAAGACGAGCTTCCCTTAAAGAATGTGGAAACAGAGACACGAAAGACTTTTCATGTTTTATATGGCTGACCACTGCGAGAGTGGATTCGCCTTTAGAGTACGTGTCCCAATCACCAGCACGATTGGTCATGTATCTCAATACATATGCACTTAGATCTCACCAATACCTCGAGCAATCTGAAGGTTCTTTTGTGATATGTACTACGTCTTGTACAACATCGTGGGAAGAAAGAACAGTGAGTCTTCTTTGCGATCAGAATTTTTGAAGCCCCCACCTTCTCCTCGCTAATACAGTATAACCTGCACGTGTGTATTTTGAAAGACATACAATGCAGCTATGCAGATTGCAGTTACAAGCTTTGAACATCACGTCATACAATACCCGACAGCTATATCCTTGTAAGAATATTTTGACTTGAATTCACTAGGCTGGGTTTAAGGTCATTATAAGAGCTTTTTTTTTCTTTGTGCTCCATCAGGAAATTTCAAAAATAGATTTGCATGGAGTTCTTGTCAAGATCTTGAATCATCATCATTAATAATATGCATTTTTTGAAGGAAAAAAATGTCAGAAAAAGGCAAAGAAAGGATAAGACAGAATTTAAGCAGATTTATCGAAACGGCCTACCTTTATTTTATGCTACATTGTAGTTGATGATGTGAACAGAACAAGTGGGTTTTCACGTGAAATTTAATCTGTAGTTCGCTTTCGAAAACTTGATTCGTATCGAGCCATACAAATCCCTTCGTACAAATACAACTCAGAATTTCAATACTCCGCTGATGTAATCTAATGAGTGTATTTTCAAACCGGCATGACACTATAGGACGGCTCTAACAGATTTGTATCAACGTGAACTTACATGCACCACTTGAGGCTTAGAAAGTAGTAGAATTAGAATGATAAATCAAATCATAAGATATCATATTTTTAGAGCCTTTCAGAAAATTTGACGCTTCGGATTAAAATCTGTTTAAAGAAACATCAAAGACTTGAACTGCCTGAAATTTTAATCCTCATCAGTCTATCGAATGTGGTTTCGAAAAATCTCATGATCGCAATTCATTGCGAAACAGGTAACGATGTGATCGTTTCGCTATATGCTCTAGTGTATGAGCTTTTCTCTTTAAGTAAATAATTCACTAAAAGATCCCAATATTCTCGTTTTGTAAAACAAGTATCACATATCAATCGCTTAAGTCGCAAAAAGGATTGAAAATGATATATTCCTGAAACCTACCGCTTCTTAAAATTTATACCTTGAAGATTAATATAATATGGTTTCTTGTTTCAAAACATCTGGAAAGCAACCAACATCTCATTAAATTCATGAGTCTAAATACACAATTCTGCTTTAACAAATTTTGCCTTTCGACTGTATTGTGTTCATTTTGAGTCGCATTCAAATGATAAAGATGAATTGAGCAAATAAAATCCCCCAAGTAATCATTATTCTCTTCTACTTCGATCTTTCTTCAACTTCCCCCTATTCCCGAATCTATTATGAATCATTCTATACCGTTTTTTTTTTTGGTAGATTCATCTGATTGAAGAAGCGAGACTGTACAAATAACATATATAAAAAGCCTTTAAACAGCTCCTAGCTACGTACCAAGTGTCGAAACTCGGTCCGTACCCTTCCGTTATTCACGGCCTGGACGGTCCTCTTGGCCCGTATCTGTTTACGTATAAAAACAAAAGTATTGGACTACGTCATTGACTCCTAAGAAAAATCCAATAAAGGCTGCAGCCTCTGCTTTAAAAAGAACCACGCATTCTACAAATGCCCTTCAAAGTGCAAATGCAGTCAAAAACAAATTCACCTCGAAGGTGAATGTGCTCGCAGGAGGGTTCAAAACAAACAAGGTGAATCCGCAGCGAGACCCGGGATGGTGGAGAGGTTTAACCTCTCTGCTAGGGATGGTGGGTTAAAGATGATTGACCCCTTTTGGTGGTGAATTGTTGAGTACAAGATTCTGTATGTATTGGTGTTCTTGGAGGGGGGGGGGGGTTTGTCCAGGATGAGGTCGATCATAACGTCCGCAGTCTCTTATCCGTTGGGGAAGGGGAACTGTCTGGACACCAACTCGTTATGACATCTCCTGGGGTGAGGAAAGATTGTTCGAAGTAGTCCTGAGGATTGTTCATTGGAAGATAGGATACGGTGGCCCACAAAAACCTTCCTGAGAGGCTAGGACTTTTTTCCAGTGTGAAAAACTTTCCAGTGTTGTCGGTGTCAAATATTTGACTTTTGAAGAGAAGACCTTCAATGGACGTCTTTTTGTCGCGGCGTTCTGGCATGTTGCCTTGGCTGAAAGAGTCCATGTTTTCTTCACTCGATGGCGAGCGGGAGAGGATGTAAGTGGGGTGATCAGACTTCTTGTTGCCTGCCTCATGCCTACTCCAGCCCAACAGAACCAGGATTCCACAACTCCACTAGCATTGTCATCAATCCCAATCAAGTGAAATCCTAGAAATGCAGAAACAACTCACCCATATACACAATGTAACACAGTCACTATGTGTCTGAACCTTCATTTTGTAAACATCATACTGTCCGAAAATTCAGAAGATGGTTTCGTGGTCTAGTTGGTTATGGCATCTGCTTAACACGCAGAACGTCCCCAGTTCGATCCTGGGCGAAATCATTCTTTTTTTCCTTTCCAGAAGGGGGCCATGCGCACGGCTTCCAATGCGACCCAACAAATTAAACTCCGATTCCCACAAAACAAAGCCGAGCATACGCGTGTCTTAGCCTCCTCAACCTAGCGGCTCAAAAGCCATGTTTTATTTTGATTTTTTTTGCCTGTATGAAGGATACTGTATCACTCTGTAGATCTGACCAGGTTCCGGTCACCAATTATATACGTACCATGTCGATTCAGCCACTTGGATCTGCTTAGATTCGTGCATATACGATTACCCAGAAAAAGCCCGCGGCGCACTGCCAAGCTGTGACCTCGTGAAAACATTTATGAGCCAAACTCAAATGATCAGTTTTCACAGTCCTCAATCATTAATCTAACTCCTATCAAGCCCTGCGTGCTTGATAGTTCATTGACCAAGATCATTTATTCACCCTCAACTATTCTAGGCGATGCATTCGTGTAACTCTGGCTCCAATTGCCCAGACGGGTCTTGGCCCAAAACAGCAATTGTCGCACGGCGGTCTCCGCACCCTTTCGCAAAATCAGACGTCACCACAACACGGGGCACGGACAGAAAATTCCCCATCATTTCGAAACTCTTTCTTTACTAGTAGGCACACTCAAAACATGCACCAATTGACCGTCCCAGTTGGTGAAGCCAAAGCGGGCGAAACCGCCCCTAGAAGAAGAACCGCTCAAAAAGACGCAGCTTTGGAGAGACCCCTTGACTCCTCCGCAACCACCTTGCCCGAATTCTTCGAGGAGTGTGTGGCGAGACATAAGGAAAGGAAGGTCATGGGATGGAGAGATTTGATTGAGATCCACACGGAGTCCAAGAAAGTGAAGAAGATTATTGATGGAGAAGAAAGAGAAGTCGACAAAGAATGGACCTTCTATGAATACTCCAAATACCAGTACCAATCTTACAACAGCCTCTTGACTCAGGTCAAGCAATACGCCCATGGACTTGCCAAGATTGGCTTGAAGCCCAATCAGGTAGACAAGTTACACATCTATGCTTCTACTTCCCACAAATGGATGAAGACGTTCTTGGCATCGTCCTTTCAGAACATGTCGATTGTCACCGCCTATGACACTTTGGGCGAGCAGGGATTGATACATTCCTTGGTCCTGACTGGGTCCAATGCTATTTTCACCGATAACACGCTTTTGGGATCTTTGGTGCGTCCATTGCAGAAAGCTGAGCATATCAGGTACATCATCCACGCTGAAGACATCGACCCAAATGATAAAAGAGCAGGTGGTAGTATCTACAAGGACGCTGAGGCTGCAAAGAAGAAGATCTTGGAAGTCCGTCCCGACATCAAATTCTACTCTTTCGACGAGGTAATCGCCCTCGGTGAGGAGGATGCGCAAAAGCCCTTGGAGAACAAGGCAAAGCCTACTGACATATGCTGTATTATGTACACATCTGGATCCACTGGTGATCCTAAGGGTGTTGTTATCACTCAAGCCAACATTTTGGCTGGTGTTGCCGGACCTTCGACCAATGCTGGGAGAGACTTGGTCAAGCCTTCCGACCGTGTTATCGCTTTCTTACCCTTGGCCCACATTTTTGAAATGGTTTTCGAGCTTATCTGTTTTTGGTGGGGTGGATGTCTCGGTTATGCCAACGTCAAAACTTTGACTGATGCTTCGTGTAAGAACTGTAATTCTGACTTGTCAGAGTTCAAGCCAAACATCATGGTCGGTGTTGCCGCTGTTTGGGAGTCTGTCAGAAAAGGTATTCTTGCCAAGATTAAGCAATTACCTTCGATAGTTCAAAAAATCTTTTGGACAGCTTTCAAGCTCAAATCTACAATGTCCCAATACAACATTCCAGGTGGAAGTGTGTTTGACGTCATCTTCAAGAAAGTGAAGGCAGCTACTGGAGGAGAGTTGCGTTTTGTCATGAATGGTGGCTCTCCTATCTCTAGAGATACCCAGGTGTTCATCTCTACTTTGATTGCACCATGCTTGATTGGTTACGGTTTAACCGAGACTTGCGCCAATTCCACAATTGTTGAAATCAACAAATTCGAATATGGTGTTGCTGGAAGTTTAGTTGGTAGTGTTACTTGCAAATTGATTGATGTGCCCGATGCAGGGTACTTCGCAAAGAACAATCAGGGTGAGGTCCTTTTAACTGGTGCATCTGTCACTTCTTCGTATTTCAAAAACGAGAAGGAAACCAAAGACTCATTTACCGAGGATGGATGGTTCAAAACCGGCGACATCGGACAATGGACTGCCTCTGGTGCCTTGCAAATCATCGACCGTAAGAAGAACTTGGTGAAGACTGCAAATGGTGAGTACATTGCATTGGAAAAATTGGAATCTACCTACAGATCAAATTCCTTGGTTGCAAACATTTGTGTGTATGCTGACCAGAGCAAGGTTAAGCCAATTGCCATCATTTTGCCAAATGAGCCACACTTGAAAAACCTTCTTAAAGACGATAAGCTTGTCCATGCAGACTCTTTGCATTCCAAGGAACTAGGAGATTTCTACACAGACAAAAAGGTTATCGCAGCAGTTCACAACTCATTGTTGCAAACTGGTAAAACACAGGGTTTGAAAGGCATTGAACTTATCCAAAACGTGGTCTTGATTGACGAAGAATGGACGCCACAAAACGGGTTTGTAACTTCGGCTCAAAAGTTGCAAAGGAAGAAAATTTTGGAGGCTTATAAAACTCAAATTGACAAAGCCTACAAGTAGACTAAGTTGTTGCACTGGTTTACGTCTTGGTTGGATGAAAGGAAAAGAGGACATGTTATGATTCAAACGCCTATTTAATTGGGTGCAGCAATCGTTAGGTGTGCTTTGATATGAGCTCCAGTTGTTGTTTCTGAGTTCAACTCTTATCGTTGTTTCTGATTATATGATTGAAAAAAAAAAAATCAAAACTCAACCTCCGTAGACACCAGAGAACACTCTCTTGATTTGCCGTATGTCCATTTTCTCAAAAAGACACAACTGAAGCAAAATTCTTGCCTTAGGTGGATTCAAATATCCGCTAGCAACAAGATATGTATTATCATTCTTGGGAAGTCCACTAACTGGGATCATACCGTCAGTCGATCTTTTGGAGTAAATCACAGGAAGCTGATGCTCAGAAGAGATTTCACCGAGTAACTTATTCGTCAGGTCTGACAAAGACCCAGCACCCATGGTGGCCATGACGATACCCTGAAGCTGCATGTGCTCGACGGCTAATAAAATCAAGTCGTTGTTAAAGTTCTGGTGTGCATAGAATATGGCGACCTCGGGGAGACATCCATTATAGAATGCCGGAAGTTGGAAGTTTCTAAGCCCGCTGGGCTTCAGTGCAGGGAAGTAATAGTGAGCTTCACCTGCCACGAAATTTCCCAAATAACCGTGGCCCAAAGACTTGAAAGTGTCTAATGAGTTTGCATCTGTCTTACTAATATAGTATCCCGAGCCAATCTTGTCGTTGAGTGTTACCAATACCCCTCTACCCCGACTCTGTTTGTCGGAAGCAACAACGCATGCCTGGTACAAGTTAGAAGGGCCGTCAGCGGATACAGATGTCAGAGGTCTCATCGATCCGCACATCACCACAGGCTTGTCCATGAAATCCACTGTTGAGTCTAAGAAAAAAGCAGTTTCTTCGAACGTGTCTGTTCCGTGGGTGATCACAACGCCGTCAAAATTCTGGATGCTTTCTTGCACTTTACTCCGTAAGTGTAGAAGATGTTTGGTCGTGATTTCCTTAGAGTCGATGTTAAATACCTGCTCAAACTCCAACTCGCACGTGTGAGTCAAGTCGGGAACAGATGCCATCAAGTCTTCGATAGTCAAATCGACATGGTAGCCTGGTTGAGGAATTTCCAGGGCGCCTTTAGATGCAATTGTGCCGCCTGTGCCCAAAATCTTTATGATAGGTAATTTTTGTGATCCCACACTTGGAATCGAATCAATCGTGCTGATTGAGTTTTGTCTATATCTGACTGTAAATACCGGATGGAATCGGTCGCTATTATCTTCCTGTATTTCAAACGTCTCGTCGATATTTTGCAACGACATATTTGCAGAGAAACTGTGGGAATGGATACTCCGCATTTATGTGTATTTTGACACATTTGTTTCATGCTCATCGAAAGCGCCGTTCGTGTCACCGTTGTCCGCGTGGCACTTGAAGCTTTTAGCCGAGGGCACGTGATTCAGCTCCTGAAATGATTACTTGACACACTGATTCTTTAACGTTCTCGTGGCTAGAACAAGATGTCGCCTGAAAAAATGCAATTCAATGAGCCTCATGGAGCAGGCTGCTATTCATCAAGTTTTTCAAAGTGAAATGTAACTTTTTAGAATTTTACAGCTCAATTGTTATTTTCCAAAAAGTGTTCAAGTGCGACAGTACCCGTAATTCCTAGTGATATTTCTATGAGATACTTTTGAAAAAGAAAGTATTCCCAAAAAAAAAAAGTTAAATTGCCTATTCAACTTATACTTCTAGGCACTGAAAAATTTCGCTTTAGTAGCAAATCAAGATGATAGAAGATATCTTGATTTTAAATAGCTACTGAGATCAAAAATTGTATTGCACATTACCTTACACCCGTGCCCCCGCAAGTTCATAAAAGGGACGTACGTACAAGGCAACCGCATCATGCTTGACGAAACAGACAATGGGATTATTCACGAAAGACGTTGCCGTGGTTGACCCACCAAACAAAACAAAGAGAAAGATCTGTTGGGACTCTCGTGACAAGTTTTTTGACTGTCTTGAGAGCAACAAGATTGAAAACTCATTAGATCCAAAAAAAAGCGAGCAAGTCGAGTCAAGTTGTGGAGGCGAACGCGCCGAATTTCAGAAGAACTGTGTTGCTTCCTGGTTTAAATACTTCCAAGAAAAGCGCTACAACGATATCAAAAGGCAAAAATATATCGCGCAGTTGGAGGCAGAGGGTGCCAAACCTTTGCCTTTCAAGCTAGACAGGAAGTAGCTCCGTAAAGTCTGTTCGCCCTCATGTTGTATATAGTTATATTAATCAAGAAGCCGGAGGCTTTTTATTTTATGATGCAATGATGTAAACTGGTTCTCTACCAATGATTCTCTTTGGTTGTTCGCCTGAGACATCAAACACGCAACCCCACTCATACTGTCCCTTTTCCATGATCATAAAACCAATCTCTCTTTCGTAAGTTTCTCCAGGACCGATTGCATTTTTGCTTACGTGAGACTGTAGAAATCCGTTGTAAAGGATCTTTTGGTCGATTAATAAATCATGCTTCGTGGGTGCATTCAACGGAAAGGGGATATGTCTGAGCATTCCAGAGATAGAGCGCGTGGTATGATTGATCACACGAGTACGCAAAATGTAGAACCTTTCTCTCTCCAAATGAAGTCTGGAGTTTTCAGTCCCGAAAGCTTTGTCAGGTTTATCTTCGGAGAAAACTTCATGAAATATCAGTAGATCGTCATATAGTAGCGAATTTGTCATTGGAGCACTCAACCTAATCCGACGAAGATCTATCTCCCCTTCTTTATGGGAAGAATCGGGAGCTGTATTCCACCTAGCACTAAGAAGCTTGAGCAATTCTTCCCTGACCCAAAAGCTTCGTCTCACTTGTCGTTCTTCTTCGCGACTCAAAGTATAGTCTTTCACGAATTGTTTCTTACGCATCGATGGGATAGCTTTGAAAGGGTCAAAACTGTGACCTCTGATTCTTCTAACTGGAATGAACAACTTTGCCGATTTGTTGGGCAAAATGCACTTCTCGATCTGGAAATGTCTGGTTCCCAATTTGCTCGCAATTTTGGCAACTAGGCAGTCTTTCCAAAAATTTCTAACATCTAAGACCAATAAACAGTAGTCAGAGACATCTTCTGTAGAGGATGCGCTGATACTCAAAATAAATTCGTTCAAATCAGTCAAAGATTCTTGTGCTGGGCACCCGATAATTGAGGTGTTAGACTCGGAAAGCACATTCCAAGTGGATGAAAACAATGGGATGATATTACTCGCAGTTATCTCCAATGACCGATGGATAGAAATCAGACAGGGAACAATCAATTTCTTCAAGAAGCAATCCCCATGTGTGTCAGAAAGCCTTTTTCCATATTCGAGAATTAGCTTCAGTTCAGACATTCCACATTTCCCGATAATATCATAGTGAATATCCACCTCACCTCCAGGTGGTATTACTTTGTATTCTGAGGCAATTTCTGACTTATTTGTCACACACAAAGCTTTTCTTTCCAATAAAAGCCATTCAAGTTCGTACACTTCTGCTGCATTGAGATTGTTTTGATGGCTGAGACTTAACTTTGAGCTTATTGAATCAACTGTTGAGTCCCAAGGTGAAATTGACAAATAATTAACCAAATCATTCGAACAATTTTTTAACTTCAATGATGAGCTCTGAACTTCTCCCTCTAAGAGCATTACCCAATCGTTCGGTTTTTGGTTCTTGACAATACTTAATGTGGGTTGAGAAGTGATGGCAGTTAAAGAAACAATTTTTTTGGTAGCCCGATTTCCGAAGTTGCCCACCAGTAAATTGTGAAACATGTTCTCTAGGGTCTGGCTTGATTGATTTGGTATGTTGACTCGATAATATGTCAATTTATTCAAACCAGAGTATTTCTCCTGATCAATTATGGAGAACGATTGCGAGTATTTGTTTCCAAAATCCACTTCAAATTCTGTTATATGGAAAGAGCCAGGCTCCAAAGCCCTAAAGCTGATGATCACTTCCGCAGTCGAAATCGGAGGAATTGAAAATCCCTTTCCTGAGGTAATTCCATTGTTATCAAAAACAGTATCTTTTTTTCTTGAGGAGCCTTTCCCTCCATGGGCGGGTATTATCTGCATTTGACCAAGTTGTGATATGGAAGCAACCTTGAACAAAGATGCAACAGTTTCAAGCTTAAACCCATGTTGTGCGACCACGTGCATTGCTCGAATATCAAGACCGTAGTAGAATGGGTTTTGTAACACCACTTTCAATTGATGTACTTCATTTTGACAGATTATTCTGTCTGCTGTTCCCTTTTTGATGCCTTTGTTATATGGATCAAAAAAGACAGAATTGGATTTCAAGTCCGAAGTATTCTTAGATGCCAAAGGTACAAGAGAAGTGGATCGCAGCAGCACGATAAATTTGGCATCTCGAATAATAAAAGGGTCAGGGTGCGGAGCTTGGAGGTCGACAGCCTCTTTAGCTGAGATAAGGTTTAACCATGAAAGTTTATCTCGCAACTTGATCTGATCTTCCACAGGAAGACAATGAGTGAATTTGTTCAATGTAAGCACACACAACTTCATCAAAGTTGCATAATCTTGAAATGCCTCGGCAATGCGAAGACACACTTTAATGAGCAGGAGCTGTAGCACAATCCAGTTGGAATTATGTTTCGGGCTGAGACAGCTTGTGTCTTTCTTCTCATCAATATGATAGATATAGAGTAGAGTTTCTATGATATCTTTAAGGTATTTCGCAGATCCCAATTCACCAGATGTTAGATTTTGCTCTATAAATGAAGCTTGTGGAAGTAATACGTCCAATAAAAGGCGAATAACCAATCCATACTTTCTGTAGAGCCCCAAGTCACGATATATTGATGCCAATGCGCAATATATTCGGCATTGCTTAGTAATGTCTAGTTTGTTCAATTGCAAGGCAAATATCCGATCCATTTCGGCAACAATATTTTTTTGCAGTAAATTAAACTCCGCGCTGACTTTCTGACCATTTAATGATTCAAAACCGACCAACTGTTCAAGTATAGGAACTGTATTGCGCGATCTGGATAAGTATATGGTGACCATGAGTTTGGTATTTCTCAAAAGGGATTCAACATAGACGATGTCTGGAACACAGTCATCCACTTCATAGGTACTAAGTTTATAGTAATGAGAGGTCCTCAGTGTAAGAAGTATTAGAAACTCAATAATTTGAACTTGGGATACATCTATAATTGTGCCGAGTTGATGTGTACCTAAGCTCAAGGAGCTGCTTGTCGAGTTTCTTGGGGTTGTTACCAGAATACGTTTTCTGGAGACAATGTCTTCCATGGAGACTTTGCCGTTGCTCTTCATTATAGACGAGTTTCTTGATTTAGGTAGGTGGAGAACAGACGCGAACATTGGATTCTGGATTTGGAAAGGAAGTCCCAAGTGCAGAAGAATTGTTGCGGAGACTGCAATTCCCTCTAACGCACTTGCAAGCCATAGATAGTCATCTGATTTCTTTGAGTTGATTGCGGCATCAGTGAAATATTGAAGTGCGTCCTGTGTGCGGCCAGCTAGAAGAAAGAAGTTTCCCATGATCTTTGCTTGACGCCCGGTCTGACGTTGCAGAGATTTGACCTTCAGGTCCTTGACTGATGAGGTTACATTCTGGCCATTGGCAAACAGCGGTTTGAATGACAGACCGGAGCTGAGTCTTTTTTGTGCCAGGTTGATTGTGCGTGTCAAGACACTGCTATCCATGAGAGAGATAGGCGATCGAAGCGTGATACTCTCGTAAGAATATGCATATTCATCCAAAGATACTAAGAAGTTTCTCGTGATACCGCAAAGAACGGTCTCTATACTTGTTCTGATCTTTTCAGCCTCTTTACTAATATGAAAAATTTCCGGCAGTTCGCTTTTTTCAGTCAGCGATTGTTGGTAGATGATGTTATGAGATATAGCAGCCGGATGGTCGGCCTTCAAGGATGCTAGAGTATGGGTCAGATGCTGAGGAGAGGCCGGGTGAATCCCTAGTCCGATGACGATAAACGTTTTTCTGAAAGGCTCAAAATCTTCAAGAAAAGTCGTGTCGTCAGCATCTGGTTCCACCGAGGGGTTGTAGAAAATCCTGCCTTGCGAAAACTCTTGTGGGTTAAAATGACGGCATTCGGGAATAGGTGAGACGTCAAGTAGCCTGATATCCGTGACAGACTTGACAATTTCTGCATAATGGTGGAAGTTTTGGGGACTGATTTCCCCGACTGGCGTTAGAAAGACTCGGACCCGGGCAGGAGTGATGAATTTGAAGCTTTCCATGTCACATTCAGCGCAATGAGTCGAGTATTCCAAGCAAACGTCTTGTTCTGGAAGGCAGCTGATTTGGTAATGGAGAGCCAGTCGCGCTTTGATCATACTGTTGACGTTTGTCTGCAAGCCTGGGAGCACCTTGGGCTCTGGTGGTAGTGTAGGGCCCCAGCAGCGCGAAAGCTCACCTGGAGGTACTCAGTGAACGCCACTAGTTGAACAAGTGCCTTGGATATACCTCCATTTTGAAGCATACCACTCGAACACTTGCGCTGTGAATCCACAAAGTTGCCCCTGGAAATTTGGTGAAAGCTACCAGCACACAATCAAATCGAAATACGAAGGAACTTTCACCGCGTTTGAATCTCATTTTCTAACCAATCTACACGCTTGACCGAGAGACCCAAAAGCCACAGAAATATGCCCGGTCTTTCCTTCGATAACTACCAAAGAAACCAGTTCTTGTCGACCAGGGGATATGCACAGCCCAAGGCAACATCTACTGGTACGACAATCGTCGGATGCAAGTTCAAAGGTGGCGTGGTCATTGCGGCTGACACGAGAGCAACGGCCGGTGCCATTGTCGCCGACAAAAACTGTGAGAAATTGCACAGATTGGCGCCCAAGATCTGGTGTGCGGGTGCGGGTACTGCTGCAGATACAGAGATGGTCACTCAGTTGATTTCCCTGAATCTCGAGTTGCATTCCATGTGGCAGGCCCGCCAGCCCCGTGTGATCACCGCCTTGACAATGTTGAAGCAGCACTTGTTCAAATACCAGGGTCACTTGGGAGCCTACTTGATTTGTGCTGGTGTGGACCCCACAGGCGCCCACTTGATGTCTGTGCAAGCACACGGGTCTACAGACATTGGCGAGTACCAGTCGTTAGGTTCCGGATCTTTAGCTGCCATGGCAGTTTTGGAGACCAGCTGGAAGCCTGACATGACCAGAGACGAGGCCGTGAAGTTGTGTGCAGATGCCATCGAGGCTGGTATTTGGAATGACTTGGGTTCTGGTTCCAATGTCGACGTCTGCGTATTGGAAGTGGGCAAGGACGCAGAGTTGCTCAGAAACTACTTGACGCCTAACGTGAGATCAGCAAAGGCAAGATCATACAAATTTGCCCGCGGCACTACGGCTGTTTTGAGAAAGAGCATACGCGATATTGTCGATGTGGAGGAGACGGTGATTGGCTTGGGCAGTTCCGATGCAATGGAGGTTGATGCTTAAATAGAGTACTGATGACATAATTTACAGCTACTAGCGAACTGAGCTTGACAAGGCTAATTTTCCGTGGCCAATGACTCATGTTCAATTATGATAATAAAATAGGAAGTATGCATCGGCTTGAGTTCTCACCTGGCTGAGCGCATCAGCAAACAGTGGATTTTTCTAGAACCATGCCGCGAAAACGTTTAACATACCGCGGCTTTGGCTCCAGTTCTCACCGTACATCATAAATTGAAAAGCGTAGGCCCTCGCTTCACTTTCGTCGTATCATAATTGTAAAGAAACAGAAATGGTCGTGAACAATCCAAACAACTGGCACTGGGTGGACAAGAACTGCATTGACTGGTCGAAGGCATACTTCAACAGCAACTTGATTGGCTTGTCTGCTAAGACGGACGACAACAGAGACGTCCAAGTCAAAGCAATTTCTTCTCTCGAAGGAGATGTCGAGGTCTGTCAGAGAAAGGGAAAAGTCATTTCCATTTTTGATCTCAGAATTGTTCTTAATATCGAAGGCTCCTCGGCGCAGGACAAGGATTTCAAGGGAAGTATCACAGTCCCTGAATTGGCATACGACACCGAGGAGGACGAGCTTCAATTCGATATAAGCATATACAACGAGGACTCCGACTCTGAGAAGATGAGAATTGTAATCAAAAAGGAATTGGTCCCTCAGATCAAGTCTGTGTTGATGAACTTTGGTGGCGATTTGATCAAGGAACATGGGTCGGACATCCAGCATGAAAGTGACAAGGTCCACTCGAAACTCACCAAAGAGAACCAATCCGCCTTACAAGCAAAGGAAGCCAAAGACAAGGAACAAGCCCAAAAGCCAGCTCCCGTACCGTCGGCACGCCCAGTAACTGAAACCTCGAGTTCAAGTGTTCCAAAGTACAACACGTCTACCTTGCACTTAGAGCCTACATTTAACACAACTGCTGAGCAATTATACATCACTCTCTTGGATCCTGCGAGGGTGTCCGCCTGGTCCAGATCCAACGCGCAAATTCAAGCCAAAGAGGGTTCTGAGTTCCTGTTGTTCGGTGGGTCGATTTCAGGCAAGATTCTTGAGTTGGTGACCAACGAGAGAATCCGTCAAGCATGGAGACTAGATTCATGGAGAACTGGCCACTTTGCTGAACTTGACATACAATTGAAGCAAGGCGCAGGAGAAACCACCATGGTGGTCAAATGGTCAGGGATCCCCATCGGTGATGAGGACAGAGTAAAGGGTAATTTCCAGGACTACTACGTGAGAGCCATCAAGTTGACTTTTGGGTTTGGCGCAGTTTTGTAGAGTACTTCAGAAAAGAATAAATTGTTAGTTTCTAAGCCTACATAAACTGTCAGAATTAAGAGATCTTCCGCGTATCGGAAATGCATTCGCGACGGGTTCAGTTCCTAACCCACTGAGTATTCCAAGCAAACGCACTAATGATGAGCAACTCAAGTATCATCTGACTCGGAGCGAGCCCCGCATACACATGAGTTTATTGTCGATACAAGTAGCGGGGTCAAGCCCATGGCAATGGCTGGACCTGATCATTCGAGGTATTTTACGCCGAGCGAGCCTGCGTGTAGCGTCAGACGAATGTCGGATTGATTGGCCGAAAAGGCAATTCCGTTCCCAAGTTTTGCGCGGCCGTGGGCGCGGAAAGAATGTCCCGGAAGGGCAAAAAAGCGCCCGCTATCTCTGAACAGATCCCGCTATATATAACGGCAAATCTTTTGGCATAAGTAAACGAACAAGTTCATTTGAATCAACACTAAGACCACTAAATATGTCTACAACCGGAAAAGTACGTAAGAAGAATGACAGAAAGCAAGCCGGCTCTTTCGGAAATAGCTAGCAGTCAATTAAATTGGATGCTCAGTAACCACCGCAATCTTGCTTATAAATACCTTGGCGGTCATGAGATTTCTCAACTGAAGAGCTTTCAAGTTGGTCAGCTCGTGCGACCCAGTGTATCGGACAAACCGCTAACTATTAGACCATCACATGTAAAGCAGCCGTTGCTTGGGAAGCAGGCAAGCCTTTGTCCATCGAGGAGATCACCGTGGACCCACCAAAGGCTCACGAAGTCAGAATCAAGATTACGGATACCGGTGTCTGCCACACCGATGCTTACACTTTGTCTGGCGTGGACCCAGAGGGTGCATTCCCAGCTATTTTGGGCCATGAGGGTGGAGGAATCGTGGAATCTGTCGGTGAAGGCGTGACCAATGTGAAGGTTGGCGACCACGTCATTGCTCTCTACACAGCCGAATGCAAAGAATGCAAATTCTGCAAGTCTGGCAAGACCAACTTGTGTGGCGCCGTGAGAGAGACCCAAGGAAAAGGTGTAATGCCGGACGGAACCTCGAGATTCAAGTGCAACGGAAAGGAACTCTTCCACTTTATGGGCTGCTCCACATTTTCGCAATACACTGTTGTTGCCGATGTTTCCGTGGTGGCTATCAACGAGAAGGCTCCACTTGAGAGTGTCTGTTTGTTGGCGTGTGGTGTTACCACTGGCTACGGTGCTGCCACTGTGACTGCCAATGTTCAGGAAGGCGATACTGTTGCTGTTTTTGGTGCGGGTTGTGTTGGCTTGTCTGTCATCCAGGGTGCTGCATCCAGAAAGGCCAAGAAGATCATTGTTGTTGACATCAACAACAGCAAGAAGGAATGGGCTGAGAAGTTTGGTGCAACCGACTTCGTGAACCCCAAGGAGTTGCCCGAGGGCACCACCATTGTACAAAAGTTGATCGAGATGACTGACGGCGGATGTGACTTCACTTTCGACTGCACTGGTATCGTCGAGATCATGAGACAAGCTTTGGAGGCATGCCACAAGGGCTGGGGTCAATCGATCATCATCGGTGTTGCTGCTGCCGGCAAGGAGATCTCGACGAGACCTTTCCAATTGGTGACCGGAAGAGTCTGGAAGGGTTCTGCTTTTGGAGGTGTCAAGGGTAGAACTCAATTGCCAGGTATGGTTGAGGACTACATGAACGGCAAGTTGATGGTTGACGAGTTCATCACTCACAGACATACCTTGGACAAGATCAACACTGCCTTTGACGACATGCACGACGGCAACTGTGTCAGGGCTGTCATCAACATGTGACTCGCACGGGCAAAACTTTAACTGATAACTACATGGGAATTATGAGAATAGCGTATATATGAAACTTTATTCAAACCGCAGGGGTGCTTGGTATTACATATCAACGCGAAGTGGGCCCTTGGTGTCTTTGTTGTACACGCAAGACTGCAAACTCATCGGATTATTGGTTACTGTTGAATGGGAAGACATGGCATCCCAAACAGTCGAAAGCCGTGTTTGCTCACGGGCTTTTACAAATAGAATGCTCGGGCTGCGCGAGAAATAAGTACTATAGTAATGATGCTCTCGCTAGGAGTCGGGTACATTCGACTACCCAAGCTTGCGATTTTCCCAGGCTGTTTTAGTGAGTCATACACCATGCGTCTGAATGGGGGTAATATAGCACAATGACTGAGCTTCTGTACTTTGAGTAGCCCCGTTATACCCAGAACCCCAGCATGCTACAAGGATATAAGGATTATAGACGAAAGAGAGCATGCTCTATGACTATGTTCATGGATGTTTGGAGGACGGACTGCTTTCTAAGTTAAAAAAGACCTTAACATTTGTTAGCTGATTTTACACCACCAGAATATGGGTGAAACTTTAATTACTTTCGTAATTCTGAACAGTCTACGAAATCTGCTCTCCTGGCGTGCCTTGTTCATATTAGTTGGACCGTTTCAAGATTTAACCGTGGGAAGAAAAACTAGGCTTCGCAGGAGAAGCCGCAATCATCCGGAGAGCCTATTAGCTCGCAAGCGGTGGAAATTCTCTTAGCAGCTTACCCACAACAGAGCCAGAAGGACTCACATCCGACATAGCCGGGAACCGAAGGCATGCCTCAGGCTCCGTTCCGCGCAAGTAGTCCTAGTTCGCTGCTTAATTCTGTTACTGTCAGCTGCGGGCCGTCAAAAAATAAAATAATAAAAAAATAATAAAAAAAACTCTCGCGATTCTCGGAGTATCGCTTTCACCGAGCATACAGATTAAACAAGGAAAACGCAAAGGTGATCACCCTGTAAAGTATAATACGGTAGAAAACGAAGCGGACATTCGCCTCGCCCGCGTCGAAGAACGGCCTCGGAAAACACAGCATCTTCTTCTATGTTTCCCGCCATAGCCGATGTGCAAGGCCGGCCTCATTACCTTGTCAGGCTACCTGGCAACGTCGGCCCCGAACAAGTTTGCGCGCGCTGATTGGATGCTAAAAATCTTTTTTTCGTGCCCTAGCACGCGGACTTGGATCCGGGCCCATTTCTCATCACAGGGTTTCTTCCGAACCACCTTCTTTCCGAACATCACCAGCTCACTACACCATGTTCAGACAATTAGCTAGCGCCAAGACCGTTGCACCCAAGTTCTCCAGATCTTACATCGCTGGTCAGTTTACCGGCGCCAAGAAGGCCAACGGTAAATACACCGTCACTTTGATCGAGGGTGACGGTATTGGTGTTGAGATCTCGCAGGCTGTCAAGGAAATCTACGCTGCCGCCGACGTGCCTATTGAGTGGGAGCCTGTCGATGTCACCCCTCTTTTGATCAACGGTAAGACCACCTTGCCTCAAGACGCCGTCGACTCGGTCAACAGAAACTTGGTCGCTTTGAAGGGTCCTTTGGCCACCCCAGTCGGCAAGGGCCACACTTCCATGAACTTGACCTTGAGAAGAACCTTCAACTTGTTCGCCAACGTCAGACCATGCAAGTCCATTGTTGGGTACAAGACTCCTTACGAGAACGTCGACACCGTTTTGATCAGAGAGAACACCGAGGGTGAGTACTCTGGTATCGAGCACACCATTGTCCCCGGCGTGGTGCAGTCGATCAAGTTGATTACCAAGCCAGCCTCCGAGAAGGTCATCAGATACGCCTTCGAGTACGCCAAGAGCATCAACAAGCCCCACGTTCTTGTGGTGCACAAGGCCTCCATCATGAAGTTGTCCGACGGCTTGTTCGTCGAGACCGCCAAGGAGGTTGGCCGGGAGTACCCTGACATCAAGTTGTCCTACGAGTTGTTGGACAACACCTCCTTGAAGTTGACCGCCGACCCCGCCGACTACAAGGACGTTGTCATGGTCATGCCTAACTTGTACGGTGACATCATGTCCGACTTGTCCTCCGGTTTGATTGGTGGTTTGGGTTTGACTCCCTCCGGTAACATGGGTAACAAGGTCTCTATCTTTGAGGCTGTGCATGGTTCTGCCCCAGACATTGCTGGCAAGGGCTTGGCCAACCCAACCGCTTTGTTGTTGTCTTCCTGTATGATGTTGAGACACATGTCCTTGAACGCCGACGCCGACAAGATCGAGAGCGCTGTCTTGAAGACCATTGCTTCTGGCCCAGCCAACAGAACTGGTGACTTGAAGGGTACTGCCAGCACCCAGCACTTCACTGAGCAAGTCATCAGCAACTTGTAAAGAGATTCCCGACCTAGCGTAAGCTAATCATTCAATACACACATACGATAGACTCAATATTCTCTGATTCGGTAGGCTATGTCCAAGCGACCGGGAGCCTCCGCGGCTTGTTGTCTACTTACCCACCAGTAACTTCTCGCACTTCTCCACCAACTCGTCAGCCGATAACTCTTCCAACACAATGTTCGTACCCTCTACGATCGCCTCGTGTTCCACCTTGTGCACTCTGCCTTCGTACTCCTCGAGCGTTTCTCCTTTAATGAAATCAAGTTCTTTGACTAACACAGGCTCACCCCTGTCGACCTCGGCAATGACCTTGTGAATCATGACACCGCCTTTCGTGATCTCACCATCCTGGCCAGCCTTCCACGCCCGGTCGATCGCATGGGTGCCCTCGAATGCACCAGGCAATGCAGGGTGTAAGTTGATAATCGAGATTCCAGCCTTGGCCAACGGAGTTAAGACGGAAGGAGACAAGATGAGCATCCAACCAGCACAAACGATCAAACCGGGCTTGGAGTAGGTAGAGTCTTTGGTACCTTCAATGTTTCCATGTATGAGGAGGTTGGCCAAGTCCTTATTGAACTGCTCTCTTTTCTCGCGGCGGACTTCCTTGTCATCTTTAGTTGTGCCCTTGTAGTATTTTTTTAAGACGTGTGTTTTGGATGGGACGGAAAACTTTGCAGCTCTCTGCAAGCCATAGGCATCTTCACTGCTTGAGATAACCTGTGTGATTTTCCCTTTCAAAAGCGAGTTTTTCTGCGCTTCGAGAAGAGCTTGGAGGTTCGATCCAGATCCGGAAATAAGCACTGTAATTTCCATTTCGAAGAATGATGAGAACTTCAAAGCCAAGAGAAAATCCGAGTGAGATAGCCTGGAGAATTAACCTGACTTTGGTCCGTGAATGCAGTACTGCATCAACGCTGGGGGGTTCTTGCTAGAGTTCCCACTTGTCTGATGGATCCTAAATGGCTTTAGAATAATCAAATTATCCATTGTAAGTAAAAGGCTCGGGCCTTATCTGGAATAGCCCCGAAGTTAACACTGACTGGTGGTGTATTTTCTTTGGTGTTTATCAGTCTCTAGGCTGTGAGCCGCAGCAAATTGCGGCGAGTCAGAATATCATATGATACGTGCTTTTGGTCTAGAAATGGCATGATTTAGAGCCAATTCACAGAGGAAGGATATAGTTGAATATGCATCTGGAAGTAAACCAAGGCATATCTGCACATCTAAACATTTGCGTATAAATGTCTTATTGAAGGATTATCATTGAATGGAAAATCTGATCCGAGTCCACCCTAATTTCAGTCGCGCCCAGATCTCGCAATACATACGAGAGTCTGACAGCCGGGGTGACCATCTGACCATCGTTGACAACATCTAGTAGTCGATGGTTTGAATGCAAATTCATGTGGCTCAGAATTTTTGATTTCCAAAAGTGGACTAGTTTTCATGAAATGGAATTAAATAACAATACCAAGCATATCTCCCGAAGATAATCTATGCCAAGTAGTTCATTGTCATTTACCAGAGAACAAACTGAGAGAACCATAAGGACTCGAGACAAGCGACATAAAAACATGTGATTGACTTTCAGTTGTTGAAATTAATCTACAACCCGTCCTCTTTTTGGGAAGAGTACCTCCTGAGTCAGAGCAATTTTGCGTTAATTTCATAATTTACATACTTCATAGGTGCATCGAGCGTAATTCCTTTATGACCTTGCTTCGAGCATACTGACAGAAGCAAGAATGAGACCAAAAAATAGAAGTGAAAACAATACAAAAAAACCACGAAAAATTGCATGTGCTAACATACCTCTGTGGTAATTTTCGGTTGCTCTCATTACTCTTGGACCCCTCTTCATCCATACGACATGTGACCGCACGTGTGCTCAGAACCATCACAGGGTGTTGGTGCTGGGATGAAATCCAACAATGCATAAACGGTTAAATACATTTGGTGAATTTCAAAATGTTGCAAACAGTAAGGGAATTCCACATGTCACACATTGCCACAATTCAACTTCTTTTGCAAACATTTCGGCCCGCCTGTAATAATGTTAGAGGGCTGTTGCATGGCTCGCTCCAAAAGTCGCGCCAACGCCCATATCAATGCCCGCCTGTCACGCATCCCCCGCCTATCTTGCTTGAAGTGCGGGTAACCTGGTCCCAAATTTACGCAAGAAGCACTCGCGTTTACACACAGGAAAATTTTTCTCCTGATGCCCTGCGTGGCCCACTTGGGCAAAAAGGCTTTCCTCTACTTCCTTCTTTTGTTCTTTCAAGTCAGACATCACTAAAAGTTCAAAATGGGTATGTAGCCTCCAATAACTGTCCTATTCAACAGCACGAACTAGATCAGGACTTTGTTGTTCCCATGTCATTGCCCCAATATTCGGCTTTGCTATTTGTCCGTTTTCTCGATGGGCGATTTTGCCTTAGAAATTGTGCCGGATGCACCCCTGCTGGGAGGTGGCGCCAGCAGTCATTGGGCTGCTGTTTCCTCTCGAATACAGTACTAACAACCACACAGTTGCTTTCACTATTGACCAAATCCGTGGCTTGATGGACAAGGTTACGAACGTTCGTAACATTTCCGTCATTGCCCACGTCGATCACGGTAAATCTACTTTGACCGATTCTTTGGTCCAAAAGGCCGGTATTATCTCTGCTGCCAAGGCTGGTGATGCCAGATTCATGGACACCAGAAAGGATGAGCAGGAGAGAGGTATCACCATCAAGTCCACTGCCATTTCCTTGTACGCTGGCTTGAACGATGACGACTGCAAGGAGATCAAGCAAAAGACCATTGGTAACGACTTCTTGATTAACTTGATTGACTCCCCAGGTCACGTTGACTTCTCTTCTGAAGTTACCGCTGCTTTGCGTGTTACCGACGGTGCTTTGGTTGTCGTCGACTGTGTTGAGGGTGTCTGTGTCCAAACCGAGACTGTCTTGAGACAAGCTTTGCAAGAGAGAATCAAGCCTGTTGTTATCATTAACAAGGTCGACAGAGCTTTGTTGGAGTTGCAAGTCACCAAGGAGGACTTGTACCAATCCTTCTCTAGAACTGTTGAGTCCGTCAACGTTATCATCTCTACCTACACTGAGCCAACCCTCGGTGACGTTCAGGTCTTCCCAGAGAAGGGTACCGTTGCTTTCGGTTCCGGTTTGCACGGTTGGGCTTTCACCGTCAGACAATTTGCCATCAGATACTCCAAGAAGTTCGGTGTCGACAAGGAGAAGATGATGGAGAGATTGTGGGGTGACTCTTTCTTCAACCCTAAGACCAAGAAGTGGACCAACAAGGACAAGGACGCTGATGGAAAGACTTTGGAGAGAGCTTTCAACATGTTCGTCTTGGACCCAATCTTCAGATTGTTCTCCTCTATCATGAACTTTAAGAAGGAGGAGATCCCAACCTTGTTGGAGAAGTTGGAGATCAACTTGAAGGCCGACGAGAAGGAGTTGGAGGGTAAGGCTTTGTTGAAGGTTGTCATGAGAAAATTCTTGCCAGCTGCAGACGCTATGTTGGAGATGATTGTCATTCACTTGCCATCCCCAGTCACCGCTCAAGCTTACAGAGCTGAGACCTTGTACGAGGGTCCATCTGACGATGTCCACTGCCAAGCTATCAGAAACTGTGACCCTACGGCTGACTTGATGTTGTACGTGTCCAAGATGGTCCCAACCTCCGACAAGGGTAGATTCTACGCTTTCGGTCGTGTCTTCGCCGGTACCGCCAAGTCTGGTCAAAAGGTCAGAATTCAAGGTCCTAACTACCACGTCGGTAAGAAGGAGGACTTGTTCTTGAAGTCTATCCAAAGAACCGTCTTGATGATGGGAAGATCCGTTGAGCAAATTGACGACTGTCCAGCTGGTAACATTGTCGGTTTGGTTGGTATTGACCAGTTCTTGTTGAAGTCTGGTACTATCACCACCTCTGAGACTGCCCACAACTTGAAGGTCATGAAGTTCTCTGTCTCCCCAGTTGTGCAAGTTGCCGTTGAGGTGAAGAACGCCAACGACTTGCCTAAGTTGGTCGAGGGTTTGAAGAGATTGTCCAAGTCTGACCCATGTGTCTTGACTTCCATCTCTGAGTCAGGTGAGCACATTGTTGCCGCTACCGGTGAATTGCACTTGGAGATTTGTTTGAACGACTTGGAGAACGACCACGCCGCTGTTCCATTGAGAAAGTCTGCTCCAGTCGTCTCCTACAGAGAGACTGTTCAAGCCGAGTCTTCCATGATTGCTTTGTCTAAGTCTCCTAACAAGCATAACAGAATCTACGTTAAGGCTCAGCCTTTGGACGAGGAGGTTTCCCAAGACATTGAGTCCGGTGTCATCAACCCATCGGATGACTTCAAGGCCAGAGCTAGAGTTTTGGCTGACAAGCACGGTTGGGACGTCACTGACGCTAGAAAGATCTGGTGTTTCGGTCCAGACGGTAGAGGTCCTAACGTCGTTGTTGACCAGACTAAGGCTGTTCAATACTTGAACGAAATCAAGGACTCCGTTGTCGCTGCTTTCCAATGGGCTACCAAGGAAGGTCCTATCTTCGGTGAGGATGTTAGATCCGTCAGAATCAACATCTTGGATGTTACCATGCACGCCGATGCTATCCACAGAGGTGGTGGTCAAATTATCCCAACCATGAGAAGAGTTACTTACGCTTCCATGTTGTTGGCTGAGCCAGCTATCCAGGAGCCAGTCTTCTTGGTTGAGATTCAATGTCCTGAGAACGCTATCGGTGGTATCTACTCTGTCTTGAACAAGAAGAGAGGTCAAGTTATCTCCGAGGAGCAAAGACCAGGTACTCCATTGTTTACCGTCAAGGCCTACATGCCAGTCAACGAGTCTTTCGGTTTCTCTGGTGAGTTGAGACAAGCTACTGGTGGTCAAGCTTTCCCACAAATGATCTTCGACCACTGGGCTGTCTTGAGTGGTGACGTAACCGACCCAGCCTCTAAGCCAGGTGCCATTGTCAAGGCCAAGAGAGAGCGTACTGGTCAAAAGCCAGAGGTTCCAGGCTACGAGGAGTACTACGACAAGTTGTAAGCAACCTGAAGCTATAACACATTTTACTTTGCTGTTGATTGTAGGCTTCATTCTTTACATATTGAGAATACACGGTTTGAAATAATATATGTGAATAGAAATCTTGTATGTTCATATTGGTTGCTTCCTTTCAGAAGATTTCATAGGCAGAGCGTTAGGCTGTTCGGCCCGACATCGTAGTCACGTGAAAAATTAGCAAGAAAAGTATGTGTATATGTAGGATGTTTGTCTATTCTTAGTAAGCAGTCTGTAGTGCGGCTTTATGATTCTTAATGAATTGCGTCAAAATTTGCCTCATCCGGTTCGATCGGCTTAATTGCTTCCCGGCAGGCTCGGAATGCTCGTGCAGAGCGCACGCGATGTAAGTGTAAGCATGAAAATGCATTTACTTTTCTTTAAAATCATTGATTCCACTCAGAAGAAAGAAGAAAAATAAAGCTTTTTCCAGCTCTTCGCTCAAAACCTTTTCGGATTGATTCCTGTACTTTCTGACGCTTCCCGAATCTCATCAATTGATTGTTTGGGGCGCTTCCTTGAATCAGGGTGAATATTCTTTTGTTTTTTTGTTCCGCTTGAAAGGAGACATCACAACAAGCGAGTTTGATTTCCCCGTATATACTACATTCTGGTGCAGTTCTCTTGCAGATATTCTTACCATATTCGAATGATTTCTTTTGATTCGAGACTAAAGGCTATAGCACTGGCTATGACCGTGCTATGGCTATCCTTTTCTACCGTTATACACACTTTTTTGACAAGGAAGAGGCACGCAAAAATCAAAACCTTTAAAACCCAGGCTACCTTGCAAACCTTATTTCTAATTTGGTCCAGCATGTCGTATCGCTTCATTTTTGACATAGACGACTTTGAGAGTGAGGTGAGACAGTGGGCCGCTAACAGGGACATGTCATGTGACGAAAACCATGCAAGCCGGCAAAATCTTAAGTTTGATCCAAGAGTGTGGAACGGGTTAGCATGGAAGCATTCTGTTTTGGCGATGCAACTAACAGTGGTTCTTCTCGTCGCTTACATGAGATTGTTTCGAAGTGTACACGAGTCAATTGAGTCACTATACGAGCATCGCGCACAGTCCAGAATAACCGAATGCATAGGTGAAGCTACTCTCGGTCTAGCCACTTCTAACAAGAAGGGAAAGAAAGTCAGTTTTCTTCTTCCTGAGCCTCGGCTTTTCAGCATAGAATATCTCGAGAAGAAAGTTCATGTTGTGGGTCATCTGATATTGCCTTCCAAGAGACAGATACAGTCTGCATTCGTGTGTTTAGGACTCGGCACTTTCTTACTTCCTAGAGCGCTTCACCATGCCTTTCATTTTCACTTCATCTGTGCAAAATGGCTCAAGTTTACGTCCGACAATCTAATTGCATCAATCTTGCTCTTCACAGGGTTTGAATTGGCCAGTATTGCCAGTCTGAAACTGAGCTCGCCCACCAGCCTATGCAACATCAGGGTGGCATTTTCCCGCTTTATCCAATTCTATGGAGTTTTTCTTTTGCTCATATCCATGCTTGCGTTGGTGCAGGCCAATGATACGCTAAAGTTGTACGTCTACAAAATGTTGGCTCCCTGCGGCAGCGCTAATAGATGGTCTTCGTTCTTCGATGTGCGCGTTCCGAACGAGAATATCTTGTCGGCCATTTTAGGGGAGACTATGATGAAATACACGAATGGAAAACTATCTGAAAACTTGAGCCCACAGCAAGCACACGAGGTGATCCAGGGTGCCATTGATCTTTTTGCGCGGGGTTTGGGTGACTGTGTGACTGTGCTATTGTTTGCGACTTTGGTTTTCGTGCCTGGTGCGCTTGTCCACGTTTGCGGCTATTAGGTGGGAGCCGCTTCTGCGTTGTTTGGAGATGTGGGCTTTTGGATCATGGAATATGAGACAGCATGGAAGACCATTAGAGCCCTCCAGACCCACGACTTTATATTTAGGAGGTTTTTTTTGGATGTACCCGAAATAATATTTATACGTATTAGCAAACGTGAAGCATGTTTCTGCGAAAGTGTCTACTGCCAGTTCTGCTCAAAGAACCAGAATTGTGAGAATCTCGAAATATTTGAGATTCTTGAATGAGATCTCAGCCTGAGCGCAGTTCGATGCCGCGATTCAATCTGAGATACAGTGCGATCGGTCTTTCTCATGAAGGATTTAAAGGCACGCACATTCTGATGATGTTGGTTAAAAACTAGATAAAATTATAACGAGATCCTTGTATCAGTTTAAATTGATATCGGTTTTCGACGGTTTGGTTGACTTTGCGGAGAAGCTTGCCTGTCCGGTCGATCTGCCATTAAGCCGGTAAGTAAATCGCGTATCTTCCTTCCCGTTTAGGAAGGTGCTGCCACGCCTGATTGATGCGCAACCGCTGCTCTTTGTAACCGCATCGGGAAATCTGATCCGCATATTCTTCTGTGAATAATCATATAAAATGGCTTTCTGGTTCAACTGAACCTGCCATACTCTAACTTTCTATCACAAAGCATCACTAACTTCATCAATGGAAAGATTGCAACAAATTGCTAAACAAGCTACTTCAAGCGTGGCTGCCCCTGCCGCCCCTGCTCATCCTTTGGACCCTCTTAGCCCTCAAGAAATTAAGGCTGTCGCCTCTGTGGTCACCAGTCACTTCAAGGACAAGAAAATTATCTTCAACACCGTCACCTTGAGAGAGCCTATCAAGAGAGCATACTATGAGTGGAAGGAGAAGAATGGCCCTGTTCCTCCAAGATTAGCCTACTATGTCGTGGTGGAACAAGGCTTCAACGGTGTGAAGGAGGGTGTGGTAGACATTCCTTCTTTGACCGTGGTGGAATCCCGGAATACCAGTGACGTCCAGCCAATTTTGACTCCCCTGGACCTCCAATCCACCGAGGACATTGTGAGATCCGACCCTAATGTGATCAGGCAATGCGAGATTTCCGGCATTCCAAAGGAGGAAATGAAAAATGTCTACTGCGACGCTTGGACTATTGGCTACGATGAGAGATGGGGTGCTTCTAGAAGACTCCAGCAAGCTTTGATGTACTGGAGATCGGACGAAGACGACTCGCACTACTCGCACCCATTGGACTTCTGTCCCATTGTGGACATGAACGAGGGCAAGGTTATCTACATTGACATTCCAAACAGAAGAAGAAAGGTATCCAAGCACAAGCATTCTTCTTTCCATCCCAAGCATATTGCTGAAAAGTTCGGTACTCCCGAAAACCCAACTGGTTTTAGACAGGATGCCACCCCATACAACGTTACTCAACCAGAAGGTGTTTCCTTCAAATTGGATGGCAACATCATGGAATGGTCTAACTTCAAGTTTCATGTGGGCTTTAACTACAGAGAGGGTATTGTCTTGTCTGACATTACTTACAACGATCATGGCAACGTGAGACCTCTTTTCCACAGAATCTCGTTGTCGGAGATGATTGTTCCATATGGATCTCCTAACTTTCCTCACCAGAGAAAGCACGCCTTGGATATTGGTGAATATGGTGCTGGTAACTGTACAAACCCCTTGGCTCTCGGATGCGACTGCAAGGGTGTGATTCACTACATGGATGCCCATTTTCCAAGTAAGGAAGGAGATGTTCTCACTGTGAAGAATGCAGTTTGTATTCACGAGGAGGACGATGGAATCTTGTTCAAGCACTCTGACTTCAGAGATGATTTTCAAACCACCGTGGTGACCAGAGGAAAGAAGTTGATTATCTCGCAGATCTTCACCGCTGCCAACTACGAGTACTGCTTGTACTGGATTCTCAGACAGGACGGTACTATCAAGTTGGAAATTAGATTGACTGGTATATTGAACACTTTCGTTTGTTCTGAGGGTGAGGATGTCGGTCCATGGGGTACTCAGGTTTACCCACAAGTCAATGCTCACAACCATCAGCACTTGTTCTCTTTGAGATTGGACCCAAGAATCGACGGTGATAACAACTCTGTAGCTACCTCCGATGCGTCCCCTGGAGCTGGTGCAACTGGCTCTCCTCAGAACATGTACGGTAACGCCTTCTACGCTCATAAGAACACGTTCAAGACTGTTGGCGATTCTTTGACCGATGCAACGACCACTAGAACTTGGGACATCTTCAACCCAAGCAAGTTGAACAAGTTTTCCGGCAAGCCATCTTCTTATAAGTTGGTATCCACTTGGGCTTCTCCTCTTTTGGCTAAGGAAGGTTCTTTGGTGAGAAAGAGAGCCCCATGGGCGGCTTGGACCACTGAGGTTGTTCCTTACAAGGATGAGGGCTTGGGATACGGTAGGTTGTACCCATCCGGTGACCATGTCGCGCAATGGTCTGGTGACGGGGCTAGGGGTATGAGAGAATGGATTGGTGATGGTTCTGACAACGTTGAAAACACAGATGTTCTCGTGTTCCATACTTTTGGAATCACTCACTTCCCATCCCCAGAAGACTTCCCGCTCATGCCTACTGAGATCTTCGACCTCATGTTGCGCCCTAGACATTTCTTCACTGAGAGTCCAGTCCTTGATGTTAAACCATCTTATGCTAAAACAACATCCGAAGTCAAGAGCGGCGCTTCGGGAACAGACTCATGTACCTTGAGTGTGGACAAGTCATCCAGATTGGCCTTTTCCGAGACCTCCAGTTGCTGCAAGAAGTGATGCTCTTCCTCCGATTCCATACGTTAATATTTAAATAGGGTGTTTTATAAAGCTATTACCAGATACCATGCAAAAGACGGGAATTTATTAAACACGCCCATTTGCACCTTTTCGATTCACTATACCTGTCAAGGTCACGTGAGTACATGCACTGTAGTAAACCTAACGCGATTGCGGAGATGAGATGAATGAGCCCCAAGACAAACTATTGAAATAAACGCAATGAAATACGTCATTGAGCACATGGAAGAAGGCTTTTCCGAATGGGTTATTCTTGAGTACTCTCAAATCATAAGGGATGTTGGAAAAGAAAACTTAATATTGACGTCTCTCCCCAAGGAAACGACCGAGAAAGACATTCCAGACAGACTTCTTTCATTAGGCTTGCAATGGACCACCGATGAGTGTGTTACCCTCGATGGGGGATTGAAATCTGATCGTGTGTGCTTGCTTGACCCAGCTGCGACAGAGGACTTGTTACCGGAAGACGCATCTCGGTTTGATTACTTTGTCTTCGGGGGTATCTTGGGTTCTCATCCTCGCATTGACCGGACCGGAATTTTGAGAAAGAAATATGGGTTTGCAGGTAGAAGATTGGGTGCTTTGCAAATGTCAACTGATACGGCGATCAGGACAACTCAACTCATTATTGAGAAGCAGCAAAAATTTGAGGACATTAAGTTCATTGACTACCCAGAAATCAGATACAACAAATACGAGTCCACTGAGATGCCTTTTAGATATGTCTTGGACTCGGAGGGAATTCCAATTTTGCCCGAAGGTATGTTGAAGTTGATCGAGAAAGATGCTGACCAAAGTATAGATGATTTGTTGATTGAGTAGAGCTCATAACCGATTTCTTCACCTGACCTTGCCTTAAGAAATAAACAAGAAGGATATACACGTGTTTCATGCCCAAAGAATCAAGCAGTAGTAGACTCTAGCTAAAAACAGTGACTTTCCTGGACTTAGCCCGTGGCAAGTGCGAACTAAGAACCTCTTTCATCACGAACCCCATCGTTTCTTGATCTTCGAAGTAAGAAATATGCGCGCTGATAGCTGAAACAAGAGCAATACTGAACACTCCCATTGGTAGGCTGTAGTCAATTCTTCCCGTTCTATTCAATTCTAGAAGAGCGCCCAATTCCTGTTCATCATAAATGTCTGTTCTTGTCTTACGAGCTGAGGCTTTCGGTTGACCTGAGCTTGTCAATGTGGAGATGATATCACCCAAGGCATTCTCCTCCTCAACACCTGGTTTCTTAGTATCTGATTTCAGCTTTTCGTCTGATTCACTTCTCCTGAACCAGCTTGATGCCAGGTAAAACTTTTCTTGGATATCGTCACTTATAGAAGTCAAGTTTTGTACTTGGGTATTGAATCCTTTGAGGGCGAAAGGAACTTCGTCAGCTTTCATTTCAGCGAACTTTGGATCAACAAGAGGCTCCATACGGTAACTGACAGGGTCACATGGATGAAATATGTTATAGATGTTCTTGCACTTTGGCGATGAAAAGCTAGCATCCAATTGTATTTCGGTGTCATTAACTTGACTTCTTGGCACAATATTTTTTTGTTTGAGAATTTCAAACATACCCACAGGAGACCCAACACAAAACAAGTTTTCGACGTCAAAGTCAAGTTTATAATCATTCGTGTCTTTCCTTTGCTGACTCAATAGGTCGAAACATATTGCAGAGCCTAGAGAGTGCCCGAATAAATGAACTTTTCCATTAAAGTCTGGATTACGTTCCAAGTAAGTTCTGTAAACGAAATTGAGTTCCGACAGAACAGCGCTCATTATTTGTTTGAGGTAGTGGGGCTCATAGTAAAGTAAGACGTCCAAGATTACATCTCCAACGATGTTCCTGAGCGACTTGACACCTTCAACATTGATTTGACTTAAAGTAGGTATTTTTCCCTTAGTCGTCCCTTTATCAGTGCCACCTGGTTTACGAGGATGAAACGAGACACGGTGACGCCATGAAATTGGTAACGTTTGTATCTTGTTATTGGCCTTTTGCTTTTCGTTCTTTGGGTCAAACTCAGGGCCATATGCCAACTCTTGGTATTTTGTCTCATTCTTGTAAACCTCTTTCATGGTGGACCGCATTACATTTACACTATGTGTAAAGTTGACTGACTCATATTTGTAACCAAGAAGCTGACCCACTCCGTGAACGCAAAGCACTAAATGCTCAACATCTCTTTTGGAGGAGTTCTCAGAGCCCTCGTTCTTGAAATCGGCCTCAAGTACTTTCTCAAGCAATTTGCTTTGATCAGGTTTCTTACCTGAGTCGGATAGCGATAAATGCGAGTCCTTACTAAACATGGAGGCAACCTCTGACTGAAATATGTCTGTGAGGGAAGTCACATTGGTGGACTTGACACTGTCAATAATCGAGGAATCTAGATCATTTGTGTAGCCTCTTTGGATTGGTATCACAGACATAAGACTACCGTAGGATGGCTGCATGGATCGAATTATATTGACTTGCAAAGCAGAAAGCTTTTTGGGAAAAAGAGCACCGAAAACATCGTTGAAGTATATCACGGCTTGTCCATTTCCCAAGTCTACCACATCATCCTCCTTTGCAATGTCAAAAGCATCTGCCAGTGGTATTTCTTTGACCTGACTGTTGAATTTGGCAGTCAATTCCCGGGAGGCCTGTGACTTCTCCCCCGCCTTATATTTATAAGCTTTCACATCATTGTAACCTTTCTCTATCTTTAGGGCCATTTCTTGCACAAGTGGTTCTCCATCACGCGTGAACCAAGTACCTCTTCTGACTTCATATACTGGACCCGTCCAGTATACAGTTGAAAGCTGCATCTTATCTAGCTCCACCTTAAATAAGCGGTCCTCTCTCACATCCACGCATGTCTGATTGTTCTCATATGCACGCTCTAGACGGGCATTATCATAGTCCGAGAAGGGCATGAACTTCTCGGGATCTTTTTCTTGGGTATACTCATACCAATCTGGTTTGGAAAGCGGCAGGTCAGTGTTGTAATACCATTTCACCTTGACTGGCCTAGTCGATAAAAGCCGCATGGATGTGATCCTGCGACTCATCACATTTGAGACTGAAGTCTGCAGCTGAACTTTGATTCTCATTAGAATTTATGGCACTGACCTTTTTTTCTCAAGCCACTTCGGGTGGATATGTGGTTGAATTTCGAGGACCGGAAAGCTCGGCCTGTGTTGCTCTCAATCTCTCGCGATTGCGAAATGCATGTCGTAGTTGCGCGTCTGGAGAGAGACATGAATGCTGGAGTTTCGTTATACGCATGCAATACAAAATCAAGAGGGGGAATACAAAACTCCAGTGATACCGTGATTCTTGAGCTTAAGACCCAACCGGTAAAACGGCTTTAGAAGAAGAGTTGAGCAATCATCAAATCTTGAATAAATAATCGGTATATATTGCTTCCTTGTACAAGCGCTACATCATGAAATAATTTCAATTGCCCTTTCTTAACCTGTCCCAAGCACTGGTTTTTGCAGCAGGTTCTTTCCACTGTTCGAATGCTGGGTCTTCGGCGGCCCTTGCATCATCCAATACTTGGCTATCGTCTATGCTAGCTGATGAATCAGAGCCGTCGTCCGTTGGGGAAACAAAGCCATTGACTTCACGGATTTTCTGCCAATGAGGCGCCTGTTTCTCGTGCTCTTTTACCGCACCAAGAACGCCTTGCAATTGTCCGTTTTTTTGTGGAGGTGGCAAGTACGTCACTGCGTGAGGATCAAAGGATACCATGTCTTTTGGACTTTTCATTACAAGGGAAGGGTCCGAAGCTGATTTGTAGTAGTACACAGTGAACAAGGACAAGTTGCGTGGGTCCAATGATTTCCATACATTGAGCAACCTTTGTTTCGACTCGATTTCCTGTTCACTGAATTTTCCACTAGAGCAATCGGCCTCGAGGTTAGCAACTCTGTACTGTTGATCGTTCTTGGCGTGATATTTAGATGACCAGAAGTAGACACTTATTCCTGCTACCAGAAAGAATATCAGTTTGAGAAACGCCGTCGAACGTGGCAGGACCGGAAGGGGCCCCCCAAGTTTTTTTTCCTGGTAGCGCCTATAGATGAAGGGCGTAGTGACAACAATTGAGCTGTCAATCAAAGCCCATATCATAGTAGTTACACCGGAACTTGTGAGGTCTTTCAACATGATATGACGTTCTTCCGTGTTCAACTTGTGGTCCGCCTCATAGAATCCCATCAAGTGCTCGAAATCATCTTTTTTGATTTTCTTGCCCAAAATCATGGGATCATGATGATCTTCTGACGAGAATGAGTCTTGTTCGAAGTCTTTTTCGGTCATTTTGTTCGATTTGGTGCTCTGTTCAATCAGCTAAATTGCTTGCGAAAAACCAATCTTGGGTTCTCCACTAAATAGCGCGCAAATACCGAGCGTTCCCGTTGGTGACCCGCAGAGACTTAGCATTGAGAAGTTGCATGACAGTTTTCAAGAGTTTTCAAGAAGTTCAGGAATCGCATTATAACAAGTGTCTGTGATAAATTGATTTTTAGGACCAAGATTGGCCCGTATAATTTACTTTGATCTATTGGATCACTTTCATTCAAAGACTAGAGTTGATAATCTCTATATACCCCCATTTCTCTAGTTTAACTTGTTATCTTGTCTCATCTCCTCCTTCAACTTGTGCAATTGCTTGACGACATCCTCAAATTTGATGGTGGCGTTTTTGCCTTGCTCCTCTTGAATGTCTCTGTTTCTGACATTGACACTGTGCTCGTTTTGCTCTTGTTCACCGACGATGAAAATGAAGTTGTATTTCAACAACTGTCCGTTTCTGACCTTCTTTTGCAAGGTGTTGCCGGTGACGTCAGCGTCAGCAAAGAAGTGGTGCTTTTTCACCAACTCGTCCTTCAATGACTCGGCGTACTCGATGTACTTGGCACCAACTGGAACAATCAAAATTTGTCTTGGTGACAACCAGAAAGGCCATTTGCCCTTGTAGTGCTCAGTCAAAATTGCGGTCATTCTCTCGACGGAACCTAAGATGGCTCTGTGAATCATGACTGGTCTAGCAAGTGCATTCTCCTTTTCGTTGGTGTCAGACTTGAATTCCAAGCCAAAACGAGCAGGCATTTGGAAGTCCAACTGGATAGTGGCGCACTGGAACCATCTCTTCAATGCATCACTGATCTTGATATCGATCTTAGGACCGTAGAAAGCACCGTCAGCAGGGTTCAACTCCCATTTGCCTTCTCCCATGAACTTGTTTAAGGCGTTCTCCAAGTTCTTCTCGGCATTATTCCACGTCTCCAAGTCTCCAACGTACTTTTCAGGTCTGGTAGACAACTCCATCTTGAACTCAAAACCGAAAGTTCCGTACACCTTCTGCAAGAAATCAAATACGCCGGCAATCTCCAGCTCGATCTGCTCTTGCTGACAGAAAATGTGTGCGTCATCTTGTTGGAAACGACGGACTCTGGTCAAACCAGACAAAGCCCCAGAGAACTCATTTCTATGCACAACACCAAAGTCGGCAACACGCCATGGCAACTCTCTGTAAGATCTCTCGCGGCTCTTGAAAAGAATACAGTGACCGGGGCAGTTCATTGGCTTCAAACCAAAAGTCTCTTTCTCGACTTCAAAGGCAAACATGTTCTCCTTGTAGTTCTCCCAGTGACCAGAGGTCTCCCACAATTTGGTGTTGTACATATTAGGGGTGATGACTTCGTCATATCCCCTTTGTCTGTACTCGCTCTTAAGCATATCGACTAAGGTGTTGTAGATTCTGGTACCGTGTGGCAACCAGAAAGCCGAACCAGGAGACATCTCGTTGAAGTAAAACAATTCTTGCTCCTTACCGATCTTTCTGTGGTCTCTTTCGCTGGCCTCCTTCAAGAACTTCAAGTGCTCATCCATCAATTTCTTGTCCGGGAAAGAGATACCGTAGACTCTTTGCAAAGAGTCGTTAGCAGCGTCACCCAAGAAGTAGGACGAAGAGTTCTTTAAGACTTTGAACGCCTTTATCTTACCAGTGTGCAAGATGTGTGGACCCCTACACAAGTCGATCAAAGGACCACATCTGTAGACGGTGGTAGAGGTGTTGTCTGGGACTTTCTCAGAAATAAATCTCACCTTGTACTTGTTGTAGGCAAACATCTTTAACAACTCGTCCTTGGTCATTTCCAATCTGATGAACTTTTGCTTCTCCTTGATCACCTTGGTGGAAACTTTCTCCAAGTTGCCAAAGTCGTCTTGTGAGACAACTCCCGAACCGTCTCTGATGGACATGTCATAGAAGAACCCGTCCTCGGTTGGTGGACCGTAGGACAAGTGACAACCGTAATGGCACTCACAAGCCTCTCCCAAGACATGGGCAGAAGAATGCCAGAAAACGGCCTTACCTTCTGGGTGTTCGAAGTCCAAGAATTCCAAAGTGGCGTCTGACTCAAAAGGTCTCTCCAAGTCCCACAATTCCCCATCTACTTTCGAGATGACTTGTCTTTCAAGGAAAGACTTGCCGATGCTCGAGGCAATGTCGAAAGGACTTGTTTCGAAAGCAGTTCCTTCCTTTATGGAGCCATCTTTCAAGGTAATCTTGATGGCGACTCTTTCTTTGGCAGCAATCTCAGCATCATACTTGGCCTTGATTTCATCGAAGATTTTGATACGGTGGTCCAAGAACTCAGGCTGTGGGTCCAAGAGCAAAGGGTTTCCCTGGGGAGCCTTCTTCTTTTCTTTTTTTGGAGCAGCAGGCTTTTGGACGTTCTCCTTGACGGAGAGGTTGTCCATGCCTTGTTGAACTTCAGCCATTTCTGTTGGTGATTTCCGTCCTAGGATCTGGGCTAGTTCGAGTGGAAGTCTGGGAGCGCGAGAGAAAAAAAATTATCCACCTCTCTGGGCTGAGAATTACGCACAGCGGCCTCAGGTCTTCGGTGGCAGCTTTCACTAGTTATGCGGCTGTGGCAAATCCACGATTCTGCTTAATGAGTAGGATGGCTGATGGGTTTCAGAATTTGTTCTCTTTTAATTTGAAATCCAGTTTTTTGTCGTGTTTCATTCACGTGCTCAGGCATGTTTCCCAGGCATGGACGCACTCAAGACCTTCCCTCAAACAATCAAAATGTATATTTTGGCCGTTCCGCGTAAACACCAATCATTTTAGACTAAGTGATTTTGAATCTTGGTAATATGTCAGGATTCGACATCCTCTACACGAGACAAGCGAGACCATGCCACGGCCGAACAGGCGACCTGTAGCTCTTATATTTACATGACTTACCGTTCAAACACCCTAGAAAACCTTTGGAGCCAAAGCAACGACTTTGTTGTACTCCAAAGCCTTCAATTCCTTGGCAACCACCGAGGAGACTCTGGTGCCCAATGGATCTCCATTCTTGTTGATCAACACACATGCATTGTCATCAAATCTCACAACAGAACCGTCAGGTCTTCTGAAAGGAGCTTTAGTTCTCACAACAACAGCACGGCAAATATCCCTTCTTTTGACTCTGTTGTTGGCATTTTGGCCCGTGATCTCTGAGTTCATAGGCTTGGCTTCCTTGATGACCACCGTGATCTGGTCACCCACCTTAGCACAATTCTTGGGCTTGTGGCGAAGCACATTAATACATTCGGCAATCTGTGCTCCCGAATTGTCCACCACTTTGAGAAGTGTCTTCAAATAAATCATGTTGGGCGATCTATCGAATGAGACTGGTTTTCTCGGCTTTTTTTACTACTTCTCACTTGTCGTGCGAAGCTCAAGTATATTTAGTGAAAGAGTAGGAAGTTTATAGTTACACACACCTATCGTCTTCGATGAAAAACGTCAGGCTTGCAGGCATTCTTCAAGCGTGTAAGCTTTGAGGTTATAAAATGTGAGCGACGCTAAGTAGGAAAAGTTTTGGATAATTTCGCATCGCCTCAGGCTGTTGATCTCTCCACTCGCGCCAGCGATTCTTTACCGTAATTCTTTTACCTGGGTCCGACTGCTGGACGTATATGTATCACCTGTAATGAAGATGTCACTACTACTTCCGAGGGCGCATCTCTCAAGTATCTACACAATTTTTGGGCGCAGGAATTACAGTATTGTCAAGAACTGGAATGAGTCACAGATCATCACTGACCGTCGGTCCAAATTCCAGGCTCGCCATGTTGAGATTAGTGACCTAACGGAAATTCCGGAGATTCTCCGCCAGTTCTTGGCAGATCACAAAAGTATCGCAAAAAACTCTTCACATCCCCATATGCTAGCATGGAGGACAGGGCAGCTCTCCTCCGCTGATCCGGGCCAAGATCCCGTGTATACTAATATTCAGCAAGGTTTCAAAGACTGTGGAGAGAAAGGTGCAGGAAGCAAGATCCTAGACGTGCTTATCTCTCAAAACGCCATGAACAAGCTTGTCATCGTGACCCGCTGGTTTGGCGGGTCTCATTTGGGTTCTCTGCGATTTAGACACATTGTCAATTGCAGTGCGGAGAGCTTGCGAAAGGGCTCACATGGCGAGCAGCGTTGCCTGAAGAGAAAAACGAGATAGACTGGGGTTTCTTGTGAGTTACATGAGAGCTCCCACATGGGTGGAGTGAAAATCGAGTATACTTAGGCTTGATGGCCGAAGGGTCTAAATCACGTTTTATGGTGCCATCATTCTACCTGTCTTGGTTTATGGCCAATATGTCTTCCTGCGTTTTATTGCGCTGACTCGTTCCAACCCGCGCACTGGAAATTTCGTTTCTTCTCTTCCACTCATTGCTTCGTAGAGTTCAGCCGCCATGTTCTTGAAAAGATCTTTGGCCCTCACTGGGCGTTACTCTCGCAGAAGCGCTTTGCCTTCTTTTTGCTTCACGGTGCCATCCCGGTTATATTCCGCCGTTAAGACCGTGCCTCTCACGGCCGAGACTTACTCGGACAAAGTCCACAGAAACCCCAGCTTCAAAACGTTGGAAGACAGTGATCTCGAGTTTTTTCGCTCTGTTTTGAAAGACGAAAACTATGTCATAACGAACGAGGCTGACCTAGATTTCTTCAACGAGGACTGGATGAGAAAATACAAGGGCCAGTCCAAGTTGGTGTTGAAGCCCAAAACCACACAGCAAGTCTCGGAAATATTGAAGTACTGTAACGACAAAAAACTCGCTGTGGTTCCACAGGGCGGAAACACTGGGTTGGTGGGTGGCTCGAATCCGGTTTTCGACGAGATCATCCTCTCGGTGTCGAGCTTGAACAAGGTCCGCTCTTTTGATGCCGTGAGCGGAATCTTGAAGTGTGACGCTGGTGTCATCTTGGAGAATGCCGACAACTTTTTGGCGGAGAACGGGTACATTTTCCCCCTTGACTTGGGTGCCAAAGGTTCCTGTCATGTTGGAGGTGTGTGTGCTACAAACGCCGGAGGCCTTCGTCTTCTTAGATACGGATCTTTGCATGGCTCTGTCTTGGGTTTGGAGGCTGTTCTCCCAGACGGCACAATCTACAATTCCATGGACGCTTTGAGGAAAGACAATACTGGCTATGACTTAAAGCAAATGTTCATCGGTTCTGAGGGAACAATCGGTATCATCACAGGGGTTTCTATCTTGTGCCCTTCGCGTCCTACCGCCACAAACGTTGCTTTTTTGGCCGTTTCGTCGTACGAGGCAGTCCAAAAAGTTTTCGTGGGTGCTCGTCGTGAGTTGTCCGAGATTCTCTCTGCTTTTGAGTTCATGGATGGGAAATCACAACTCTTGACTGCGCGTTACTTGAAGGCAGATCACCCCATCGAGAGCGGACAATATCCTTTCTACATTTTGATTGAGACCAGTGGCTCTAACAGAGACCATGACATGGAGAAGCTTGAAACATTTTTGGGCAACGCCATGGAGGAGGAGCTCGTCGATGACGGAATCATCGCTCAGGATGAAACTCAATTACGTAATTTATGGGCCTGGAGAGAGTCTATTCCCGAAGCATCGGCCCTGGCTGGTGGAGTCTACAAGTATGATGTCTCCATTCCATTGAAGGACTTGTATGGTTTGGTTGAAGATGCTAGTCAAAAATTAGCTGCGGCCGACTTGGTTGACTTTGATTCCGAAGCCAAGCCTGTTGTGGAAGCTATCGGCTACGGTCACATTGGTGACGGGAACTTGCATTTGAATGTTTGCGTTCGTGAGTACAACAAGCAAATTGAAAACATTTTGGAGCCATTTGTCTACGAGTGGATTCAATCCAAAAAAGGCTCTATTTCAGCAGAGCACGGATTAGGATTCCAAAAGAAGAATTATATTGGGTACTCAAAGAACGATCTTGAGATTCAATTGATCAAAAACGTAAAGAACCATTATGATCCAAACGGTATTATGAACCCATACAAATACGTTTAAATACTCGCCAATACGCACATACAGTCTTGCTTTTACAATTGATTGAACTAAGTCATTTGCATCCCGAAAAAGAATGACGCTTCCATTACAACTTCGTATCATGTACTCTCAACAAAGAGCCTTCCTCATACATCTCGGAGAATTCTTTCAGAAAAAATTTAGAAGCTTTCACACGTTTGATTTTCATCGTAGGTGTAATGATATCATCTTCAATCTTCATAGGTTCGATGGCAATACGAAGATTGTGCACGCGCTCAAATCCATGTAATGAGTCCCCAACAGAGGCGTTCATGTCTTTCAAAAAACGCACTTTTACCTCATCCTCATTCATGAATCGAATGATGCTTTCATTCGTGAATTGGCTTTTCTCGAAATTCTTTTTGATCCACGGCTTGATAGTTTCAGGGTCAACTCCAATTATTGATACCAAGTATGTTTTGAGGGAGTCACCATGAACTAGTATCTGCGATAAAAGTGGAAATGCGGAGAGATATGTATTCTCGATTTTCTCCGGAGTGATATACTCTCCTTGGGCTATCTTGAAGAAGTTCTTCACCCTGTCAATAATGAAAATTCTTCCAGTTTTCTTGTCGATGCTTGCAACATCTCCAGTACTAAACCATCCCTCATTATCCTTAACCTTTGCGGTTTCTTGGGGATCTTTGTAGTACTCTCTGAATATTTGAGGGCCACGTAACATCAATTCACCGCGAGGGCCTCCAGCATCTTCAGATGTATAGTTCATAACAGGAAGATCCCTTAATTTGATCTCAGTAGTAATTGAAACCGGTCCACAAGACCCTGGATCCGCTTCGTATGGCAAAGACCCGCAGACTCCTGCGAATGATTCAGTCAAACCATAGCCCTGAGAAAATCCCATATTCAAAGTGGATTTCAAGAATTTCACGGTCTCAACAGATATTGGGGCTGAACCCGAGCTTACTGAAATGATATCAGTGAATCCCAATTTTTTGCGGAGAAGGCCAATTAAACGGTCGTAGAAAATGTGCCTGCCTTCAGCTCCATCAGCTTGCAGCATCATTTCAGTTTTTGCTTTGACTGCATTAGCAAAAAGCTTTTGCAAAATTGGCTTGTCCGTGTTGTTTATTGTTTGAGCTTTGATTGCGGATTCAAGCTTAGTGAAAACTCGAGGAACTAAAGCTAAAGAATGTGGCTTCAACTCTTTTAAATCATCAATTAAACCCAAGGGTGATGCGGATTGCGGCATACCCATAGCTGATCCAATGAGATAGGCATAATTGGTCACCATTCTTTGGTAAATGTGAGCAAGTGGCAAAAAGCAGTAGAACCGAGGTTCATCATTTATTTTAAGACCGCTTAAGCAAAAGGTCACGCCCGAAACAGCATTTGCATGGGTTAAGACCACACCTTTAGGCATCGATGTTGTTCCAGAAGTAAAAGAAATGGTGTAAACAGTTTCTGCAGTTGGATGCTCTGCAACAACCGGGGATAAGCCCCCCAATTCCACCACCTGGTCAAAATCATATACGGCTATTTTTGCAAGCTTGCTTCTTTGGATCATTGCATCATCTAGTGGGCTAAGACGGTCCATCAGCACGACAGCAATAAGGTTTGACAATAGTTCCGGATTATTCTCCTTTAAGATAATAAGTTGCTCAATTTTATCTTTAGAGCACACAACAATTGGCGACTCGGTCAATCCAAGGATATGTTCGGCTGTATCTTTTCCCAAAGTGTCGTACAACGAAGTATTGGTGATGGAATATTCTGAGCAAGCCAAATCAGTGATACACCATTCCCGGCGGTTATGGGAGTAGATTGTTAATATGAAAGACATCTCTTGTTCTTTCACGACATTATGATGCTCCATGATTTTCGAATGTGCTTCAGACTCAGTGATGAAAGGGTTATTCTGGAGAATAAAAAACACCCCTGCGCCAAACTTTTTTTGGATCTCGTCGATCTGACTATAGTTTTCCCATTTGTAAACACCATATGAACCATCCGTTTGAAGTGTTCTGACACCGATACAATTGGAATTGGGAAAATTTTCCTTGCCTACGTCGAAAACGTGTTTCAATGTTGTGATTGATGGATGCGGTGTGCTAATCAAACCCTCTTGGGTCCTCATATTTCTGTAAATTGGAGAGTAGCCTTCTTCTTTTGTTCCCAGAATTGGATATGCTTCGGACATACTGAAGGGATCCAAGGGCATGCCTTCTTTGATCTCCAGGAATATGGTTTTTTTAGATTGCGGAAATAAAGATGTCATAATTGAAGCTTCAAATAAAGTAGATAAGAGCTGAGTAGAGAAAAAAAGTGTTTTTAAATATTTCGCTTCAAGAGTAATGGGTTACATTGCTAATTTATATTGTGTTGCTCTTGCCTGTTTTCGATCTTGGATAGATTAACCAGTGGGGTAAATAGGCTCAGCAGAATCTGGAAATACCTCCGCACTCGAAGTCAATTTGGACCGAGGTTCTTCTACCCGCATTGTGTCGACACTGATATAGACTGAGGATTGTATTACTTGTGTATATAGAAGAATTCCTTCGCAAATTCATTTCTCTTAGAGGCAAAACCTGCAATAAATTTACACTGTGTGTTGGAATATGACACAAAATGATTGAGAATTGGTCATCGGTGGTATTCGAGAAGCATGTGCTAGGGTAGCGAAAGCTTTGCGATAAGCCGCACGCATTTAGATGTGCGAAGTTTATGAGAAACCCCATCATGTTTCTCTAGTCATACAGCTTTTCCCATTAAAAGCGGACCCTCTAGAAATATCATCTAATGCAAACTTATGCCAATTCAAGAAGTTAGTGATCTGCTCAAGTCAACTTCGAAGAACAATTTTATTTAGTGGTGTTTTCATAGTATCATTCGAAGAAATTGACGCGAATGCAATTTTCATTCTGAAAAACCAAGAGCAAATTTTTGGAAAGATGGAAAAGATGATTTCCCTCTTTAAATGTAATTTTCACAACAAAAATCTCCGAGTATGTAAAAGGTGTTATAATCTCTTGTTCGAGTGGATATGAAATTTAGTTCCACTAATAGATGACGCCAAGCGAACAGTACTTACAAGCCAGATCGTCCAAAAGAGAATGCAATAGGCAAGAATTGCCCAGAATATTTGCCATGTCTGCGCCAAAATTTGTTCAATGCTCTCTATTAACTTCCAAATCCTAAATTTATCATGACTGATTCGCAGATTATACGTTCCCATATGATAAAGCTCTTTTATTCACTTTCTATGGATATTCTATAAAATTCTCATGAACTCAGACAAGCTACAATAGGTTATTGACTTCATCCACCTCTTCCACTTCCTTTTGGAAATCAGGCCGCAATCTCTCGTACCCATCTAGGGTACGGCTATAAGTGATGCCACCTAAACGGGCCACGGGTTTCAATTTGGCTATGTCCAAGATGTTCATGTCCTCATTGATTACATCTTCTCTTGCGTGGAAATTTACACCTTCCACAATGCACAATGTACCTGTGGCTTTCCCAGGATCAGCTTTTGACTCCCATTCGTGTGAGTGAACCAATTTAGCCTCAATACTAAAGGCGCTTTCAGCAACATGGGGCGGCTTAACCTTCTGAGACTCCAATGGGGTCAATCCACTCAATTTCCATTCGTCTGTTCCAAGGGGACTATTGATCGAAGTGAAGTTTGCTGCTTCCACAAACCACTCGCTGATAATATTGATGGTCAATTCTTCGGTCTCCAATATATTTTTGCAGGTATCCTTGTGGCTCCCTTTGCCCCCAGAAAAACCAAGTGTGAAAATTGGAGGGTCATGGTTCACCACAGTGAAGTAGGAGAAGGGAGCTAGATTCTTCTTTCCGTTTTCTCCGATAGTGGACACAAAACCAATGGGCCTTGGCACAACGGCCGAAATAAGGGTTTTATAATTATCAACGGGTGATCGTCCTTCTTGATAGGGGTCAATCGATATCTTCTTGTAATTCTTCCACTCATCAGAGTTTGCACCGGATCCAGGTTTCCATTCAACATCAGGAATTTGAGTATACTGCCATTTCTTGGACTTATCGAAGGAAGGTCTTTGCCTTTCGACTCTTGCGAAGTCCGGATGGGGGTTTCTGTTCACTTTGCTCTCAAGCCCAGCTTTTGCTTGAGTCATAATTGCTTTTTTCAATACACCTCTAGACATGGGTATTCGAAGTTGATAGATGTGTGAAAAAGTACAATTTATATACAGCAGAATGCATATCACGTAATTGCCCAGTTTGCGTCGCGGCGAGGTAACTTCTTTTTTCCGTTGCTGCAGACCCCGCAATTCTTAGTAATCATTATTTGAGCAACAAAGACAGGCTCTCCCTAGAATCTAGAAAATAGCTCCTTGAATGTATTAAGTGGATTAAAAGAAAATACATTGCTTCTCATACTGATATACGCTATCTTAAATATGTGGTACTTGTCCATGCGATTGTGGGATGCGGCTCCAAGGTTCAAATAAGCAGTCGAGCTTGGGTGAAATGTGGAGCAGCTGCATGAACACGTCAAGTGTGGCATATCTTAGAGAATTTGAAAATGTGCATTGTTGAAACACTTCACTAGGAAGTGATATACGCACATTTGCTTCCATTTTCAGTTGATTGTTATCACGATCAGTGAGATCTACTTTAAATATTTTGTTCGCGCCGGCACAGAAGGCTGACTTAAAACGGAGTCATAGTACGCGCAACGGACTCAATCACATATCTTCCGGATCTAGAAAATGGCCAAAAAAATATTGCTCGTGAATGGGCCTAACCTAAATTTGCTTGGGTCAAGAGAGCCTGAAAAATACGGCACAACCACACTAGCCGATATTGAGGCAGAGGGTCAAGCCCAGGTGTCTAAATACGAAGGCGCTGAGCTTTTTACGTATCAAAACAACACTGAAGGTTTTATCGTAGACAGAATACATGAGGCTAAGAAACAAGGTGTTAAGTTTATCATTATCAATGCCGGGGCATACACACATACGTCCGTGGCAATTCGCGATGCGTTGTTAGGTACAGATATTCCATTTATCGAGGTTCATATTACAAACGTCCATCAGAGAGAACCCTTCAGACATCACCTGTATCTTCTGGATAAGGCAATTGCAGTTATTGCTGGCTTGGGTGTTTATGGATACACGGCTGCCCTTGAGTATGCCTTGAACTACTGACCGATTTTTTGGAAAACGCACTTGTTTTCATGCATCGGCCTAGGGAGGTGATTGTCGGATCGAGAAAGGATGAAATACCATCGCTAGGAAGAGGTGTAATATCTATGAAGCTGCATATACCGTATTTTATTTGTATATTTTCTTCGTGGAGGATAACCCACCAAACAGAATAGCAAAATTAAAGACCCAACTTACAGATGTGTCCTTGAAACATGGTATCTGGCGGAGCGATCGAATATACTTGCACCTTTTGTTTGCGTCCGTCGCATTTTCGGGTGCCTGATTTAATGAGCATGCATGTATGTATCGTGCCGAGAAAGACTGAGGGAACTATTCCCAGTTGATTAGAAAAAACTGAATGCGAGAAAAGCGCGTTGACAAAGATATGTAGAAGCTCAATATTTATACCCAGTTTATCGCAAGGATTATGTCCTACATTTGCGTTGGTGTCTGAGATATTATTTCATGACTGATCCTCCAATCTTTTGTCCAACATGGGTCAGGTGCTCGAGCAGTAATCAATTTTCATATTTGCACCAGCCACTCGGAAGAAGAGAACATTGGGACATTCGGAGTGACGTTTCCACTGCCAAATGTTTTCTATAGTGTTATCGGGGCCAAGCATGATGCAGGATTTTCACAAAGGGCATATACAAACTAGGATTATCGATGTATTTTGATGAGGTTCAATGGATTGTGTTGAGTGAATCGTAAGACAAGAGCTCCGCGGTATGGAACTTTAGATCGATCATACCTTGTATTGTCAGAGATTTAGTCCTTCGGTTGCATGCATGAATTTCGGTCAAATACCTTGCAGCCTATCAACAGGCAAAAGCTGACAAATAATTGATTATCGAGTAATTACACTGCATCCTCAAGATTACTGTTTAACACCTTAATCATAGTTGATATTTTAAACTCACTTTGAGCCGTGTTTCCTATGCAGTATGATTCGGAAAACTCAGACATCTAATCGACAACGAGGTAAAATGCAGTGTATGAAATGTAAATTTCTGATCAACGACAGAAAATCGACAAAGAAGGAGAGATGATTTATTTTCTCTTGCTTGTTTTGAAGAGCGTCAAACAAACGCTAGCATGTTGTTGGTATATATCTTATCTTCCTGGATCCATCAAAGCAACTGCGGTGTCACCGGAAGCGATCGCGTGCGGTTTGCCGTCACTTCCGCTTTTGAGAATTTCTGGGTTAGGTCAGAGATTGATGTTTTTTTTAAAAGAACTCACATCTTTTCGATTGAAATCGAGCGCCTTCGAAACTGTGAAAGACTTAAAAATTCATTGTTAGAAAATATTTCGCGTCGCACAACCAGAAATGCGGCTGAAAGAGATGAAGTCCCCAGAAGTGTATTCTTACCATCTCACTTTTAGTTTGTTCTTTCATATTAGTCGAGCTGATCAGGTAAAGCCATTACTAACAGCTCATAGATTCTAAAACATTATTTCCATCAAAAGCTTCATTTCATATCGCCCACTAAGGTTTATTGATTGAATCAATTTTGCTCTCATATTTTGCGACTCTACATATAGTCCGGTTCATTTCTTAATGGCTAAAGCTGTAGTGGCGCTGATTTTTTTATCTTCAGTGATGGCGCTTAAATTAGAGATGGAGATTTCAGAATGGCTTTCGCGTGTTCATGCTGCACTCCCAAACTTCGTTCCTGCCATGAAGATCAAGAAGAAGAAACTACGGTTTGATGAGTCTTGTACTTCTATAGAGTGGGGGACTAAAAAGAATTTTGATTCTGAACTGCTTGATAAAGTTTATATCAATAAGCCGACATGAAAAGGAAATGACATAATTCATCTAGTTTCCGAACTTGACCAAATTGGTAGGCGAGGGCCTATGTGGCTGTCTCTGAGCTAGAAACGTTCATAACTGCATTTGCAGGCTACATTATTGTCAAAGCTATCGTGTTGAGTTCCATGGAGATGAGGGATGTAACCGGGAAGCCTATCAATTTAATATTAATATCGACGATACTCGATTGTTTATCGTCTGATGCAGATTCACACCTTCAAACCCCTCAGGATTGATACTTCAGGGATTATTTAGCTGGGCAACACAACTCCACTCATAGGTGCACTTGCAGCAGTTTCTTCCTATTAATACCAAGAAAATACCACAACTTATCTCATATAGGCAAATTTTGACCACAGCTTGAACTATCTTCTTTCTTTTTAGGCAGCCAAGTCTTTCTTCACCAAATCTGAAGAGCAGGAGCCGCGATAGTTCAAATCCTTTTGAGCACCAGCGCCAAACAAGAGTGATGATTCTTTGAGCTTGATGCCGATCTTTGTTGCAATGCTGACATAAACTCATGCTGCAGATGCACGGAGACAATCCCAAAAATACTGCAGTACATCAGTAGATATCTTTCAATTACCTGAAGTGAAATTAGATGTATCAACTAAGAATTAGGCGTGAAAAGATGATTAATTGAACCATGACCTGTTGTGAACAAAGCGTGCACAAATTGTCCACACGTTTTCAACCATACATGCCTTCCTCCATAGCCAGAGGAACAGGCTTATCACCATAGACCCCATACCAACTCACTGGGCTTCTCCATTCTTCTACCCTCAACAGTAAGAAATCGGCAGATTTTCTGCCCATAACTTGGGCATCGTAGAGATTATCGCCCTCATAAGCATAAATCACAATCAAGCTGAGGGTCGAGTATTTGGAAATAATATCGACGAGGGCTTTGGCGTAAGGCGAAGTATCTTGTGCTATGACAGCTGTTGGATCTGTTGCCGTTTTTGAAATGCTGAGTGAGCTGAAAGACTCTGTTAAAACATCTTCGGAGGTGAAAATCAGAACATCTCCAGGCAATACTCCCCTTGCCAAACCAGCGTCCAACAGATGCAAAACCACTACATGCTTAAATTGACTAGCCTCAACAAAGGGCACAATTACTTCGGCAACATGTCTAGCAGGAAACCCCGGCATAAGAGGTGCACGCTGCTGAATCAAAGTTAAATTTTGGCCTTTGCAAAAAAAGACCTCAAGCCCAAAGGACACACCTCCTGGGGGTTGAGATGTTGAAGCATGGTCGACTGGGGACACAAAAGGGTACAAGTAATCGTCAGAAAGCGTGGCAACCTTCTTGAATTCGAGTGAATGTAGTAAGAGGTCCAGTGCCAACTGTGGGATATTGGCAATGGAGACTGATGGGATCAAAAGGATGGAGTTCCGAAGAGCTGCTGCTGAAAATCCCGCTTCAAATTTCATGATTTGGCGGCAGAAGGTTGTTAGACTAATAAGGGAAAGTGAGATGAACAGGTACGAGGGTATGAGCGCTCAGTGCGCGAGGGAAGCCAACTATGGGCACCGTATGTATGAGTCCTCCGAAATTAACCAAACAATCTCGGGTAGCAAGCAATGGGACCATCAAGGTTATGTAGCCCAAATGCTAACATGAAGTCTAAATTATAACAAGTTCTACAGATCATCTTTAATTTTTCGTTGTAGAAATCTGTCTCGGTCGAAAGAGGAATGCCGGAGACCAGTCAACGAATGAGCGCGTTGGGTTGGCGGAGGCATGCGACGACATGCAAAAACAAGACACAACCTGGGCCTGCACTAATTTTGCTATATTTGGGAAAATGAAATCTGCTCATGGAGTCGCGGCCCACATCTTGTGAGTGTATGGTCAAGGATACGGTCCATGTATGAATGGATTGGAAGCTTCTCAAACGGCGTTGCTCGAAGCACGCACAGCAAGTGCTACTCACTGAGACAAAAAATCTACAGTGACATTCTGAATTCCTATATGTACAAGTTGTATAAATGTATAGACGGAGCTTACTCCAAAACAACCTTGGCACCCAAACCTTCCAAGGTTGCCTTGATTTTGTCGGCGTCTTCCTTGGCGACGTTTTCTTTCAACACCTTTGGAGCAGCCTCCACGAATTTCTTAGACTCCACCAACGACAAGCCCAACAATCCCTTAACCTCCTTGATAATTTTAGGCTTAGCCTTGGCGTCGAAGGACTCCAACTTGATGGAAAAGATGGTCTGCTCCTCCACAACCTCCTTGACTTCCTCCTCAACTGGGGCAGCAGGGGCAGGGGCAGCAGTGCCGGCAGATGGAAGAGCAATGTCAGAAATGTTCAATCTGGTCTTCAATTCCGAAACCAAAGAGGATGTCTCTAACAATGTCAAAGTAGAGATTTGATCAACGATCTGGCTGATCTTGGGGTCCACTGGAGCACTGGTGGCTTCAGCGGCAGCTGAGTTGAACCGCACGGAAAAGCGGGTGCTGGTTCTGGCGAATGCTCTGGAGGCTGGTCTGGCGATCTGACGCAACATGCTGTGGTAAAGATTTAGAATCGTAAAATTTTTCCTGTCTTTTTCAGATTTTTTCTCTTGACATAATTTCCTCGACCTCGCAATCGTTTGGATGTACGGGTGTATATGCCTCTGGCAGACCGGGGTCATAGTCGTCAACTGAACATTTATTCAGGAAATATATTGGGTCTTCTACTAAATACCTGGAGGAGCCCGGCCACGAGGAAGTTTTGAGTTGACAGCCCTCCACGGTGGGGCCGTTGCCAAATCCAAATTAGATGGTCGTGCGCACACCAACACATCCATAAAGACTGGATTCCTCACATGAACTGACTTGGCACAACACCATGGCTTCCTTTCGTTTCTGTGCAGAATGCAACAACATGTTGTATCCAAGAGAAGACAAGGATAATGCCAGACTTCTATACTCCTGCAGGAACTGTGACTACACTGAGTTGGCAGAAAACGCCAAGGTCTATCGTCACGAGTTGATCACCAATATAGGTGAGACTGCAGGTGTTGTTCAGGACATTGGCTCTGACCCAACGTTGCCCAGATCTGACAAGCTTTGTCCGCATTGCGGCAATCATGAATGTGTGTTTTTTCAGTCCCAGCAGAAGCGGAAAGACACTTCGATGATTTTGTTTTATGTGTGCTTGGAATGTAAGAGGGTTTTTAGAACGTGATCCCCGAGGAAGTTGAAATGAAAGCAAAGTCTTAACAGCACGACGCTTGGGAATTCTGAAAGTCCAGTCCCGAAGCGGAAGCCCTGAGGCCAAGTGTATGGCTTGGGTTCAGATTTCAATTGATATGACAGTGTGCCCATATTCTCGCACGTCACGCAAATATGTACATTAGTTACGGGTTTTGAATAGGAAACGGAGTATGGATTGTCTAAGAGTTGGTTCGGCAAAAAGTTTTTAAAGAAATGTGCGTCTTCCTCCGTGATGACGGTCTCGTTCAACAATATTCTAAAATTCTTGGAATAAGTGGCCGAAGGGGTCTTCACCACCACATCCGTAGTCTAATTTCTCTTCGGGGTAGTGGTCGAAAAGAGAAGAGTCACCCACTCCGGCAGTGATAGGAGGCTCGTAAGGAGTTTCAATGTCCTTGACCAAAAGCTTTTCCCACACGACCTCGTTAAACCAAGGGTGGTTGCGAATGTCTGCTGGACCATTCAACAAGTTTCCCAACCTGGAGGACAAATCTGCCGTTATCAATTGCCTCAACAAGTGCACGACATCCTCGTTGAAGAAGCTGGGGAAGGAGACCTTTCCTGATAAGATCTTCTCGTAGGTTTTCATGGGGGTGTTTTCATAAAATGGAGTGAAGCCTGCCAACATCTCAAAGATCAACACTCCCAAAGACCACCAGTCAACGGACTTGTTGTACGGCTTAGAAGTGATGACCTCAGGCGCAATATAGTCCGGAGTACCACACAAAGTCCACGTCACTGTGGATACTTCCTTTGCAAATCCGAAGTCTGTGATTTTGATGTGTCCGTTTCTATCCAACAAGATGTTTTCGGGCTTCAAGTCACGATAGATGATGTCGTGAGAATGCAAGTACTCCAAAGCCAACGTGACTTCTGCTGCATAGAATTTGGCAACCGGGTTGGGAAACCTTTGAGACTTTCTCAACAAAGAGAAAAGCTCACCGCCTTCAATGTAGTCCATCACCATGAACAAGCTTTTCGCATCCTGAAATGTGCCCCACATGCGGATCAAAAAAGGGTGCTCAACCAATTTCAACATGCGCCTCTCATCGTTCGTGTGCTCAACTTGTTTCATCTTGACCACCTGCTGTTTTTTCAATACTTTGATGGCATAGTAGCGCCCATTGTGAACAGAGCGCACCAAGTGAACCCTACCAAACGACCCAGTTCCTAGAGTCCGCATGATGTGAAAGTCTTGGAGCGAGTACTTTCCTTTGGAGACAGTTGATCTTTCTGGCAAGAGAGAACGGCTGATCGCGTCCTCGTCGGCCCGCTTCTTAATTTCTTGTGGGACATCACTTTGCTGGGGCTGAGTAGATGGCTGAATAGGCTGCTGAACAGGCTGTTGCACAGATTGTTGGACGGATGGATGAACGGTCTCTTGTACCTGGAACTGATGTGCCTGAGCACCATTTTCGTGATCTGTTTGGGCCTGGTAAGGCACATATTGTTGCTGCGAGGCCTGGAACTGGTGTCCCAATTGTGGCTCGGAGACTTGGGGTGCGCTGTGGTTCATGGAGTCAAAATTTCCCAAAGAATTGACGGGTATTTCGGGATTGGGGTTGTTTGGAGCAGTGTTGGTGTTATTGCTACTATGATGGTGTCTAGTCAAGTGAAGCTTTCTGAGAATGTTGTGCGGGGGCATCGAATGAATCCCCTGAAAACTCAAGAGCGGTTGGATCAATGGATCTGTCCCTGGAGTTGTATTGTTCGGACGGCCAGTGCCAAAATCTTGTGTCTCTTGAAGTGCTGCTAGTGTATCAGAGCTAACAACAGACAATTCACGACGCGTTCACAACGAGTGTAACCAATAATGTGCAGCCAGTTTTGCTTCAAGAAAACAATAAAATTTTCTTGCTTGAAAGATCTCTTTACACCCGAGATGATTGCGATTTAAAATGCCAATTACTTTTGCAATGGTTTGAGAAATTGAGGCTTCGTCTTCAGGGTCGAGGAAAGGCGGCGACAGGACAGTGCCGCGCACGTGACCGCAATATGGGGTTTGGAGGGCGGCTCCTATTTTCAAGCAAGACTTATGCGAGATTCTCAATTTGAGGGTGCACGCTAAAATCATAAATATATCGTCATACAGCCATGAATTTTTCTGTTTTCATTATCTTCTTCAATTCTCTGGGGTAATTCGTGTGACGAACATCTTGAATTGTTTGTGTGTGATGTTACATTTGCGGTTTTGATTCTCAATCAATAGACTTATACCACCTGTCATGTACCTCCTTCTTTGCTTGAGTTGTAGAAATCTATTTATCTTTGCGGGGTAGCTCATGTTGGCCCCAGCAGACAACTCATTGGAGAACTTAACAAAATTAAATTGATTCGTCGCCACGATTTTCAAGGTTTACACCAGAAGGCGTGGCGAGTCGCAGGAAGTGGGCTCCTTAAGTCCGCTACAACCATTTGAGTTGAAGCGACTACTACAGGAGACCTATCCTAGGAGTCGATGACGTAATATCCAATACGTAAACAGATACGTGCCATGAGGACCGTCCAGGCCGTGACTAGCGGAAGGGGACGGGCCGAGCTAAGACACTTGGTACGTAGCTGGGAGCTGTTTGAAGGTTTTTTATATATATATTACTTATATAGCTTTGCCCCTTTAATCAGATGAATCTACCAAAGAAAAAGCTCGCAAGAATGTGAAACAGATTACGTACTAACTGATTATCCATCTTTGAGACACATTTCTACTCGTGCATTGAATGTATTGCTTTATACCGAGTCCAACAACTTCGTGCCACATCTTGATTAAGGGACATCGCTACAGCTTATGCTTTGATTATTGCGTAATGTATGAGAACCTATGGATTTGTGTGGAAATCATATGGAACTTCTTTCACAGTATTTTGGTATGGCAGAGTGTGAGAATGAGATGATATTCGAAATATTATCTAGTTTTGTAAGGGGCACTGGAATCAGAATACCGCATGCTATCGCTTCATGACGCCGAATGTGTGAGTGAGAGTCTCTGATAGAAAATACCAGACAGCTTGCGTGATTCATGGTGCATGCGGAATATAATTTCGTAACAAAGCTTGATGAAAGTCACTGAGGTGGCGAAATTCTTACACAGGGAGGTCAAAATATCGGCACTAAAAACTTTTTCTGGCATCACGGAATGGGCATCTATCGAATACATGCATCGTTCATTGAAGAAAGCAATTTGGTCTCTTTCAATAAGGAAAGTAAAATGATTCAGAAGATGGGTCTAACCTAGCAGCGTTGGGTATTTCCTTTTTTGAAATAAAGATCTCATCCAGAAATACCAAACCTAAGTTTTGAAGATGATTTGTTTGAAGGTGACACATTATAACCCAAGAGATATTTGTTATCTCCGCAGTTTTTTCGCACTCGCCACAATTTTTCCACTCCAAATTTCAAAATATTGGGGAAATACCATAGAGTTTCTTTCCTTAATCTAATCAACAATATGCTGTTCTATACTGCATGATCCAGATTCCCCGTTCTTTGACGATTAACATGATGTTTGCGATTGACGAAGTCAAACCGCCTACTGAAGACTTGTTGAGTTCACGCGCCCTGTTTGGGAATCCCCAGCTCATCTCTGTAGCTCTTGCAGATTGTTTTCAAATCAGTCCTGAATACCAAGCTTCTCCGATGTATACGTATTGAAGGGGTAATGCATTACTTGAGAACCTGCACTGGGAAAGATTTAAAATGATCAGTCCACGTAGAAATTTCATCGAACGGATGAGTCCCGTCAAGATGTGGCGTCGAATTTGATTTCCAGCCGAAGCAAAAAGAAGCGATGCATTTTTTGATATCCAATCAGTGTACTGCCATTTTGGGATCCAACTAATTTGCTTCTTTACTCAGGGGTATGTGGAAGGCGTCGCCTGATTTGATTGTCGAAGGCTGATATTCCACAAACAATCTCTGATTGTTTGGTCTGGCCACAATCATTCCAGCCAGCTGCGATGGACATGAAAAGAATAAATGAACAAGTGAACCAGTCGGCGGCCTAATGCTATAAGCCGACTTTAAGTTTTAGCCATGTTTTGCTCTGTTGACAAGTGTGGTGAAACCAATCAACACACTTTGGGAGACTTATTAAACAAACACCAGCAGCCACAAACATCAAGTAGATATGTGACTGACCTTTTTACGTTTCAAGTTAGAAGGGACGTCATTCTGCCCGACCTTCAAATTTGTTCAAAGAAGACGACCTGGTTGGGAAAGCATTACGTAGTGTCACGTGCAGAATGCACTAAGCAGATAAAAATGCCTCAAAATGATTTCTTGCCTATTTGGGATACTCATGTCCGATATTCAATGTCTTTCTCATCAAGAAAAAAAAAAAAAACAACCAAAGCCTACATGCACACCTACATATATTCTGTTCATACGACGTTTACAATTTTCTCCGAACTAGCAGCTTATCTTTTGTGGATTTCAAAGTAGGGTCGGAGCCTTTGTTTTTGGGAGAGGATTTTAAATGATTGCTCCTTGCTAATTGTAGAGCTATCTCCAATGGGAGAAGCGTTCCTGATATTAAACTCGTTCGCAATGGAATATCCAGTATTCAGGCAAAAAAAGTTGTAGCGTCACAGAATGAGTTGTTTCTTAGAATTGAACAAAAAACTTGAAATGAAATGGGGAAATTGCCCCTTTATACTTTCCGTTCGACGTATTCGCTCCCAGCTGAAGTGTGTGCTGAGCCTTCAGATTGTGCCCGATATAGTGATCGTGCACATATGACTGGACCAAGATATTGTGCGCAGTCTTCCTTGAATATATTGGACTTCAAATATGCACAATTGTTTTAGCATATCCCTGGCGTGCATACTGCTCAGATCTGTATCTGCGACATATGACGCTGCAGAAGCGCAAATTTCTTTGCTCGATATTATATCTTGAGCTCAGTTGTGCGGTCCTTTAGCAGCAGGCTATCTCCACAGTTCCTGCTTTCAAATATTTGAAATAAGAGGGCACGTGTTGTAGCAGCAGATGGCGCGGAAAATTTGCCAAGGCAAGCTATCTTTATGATGAGGTGAATTAAAGTTCTGAAAAGTAGATCCTGTACCCGCAAACCCTATACCAAAGAGCGGCGAGGGCTTTCCAAATTGAATGGCATCAGGATGGAGATCCCTAAATTGAGCTGAAACTCACATCGTTCGGGAAGTATGCGAATCAGGAATTGTATTATGGAAGATATCCGGAGAAGTTTGCCCGACATCTTTCGACGTGGCCTGCGTTAGTCGCGAGAATGCATAGTTATACACCGAGATAGGGCGGAAAATGTGCCAGGCCCAATTTTCTAGAACAAGCAGCCGGAATTGCCGATTTGCTTCTTCTAATTGGCATGAACATCGGGGAGCGGAATCTCGGACAGCCGATCATATTAAATCTTAATTGTGTTATGCCGTGGCTTTATTAGAGGAGGGGTCACACCACACCGAATTAAGGTCGTCAGTTTCCGTTTTCTTTTTTAAAATTGGTGGCATGTGAGTCCGCGTGCCCTCGGAAGGATCGCAGGCCCAGGTAGTTCGCCCTTTGTCGTATATAGTTTGAGGCCCCGCAGAAACTCCCCAATTCGCATTTGCTACCCAAAGTGTTCAGTACAGGTTGGAAAAACAACTCTGGCTGGACGTATTGAAATCTTGCAACCCTCATGCTCCCAAATTCAGTACTACTATGACTGTCCCTCCGTCAGGTCCGAGTAGACATTCGGTGAGGGATACAGAGGGCTGGCTGTGCAGGAACAAAAACCCCGGCAGTTCGAGATTAGACTATCTCGTGCCAAGCCTGCCCGATTCGATATTGGACCCCCTTCAGTTGAGCGAGTTAGGCAGTATATCCGTAAGCTTATTATCGCCATTCCTTGATAAGAAACCCTGACACTGTTCATCACCCAAGCAAGCGTCGTGTACAATCTCAAAATCAATCGTATTACCCTAGAAACGCGAGCACTACAGCTCACAAAGAGCACCCAGCCCTGACACCCGAATGTGTGCTGTCTATGTTTCCCCGTACATGGAAGCATCCAAGCATATTCACCCCGCTTTGATGTTCTCAACGTGAAACGGATCTGGCTTTCTGGCTCTGGCCCGTGCATCCAGCACCCGAACGTAACCTGTACTTGTCCCGAAGGCGATGCCGAGAATTGCGTACACACCCGGAAGATCACACAGGATCTGCAGCGCGGGTATTGCTTTTGCTTCACATACTTGTTTACACGCACTATCTTTACGCAAAGGTTTGGTCACCTAGAATGACCACGATCAACTGCACTGCACTGCAAGAACAAGTTTGTAGCCCTCGTTTTTGAGACTTCGGCGAGGCACCATTCTCTATCGCCTGAACAATAACCATTATGGCAGGTTCTAGAGACAAGTGTCACTGCCTCACATCGTCGGGGTCGAGCCAGCCCCTTCGACGGGATCGATAAGCGAAAAAGAAAACAAGCGACCCACATTCTATTTTCTGGTCGCTATATATCATATGATTTTTTTGGATATGCAGCCTGCACGCTGGCTCGGCCCTGATACATTGCCATGCCTGATTCGTGCCCATGAAGAAGGCGGCAATAAATACCTGCAATATGTCGATACCTTCATCTGTTGGAGCCCTTTTTCTTCACCATTCTCATCTCTTTCTACTAGCTTGTGGGCACCCCTTTTGCTTCTTTCTCATTTCTCCTTTCATCACCTTTTCTAGAACCCGAGTCCTCTGCTGAGCAGATACTTTCTAGTGAGGCGACTGAATTCTAGCTTGATTTGAAATGTTCTCCCAGAAGTTGAGGCTGCCATACATAGAGTCTCCTGTGGGATTCACCAGTGGGGGATTCAAGCAGGACTTCCCACAATACAATCTGCAATGGGATGCTGCCACAGGTGTCAGTGGATATGACAACCACGGTGCGTACGAAAATGAAAGCGACTCTGCACTTTCACGAATTTACAATCTTGGTGACGTCAAGCCCCTGCTTATGTCGCCTCTCATGCCTGAGCAGCTGGCAAGGTTGAATACGTTCACTCCAGAAATGAAGCTGCAGCATAGACTTGACGACTTGGAGTTGCAGGTTTTGAGCAGCGCCCCTTCGGATCTTTCCAGCTGGTCTGAGGGCGAGGAGAAACCGCCTTTGGTGAAATATGACTCCGAGTCTAGCTTGGAGCACTTGCACAGCGCCTACTTCAGCCCAGAGCAATTATCTGGAATCGGCTCTAAACTGAATACTGGCCACCCACACGAGATTGCATTTCATCATGACCCCTTGCCGGCTTATGAACTGAGCCAGCTTGACCCCTACCAATTTGGTTGGAGGTATTTTAGCCAAGAAGCAGAATCTTCAAGTTATGTTGATTTGAACGAGATGGTGGACGGGGTCTTCACAGGAAATGTTGCACCATGTCGCCTTGACCAGGAACAAAATAAACCCGACATCACGCATGAGCACGGCACAGATCAAGCCGCTCACTTGCCGATTGGCTTGAGAAATGCTTTGACTTCCAGCCATAGAACTGCTCGCTCATCCCTTGACACCCGGGTCAAGAAATTCTCACATAGCTTCTCGGCGAGTCCAAGAGTAACACAAGCGGCAGAGTTTGCAAAGCCTCAAGCGGAGTCCTTCATTCTCAACCCATGGCCTGTGAATACGGGAGTAGGCCCATCTGCCAATGTCTCCACCGCTCAGGAGATGAATGGTGCACTCAGAGTCCCGCTTCCCTGTTTGTCTGCGACAGACCGTTGGAACAAGCACACTTCAAAGTACACGTTGAGTCCTAAGGTCTCTGGCGACATGATTTGTACCCACTGCGACCAGAAGTTCACTGAAGTTGAGGAGTACACCAAGCATCTTGATGAAAAAAAAGTTGTGCACGATAATTTCTGTCCGGACATGAGTTGCGCGTTTGCAGCCTTGGGTTACCGGTACAGGTGGCTCCTCCGTCGCCACATTTGTAACCATCATTTGAAGGACTACAACAATAAAAAGCTCAGGAAGAACTCGTCTGGAAAAGTGACGGCACTCACCGACAACTTCTTGAGCCACGTCTACGTCTGTAAGAAGACCAATTGTCTGAGAGCATTTTACCGGCTGGACAGCTTGCTGAGGCACGAAAAGCTCATTCACTCTGTTTGTGGCAAGCAAAAACGCAAAGAAAGATTGAAGCTTAGTAAGTGCGACCCGAAGATTTTTGAGTAGGGCCCCACTTACTATCAGTCCCAGGTGGACCGAGTTGTGCTTCTCTGTTTTTTGTTTGTTTCTGTAGACGGGTCAAATCGTTTTCTGTGTTGATTACCCGATATAGCATTCTACAAGGTACATCTTTTAATTTATTCCATTCAATTCGCATCCTAGTGGATAGAGGTCTGTATATGACGAGAGTGTTGCTTTCGAGACGGGAGATTGCTTCATTGAGACAGAATATATTTTTATTGAGATACCAATACTTTTACCTATGGTAGCTTCATCAAAGAAAGAGATGATTTCTTCATTGAAGCGTGGCAGCTTTGTTGTAGCAGACGTTCTATATCCATCACGCAGGAGGTTCCTAGTTTTCAATGTAGTCTTCGTACCTTTTCCCTCCCTCTACAATGCTTCTGATTTTGGAGAATATGTCTGCAAAATCATTGAATTCGGTGTAGGGGATGTTCTCCCTCCTACAATACGTGATCAAGTCCTTGCCATGTTTGGCGAAAAGAAGGTTGGTTTCTTTAGCCGCAGACAAGTCGGAAACACCATCACCGCAATAGAAGAGCGGAGGCATGTTTTCCGCAGTGTAACCATTGGCTTTCAAGTATTCTCTGATGGATCTGCTTTTGTCGTGGCCAAAGCCAGTGTCCGGGTCTCTGTAGACAATCTTCCACTTTCCTGTGGCTGGATCAATGTCGACATCATTGGAAATGATCTGGATGTTTTTCACCGCTTCCTCCCCCACCAAGCTCTGAAGCAAGGCGTGGATAATAGGCGTCATACCACTACTCACCACGATCACAGGAATGCCTTTACTTTCACACCAGGTGTAGAAATCCTTGAAGCCGGGGTCAAGCTGAATGTTGTTTAAAAGATACTCAATGCATTCAGGAAACGGCGTGGGAATCGAGCTCAACATTTCGGAGAAGCCGTCCTTAAATGACTTGGACTCGTTGAGGATTTCGTCGTTGATCTCCAATCTGCGAGGACGGCCAAAGCCGAGGTTTTCGGTCAAGTAATCATTTGAGTCTTGAAGAGTGACGGTGCCGTCCCAATCGGTGAAAATGATGGCAGGAAGGCTCATGTTGGTTGGGTATAATCAGTGGACGTTGAAGCTGGGGGACGCCCAGAGTGCTTGCGGCTCAAGCTGCTCGTGGAGCACGGGTGTGCATGTAAATGCGCATGTTGCGACTTTCTCACTAGATACAAGATTGCTGCTTTGGGGGCACGGTGGCTAGCGCGGCCAATTTCATCCAGGTCGCGCTAGGATTATGGGTAAGATGCGCCACAAGCCTCCAAACTTTAATGTGCAATGTGTTTCAGCGGACCAAGCCTGTGCGAACAACAAACAAAGAACAAAATGCAGAAATAGGGGCGGGTGTTGGTGTGCATGCTAGCTCTTTCAGCGGGGCGGGGCGACGGAAACACTGTCAATTTTCGCATGGACGCGGTCCGTGAAGCTAAACCCCCGGAACCTGAGGCGGGTTTATTCCGCACCTCGCAGATGCACTGGTTCATTTCGTCCTTCTCCAAGATTGTTATTCCATTAGCTGTTTCCAAGACAAGCCGTCGTTCCCACTGACTACAATATGTAGTGGCTGGCAACGGCGGGCGAAATCAAATTCTGGACTGGGCGTATCAGTGATTTCCACCCGACTGACGACGCACGCGATTTAGGTTTGGGCCACCATAACTTCCCAGCACCGTGGCCCTGCCCCCACGATAATGAGACGCCAATTTGTAGGATGTGGACTGTGCTGAAAAAAAAAATAGACCACGACCAAAACACCCATGCGTCTGGGAGCCTTTCGTTTCCACACTCGCCCTTGCCCCATTTATCATGTGCTAACAATTCTCCACCTGGGCCTCTGAATTTTTATTTCATATCTGTTTTCACTATCCTGTTCTTCATACCTGTTTCCGCCATTCTCTTTTTCAATGTCGCGGGGCCTGGAGAGCGACACGAAAGACACTGACGAAATGTGGGCCATACCGCGCCAAGCAGCTGTGTCCTGCTTAAAATTCGGGCCGCTCGCGGGCCCAACCACCATGGAACCGCACATATTGTTTGCCGTTGCCCAGACACCTGGGCCCGGATCGCGCAATTCCGCAGGGCGTAGCGCAATGGTGGCCCGCTGCTCCCCGGATGATGGCACGACGGCATGCCTGTTCTTTGGCATGCATCAAGATTTTCGCAGCCCCACCGCCATTCAGGACGTACTTTCAAAAGCCCCTTTTACATCACAGCATCCTTTTGCAAGTATCTGTTTTTAGAACTCTGTTTCCAGTGTGGCGAGGTGTTATCTGGTGGGCCAGTGCTGGGCTGGGCGCGGGGAGAATTAGGGCGTGCCGCAATATCCAACGCGCTTTTAGGGCGGGGCATGGAGAAGGCTGACGGAGATGACACTACATTGACGTCTATGGAAATACAAGCTCTTGGTCTGCTTGGAATTCCGAGCGAGTCTGGGCGAACCTGCAAGAGTGGCACTGTAGGATTTCACAGTGCCTCGTGTTTTCTCACCAGTGATCAGCTGCCGGTCAGCTTCCACTCATCTAAGGATTGCCTCTGGCAGGCCGTTCACGGTGGCGCGCCATGCCACGTGCAGATCCCCTCTGCTCGCATTTCGTCATCGGCGCCACGCTCGGCCATAGGTTGCTAGCTCACACTGAGGGACCTGGTCCCGTCACGTGATCGCGGAATTCAGCAAGTCCGTGGCTGGTGCGCTGCGTTTATCTTTGCTGTCGATCGAATGTCCCAGATTTTTAAGGCGCATTCCCCAGCTTACTTGCTCTACGCTTATATAATCAGGCTTACATACAACGACAAAATACGCAGGCTAGTAGCGATTTGCTTAAAAGTGTCTTAGATTCTCACAGCAACGGAGTCCACTTTTTTTGTCTTAGATAACCGCGTCGTATTAGCTTCTTTCATCTCGACGCAGTGGTGCTTTAGGTCTCTATCGTGCCCTTAACACTACATCACTTGAATCGACACGTCGAACTTCAACTTTCTGATTTTTTCTTCGTCGCGTTTTGTGACCGATACGAAGTTGGAAGATTTCCTGTTAGACTTGCTTTTGAGAACACCTCACCGCCAGAAGATCATCTCTTTCCCCAGGAGAAGCTATCAAACCACAATACTCAAAAAAGTCGGGCGTTGTGACCATCCTCTAGATACCTTCAGAAATCCCATTTGCTGAATTTTCCCTGAAATTCTCTTCTCCCTTACCCTTTGCTTAGCGCTCTTTCCGCTTTGAGGATTAATTCTTGCTTTGACAACGTTACATTTCGGACGAAAATATGTTTAGCAATCTAAAGGCTTTTATCAGGCAAGGCAGACAGGCCAACAGTTTCAAAGATAAGACTGAGAAGGACAACACGTCGCCCCAACGCACAGCATACACACCAGCACAGCCGGCAACAGGGTCGAAGAAAGGTGCCCGACAGATGAAGGAACAAGTGCCTTCAAGTCCGTATCAAGACCCGGGTCTTTCGCATCAAGATCGAAATGTGCCCGGTGATTTAGAGATGGGTACTGGCACCGAGAATATGAATGGACCGTTCACGCCCAATGCTGCCCCTCAGCTGAACTATGACGCTGTGGCAAATCAAATTGTAGAAGAGGAGAGACGCCAGAGAAATAACGCCAACCGGAATCCCAGATTGGACCACTACGAGTTTTTGGAAAAGTTGGGCGAAGGTGCTTTTTCCATCGTTTACAAAGCTCACCATAAAAAAAATGGCAACGAGGTTGCCATTAAGGTGCTTCGTAAGTACCAGATGGACGACGCTCAAAAACAAGCGGTTTTGAAAGAAGTGATCATAATGAGACAACTCTCTCATCCCAATGTGGTCAAGTTCATTGAGTTCATCGAGACAGAATCTTATTTCCACATCGTTCAAGAGTTGATTGTGGGTGGAGAAATCTTTGCTGCTATTGTTAAGTACACTTACCTCAGTGAAGACTTGTCTCGTCATATCATCTACCAAGTCGCAAAAGCCATTCGTTATTTGCATGAGGAAGTTGGGATTGTGCACAGAGACATCAAGCCTGAAAACTTGTTGTTTCAGCCGATTGCGTTCACACCCTCGCTCAATCCCATTTCCAAGCTTCGCCATTCGGACGATCCAAAGTCTAAGAAGGATGAGGGTGAGTTCATTCCTGGCGTGGGTGGCGGCACTGTTGGCATAGTTAAAATTGCTGATTTTGGTTTGTCGAAGCAGATCTGGGAACACAATACAAAAACCCCTTGTGGAACAGTGGGTTACACCGCTCCAGAAATCGTGCGGGATGAAAGGTATTCCAAAGAAGTAGACATGTGGGCTATTGGTTGTGTTCTCTACACATTGTTATGTGGATTTCCTCCCTTCTATGACGAGCGCATAGAAAACCTTACTGCAAACGTCGCTCGTGGAGAATACACATTCTTGGCACCCTGGTGGGATGAGATAAGCGCTGAAGCAAAGCACTGTGTGTCGCGTCTATTAACAGTTGATCCAAAGAAACGGTACACTATTGATGATTTCTTCGAAGATCCTTGGATGAAAAAGATCCCTGACCAGTACACGAACCCACAGCAATACCCCAAACAGGCCTACAAAACCCCAACGGACAACAACCTTTCAAGATACAGAAACTCAGACTTGTATTCACCAGCTGCTCTGGCGCTTCGCGATGCGTTTGACATTTCGGCCGCTGTTCACAGGGCCGGCGAAGAGGCAGCTTTGAAGAAGCAAGCTTTCAACGACTGCTCGCAAGTGCTCGAGGAAGAAGAAGAGGTAAATGATTTTTCTTCTCCAGGCGAGATACCGAAAGACATGAACACTCAAAATTTGTTTTCTTTGGACTTGGGCGGAGCGTCAATTCTTGGTCGCCGGAAACAAAAGCCTGTTATTGCTTGAAGAGGTCTTTCTTAGAGGAGATGGAGGTTTATTGAAACTGCTTTTATTACCAAGCGCGTTTGCAGTATTCCCAGAAAGGCAATTTTGATTACTCCAGTCGTGTTTTGTTTTCATATAGGAAACGTAGCTCTAGGTCTTTCGATTATTAATAGAATGAAATGAAACGGGTCATGAAAAGTTTGTGGGAAGTTGTTCTGCAGTCGACTCGTACACTTCATATCGTAGAGACCACATCGAGAATCAATACAATACATCCATGGAAATGTTGCGCAATTCGCAGGCGTGAAGATAAGCAAACACGGTCACGTGAATCCTCTTAATGACCAAGATTCAGTATAGCTCTACCGGATAGTCGTGAGACCTATCGCCTCAGCATCGACGAATTTTCCCTATCAAATATCGTACGCTGATCATGAGCAAGGCAATCCCGACACTTCGAAGCCTGTCGCCAATAGAGACGGCGTTGCCTTCTTTCTTAGTCGAGTTTGATCTAGACGCGATTCTCGAGTACGCCAACGCGATATCGCCCCTGGGACCTGGACTCATGCACAGTCAGAAGCCTACTAAGACCAGCAGTGCTTCTTCAAGAAATGAGAATGCCAACTTTGTCATAATGGATCGGAATTGGGTGACCGAAATGTCTTCTCCGGTACGTCTAGAGCCTCTTTTGATCTCACAATACCTTGGGGGCGGGGTTTCGCTGAATGACCCCGAAACCTACCAAATCCACATCGAAAATTTCGACTTCAAACCTTCCAGTACAGGGGGGCCCCTGGTTATCATCTTCCAAAGGCAGAACGGTCTGCTAAAGAGGGGTGGTTTACTCTCAATGCACGTTCTGGACCCAGCTGTAGAGTCTGCAATCTCATCTGAGATTTTCTTTATTGGCTCACGAATGAAGAAATGTAAATCGCACTTTGCAATTTCCAAAATGCTTTTAAGCATTGAGCTTTGTGCTGCGACCCAAAAAGTTGCTCTCGAGCTCTCCTATAAGGTTGAGATCGTGACGCTGTTATACCGATATTTTTCGTCAGATGTCTCACAAGCCCTAGACAATGTGATCAAGCCTCATATCAAGGTAATACCACAGGAAGGCTCTGAATTCAACTCAAAATTTGAGTCCTTTTTAAAGGACAACCAATTATTCTACAAGGTGGTGTCAGACAAAACAGGTCGTATGCCTGCTTGTGCTCAACCTTTTACTCACCCCGGTTTACAGACGACTCTTCTCCCTTTCCAACGAAAAAGTGTACTCTGGCTCTTATCGAAAGAAGGTGTCGAATATGACGAGAAATCACAGAAGTGCGTTTCTGCACCTGTGGTCACAAGTGAGCTACACCACGCAATATTAAATTATCCTCATACAGACATAGTCTGGCTCGCTCGCCAGATCCACGACATTTTCTCACGTCTCTGTTTTGGTTGGAAACGTGTTTATTTTCATGGTGAAATTTGCTGGTATAATAACTACACAGGAAACATCATGCTGGAGCTACAGGCATTGATGTTTCTCAAATCATACTACGAGGAGAATACGTCAGATCCCCTTCCAGGCTGTGGTCTTTTGTCTGAGGAAATGGGTCTCGGGAAAACTGTGGAAGTCACTACATTGATTCAATTAAACCCGCGCCCTCTGCACGAGGTAGGCGCCTCAATTTCTCTTCAATTCAATGATGGAGGTGATTTTCTGGTTGTGAAAAAGGCAAAAACAACGCTTATTGCCGCTCCTGAATCTATCCTTCGACAATGGTACACTGAGATTTGTCAAATCTGTCCAGCTCTACTGGTGACCATCTATAAAGGACTAGGGAAGTATCCCGAACTAAACAACATTCCACAGTACATCGCGGAGTTCTTGCAAAACTATGATGTTGTGCTTATCAATTATTCCACATTGTCAAGGGAGACAGACTATGCCAACTACTCCTCCAGACACAAGCCCACCCGAGGAGGGAAGAAGCGGACTAGTGAAGGTACAGAAATAAGCAAACCTGACGAAAAAGGGCAAGAAACCGGTCCTCAATCAACCACAGCTGAATCGTTCAAGGCGGAGTTTCATATACCAGAATTTCGTAACCAAGATGAGGTTGCTCTCACTCAAAAAAAGTTCGAAAGGACAGTGATTACTGAGCTTGCTCGCAAAATTGCAGAGAGAGGCCCCAAAAATATTCCCCACACTCTGTACTATGAGTCTCCGCTTATGTCATTTCAGTGGTGGCGTGTTGTGTTAGATGAAGTTCAAATGGTTTCCTCGGGCTCCACAAGAGCATTTGCGACTGCCGCCATCTTACCTCGATTTCATTCTTGGGGTGTATCAGGAACTCCAAGCACGCTGCCTGCTGTTTTGAAATTTCTTAGATTTCTGCCTTTCAACTATGAAATTCACAAGTTTGCTTGGCATCTCTTGACATCCCCCGAAAGTGCAAATGAGGACTTTGTTGAGGTCTGGCTGACACTCGCTATTCGCCACACAAAGAATATGGTGCATGACGACATCAAATTGCCCCCACAACAAAGAATTCTTCTCATAATTCCCCTTACTGAAGTTGAGCAAGATAAGTACAAGGAGGTTTTGGAGTCTACCCTTGCGTATCTTGGTATTTATGATTCGAAAACAACGATGGATAAGAGCAGGGCTCTCGACAGCTCAAGCTACTCTCATTTGCGGACTTGGCTTTTGAAGCTTCGTCAATTATGCGGAAATCTACAGGTTGGAAAACTCCCAAGAACTCAGACTTTGAAAGGGAGAAATAAAACGAAGATTTTGATATCTGCAGAGAAAGAACTCAAAACCCTTGGCAATGTTCTCGTGGACATGATTGAAAGTGTGAAGGATGAAGTGAGTGAATGCGAAAAAGCACTTGTGAATCGTGTCTTGGAAATCTGCCTGGCGATTGAATACGTGTATCAGCCTGATAAAGTGATTGAAGTGCTAAACGTCATGCAGCCAGAAATTCAGATTTTAATAGACAAAGTCCGTCAGAATACCGAGACCGACAATGGAAGATTAAGGCGAGTCCGGGCATTGTTGATTAAGGCAAATGCTCTTTCACACGAAACTGAAAATATTTCTGACAGTGATGAGAACTTGGATTTGATCATATCCGACTCGAAACATTCAGTCATGAAAACTGAACTTGATAGACCGGCTGAAAAAGATATGGACGATGAAGAGATATGGGTTAACTTGGCAGAATTCAGAAAGTTGAGAGATCGGGTGAATGCACATCACGCGAGGTTACGCTCTTGGAAGTTGATACAACATAAATGCTTCTTTTTACTAGCATCTGCTCATTTCCAGCTTTATGATACTGAATATCAAGAGAAAGTCACGCAATTGAAAATATCATTGGACATTATTAATATTGTGGTGGATACAATCAAAGACAAAAGTTTTCTAAAGAAAGACCCTACCCAAACATCCGAAATCAAGAACATCTCGTGCTTAGATTCAGATGTTCGTATATTGAAGGCTAGACAATTGCATACGGATGACAGAGAGAAGAGAAACAAAGCGTTAGAAAAGCGATATTATGAGCTTGCCGAAGAATGCCGTCGAGAAATTCTTCTGCATGCGATCAACGATGTCCAACGTGTGACCAAGAAACGCATACGACTTAAAATGAGCATTTCATCAGGTGATTGGACAAATGACGGCCAGAAAACTTTTCCAAAAACCACCAAAAAGTTGTTTGCTTCAATTCCGAAGATAGATGTGTCATGTCTTAATGGTCTCTCCAGTGACATGAAATGCAAACAAGTTGTCGATCAGTTTGAACAATTGTGTATAAAACTCAATTTACAAGCTGACTCGATCAACGCAAACATGAGCCAATTGTTGACTGTTCTCACCAATCCTTTGACTGACAACAAGAAAGACGCTGATGGAGAAGAGTTTGATCAATCTGTGCAAGATCAGGAAAAGGCTTCTTGCTTGATATTCATCGTTTCGCAAATGTTGCAAGATCGTGCAAATGCGGTTTTTGAGTCCACCGCGGCGATATTAGAAATCGAGCGACACCAAGAAAATGATTTTAAGCAAGAGGCTCAAAGAGTCACAGACAGGTCATTTCTCAAAGCTTTGCTGAAAACTAGGCATCTCTGTAAACCTGACACCACTATTTCCTTGGAAGAATTGGTGGACGATGGTCGGCTCCTTGAATTGGAATATAAAAGATCGAAATTCTCCTTTGGCGACGTCACATCCCTTGATTTACTTGCAACACTTAGGACTATTTTCGAAAACGAGAAAATTGCAGAAGTGCTATTGAAAAAGGAGCTAAACACATCTTTTAATACGGTGTTCAACTCAAGGGTGGAATACTTCCGACAACTACAGCATATCTCTGACTCCGTTCAAAATGAATTTTCCAAAAACTTGGAAGATAGAGCAAATGCAGAAAGCGCAGAAGCATTGTTCCAGAATCTTTTCAAGATGATGGTTCAAACTCAAAGCAATCTTGCGAAAAGAATCACTCGTGCAAGGTACTTGGCAACTCTTCTGACAGGAACTGATAGTGATCATCAAGAGCAAGAACAAGATGACATAATTTGTATAATTTGTCGCTCTGCAATTACTGTGGGATCTTTAACGTTTTGTGGTCATAAATTTTGCAAATACTGTCTTGAGGAATGGCTCAGGAGATCACCTCGCTGTCCCATGTGTAAATCTCCCACAGATAAAAGCACAGTTTATGGATTCACTCAATACAAGGGAGGTTTGAAAGCTCAACACCTTGAGACCAGTCACAGTGATAATTTTGGGCAACCTTCGAAGCGAAAAGCCCATGTGAATCAGATTTACAAACAGCTAGACGTAGAAACTCTCTCGAAGGTTCAGCGAATTTATCTCTCCAGCAGCTTTGGGTCCAAGGTGGACCTTATTGTGAGACAGGTACTATACTTGCGAGGTGTGGATCCGGGTGTGCAAATTGTTATATTCAGTCAATGGCAAGATTTGCTAGTGATCCTTGCCTTTGCATTTGAGAAGATGAACATATCTTTTGTTTCAGCAAAAGGGTCCCATGTTTCCACGAGCAGAAGGCAGAAAAACGACCCCGTTGAAGAGTTTAAAGATCGGGCAAACATCAAAACCTGTTTTTTACTCAATTCGCAGGCACAGTCAAGTGGATTGACATTAATCAACGCCACGCATATATTTCTTTGCGAGCCTTTGATCAACACATCTACGGAGCTTCAAGCCATTTCGCGAATCCACAGAATTGGGCAGAAGAAACCAACCACAGTGTGGATGTTTTGCATCGAAAATACAGTTGAAGAGAGTATTGTTGCCATTGGAACAAAAAGAAGAATAGAGTATTTGCATGCAAATGCTAAAGACAGTAATGGCAAAGACGAGCACAACAAGACCCAACGAAACGGAAAGGCACTAGAAGAAAACGAACTTCGAGCGGCAGAGTCGTTTGTGCTAACGATGAGTTCAGCATCTAGAAAGAAGAACTTTCTTGATACCACAGAGTTTGTGGATGACGAAGATCTCAAGGAAATCTACTTCGGGTCAAACACAAAACAGATTATATGAAAACAAAGAAGAATACTTATTATACAGAGTTTGGATTTCACACACTCAAGAAAGAGCTCTCATCGTAACCTTGATAGACCTTTCCCTGTTCCGACAAATACTGACACGTGTTTCTGACCTCGTTTTCAGGGATGTTTAGGCTATCGCTGATCCATTTTACAGGCACACCTTCCAGCATTGAACCCGTGTTTGCGGCAATAACGCTCATAATTCGATCTTGGTCACTTAATTTCGAATCTTCACCAGCACCAGTAGAAGATCCCACGAACAATCCAGATGAGCTTTCTTGTTTTGGTACATTGAGTAGGCCTTCAGCTTCCAAGTGCGTGTGAATTGTGTAGAACATATGGTAGATGACCTCGTTATGGTCGGTAATTGGGCGGATCTGCGCATGTTGGATCGCCTTTTTCAGATTGAATTCTTTCAAAGCACCCGTAACATAAACGTAGTTATTTTCTAATCCCAAGAAATACTCCTCTTCCTCGGCTGCGGTGGTTAATTTTTCGTCCACCCATTTCTTAACGTCGACGGATCCGGTTCCATCTTCAATCGTCACTGTTACAGCACTAGTTTGGTTTTCAACCTTCCGCACAACTCCAACAAAGGAAACCATGTTCAAAGACACTTTGTTAATAGTGAACTCGCCATCTTGAACCGGCTGGGTGGCGTCATTGATTTGTTTTATAGTGACAGGACTCAACGTGTTTCTTGTCTGCAGTTGGCGTTGTGATCCTTCACCGCCATTCATGTCAGTAAACTGAGCATCGGTATTAAATCCTCCGTCGCCGTAGTTGCCGTAATTTGCGTAATCCATTATGTTTGTATCTTTTGTTGGAATGAGTTTGGTGAGCCACGTCTGGTTACTCATTGACTTTTCGAGCCTCCTAGGCGCGTCGCACACGTGACCGTGCTCAAGAGCGCGCAAGATGCTGCGTTCACTACGAGACATGCTTCTGCTATTGATGTTAATTATGTACATATATTTGGTATGTGGCAGATGAAAGGTGAAATGCGAGAGCTTCTTAAAAAGCATACTTGGAGGATGTTCTAAGTTTTTTGCCGTACATGTAGAACAAAATTGGCACGGGAATCATCACTGCGGAGAAACAGCCCAACAATGTAGCAGCCCACTTAATTTGCATTCCTTCAAACATTTGACGAGCGAAAAGCGGGAAAGCCGCACCAAAAGAAGATCTCAAAAACGTGTTTCCGGCCAATGCAGAGGCAGCAAAAAACAAGTAACAGTCAATGATGTAGTTCAATGAGGGCAAGAACAAAAGAATGAGGCCCATACCAATAGGCGCGGCACCAATCGTTGGCACAATCCAGTGTACTTTATCTGGATAGCTCCCAGCCCAACCAAGCCAGAACAAACCAATTGTGAAAACAACAGACCCGACCATCATGGGTGGAAGTCTTTCCTCGGGAACAGGCCTACCACCATTAGCTTCGAGTTTTTTGACAAATCTTCTCTCCATCAAGATACCAATTCCTCCTCCAATAAAAACACCAATGAGCATCGAGAGGTAGGGTAACTCCGCAATACCCATACTGAACCTGTACTCTCCTGCGAAAATCAAAGGCACAGCAGTCAAGAACAAATACAAAAGACCATAAATGAACGCGTTGTAAAGCGACACCAAGAACAAGATCGGTTCTGAGAAAAGCATTTTGAGGGGCCGGGTTATGTTTTTTTCCGCGATTTCTTTGATCGAAAGCGAAACCTCGTCGTGGGGAGCGCCGATTCCCCAGTTCCCGGTTCTTCTTCTCAAAGCTTCGGCCTTCTTTGCTAGAATGACTCCATGGTGTGTTTCATCGAGGATGAAAACAACACAACAGAGCGCAAGGGCACCAATGAGGCCAGTCAAGTAAGTGGTCCATCTCCAGCCCATGTTGGGGTTTTTCACAGTGAACCCGCCAATAATTGGAGCAAGCATGGGGCCACCAAATAACATCATGGCAAAAATAGACATGGCTTTACCACGATTCCTTGCTGAAAATATATCAGACATGGATGCAGGTGCAACGACCAAGGGGGCAGCGCCGATAAAACCAGAGAAGAATCTGCAGATCATGACTGTTTGGATATCCTTCGCAGTCGCGGTAGCAAACGAAAAGCACATGAAGCCAAAAAGCGAGGGGACAAGAACTACTTTTCTTCCATACAATTCCGAAAGAGGCCCCCAGATGATGGGTCCAGATGCAAATCCGAACACAAAGAGCGATGTACCAAGAGTTGCAACCACTGAGCCGATGTTGAACTCAGCCATGATTTGAGCAGCACCAAGAGAAAACATGGCAGAGCCCATGGAGACAGAAAGCGCACTTATACCAACACTAAAAGAGGAGAGAACCTTTTTCTTGAATGGCCAGTTGTGAGGAAATGTTGGATCCTCGGGTCCATCGTATGCAACAAGATATGGCTCTCTGTCGGGAAGAGCCGGAGGATAAGGTTTGTTTCCACCCATTTTTGGCATGGGTTCCTTAGAATGAGCGGCTTCTTCGTACAACTCAGTCACGTTCGAGAGTCTTCGACTGATAGTTCTAGACACAGATTCGGTAGTGAGAGACTGGCGCTCCAAATCCTCGGTATTTAGGCCGCCGATCTGGGCTTCACCGTCAAATTGTTGTACCACGAATTCATTTTCATTATTTGATCTTGACTCAGGCTCGCTCTTGGAACTTTTCTTCGAGGAACTCGAACCGGAATCGGGAGTCAATGCCATTGTTTAAAAAAAAAATGCGGGGTGGTGAATATATGCGTGAAAAATAATTAAATCCTTGAGGGTGGAATATAAAATGAGAAGGTAAAACTTGCTGGTTTGTTCAGGCAAATTGTAAAAAACCTTGCACTAACAGGTTCCGTTCCCGCGAAAAAGGAGATCTGATCTGGTTTATATGATGAGCCACAGGTGATAACACCGGAAGAGCAATGGTATGCAAGCAGTGTCATGCAGCATGCAATGCGATGAGGTTCGGGAGGCGGAGTCCGGAGTTCTTGATTTGAGCCAAGAAACAACTCTCAATGGAGCCAACTCCGGTTTCTTCTGGGCTTGGGTTCAATCTCTTGCCTCTCCGTTCCTCAGTCAGCCCATTTTCTTATTTAGCAGAATTGCCTATAAGTTCTAATTAAACCACCAGTCGCACCCACACTCGTAACAACGCGGTAGTGCATGAATCACGTCGGCCCAAGATTTTTTCTTCAGCGCCGAGGTGATTATTCAGCAGTACGAGCGTAAGGTTGATTTCCCCTAGTAGCTACCGGCAAGGGAGTGAGGCAACGGACTAGCATCACTGGGTGTTTTTCCATCGCCAGACCAGGCTGTTCTTGTATTCATATATCTAACATGACTCTAGATGAAAATTGCCGCATTTCAATACCATTTGATAAACGTCTCCATTAAGAATAGCAATTTTCTGTGTTTGGTCAGAGAAACAAAAATGCACATCCGTCAGCGACTAATTTGGGGTTCTATACTCGATGAGCTTTAGGGCTGCTGAAGCGATTGAGCGGAGAAGAAGCTCGGCAACAAAATCGAAATGGGTTTGCCGATATGCAGGCTATTGCGGTTTTGGGTGAAATGTCATCGCAGGCGCAGGCACGGCTCGCCATACGGCTTCATGCGCCGCTCGTCGCACACGGCTCGGGTGCAATTCAAGTTCCGAGAGCTCCATACAACTTAGTAAGCAGGTTCTTACCCTTCAAGCATGACTGAAGGCTCATAACTTCAAGTTCTTGCACAGCCTTTATTTTGGCACATGAGTAGTCCCAAACTGGTCTTTATTCTCAAATATAGGCGCGATCTCGGTATTTTAAATGGACAGCGCTGCATATTGTTGTTCTGGGCATAAACACAAGCAGAAGTATTGCAGAAACCAGATTTGATAAAATTACACTTCAAAGTGCTTGGTTGCGGCTGTGGTCATATGGACTCACGCGTTGGAAGCGAAGTCACGCCCAATCATCCGATATTGTACCGAAGTCAGACTGAATAGAAACTGTAATTGCTTTTTGAGGTCCAAGAAGATTTTGGCACAACGCCCGAGAAGACCAACAAGAATTTAGCGTCGTGTATATAAAATATCGACCCGAGCTAGCTGGTGGTATTGATTTTCCGGTGCCCTACGGATCGAAGGGCGTTTTCAAAATAAATGAAAAAACTATGAAATCATACACTCTTTGAATCTTAGACAATAGGGAGTTTAGAAACACAGTCAGTGTAAATCATTTAGCTTTCTGTGTATGGTTTCTTCGGGGTCTTAATCCCTCGCACGACCAGTTATTTCTTGTTGATATTATTTTAGCTTTCCTGGGGTTCAAAAATACCGTACGTTTGACCAGTTATGATACGAGCGCCCATTGAAGGCAATACCGAAGCTGATAACATTTGACATCAGACCTGATTATTAATCACCGGTCTAATCAATTGTGATTAGTGGGAGATTTCCCCAGTCCGACTTGGCTTGCGTGCATCACTGCCCTTGTTAGATTAGGCTCCATTCCATTGTCTTTTAGTTAGAGCTCCTCCAAACAGGCTCCCCATGGACACCAGCAGCCTTTTACAGATTCAACATACCAGTGTTTTTGTCGCAGAGGATTACCTCCACGTCTGCAAACATTAAACGTGTCACGAAAAGCGAGAATATATTTAATCACTTGCCTCGTTCGCTCAAAGTGCTAGGAAATTTACCCGCGTCCTCGATGCTACCATTTGCGCTCGCGTTTTCCTACCGCTGCTAATATTCTCAACACAGGTCAGAGTAGTCTTGATCTCCGTCAAAAACTGCTTCTTGGTATTAGGAGTGGGAAACAAATCATGAAAAAAAACCAGGACCACGTTGTCCGCACAACTTCCTCCAATAGGAATACTGAATCGCTCGCTTACGCTGACGCGTCCATTAAACCACTTGCAGCTGATTCTTATGAACAGAACGTGGACATTGAAGGTGGAACTGAGATAAACGAAAAGCTCAAAGAATCCGGAACACACTCTTCTGCTTTGCAAACCAAACCAGCTGTTCTGACCGTCTATCCCAAAGAAGAATCGGATGCTTCTTCCTCAGATACTTATCAAAGTGACAAAATTTCGAGCCATCAAGAGACTCTTCTCGCGTCTGCTTCTCACAAAGACAAAGACACCATGCATGAAGACAAAGAACGAATCATGGAAACAAGGCCCGCGTCTGGAAGAAGGCGAAGACAAGCACAACTCAACTTCTCGGTCAAAAAAGGCACGGGTCCGTTATCATTAAAATTGGACCTCACTGAAGTAAATGACGTAAAGCAGGATGGAGCAACCCAAACTTCAGCAAGGGAACCCACTGATCTGGTTGATGAGAGTGAAGAAAGACTTTCGAATTTCACACCGACTACGTCTAAGCTTTTCGTCAAAATCCCCCTAAAACTGCTGTCAAATTCCACTGGTGGAAACGGGGTCGTGGTGATGAAGTCCGACGCATCTGATACCCAAAGTCATGGTTCCGTGTCCGAAGTACAGACTTCTATGAAGAGCAAGAAGATCACTCTCAAAACAAGGCCGAGGGTCAGCAGAACAACCATAATTCATGAAAAGAGTAAGATTCTTCGTTCAAACCCGGGTCCCCTTGTTTCCTTGAACTATGATCTATACGACGATAACTTGATCAACGCGTCTTTAAACAGAGATGCTGCCCTCGAAGAACTAGCTTTTGGCTTCCCTGTCAAGCACAAACCGTATGCTCTTGACATAACGTACATCATCACATTTCTCAGCATGTTTGAGGAATTAATCCTGATTGGCCCTTTGGGACCAGCAGACTTTGAGAAAGGACTAGGTCTCGAAAATGTCTCCGAAGAGGAGTCTGAAAACTCTATTCATGAGGTTTCCTCCACCATGGATCTCCTCTTTCGAAGATTACTCGCTCTTGTGCTCAATCGTAAAAAGCCGATTGCAAGTGATGGCCAAAGATCAGCTTTGCAGGAGCTCAAATCCAAATACATATCCTTTGGGCTTCCGCTGGAATGGAGGGATGACTCTAAAATCCACAAAACGACCAAGATATCAAGTGGTACCCTGGATGATGGCCCCGGTGACCCCAGTCTGCAAAATTCCGAGAATGAGACAGCCGAATTCGAAGGTCCTTTGGAGTTTGTAAATCCATTCCATGAGGCTAGCTTCGAAAAAGATGGATTCAAAGGGATCCAATCTGCGGATGACCGATGTATCATGATGCGTTGCATGGTCACTTGGTGCTTGTCGGAAAGTACAGCAGTCAAACAATTTTTCGCAAGCGCCTTTGGCCAGCAAGACACCTCAGGAGAGCGAGATACATTATACGGCTCTCGAGCCATTTTAAAAGGATTTACACATGCGCATGAGTCAAAAAAAGATCTCGAGCGTAAGTACTCCCGCAAAGGAAAACCCAAGCAATCGCCTGAAACCACGAATTTTCCGAAATATTTCGATCCGACTTCAGACCCATTGAATCATCCTCTTAATTATCGTCTTAACGAATTTGTCGTAGGCGACTGTGGATTTCATATCGGAAGATTTTATTTGGTGAGAATGGCAGACCATGCAAGCGGAAGAACGTCTTCGATGGAACAAATGCGAAGCCTGGCAAAAGATTTAGCTGGAGTTCGCATGTCAAGTCCCTCTGGATTTGCATTGTATGTCGAAGACGTACATGCCTTATTGACAGAAACCTTGGAGGAGTTTGGTGTTGAATTTGATGAGGATGGCAATGAAGTACAGAACAAGAGAACTGTTGACGAATCTCAACATTGGTATTGCGTTGCCTCGACATGTGATGAATTGGAGAATTTTCTTGCCCACCTAGGCTCCAAGCTAGGCATTTCTGAGGGGTCACAAAAATCTATGTCACAAAGCAGTGTTATTTACCACCCCGCGTTGCACATGTATCTGTTCTTAACCCTGCTTCTACCAATGATGTTTGCATATGAGAAATTGAAAACTGAATCGGTTGTGAAGAGTAGAGCATCCCGAAGAAAGCGAGTGGAATATGCCACCCAAGCAGTCCCAGATGACGATAATGAAGAATATCTCGGTGGGGAGGATGATGACTACTCCGAGGAAGAACAGGACGAAGAGTACATGGACTAGATTTCTTGATAATATGTGACAATTTTTCTTTTATTGAATAATATACATAAAAATGACTGAGTCACCTCAGTTGAAATCGATTTATCAAGTGATTTGTTTTGTAGGGTAATTCAAAGGAACCACGAATCTTCAAACCACTCACAATTTTTGAGCCCCCAACATTAGCTCGATTTTTTGCTTCACAAGTTCTTCGTTTTCCTTGAAGAATTCTGCCCTTCTAGCGGTCTCTTCATTATAGCCTTCCTCGCTCTTGAGGGCTTTTAATGTCTCCGCTTGACTCTCGAGCCATTTTCTCAAGAATGACACTGGATCTTCACTCAATTCGCGATAAAAGATCTCTCGTGAGTTCACATTGTGTAAAGCAGCAATTCCTAGAGAGATTCTTTGGTTCAAGAACTGGACGTGCTCATCTGACTTCGACATAATCTCGAACGCCTTCTTATTTTCTTCGATGATTTCTTTCTGTATTTTGCTCATGCTTAAGGGTAATTCGATTGGAATGTCGATGACTACATCCCCGAGAGTTGTGGATTTGGTGGTGACTATCTCGTAGTCAAAGACAATAGGCTCTCTGGGATTCAAGTGAGGCTGAATCAATTTGTACAAGTCCCGGAACTTAAAAGCATCCACTTTCAACAAAGATCTTAGCGTATCGTCTGAGTGAACGACAGAAATCTCGTTATCATCTTCATCCACGCTCATGGTTGGGTTGGAGATGGCAGAGGAGGACACAGCAGGCACTTTAGTAAAGTTTTCCGACTTCTTGAACAAATCTTTATACAAAACGTATTGCCAGATGTGAAAGACAATTTCTTGCTGCGATAACTCCCTCCTTCCGGTGAACTCAGCCATTGGAGCAGACAAGACAAGTTTTGAAGAGAATTCCTTGACGAAGATGGCTATTTTGGTGCCAATGTTAAAGATACCAGGACGCTTGATGTCGATACCATCAAACAGGTGCGAAGAGCCATTTGACACGTTTTCTTTGGCAGGGTTTATACCTTGACCCGTGGCTGAGTCTCTCCATTCTATCACGTTTGACGGGTTACCTTGTAAATTAGGGTAGTCACCATTAGGTACAATCTCGACCGACAACCCAGAGAGAAACGAAGAGAATTTCACTTTCTCTGCATCAACATTCTCCTTGCTATCTGGGATAAATCGTCCTTCGATTCGAAGCGTCCAGTGAGATTCCTGGCCTGGAGTTTCAGACAGAGTAGCACCCTGTCCCATTTTCTGCCATGGCATATTTTCACATGTGTTGTAAACAAATACGCGTAAAGTGCCTGTCTCCTTCTTTGCAATATGGGGTTGCATCGACGCAGCTTGAACAGATTGGAAATCCAAGCTTTTTTGTGCAATAAGCAAATCCAATTTCCGTTCGGCTTCTTGGAGTTTCTTGTACCATTCCAAGTTCGGTACTTTGTCGTACAATTTCGCTGGGATTGTCACGTCGGTAGGGGTGTACGAAATTGCGGGTGTGGGCGCATTTACCTGATGAATCTTAGTTGGGGCATCTGCCGCAGACGAAGACTGATTTTGGGCTACAGGGATAGCAGATGGACCCATGTTTTGTGCTTAGCTAAATGGAGGTATACGCAGACGGACGAAATGTTTATACGGTTCGCAGTTCAGGTCTGTATCCTGCATGATATACTCTGGAAGTATCTCGACTAAGGAATCTCATAATTGAAGCGCTGGATAATGTAGTGAAGGCTGCCTGTTGTATCTTTGCTCGCGTCAACAGGAATGACTCGTCGTGTTTAATATAGACTTTGGTGCTATGGAGAGGGAATCTGTGGGTCGAGGGGCACAGAGCGGTCGTGGTATCATAAACATGTCCTTTCCACTTCAGCGACCAGGTTGTTACCCGCCATCAGTTTAAAGAGTAACACAAATCCGAGAATCATTCTAAAACATTGTGTAAGAATACGGTTAGTTAATTCTGTAAACGGTCGTCTCAAAAGGCTCACTGCCAAAATATAGCTGAACCTTATCTGAGTAGGATAAGCCTGAATCGATAAGCAAGCCGCGCAAGGGCCGAATATCCTAAGCATTCAGATCCAGAATATCAAAATAGAATACTTGACCTAAAGTGGTGTCAAAGTAGACATCGGGCTCGTGGTGCTCAAAATGTGTTCAAATCCTCGGCACCTCGCTCAGTATGTCAGGTGTGTCTCGCACCATTGCCTGCTCACCCTACAGGTATCCTCTCAGGATCGTACTCCATTCCTCATAGCAAATTCTGCTCCGATGATATCACCTAACTCGCAAGGAGTAAAGGTGCGGAAGCGGAAAATCAAAACAGGTGTCTCCAGTGATGCTCAGCGAAATGCCCGAAATGTCATCCGCAAGCGTAAGCAGGACTTGCTTCGCCGCATCAACTACAGTTCCTTATTTGCTGTGGTTCTTCTACCGCTAGGGGCGTTGGCGTACTTGATACATGGAAACTTGAGCTTCATTCCTCAAAATAACCGCACATTGTGGTTCTCGGTTATATACTATAACGTGACCTTGCTTGCGTTCACGGCTGGCTACCACAAGTGCTACTCCCACTCCACATTTCGGCCTAAATACACCCCACTTCATGTTTTCTTTGGTATATTTGGTGCCAGTGTGGGAGTAGGTCCTATAAGGATATGGGCAGCAATGCATAGGGCTCATCATCAGTACACAGACGACCCCGAAAAGGATCCCCATTCAATAAAGCGTGGCTTTTTCTGGGCCCACTGCGGGTGGCTTTTGAAAAAGCCCAAAATCACTGTGTTCTATCGGGATTTTGTTGAGCACGAATTCCCCTCTACAAACGATCAGAAGCCGCCTCTCTTGGATAAACCTTCTGTTTTGACGCCACCAGCGGAAATCAGCTTCCAATTTGACGAAAGCGATTCTGAAAATGCACAAGACCAACACAGGACCCACAGGGCACTTGGTACACTAAAGTGGATTCTTTGGCAAGAAAGATTGTGCTTTTGGTTTTTTCTTCTAACGACAATCATCATCCCCATTGTCTGTAGTGTGATTCTATGTGAAGATTCGTGGATCAACGGCCTTATATATCCTGGTATCCTCAGAATGTTTGCCTGTCAGCAACTGGTGTTCAGTACAGAATCTATTTGTCATTTCAAACGCTTCTACGTCACTATTCCCTCACAACCATTCAATGACAAGAACTCGCTGATCAATTGTGCCAATCCCTTGATCTCCATTCTCACTTATGGTCAGTCTCTGCAAAACTACCATCACGAGTTCCCACATGACTATAGAGCGTCCTCGCTGATTTGGAGCTTTGACCCTACAAAGTGGTTCATTTTTGTACTACTGCAACTTGGGTTAGTGGATGACATCGCGAAGGCCCCTCAAAGTTTAGTCACGCAGCTTCAAATTCAACAGCAGCAGCAAGTCCTAAATCATTTAAAGTCTCAGTTGAACTGGGGCACTCCAATTTCTAAGTTGCCGATGATTGCAACCAAGGACTTTAGGAAGCTTTGCAATTCGGCTTCCTCGCAAAACAGAATCTACATCGTCATCCAAAACATCATTCATGACATTACGCCATTTATGGACCAGCACCCAGGAGGATTGCCCCTTTTGAAAGCTTCTCATGGCAAAGATGCTACAAAGGCTTTTTACGGTGGTGTATATGGTCACCTGACTGCGGCAGTTAATCTTCTAGCGACCATGCGAATCGGCGTGCTTGATGTTGGAAATGACGAGGACGTGTGGAGGAGAGTTGCGAAAGAAGAGGGCGAAAGTGACACGAGTGGCTCCCACCAAAACAGTCAATACAGGAGTGCTGAAGCAGCATGAAATTATGGCGACGTGAGCTGGTGTTGATACACTGACTTGAGTTAAATATTCCACATGGATCCTCGAACTGGCGGTGCGCAATACTGCGAAACTGTTTTTATTTGCCTGCAGTCACATGGGGTCTCCTGATTTGGTCCGCGATAACTATCCAAAAGAACCGACATCACACCTTAGACATGAATCCGCTGCTTTTCCACATCACAGATTACCGAGGCGCCACAGTGGAGGATCTAGATATTCGCCCGGCAATTTCAGTCAACCCCTCGACACCTCTTAAGAGAGCTTTTGAGGTGGCTTTCGAAAACGAGTTCACCTTTCTTCCAGTGATACACGAGAAAAACAAAAGATTGCTTGGCGTGGTGAAACTTCTGGATCCGAAGCCTCTTGAGAAAACCAGCTCATCAACTGAGCCACTCACAATAGAATTTATGCATTGGTTCAGTCAGAAAGCCAAAGAAAGATATGCCAAAGAGGACGATAAGTCCAACTCTAAGACGCCATTGAATTCCAAAATTCTCAGGCCAAAAGCGGCAGGAGGCAAGCACTATCAAGTTCTTACCCCTTTGACCCCGCTAGAGGAACTAGGCAAATTCTTCAACTCCGGGAACTATTTTGCTATTGTCACCAATGGTGAGGGGAACTTGGTTTATGGCGTAGTAACCCCAGAAGATTTGGGCAAGTACGAACATTCAAGACCCCGGTTGTGAAAAGTTTAGAATCTTTTTGGCGCGACAAAATCATGGGCACCAGTAATTAAACACTATTTAGAAATTACGAAATCTCAAGAACTAATTTTCCAGACGTCTTTCGACCCTCCAAGTCTTTCATCGCCTGAGAATACTCAGACAATGGGTAAGTTTTGTAGATTGTCACATCCACGGTGTCTCTTCTCAAAGCATCCTCTAGGATGTCTGTGTAATACACCCATTCCTCTTTTGTTTGGACCGAATTGAACAATACTGACCTGGTGATTTTCATGTTTTTAGAACTCAATCTGTTTATACTGAAGGGAGGAACGACACCACTGGCATTTCCATAACTGACCAAAGTACCCTTTCTGCCCACAGATGCAAAGGAATCCTCGAAAGAGTCCTTTCCCACGCTATCAAACGAAGCACGTACTCCCTGACCATTTGTAATTTCCGCAACTCTCGCAGGGATGTTTTCGTCGACTTTGATTAAAAATTCAGCACCTTTTGCCTTCGCGGTCCGCAATTTGTCATCCGTGGAAGCAATTGCAATCACCCTTGCCCCAAGAGAAGAAGTGAGCTTGGTGAGGATTTGGCCCACTCCACCTGCAGCAGCCCAAACCAAAATGAAATCGCCCTTTTCAACCTTGTACGACTCAATTGAGAGAGTAATTGCCGTCAACCCTTGGAGTAATACGGCCGCCCATTTCTTCAAATCTTCGTCCGTAGAGTCATCTGGGAGCTTCTTGATCTGCACTGCATCGTCAGAAACCTTTGTATATTGTGCAAACGATTTAGCTGCCATGTAAGCCACTTTATCCCCAACTTTATACGATGTGACTGCCTCGCCAACAGCAACAATTACACCCGAGGCCTCCTTTCCAAAGATATGTGGAAATTCTGTGGGATAGATGCCTTTGCGGAAGTAGGCATCAATAAAATTGACGCCAGCATACTTGTTCTTGATGATCATATCGTGTGGATCGGTGATTTGTGGTGTATCCACTTCCGCATATTCAATGCCATCAGGCGAGTCTGATTGCTTCCTGGCCAATGCAACATTTTGCGTTGTTGGTATCGACATTTTTAAATTTTTGTTTGTTTGTAGTATATTACAGTGAATAAAGCAACCTTCATGTCAAAGTTGGTTAAACACTACAGTTCTGCATAATTACTCAGGAGCTTACTTTCGCGCCATATGAGACGGGCATCCTATTCTAGCCAGTTGAATAGACGAGAGTTAAGATCTCATAGCACAAAATTCAATGTCTTGGTTACCTTCTGGGAAAAAAACATTTCGAAGCGTCAGCTTTGAGGGCAGATACTTCAATAGCCAGATCATTTTTCCTCGATCCCGTCTCGCGCCATACACCAGAACGCGTTCCCCGCATCCATTCCCGTTTCCGCACCCAGCAGTCTCTCCTGTCACAGGAAATTATTATGAAGGGCCATCTAGGTTCGTTCCAAGTAAGCTGTACCGAAGCCCGAATTCGCTATGCATAAACTTTGCTAAACTTCTGCTTCACTTTTGTTTTATCTGTTGCGCGAAGACCTCGTTTCTCGTGTCGCTGGTTCTTTTTTCAAATGTTTGTTTCCTTGTTTAGCAAGAGTTCTTTCAGCGTGATCACCATGTTGTATCTTCTTTCCTTCCTGGCCTTCCTTGTATGCGTAGCTCAATGTAATTCTGTTGTTCATAAAAATAGCGCCATTCAATCGTTCGATGGCTTTATCGCTGCTTTCAAAATCACCAAACTCAATGAAGCCATACCCCTTTGAATGTCCTTTCTCATCTCTGATGATTATTGGTTGGTTGATGAGATTCCCAATGGCTGAAAATGTATTTTGCAAATATTTCTCGTCCACTAGTTGATGCAAATTCTTGATGAACAACCTCGCACCAACCCCAGCTGTATGTTTGAACTCTGGTGAATTCGAGCTGTTACTCTGAGGATCGGTTTTCTTCATCTTGAGCGTCCGACCATAAAGTCTAACTCCTCGAAGTAGGTTGAGAGCAAAGTCTGCATCTTCTATGCCTCGAAATTCGACAAACCCGAATCCTTGATGTGTTCGTAGAACTCGGTCTTTTGGAAGATAGAGCAGCCTCACAGGGCCAACCTGGATGAAAAGTTCATACAAGAGTGCTTCAGTGACCTGAGTATCTAGATTTCCCACATAGATTGTGGCATGAACGTTTCTGTCTTGTTCCAGTGACTTTCGAAATACGTTCATTGAATCGAAAAGAGGATGACGCTCGTATATGGGAAGATTGTGGAACCCATCTCATTCGTCTCGCGCGGTGCAGGTCACTCGGATACAACTGGCATCAGTTTAAATAAATAGAGAAGTTTTATCGCAATCTTGATTATGCCTTTCGAATGGCTGGAATTGACGTTGGTATTTGCAGCCATAGTTTGACCCAAAGTATTAGGGATATATTTGGTCTTCTTACTACTGACGTATATTCCGTTGGTGGAAAGTGAGAACCCATTCACGGTTTGATTTCTTATGTAGTACTATCGCAGAAATACGGATTCTCGCTTCAACCTCAAAAGACATATCAATCACCGCCCGTGGTTACTAAAATCGTCTCATGATGCTTGCACGTTAGCTTCGTTGCGCAGTATTTCCGGGAAAGTCAAGTTTCTCTCAGGGGGTCTGGAAGATTCCTCCTCCGGAGCTTCATCACTATCCGATTCACTGCTGCCCAGACTTGAATCTGTGCCTGAACTGGAGTCGGAATCCAGCTCTGATTCAGACTCTGAACTTGAACTAGCGCTTGATGATTCTTCCGAGCTGTCAGGTGTGAGGCCATACCCATGCGCTCCAGAAAAGTCTGCGTTTTCGATTTCGTTGAGAGAAACATAAATTTTGGGAAACTCAAGGACAATCTTGTTTTTCAATGCAGCTGCTAGTGATTCGTCCTGGGATAATGGAATGAGAGAAACCTTCAGAGTATGAGAACTCACACAATTCTCTAAGTAGAAATGGAGCTTATCCTTTTCGCCAACTTCAGTTCCCATGTATTTGGCCAAAACTGGAATAGGCACGGCGTCCTTCAACAAAGATGATTCTTTAAGTCTGAAACTGACAAACGACTTCTTTGGGGATGCACCATCTTCAAAAGGCACCCATTCGACAGACCAAGTAAAAGCATTAGACTTTTTGTCGTATCCAGACTTGTTTTGTGAGCTCCGGGACATGCCCACTGGAAGATGGATTATAAGTGTGTTTTCTCTCTTCACGGAAGTGGCCATCACATTGGGGAAGACTTTCCGCACCAAGTCCATTCGGGGGTCGTCTTCCTTCGTGTCATTGAGGCGTGGCCGCTTGACATTCTTTATCTGGTTGAAATTCCGCTTGAACACTTGTTTCGCGTTATCCTTGAGATCTGACTTTCCAAGGTTAATCTTCCGTTCGAAGTTGAGAAGGTAATTATAGTCCCTGTTTACCAATGCTTGATTCGTTCCGAGATCATTATTAGGCACGAATCTGGTGGGGTCGACAATTCCGGTGCACTCAGATCGGAGCTTGTGTCTTTTAACGCATTCTAGAGAGCAGGTCTTGGACTCGCATGCGGGACATGTATACTTGGATTCCCTTTCTAGACAAACGGAACAAACTTCTGTTGACATTTGGTGATATGACTTTAGAAGAATTCTATTAGGAACCAGAGGCAAGGTTTTTGGATACAAGTTTTTGTTTGTAGGAAATTGATGTGAGCCCGGATTGTATGGCAATTAAACTTGAGATGAGATGAGGTGTGATGCACGAGCCGGCCCAACTCACGAGCACCGCGACCATCGGTGATGTAACCTGAGTATTTTAGGTGAACACCACAACAACTAAAACATCAACAATTTTAGTATCGAGGAACAATCAGCTCAGAAATAAGCCTAATCGTTCGAGCTTGAAATGAACGTTAGTTATATAATTATGTAGGGGCATGCTGAAATATTGACAATTCGATTCTTGTGGGCCGTTTCACTTCACAATAAAAAATGCGTCTTGAGCTTGTTCTGATTTTGGGGGGCAGAAAATGTCTTCTTCTTGAGGCGTGCTTGCTCTGTCAAGTTTATATAGTCTTCCTTGGGGTTATTGAAGACTACTTAAAACCTACTGGTCTGGAATATATTACATGCGTTGAAATTCCCGTGCACCAGTACACCAATAAAACGGAAATATTTTTCGGCTTGATAAATCTCAGAGCCTCATTGGCAACTTCGATTCCAGGATTCAAGACTACTGCCAGGATCATGATCCCCAAGGTTAGCATAGTGAGACAGTCTATAAGGTGGGCATCCACCAAGACAGCTGCAAAGTCTGGCAAAGTCCATGTGCAACTATTACAGGACTGCTTACCTTTGGGTGTCAAAGGTCAGATCGTGAGAGTCAAGCCCGGATATATGCGCAACTTTTTACACGTCGGCAATAAGGCATGCTATATAGTTGATGGCCAAGGGCCCAGAATACCTGTCGTGGAGAAACCTCGCCCAGCGTCTCCTGCTGAGGGCAAGAAAGTTGTTCTCAAGAAGCCTGTCAAGAAGGAATCTGTGCCCGTCTTGTCTTTGGACGACTTGTCCAACTTGTTTACCAATGCCAGAACGGCAAAGGCGGCTGAGGATGCGCCAGCTCAATCATTTACAGCGGAACCTGCTACTTCCACATACTCTTTGGCAGAATTGGGCGATAGTTTGCCAGGAACTTTCACCATCAGTGCTCCATCATTTCCTATCTCGAAAGACTTCCTTTCCGCCACTGTTTTCAACTCTACTGGTATTGAAATCCCCTCATCCGCAATTACTGTCAAGGATAGCAAAGGCGAAAGTGTGGTCGAGATCGAATCATCAGGTCTGTACTCATGGACTTTCCTGGTTGCCGGAAGAATTGGCTCTCTTCAAAGAAACCTTAACATTCAGTAAATCTGTAAATAGAATATGTACATGTGAAGCTCGGGTTATGCTTCATTACAGTCAATCCTGCGGAACATTGTGTTCTCGAATATGTTTCACGCTTATCGTGGTCGGTAGTTTGGGCAAGTGTAAATCGATATACAAGGCCATTTCTTGCCGGAGTACTCTTTCATTGAGCGAAAATTATCTCTGCATGAAATTGACGACGACGACTGATTTTTTGTGTCCCGAATTTTGCTTGCATGTATGTATACAAGCTGATCAATGTATTGGCGAAACCTGCCGTAGAGCGAGCAACCGAAATATCGCTTCGCGTTCTAGCGATCATCTGCCTTTTTGCCATTATGAGTCTACGCTCCTCAGCGGCACAACTGTCAAGGATCCAAAAACCCGGTCAAAACAAAAAATCACTCATCAACCCATTGTATAAGAAAGTAAACAAAAATGGTTCGCATGGCACAAAGCCTGGAGCAAATGAGGACAAGGTTTCAAAAAAAGATCCTTTAGAGGTGTCTGAACACAATATTCAGATGGACTTCCGACTACAAGATGTATCTTCCATTGTGAAAGCCATTAATCTAGTTATACGCAACCAGTGGGCTGAAAGCACTCTCTGTCATGACAGATATTTTAGTCACGAGGTGAAGATAAATTCAAAAACCCCTTCAGATCTACTATTTCTGCTCAGAGGAATATCCATGGAAGGAAAAGCAGACATCAATAAATACAGGCACCTGCAACTTCCAACGGGGGGTATGCTCACAGTTAATCAACTTTACACTCTTTTTGAGTCAAAGGGTAATACGTACGTCGATCGCAGTCTTGAACTATTTGTCAGAAATAGCCAAGTGAGGAAATTCATAATAACAAATGCACTACCTGTTATCCTGCGAACAGGAAAAGGGGGTTTAAATAATCAGGTCACATATGGGTATGAAAATGCGGAGGTTGTTGTCAATACAGAGCAGTATCTAAATGAGATTTCAGACACAATCCTACAGGCTGACACTGAGGTTGCTTCAATCATGGCGAAATTCAGAGAGCACATACTAAATAATCCAACGGCACTTTTTGTGACGAACCAAGATTTCTCAGCAGATGAGCTATCCAGCCTAGTTACCACAGGGTTCTTGACGCTAACCTCTAATCATCATTTTGAAATTGACGTCCATCAATATTCCATTGCGTATCCCAGGTGTGGTACGTTTTTGAAGATGATTAATTCGGGCAGAACCTGGTTGGTCAAAACCCTTTATAAAACGACTTACAAAGAGAGTCTTGAAGAGAACTTGTTTAATAAATGGGAAGGAAAAATAATGGCAAACTTCAGGAAACCTTTTTACGGCTATGATCTTCTCTGGATTCTTGCCGACGCGAAGGGCGCTGGTTTTATTGAAGCGTTCAACACGCCAGTAGGCAGAGGCTGGCGCTTAACAGGAAAACTCTAAGATTGGGACTCTTGTATGGAACAACCATAGAACATACTTTATATCTGAACTAATGTTCATTGTTTAGTTTATATTAAGGCTTGATTATTCGATAATTTTTTTTCATAACCAAGTTGATGAGATCAGCTTCTTACCTTCATCTTTTTCTGCAACTTTCTTTGCTTCTTCTCATTTGCCTTTTTTTCAGCCCTTTCCTGCTCCTCTCTCGACATTCTTCTAAAGCGCTCTTTTTCCTCTCTCTTCAATCTAGCCTTCTCTTCAGCCAAATCATCTTGTTTCATAGCCTCCTCCGCCTTAATGATCTTGGCTACCTCAGCGTCTCTCGTCTTAACTACCTTCTTAGAGGACTCGGCTCTGAAGGTGATCTCACCAGATGAAATTTTGTCAATAATCTCGAAAACTGCAGCAAGAACCTCGGAAATTTCGGCTAATTGTTGCTTTCCTGAGACCAATTTGACAGAAAGAACAATTCTACGTTGAGGGATCAAGTCACGAATCACTTGAGGTCTGTCAATCGGCTGGTCAGTGAAGGCAAGATATCTCAAGTATGAAGCCATGGAAAGGTTCAATGACTTAGCAAGTCTCTCAGTGAAAGTTTTTTCTTGGAAATCGTTAGCCTCGCTCATGAAAACAAATGATTCGGGTAAGGAAGCTGAATCAGAAGTCTTGGTCAAAGATAAGTAATAGTTCAGTCTTCTGTACTCGTTCATGCCCAACTTTGAGACGATAGCCGAGATGAAGTTCTCATAGTCAGCTGAGGGGGATATCACAATATCAACCTTGTCTTCTGGAGTGGATACAGATTCTGTAAAGAACGAGAAAATCAGCTCCATGACCCAAATAAAAAAGTTCTGTCTGGGAGCTAAGCGGAATACCAAATTCACTCTCGAAATGTTTTCACGGCCCGAGGCGTAGGAGGCAAAATTCTCTGAACTGTCCTTTTCAAACAACTTGCCATTTCCAACGCCAAAAAGGTGAAAGTTCTCTTCAAAGACCCCCAGCACACCTTGGAGAAAAGTCGACACCTTCTTGGTGTTATACAGGTCTCCAAATTTGTACAAAAAAAAGAATATCACACATGTGAACGCCGTAAATAACTCCAATCTCCAATCGGCAAGTTGAAGTCTTTGTAAGAGATTCATGCTCGTCAACTCCTCCAACGAATGCATGTGGAAAGTCTTGCTGCATATCAGTTAGTACCTTCCGAGACAAAAATTGACATGTGGTAGAGTCGTGGCACCACTAAGCTTTCAGCTTTTTCAAACAAAAAGTATGACAACATACAACGGAGTTCCATCCACATTTGTGGGACCAGACTTTGCGTATTCAACAATTTTTTGAAACATGTTTGCCTTCTGAAGAATGAGTAGTTGAGTTGGACGGATATCGTCGACTAGTGCAGGTGATGGTGGTGCATATTAGGTCCAATGTCGCCCGCCTGGAAACAATCGCGGGATATCCAAAAAGTAGTGTCGCAACATGGCGGTATTGTGCTCATGAATACAAATTTGATCTACCATTGGAGAAGTAATTTTTTCTAAGGTTTGCTTTCACGCTTTGTAAAGGTATGGATTTTCCGCAGGTGTGAGTATTTGCCTGGGTTGGGTATCCTTATTTCCAGGAAATCCTTGTTTGGATCTCCGACAATACTACATATCAAGTGCTTCTTTCGACTTGAGCGTCCGATTTCATGCGTTTCAAATAAATGCAAGAATTGGCTCTTTGATCCATGGGTTATTCTGCATCAGCTTATTTTTCAATGAGTTCCGTGAAGCATTTCTATTATCCTTAGTCGGCTCTACTTCTTTTGGAGTCACCTCCCTCCTCTTCCCTCTTGAATTGGGATAATCCATCTCTCACTGCAGACGTAACAAGCTCTCTCAAAGCTTCTTCTGGGTTCTCACTATTAGCGATCTCTTCAAGTTTCCGTCTTCTCTCGGGATCAAGATCACCAGCGTCTTCTTCCATGGTATACCTGATGGCATGACCGTCGACAACACCTGAGCTTGGCAAGCTATCGAAAACAGTACCAGTTGTTTCTGGTTTGTCATGAAGCAAAGAACGTAAGTACTGTGTTATTTCTGGTTGCTCCGCCCCCTCTTCTATGTAGTCTGCTGCTGTCTGGTTTTCTTCATTCCGAATGTTATAGTCACCTTTTAACTGTTCCACAATAAATTTAGCGGTTTCAATGTCCTCAACATGATGCAAAGGCGTGTCGCCGTCGTTATCTTGGATATTGATGTTGCCTCCTCTGCTAATAAGCAACTTTAAGAGATCGATATGACCATACGAAGCAGCAGCGTGAATAGGCGTATAACCGTTCGGGTCCTTGGCGTTAGCAGTAAATTCATTAGAGTTGAGATACTTCTCCACAAGATCGACTCGGTCGTCAGCAGCGGCAACCCAAATATTTGGTTCCATCTTCAGGTAAGATATGATGAGGCTATTTTTTTTAACTTGATACAGGAAAAGCAGATATGTGCGCGAGATGGCGAACAACATGAAGTTGTAGGGAGTGGCAAACACCAGATATAGCTACAGCAAATTATACTTTCCCCGAAAATTTAGACTTTTGACTTGATTAAGTATGAAATTGCTTTATAATTTTTACTGGCTTTTGGTTCTAAAATACCAATAGAAAGCTCTCTGCAAGAAGCCTAATAGGTCACGTGCGTTCGAATGATTTGCGGTAGTTTTAATTTCAGTTCACTGGAGTCGTCTAATGAATGGCAGAAACTCTATAGGCATAAATTTGAGTCTCTACATATGAGCCAACATTTATCTCAAGAACCAAACCAATTGATGTAAGACAGTAGACTGGTATGAGAGCTCACATTCTGCTGGCTTAATTTCGTGCAGTTCTGCGATCAAAATTTCGTACAAGCGCTACACCATTTCATCAGAATGACCAACGAAAAGTCTCTCGAAACATCGGCCCCGGAGAAACTCAAGGGGTTTGAATGGTGGAGAAGATCTTTAGCCTATAGAACGGGGCTAGGCGTGGACGAAAAGGAGGCAGCCCAATTTGAACACGACTATAAAGCGAAATACTATCCCGCCAACTGCGAGACGTGCGAGAAGAACAGAGATTGGGTTCTTCAATACTCTCCGTCGGTGACGTTTATGATGGATCATGTTCGTAAGCTTGGAGGAAATTTGAGTCGTAAAAACATCATATGTGACGCATGTGACGAAGCCAAAGGTGGAGGTTTTCACCCGGAAATGGGTATTCTTCTATGCTCTAACTGGCTACAGGATACGGATCTGATAGAGGATGTTTTGACCCACGAACTAGTTCACGCGTACGATCACTTGAAGTTTAACGTTGACCTAACCAACTTGAGGCATCATGCCTGTACCGAGATCCGGGCTTCGATGTTGAGTGGTGAATGTCGGATCATGAAAGAGATTCAAAGAACTGGGCTTGGAAACTTCGGAGGAAAATTTCAACAGTGTGTCAAGCGTAGAGCAGTACTCTCGGTATCTGCTAATCCAAAGTGCCAAAGTAAAGAAGAGGCAGAGAATGTTGTGAATTTAGTGTGGAGCTCATGCTTCAATGACACCAGGCCTTTTGAAAGAGTATATAGATGAAATTGTGAATTCTCCAAATATGTGAAATCTCCCAAAAACCCAGCAATGCAAAGAAAACTCGTCTCAAATTGCTAATGAATGACATACACTAGCTATAATATTAGCTCACTATACAAAAAAAATCATGAAAGCAGAAAATTTGGTGTCCAGAAATATATGCGATTTGCAGTTCATACCTCAAGAGAATGATAAATTGTTCTGTACTTTATGTGACGCCTTTAGAAAAAATTAATTCTCGACAAAAGACTTGTTATTTCTTTTCAAAGTTCTTCCATAATCTTAATTAGAAGTAAACGTCAACTCATCCAATCTTGTTGACGACTCCGAAAACTAAAGCTATCCCACGCGGTTTATATACACAGCAGATAAAATCTCAAACGACTCTCTCGATGAGAGATAAGAGTGGATATTAAATAGCCCAGTGGTCACGATCACATGTTCTCTCAGGTGACCTTATACACGAGCACGATGTTCACTCCCCAGATAAAGCGCTTTCCTTGTCCCTGGTGACAGTCTTTCATACGCGTCAATGAGACCACTATCTTTCAGGTACTTTCTAGAACCTTTTATCGGGTTCTGATTTCATTTTGTATTCTTTTATTTTATTTTATTCTACTGTTGAAAACTTTTGCACTAAAGAAATGAAATGTTATATAAAAGTAAAAGATTTCGTGGTGTATAGCTTGACTTTTGCAGTATTCGGAGTCGGGAAATTTGGAATAACCATCCCGGAACTCATTTAGTCATTCAATTTAACACAAGGAGCCAATTGTTAAGCACAAGTTTAACCAAAACAAATTCGAAAGTCAAGTAACATTTTTTCGAAATAGCCGGCGAGTGGAACGTGCTGTTGCCAAAGGATTTACATATTCTAAGTATGAAAGTGAAAAAGAGCAAAATAAGTGCAAAGGCATGGAATTATGCAGAAAAGCTTGTTAAATATCTACAATCTGCATAAAAAGAGAGTATTAGTTTTAGCAAAATGATTCTGTTGATGCAAATTCGATTTGAGTTCGTTCACATGCAATTCAATAATTAGAGAGCCATTTACTAGTTGATGTAATCATTTCCGTCAGAACTATGAACACCAAGATGAGGCTAATTTCTACTTTGATCACGCAACACGCTCGGAATTCAGTTGTCGCACTGAGATGAGCCGACATATCCAGAATTCCGAGGGTGCATGTGTGCGGATTCGGTGTTTTCTTATCGGTTGAGATCATGCAAGAAACAACTTCTTGGCCAGAAGCTTATAGAAGCTATAACATCGGACAACTCTTCTACGTGGAACAAGCCACAAAATGCCTTCGCGCAATTCCCTGAGATCGAATCTCCAAAGAATATCAAAAAATAAATCAAGAGAGCCTTTGCAATGCGACTTTACCCCAGAAATATCTACTCCCAGCGAATCTCCGCCACTCGGTAGCAAAGAAGCCGCTTCAAGACGGGGAACAAAACCAATAATTCAGGAAAAAATCAAAGCCTCTGATCCTAGGCATTTTGATCAATCCACTATTGAAAACGTCTTCAGAGAAATAGAAAGAAATGCTCATTTCCGAGCGTCCCGAAAGAAAAGGAATGCTGGTATATTCCGATCCAATTTCTCTGATATCGAAACAACTCCTGTTCCTAATACTATTTTGGAAGGTCCTGACTTCAAGAGCTCTCAATTTTTTGGATTCTTCATCTTGTTTTGGCTCGGAGTTGGCTTCCTCATTTTGAAAAGTCTCCTACATAGTTGTATTGATCGAAAAACGGCGTTGTATAAGGCGCCCGTCTTCGAAATCTTCACCACAGGCTTGTTTAAAATTGCATTCACGGATATCTTGATGTACTTATCGATTTATGCAGTTTATTTTATACAAGTGCTCTGTCGTCTCAACACCATTCAATGGAGAAAGACAGGCAGACTCATCACCTCCATTTATGAGCTATGCTTTCTCGTATTTTGGGGATATTTCATTTGCGAGCGTCTAATGAAAGACCAGTGGATAGGAAGAGTGTTCTTGGTTCTTCATATGTTTGTTCTTTTGATGAAAATGCACTCTTATGCGTTTTACAATGGTTACCTTTGGAAGATTTTGAGAGAAGTCCAGTTCTCAGAGGACTACTACGAAAGACTTCGCAACGGCTCTGTGGAACTTCCTGAGGGCTTCCAGCTTGAGGCAACAAAAAGTCTAATCATGGAGTCAATTGCTTTCTGTAAATTTGAGTTGTTACATCAATCCGTGGCTCTTGAAAAGGCTAACGAACGAGGTGTTTTGGAAAAAGACTCGAAAGAATTGTGCTCCCATTTGGTGAAATTTCCCAAGAATATCAACGCAAAGGACTTTTTCATGTACACTATGTATCCTACTGTCCTGTATGCGCTTGTTTTACCAAGGAAGCTAGAAATAAGGAAAAAGTTTCTATTCGAAAAACTATGTGCTCTTGTTGGGGTAATATTACTCATGTTGATAATTGCTGATGAGTCAATTTACCCTTTGGTAATTAGGTGCAACAACTTCAGAGCAACGAATGCATCAATTCAAGAAAAAAGTTTTTTTGCGCTATTTGCTTTGATTGATTTGATACCACCCTTCACCATGGAGTACATGTTTGTATTTTATCTCATTTGGGATGTTATTTTAAGTGCAATTGCCGAAGTCAGCAAATTTGCAGATCGCGACTTCTACGGTCCTTGGTGGTCTTGTACAGATTGGTTGCAATTTGCCCGTTATTGGAACAAGCCGGTACATGTGTTTTTACATCGTCATGTTTACCACTCATCAATCAGCGCATTCTCGCTTTCCAAGACTACTGCTGGGTTCATAACCTTTTTGATTTCCAGTGTTGTTCATGAAGTTGTAATGTATGTTATTTTTGGGAGGGTTAGAGGATTTTTGTTTCTCCTTCAAATGGCACAGATTCCATTGGTACTCATAAGTCAGTCCAGGCTCTTGCGTGACAAAAAAGTCTTGGGAAATGTCGTGTGCTGGTTTGGTTTTGTAACGGGGCCCCCAATGATATGCATTCTTTACCTAATTTTCTAGAAATAATACTTAGTGATATTAAGAATCTTGTTATACACTTGTTGATGCTTGATGGCCGACCGACCTCTTATCGATTCGCGTCTACTGCATCTTTCTTTAGAGTCAAGGATCTCATACTTAACTTTGCAAAAAATTTCTTTGAGCGTTCAAGAGTACTTCTCACCTTTCCAAAAAACTTCATGATATCTGGAAGTTCAAATGAGTAAGGGAGGTGAGTAGATAACTCATCAACTGGTCCTCAAATTGCGTTAAAATTCATTGGAAGGTTTAATCAACGTGTCCTGCACGAACCATATTTTTTGGCGTTCTGCTCATCTCCAACATTATGATCCGCTTACTGCAGCGTTGTAATTAACAATAATGTCTAGACCCGAAGAGATAGCACCTCCAGAGGTCTTTTACAATGACTCCGAATCATTTAAATACACTTCCTCCACACGTGTGCAGCATATCCAAGCAAAGATGTCCCTTCGAGCCTTAGAGCTATTGAATTTGGATAAGGAACAACCGCATTTTATACTAGACGTTGGATGTGGTTCAGGGCTTTCGGGAGAGATCTTGACCGAAGAAGGATATAACTGGATAGGAATGGATATTGCTCCAAGCATGTTGGCATCTGCCCTAGACAGAGAAGTTGAAGGGGATTTGTTCTTGTCGGACTTGGGTAACGGAATCCCATTTAGAGCAGGTACATTTGATGCTGCTATATCCATCTCGGTCATCCAATGGCTTTGTAATGCGGACTCAGCTGGATCAGACCCCAAAAAGAGACTTTTACGGTTCTTCAATTCGTTGTATGCTTCTCTAAAGAGAGGGGGGAAGTTTGTTGCACAATTCTATCCAATGAATGACAACCAAACCCAGTCAATCATGGAGTGTGCAAAGGTTGCTGGTTTTGCTGGTGGGTTAATATTGGATGACCCTGAGTCAAAGAGGAATAAGAAGCATTACTTGGTTCTTACCGCGGGTCAAGCAGACAGAAACTTGAACCTCGCTGGTGCTCAAATGGATGCCCCAGAGACAACAAAGAAATTGAGCAGTAAAATGAAGAAAAAGATGGAATCAAGGAAGGACTATATTAACAGAAAGAAAGAAACGATGAGGCGCAGGGGCAGACAGGTCGCAGAAGACTCTAAGTTCACAGCAAGAAAAAGAAGACCAAGGTTTTAGCTTGTTTGATAAATTAAATGAAATTGAAGGGATGGTGAAATTTATCTGTCATGCTTTTTCTGGGAATGATCGCACGTAAGATAAATCCAAAAAAAAAAAGGAAAAAACTCCGTATCTTTCCATGCCATTGGTCTTAAAACTTGGTACCTCAGTCCGTAGGTTCTTTTGAGGAGCGATCATTTCCAGGAAAATAAAATGGAAAATATCACTGAATTTTAACTTTACAAGTTTTATGGCCTTAAAGACTAACCTTCTTCGAAATATTAGCTCTCATTTTTCGATGAAGACTTGAGTCCAATATTTTGAAATGTGAGTTCAATATTTTTCGTGTGAACCAACCTGCACGCTTCACTCACGACTATTCGGACTGACCAAGAAAAAAAAAACACACTGTCTTCCGAGCCTCGAACAAACATTATGTACGGTTTAGCAAGACAAATCGGACAGACTGCGTCCATATTCTCCAAAGCGGGTATTCCGTCGCTCAGGTACCTTTCCACAATAAAATCTGAGGCAGTTTATGAACCTCTTCCCAAGAAGAGAAATGGGAAAAGTGCCGCCGAGTACCTTCACCAGCAACTTCTCAAGAAGTATGATCCCACGGGGAAGAGAACGGCCCTTGTTAGTGGACCAGAGAGAATCCGTACTGGTGATGTTATCAAAGTGACGTATCTTGACAGAAGTACAGTCCTTGGTAGAGTTCTTGGCGTCAAGAGGGGTGTGAATAATGTTGGAAGTAACATCTTGATCAGAAACAAAATTTCTAAGGTTGGATGTGAGATTAGGATTCCTTTATTCAACCCCGAAATAAAGAACATTGAGATTGTGCAAAAGCCCGAGAAGTATTTGCCCAGAAACAAGCAGTACTACATTAGAAACACCAAGTACGATGTTGGCGATTTGGAGAGTGAGATTAAAACAGCAAACAAAAGTTAGGTGCTTGTATATATATATTAACCTAATGTCAAATCAATCTACTCTCGTTGGTTGGTCATGTTTTGTAGTTTCTCGAGGAGGTTGCTCGCAAATGAATCTCGAAAGCCAGGTGAATGGATGTTCATTAAAGCCTCGAAAGTATCATAGTACTTGTTTGAGTGGAGAATAAACCATCCCTTCTCGCATACTGAGACGGACATGCATTGCCCCTCAAGTGTCTGTAACGCAATGTAGCTAAAGGAGGAAGTTTTTTGTTTCTCAACAAAGAAAAGTTTAGGGAAATTCGACTGGTACTCGCGTGCTATTTGCGTCAAATCTTCTTGGAGAAGCATGATGGGAGCCGATCGAAAACGCAACTGACTACAGAAATTGCACCTTGTGTTTTGAGATTACTCCTGAGTTAGATTGCTGGCGTCCAGTCAATAAAAAAGCGCAGAAAACTTTGCTTGCGAGATAATAGACAAAGGTGTACACCTCGTCACGGGTGTTCATCCTGGTAAACCTAAAAATCGACCTATAGGTTCAGAAAATAGAAGAATATACATGCATCTACGTCAAAACCAATATTCAGGAAATCTACGAAATAGAAATGTAGCCTCAACTGATTCCCAACGTCCCATGTAGTTGTCAACGTCAGGCGCCCAGCAACGTGCTTATTAATCTACGCTTATGCCCGACACATGCTTCGCCCGATAAAAAAATTACAAATCATACCAGGTTATATGAAGCTCGGAGCTGCGATTTGATGTTAAGGAAGAAAAGGGGAAGTTAGTTCGGTGCAGATACGTCGAGCTTTATGTCGGTCGATTTCCCGGGCGGGTAACTCGCCGAGCGTGTGTGCCCAGGGCCAGCAGCGAAATACTCGCCTAAATTATCAGAATAGGAAAAAAAAGAGAACAAAAAAAATAATGGCCACCTTCGGGCCACTGTTTGACTTTTTCCTCCAATTCATCAAATTTCCCTCGTGGCACTTGTAGCGAAGCCCAGTTTTAATACCAACTGAATGAGCGGGTGGTGTATACAAGTGGGGAATGTCCATGTCCTGTTTCGGTATGAGAAATCAAGTTCATGGTGGAGATTTTTTTCAGTCACTCCTGGCTATTCAAGCGTTTCTGGAGCATAAGAGCTTTAATTACACTGTATTAATCAAGCTAAATTTGCTAATTTGGGAGCAGCTTGGGAATACGTCGTGTTCAATGTCCCGTTGTTGTGTGGGCAGGAGCCATGTGCGACTACTCACAACCGACATTTCTTCCTTCTCAGGAGTAAAACACAAATGTCTGTAAACAAATTTGTTGGCACAAATTTACACATTGAACTCGTTGATGGCAGACTGGTAGAAGGAGTTCTTGCTGTGGTAGACCCATTTGGAAACTTGCTATTATCAAATGTCTACGAAATTGCTCAGGACAAAATAAAACCAAGTGAGATTCACCGGAGAGAGCTAGGGTTAGTTAGTGTCCCCAGCGACCAGCTAAAAGATATATTTTTGGATGAAAATCAGTTACATGTGCTAGAGAGCTAGAGTTTAGCTGAGCAATAGTATTAGCCTCTCGTGTTGATCTGGGCGACTCTAGAACCGTTTGTAAAGAATTTGATCCTGCTTTTCACGATCGAATCCACTCTCATACTTGCGATTGCGATTCTTTCGAGCTTCAGTTCTCTGAACGGCCTCTTTGCTCCTTGGAGTTATATGTCCCGTGGGTTCATTGGCAATATATGGTTTTCGGTTTAGCTTCTTGGTGACGGCCAGGTTATGCCCTGAATTCGAGATCTCGCCCAGTGTTCCCATGCGTGTCCGAGGCGATGGCTTCTGCTTTAGGAAATAGTTCATATAATTTTTAACGATGTTCTTGTTGAGCTCCGAGAGGTCTATCTCATTTTCCTCTGGCCAGTCTTCTCCCTCCAGGAAAGTCTCACCTTCAGACCAGTCACTTGAAATGTCAAGTTCATTTCCGTTCTCATCGACTGACTCTTCAGTAGACTCAATAGCCTCATAATCTATATCTTTCTCGTCCGTTGACATGTAGTTATCTGTTTCAATGTCGTAATCCAGGTCTGATTCATCTTCGGATGTATCATCCAGAAATCCATCAGCTTCAAATCCGGACATTGAAAACTCCAAACCGTGCTCTATGCAAGTTCCAGCAAAATGGTCTCTGGCACTAAGAAAGTCTTCTCTTAGGCAAAAGCGGTGGCTGCATTGATTAACGGCCTGGTGTATCTGACATAGACACCTGATATCAGCTTGATTTTTTGCGCAGATATGGGAAAGACGATTAATACAATCAAGAAAGCAAGCAGGAGGTGTAGCACTAGCTAAACTAAATATCAACAAGAGAATTATATGAAAAAGCATTGATGTTCCTGTGAAAATATGTATAGTTTTCGCAACCAAAGTACACAAATCGCGATCTAATGGCCAGGTAACCAAGAGGAGCGAGCGAGTAGACAATTGGGATTTGCAAAGATGCAAATTCAAAGAACACCGAAATCTGACATGTTTACTGAACATCTGACTGAAAATTATACAAAAAATAGTTATAAATTAATACTCTTTCCTAGGTTTATTACTTGGCTCGAATTTCATAAAAGGTAAAGCGAAAGTTGTCTTTTAAGACACCTTTATGACGGATTTTAACTGCAACACTACGATCCAAGTATTTTTTCCCCGCAAAGCCACACTTTAGAACGTGAGAAAGCTTCCCGAAAGTCATCTAAAATTTGACTTGAGACATACAACATATACTTACTTTCTAGGTGGACGGACAGATCGTCAAACTACAACAGTGAACAAATCTTGAATCGATTCTGGCGAAGTGCTTGCAGCGAAGAGTGTATCTAGTCAGTCTACAAGTAAGCGAAAATGATATTAAGAAGATGAAATACTCGTTCTTTTACTCATGTTGAAACATCTTGTAATTGCTAAGTCACAGATTAAACAAGTTAAATACATCTTGTTGGCGCAAAAATGTGTGTCTGATGAAAGCCTTAGGTTTCAAGCAAAGCACATAAATTTCAAAGCTTGATGCTTATAACGTACTTCTCGAAGCTGATTGGCTCAAAACCAACCTGTAGAGAAACGCATACGCCTACAATTTACGCGTCGTGCACACCGCTTCTTTAAAATTCGAAGAAGCCGCCCTTCTTCCAAGAAGAATGAGTTCCTGCGGGCAAAATTTTGGAAATGAGCTAACGCAGGTATGAAGATTGTGTAGAAACAAGGTTTTGGGTGGCATCCGACTTTTGTGCTAAACTTTCGTGCACTTTGGCCGTCTGGAGTTGAAGCGAAATTTGTTTAGATTGAAACCATCACTATCCGAACAAGTCATACAAATAGACACACAATATAGACACACACAGCAACTGTGTCTTAATCAAGGAGCCTCATAACAAAACAATGAATGGCCCGGGACAGCACGCATCAAAATTGAATTGAATTTTACCGAGTCTAGGCGGGTCCCTGCACTCTGTCCTGCGTATCGTTACTAAGTTCGCTCCTGTTCGCTCAGCAGGACCTGTAGGCTGACGAAATTTCAAAAGCTATTTTCCACTATAACCTGGTCAGAACCGAACGTCAACAAGTTTGTTATCACAGGCTAGGGAAAATTTGGTGCGGTCTAAAATTGCACAAAAAGTCAAGCAGAAAGCTCAGAACACCAAACACTTGCACTGTGTCTCCGTTATTCTTGCTGAAGAACATCACTGCCCACAACCATGCAAGGATCCTACAAAAATAATGGGCTTCCTCGCCCATACTATATGAAGCCCTCCAAAAAGGGCTCAGTTTATGACAAAATGCCCAAACAAATTTTTTTAACTAACTCCAGGAAATTGACCGGCTACATAGGCATGCTTTTTCTCTTTGGGCTCTGTGTCTTTTTGGTATCTCAGGAATTCAAAACACCCAGCGATGCATCGTATGAGTTGGTAGGTGCTGATCAAAATAATAGACCTGGAAAGAACTCTGGCGATATCGGGAAATTGGTCGACTCGGCAAATGCCGGAGATCTTGAGAATGACAGGGCAGATTTGGCCATGAATAAAGCGCAAAATTCAAAAGGCGAATATGGCCATGGCATATCGGAAGCCCCCAAAGGTGGAATGGTAAACGAGGCCCCAATTGTTGGCAACGACGAAGATCTCATTATAGACGGGAAGACGAGAAAAAAGATACAAGGTAGTACTTCAGGGAGCAAGGGCAAGGGTTTCAAAGCAGAAAGAGGCGACGATGCTTCTCGAGAAGAAAAGAACTTGGGAAGTCAGGCCGATGAAAAGAGTGAAGTGGGTCTGAGTGGCCAAAATAACGATATGAACTCCCAGAACTCTCCCAAGAAGCTAAGGGATGTCACGGAAATACTCGAAGAAAGCGACAAATGATAGGTTCGAATTAAGCTACTGATTTGAACTATTGTGTTTCATTCGAATGTGTGTTGTTTTTGACGCACTATTACATCTTGATGTTGCCAAATACGGCTTAAGATACGACATACGAAAGGAATCTATGGGTTCATCACATCTGAATGATTTGAGACAGCTGTTGCTCACAGCACACTCATGATGCACATTGACAATTGATATTCCGTTCAAGCTCACTTCAAAGAGAAAGCTTTTTCGTGAGAAGCCATGGTCGCAAAACTGAAAAAGCAAAAAGGTTAAATCAATTTCCCACCATGATTAAGAAGATTCTTGATGGTACTGGAAGATGCATCAACGTACTGAATCAAAAATTGTGGCAGTTCTCCGCGTGACACGCAGACGCGACTACGGTACTTCTACTGATTCGGAGCCATTGCAGATGAATTTGAATACCGGAAACCCTTCTTATCGGCAGAGATGATGAATACATGACAACAATGGCGTCATTTAAATCAGCCTATAAACATACTAGATGAATGAGAATAGTCAAATAGATTTATGTCTTCGCCACTAAAGATTACGCCATGAGGCCGAGCTCATGCCGAACAGGTAGTGGGGCGACCCTCATGTTGAGTTACATTGCATTTGAAATCCCGTGCTTGAAAAATATGGTTCCATGCAAAAAATTGTCTGCAGTAAATCAACCACATCAAAGGTTTATATACGTTGGCACAGCTTTAGTGGTGCTAGATAAGACAGCTCCACCCACGTTTTAGATTCACGCCCGAATATGTAAATATGGACTGCCAGGTAATTCCATTGTAGTGAGACATCTTGCTCAGAAACAGGACATACGGATGTGAACAGGACTTAGACAGGAGTAGTAAAATACAGCGTTCTACGAATCCTAAAAAAAACATGAATAATTTAATCCTTATCAATAACCAGAACCACACACTCCGTCGGTTGGGACACGTTGTTAATTACCATGCTGACAATTACGCGCAGGAGGAAAAAGAAATGCCGATGGCACTGCACACACCCACATTGGAAAAATTTTTTGTATGTCTGCGCACCCATTTAAGCCTGGGTCTTCGCTTTTTTTTCTTCTTGCTCTTATTCAGAAAGCATTGGAAAGATGTCTGCAACCAGTGAATCTAAGTACTCTGCTGAGGTCCTTTCCGAGTTGTTGAGCAAATTGCAAGTTGCTGACAACAAGGAAGAGGCCGCAGCCAATGTTTCTTCTTTCTTGAACTCGTCCATCCTTGAGCACGATGTTCCTGTTGAATTCTTTGCTGACTTCACCAAGCAACTCAAGAGCAAGGATGTTGCCACTGTGTCTAACTCCTTGATTGCTTACGCTCACATTGCATCCAAGAACAACTTGATTCCTTCTGTCGAGCCATACATTGTGGAGTTGGCCCCAGAGGTCGCTTCCAAGACTGGTGACAAGAACAAGGAGGTTGCTGCCCTTGCCGAGTCTGCTTTGCTTGCCATTGCTGCTGCCATCACCCCAACCGCCGTCAAGTCTATCTTGCCAGGCTTGATGGAGAACTTGTCCTCTACTAACAAGTGGACTGAGAAGGTTGCCATTTTGAAGGCTGTCTCCCAATTGGTTGACACTGCCAAGGCTCAAGTCGCTTTGAGAATGCCTGAGTTGATTCCAGCCTTGTCTGAGGCTATGTGGGACACCAAGAAGGAGGTCAAGGAGGCCGCCCACGCCACCATGACCAAGGCCACCGAGACCATCGACAACAAGGATATCGAGAAGTTTATCCCTAAGTTGATCGAGTGTATTGCCAAGCCAACTGAGGTCCCAGAGACCGTCCACGTCTTGGGTGCTACCACCTTTGTCTCCGAGGTCACCATGGCTACTTTGTCCATCATGGCTCCATTGTTGTCCAGAGGTTTGTCCGAGCGTGACACTGCCATCAAGAGAAAGGCTGCTGTCATTGTTGACAACATGTGTAAGTTGGTCGACGACCCTCAAGTTGTTGCTCCTTTCTTGTCTACTTTGTTGCCAGCTTTGAAAGCCAACTTCTCCACCATTGCTGACCCTGAGGCCCGTGGTGTCACTCAACGTGCTTTGAACACCTTGAAGAGAGTTGGTGCCGTTGGTGCAGACGACTCTATCCCAGAGGTCTCCACTGCTGGTGACACTGACGTCACCTTGGGTGTCTTCAAGGACTTGGTTGCCGACAAGAAGATTGCTTCTAGATTCGACATCGCCTTGACCTACATTGCTTCTATTGCCGGTGACTTGATCGACGAGAGAGACATCCAGCCATACTCTTGGACTCAAAACCTTTTGCCTTTCGCTACTATCTTCTTGCACGAGGCTGAGGCTAAGGACATCATTGAGGAATACAGAAAGAGAGCTGTTGACAACATTCCAGCTCCTCCTGCTTTCGAGGACGAGGAGGACGATGGAGAGGACTTGTGTAACTGTGAGTTCTCCTTGGCTTACGGTGCCAAGATCTTGTTGAACAAGACTCAATTCAGATTGAAGAGAAACAGAAGATACGGTTTGTGTGGTCCTAACGGTGCTGGTAAGTCCACCTTGATGAGAGCTATCGCCAACGGTCAAGTTGAGGGTTTCCCATCTCAAGATGAATGTAGAACCGTCTACGTCGAGCACGACATTGACTCTGCCGACGCTGACCTTCCAGTCGTTGACTTCGTCATTGCCGACGGTATGGTTGGTTTGACCAAGGATGCTGTCGAGGAGAAGTTGAGAGAGTTTGCCTTCTCTGACGAGATGATCAACATGCCTATTGGTTCTCTTTCCGGTGGTTGGAAGATGAAGTTGGCCTTGGCCAGAGCTGTCTTGAAGAACGCCGACATCTTGTTGTTGGATGAGCCAACTAACCATTTGGACACTGTCAACGTTGCTTGGTTGGTCAACTACTTGAAGACCTGTGGTATCACCTCTATCATTGTTTCTCACGACTCTGGTTTCTTGGACAAGGTCACTGAGTACATTATCCACTACGAGGGCTTCAAGTTGAGAAAGTACAAGGGTAACTTGTCTGAGTTCGTCAAGAAGTGCCCATCTGCCCAATCTTACTACGAATTGGGTGCTTCCGAGGCTGAGTTCAAGTTCCCAGAGCCAGGTTTCTTGGAGGGTGTTAAGACCAAGCAAAAGGCTATCGTCAAGGTGTCGAACATGTCTTTCCAATACCCAGGTACTGCCAAGCCACAAATTACCGGTATTAACTTCCAGTGTTCGTTGTCTTCTAGAATTGCTGTCATTGGTCCAAACGGTGCCGGTAAGTCTACTTTGATTAACGTCTTGACTGGTGAGTTGTTGCCAACCACTGGTGAGGTTTACGTCCACGAGAACTGTCGTATTGCTTACATCAAGCAGCACGCTTTCGCTCACATTGACAACCACTTGGACAAGACTCCATCTGACTACATTCAGTGGAGATTCCAGACCGGTGAGGACAGAGAGACCATGGACAGAGCTAACAGAGTCATCAACGAAGACGATGAGAATGCCATGAACAAGATCTTCAAGATCGAGGGTACTCCAAGAAGAATTGCCGGTATTCACTCCAGAAGAAAGTTCAAGAACTCTTACGAGTACGAGTGTTCTTTCACTTTGGGTGAGAACATTGGCATGAAGAACGAGAGATGGGTCCAGATGATGTCTGTTGACAACGCTTGGTTGCCAAGAGGTGAGTTGATCGAGTCTCACGGTAAGATGGTTGCCGAGGTTGACATGAAGGAGGCTTTGGCTTCCGGTCAATTCAGACCATTGACCAGAAAGGAGATCGAGGACCACTGTTCTATGTTGGGCTTGGACCCAGAGTTGGTTTCTCACTCTAGAATCAGAGGTTTGTCTGGTGGTCAAAAGGTCAAGTTGGTCTTGGCTGCTTGTACTTGGCAAAGACCTCACTTGATCGTCTTGGATGAGCCAACTAACTACTTGGACAGAGACTCTTTGGGTGCTTTGTCCAAGGCTTTGAAGTCTTTCGATGGTGGTATTGTTATCATTACTCACTCCGCTGAGTTCACCAAGGACTTGACTGAGGAAGTCTGGGCTGTTGTTGACGGTAAGATGACTCCATCTGGTCACAACTGGGTTCAAGGTCAAGGTTCTGGTCCAAGACTTGAGAAGAAGGAGGGTGAGGAGGAAGACAAATTCGACGCCATGGGTAACAAGATTGCCAGTGCTAAGAAAAAGACTAAGTTGTCTTCTGCTGAGTTGAGAAAGAAGAAGAAGGAGAGAATGAAGAAGAAGAAGGAGTTGGGTGACGCTTACGTCTCTTCTGACGAAGAATTCTAATTACGTAAGTAATTCTCGTCATGAGCTTCGTTTGTTTTTCCTAATCTCAGAAATCAATTTCTACTAGGTATTAATTTATTTCATATGTTAACATTATAGATGGTCTATATATCGCGCTGTAGCACAATTGCGAGTAGCATTCCGCAAGCTGAGAAAATATTTCATACGAATTTCTTCCGGGAAATGCACAAACTCAGTTTGTTTCGAAGCCATTTGTTGGGTGTTATCGGCGTTGTTTCTTTTTGTGGTCTTGTCACTGCTTCTATTGTGCCGCCGACAGTGGATGCTTCAACTCTTTTGAGTCTAATAAATGATACAAAAAGCGTTTATAGTCAGGCACTCAATTCTTATGCTCCGTACTATACAATATGTACATCAAAGTCTTTGGTTAGAACAGCAAATTACGTATGTGGATCACATTACGGACTTCTACCGCTTGAATAGCTTCTTCAACTGCAGTTAGACGTCTTCTTTCTGTTATTTTTTAAAAAAAAAACTTGTATTAACCAGCAGTCGATCAATGCTCAAGAAAATGAATATGTGAGCGAACGCAAAAAGCAAATTAGGGAGCCTTTATCCAAAATTATGACTAGTTCTGATTTCAACAATTTGACAGTTTTGTTAGACGAATGCCCCATAGTAATAGGTATATCCGTTTCTGGAGGTGGGTACCGTTCCATGCTCAGCGGAGCCGGAGTTTTGAGTGCGTTCGATTCTAGGACTCCAGGTTCTGAAATCCATCTTGGAGGTATTTTGCAAAGTTCAATTTACATTGCAGGTAACTCAGGGGGCCTGTGGTTAGTGGCAAATAATCTCTTAAATGATGGAATGCCGATCTATGAAGCTTTCAAAAGACAAAATTTCGCTTCACCTCTTATTGAGGGCATTCCAGACGTTCCTATCTCTCAACTCCGAGCCACTCTCGACGCTCAATCTCTAGGAGATCACAATGCATCTGTGTGGGAGTCATATTCCATGATTTTTAATCAATCAAACCCCGAGAAAGGGACATTAGTTTCAACCCTTTTAGATACTTTTTTCAAGACGAAAGAGATAAACACAGCCTCAAACGATACCGCTTCTCGTGGTCGGAAAAGTCTTGACTTCTACAAGGACTTGAATATTGAGGTTAGGGCAAAAAAAAAAGCTGGTTTTCAAGTATCCTTAATCGACTACTGGGGCCGAGCAGTGTCTAAGAAGATATTTCCACAGGGAAAAAAATCCCTCGACATATGTATGTCTTCTGTTTCCGAGCTTTCGTCGTTCAGAAACTTTTCGCAATTATTTCCAATTTTCGGTTCAGTTGAAAGACTCCCTGGGAAAACAGAGCTCAGCTGTGATAGTCATCTATTCGAGTTCAACCCTTTTGAATTTGGATCCTGGGACAGTTTTTTGAATTCTTTCGTCGACATTCGGTTTTTAGGCTCCGAGCTCATCAACGGATCATCGACCATAAAAACGAAGAATGAGGATTACTCCGTTTGTCTATCCGGATATGACAACATGGGTTTAATCACAGGTACATCATCAGGATTGTTCAACACGGTTTTTCAGTATGTGTACAAAATGATCCTTCAAATGGAAGAACTGTGTTCATCTATTCTTTCAATGTTGCTCCGAATCTTCGGAATTACCAGCCATCCAAAGCCAAATGATTTCGTTCATCCAGAATATGCTCTCTATTCTCCGAACCCATTCAAAGGCGTCATCGCCCCCGCAACCATGGGAAGACAGATCTCAAATGCGCAAAGTCTTTTATTGGCAGACGGGGGAGATGATGGACAAAATATCCCATTCCATCCTATGCTAGTGAAAGGAAGAAAAGTGGAAGTGTTGTTTGCTTTCGATGCGACATCTGACCTCGAAAATTTTCCCAATGGAACGACTTTGAAACATACTGCTGGACGCTACCATTCTTTGAACAGCTCATTAAGATTGCCAGTTTTTCTTTTTGACGGAGAAAAACATAGAATATTCCCAAAAGTGCCAACACAGAAAGCTTTCGTCAACGAGAATTTGGGAAGTCATCCTATCTTTCTTGGCTGTGACGTATCTCGTGATTTTCCTATAGTCGACCAATTTTTGACAGCGAACCTGAGTTCAAATGCAGATGATCATGAGAATGGTTTGAGCAACGAAACCTTCAGACTTCAAGAGAATCCCAGAGCTCAACAGGAATTCGAAATTTGGGAAAATTACCTTCCCCCATTGATAATTTATTTTGGAAACTATAATCACTCATACGCGTCCAATACTTCCACGTTCCGGTCTATTTACAGTGACAGTGAGGTGAACGCAATGATAGAAAACGGATACAATGTGGCAACCCATAACAATGATACAGAATATATATATTGTGTCAAATGCGCCTTGATGAAGAGAAGAATGGATCTGTCTGAAGAATGGAGCAGATACAAGAGCGGCTGCGAATCTTGCTTTCAGAAATTTTGCTATGTCTCCCCTGACTAGTATACACGACGCAACAATAAAGCACATCCTGTCTAGAGGGTCACGCAATGAGAAGTTGATAAAGTCATATGAATGCAGAAAATACAGGACAAAACGAAAAGCCATCTGACCCGCTAGATTACATGCCGCTTCATTCACCAAAGCTTGAGCTTGATAACATAGATAAACAAATACTAGAAAGGAACTGTGCCGTCCTTGCTGCAACTTGTCAAACTTCTTTTGCGATCTGTAAAATTTGTGACTCAGCGACTTAAAGATAGCCATGTCTATGTCTACTGAATTAGCGATTAATTCGCTATATATGATGTACAGCACATTCCTTCTCTTGTTTGTGGTGATTGGAATATCCATGTTTTACTCTGGTCTAACTCAAAGAAGATCTTCATTCACGATGCTAGGACTTCCAATACTCATATGCGCCATCTTATTCATTGACTGGTTTATTTGGGGCTACTCTTTGTGCTATTCTAGCTCATCAAATAATTTCATCGGTAATTTGAACCTTGCAGTCCTACGTCATTTGAAGGAACCACTGGAAGAGGTCTACATTACTCCTAGAGGTGAAATTCTTGCGGTGATTCATTTTTTGTTCAACGGATTTATGAAGCTCATCTGTGCATCCTTAACATTTCCAGCCTGTGCAGCAGAAAGAGGGAGATTCGCCCCTATGATTCTATTCGCGTTCATCTGGTCGGCTATCATCTATAACCCTGTCAGTTACTGGTTTTGGAATAAGCACGGCTGGCTTTCGCCTCAACTTAACAAGCTACCGGTTCTTGATTTCGCAGGTGGAAACTGCATTCACATTGTTAGCGGATTTACTGCTTTAGCTTATTCATACTATTTGGGGCCCCGAAACCCTCAGATTCTTCATAACTACCGAAGCTCGAACAACAATTTAGCTCTATTGGGACTTATGTTTATACTTTTCGGATGGGCTGGATTTATTTCGGGTTGTGATTTTAATTTTGGTGTGACATCTATTTATTTGATCGTTGCAACGTTTTTGTGTGCTTTCTCGGCAGGTATTGTTTGGACGGCGATTGACTTATATTTTTCTGCCATCCCACTAGACATAGTGGGTGCACAAGAAACATTCGAAATCTCGGAACCTGGCAGTTATGAAGTAGATGCTCATTCGAAGCAACGCAATACAGACAAACCAAAACAAACTAGGAAATTGTCTATGGTTTCTTTCACATCTGGTATTATGTGTGGTTTGGTGGTGTTCACACCAGGTGGAGGCTACTTATGTTACACCGGCGATTTTTGGAAAAGCATTGTCTGCGGAGTGGTTGGAGGTGTTGTTGGTAACTTAAGCACTCGGCTCAAGTATTTCTTTTGCATTGATGATGCCCTAGACATATTTGCGGTGCACGGAGTCTGCGGTATTGCGGGCTCTTTGCTCGTGGGAATCCTTGCTGAGAAGTCATATGATTCCAAGGGAGGCTGGGTAGAACAAAACTGGATTCAATTCGCCTATCAACTCTTGGGCATTGTTGTGACGTCCGCTTACGTTTTCATCATGTCATTGTTATTTCTCTACTTAATTGACTTGATTCCTGGAATGCACTTGAGGATAGATAAGGACTTCAATAGACGGATGAGAGCTGAGCTTAAAGGGGTTGAGGATTTGGGGGCTCAAACTTTTAAGCATGGTGAAATGAACTCACAAATGTATGAAATGAGGGAGTTGATGGGTTCAGATAACTATGAGCTTAACGGAGAATACTCAATGGACTTTGTGGAATTTATCAAAGTTGTGGGTCCGGAAGACTTTCCGCAAGACTTCCCCGTTGAACAGACGAGGGGTGCTTACCAGTGGCCTTTAGAAATTGAAAGTGAAGGAATACGATCAAGGAAGTCACAAAAATACTAGAAATTACCCGGAGAATCCAATCAATTAAATACTTTAATATGTATAAGAAAATATCAATACCGTCCAAACTTAATTGAGAAGTCTCATCATCAACTCAAACACAGCGAACGTCGCACCATTGGCTGGTGCAGCTCTCAATATTGTTGGAACAAATCCCTTGTAAAATCCTCTGACACCCACCTTGGTGGAGATATCTCTAATAACGTCCACAGACCCTTTATAAGTAGGCTTGTTCAATGAGTCCGTTTGCAATTTGGACTTGATCACATCAACCGGATAAATAGACAACCAAAGGGTGTAGCCAGACAATCCTCCGAACATGCAAAGTTTCCAGCCAGGGATATCTGTCCTAGTGGCATAGATCTTGTTTCCTAGTTCCCTAGAAATCAATGCTTCATATGTCGCAAAATAGATACCCAAGCCAACACTCTCTCTGAACAAGGTTGGGGCCAATCCTTTGTAAATTCCAGAGGCAAGGCCGCCCACGCTGTAAATCTTCTTGAAGCAATCTATAGGACCGGAAAAAGATTTGGTGGTTTGTGTTTGCAATCTAATACGAATATGTTCGATCGGAGATGTTAAAAATCCATTTGCAAACCCAGCAACTGCACCACAATTGAAGAACTGAAGGAGAGACAAGGGCTGACCTTGCAATTTTTCTTCGTAGTATCTCTTCATGAACTCATTTACAGAAAACTGAACAGAAACACAAGCTCCGACCCCGATCAACGGTGTCAACGTACCCTTGTAAAATCCACCAAGCCCTTCTTTGGCCATGAGTTTCTTAATCACATCCACGGCTCCGTTATATGTTCCTTCAGGCGCTGACTGCAATCTAACTTTAACAGTGTCAAACGGTTGACCTACCAAGACCTGGGCGATTCCACCCATAGTCCCTCCAAAGAGATCCTTAAAGACTTGGTTGTCACTTTGCCTAAAATCAGGCTCTTCGATCTCGATCATTTCTATTTTCTAGCCTTGATTCTGATTTATAATGTCAATAGCTGTTTAATTGAAAATTTGGCGATGCGCCATGGGAGTGCGCGAAGAGCTGGCGATGGAAAGCCTCGATCGGGTGGGACTCGATATCTTTTTAGATATAGCACTGAGGATTATTTGATTTTTTGCCACAACTTACATCAGTTCGTTTCGTTTGCATAATTTATTTAGTTCGATATTTCGAGGGTTAAATGGAAAAAAAAATAGACCATCGTGTGTTCCTAAGTACTTGAGGGATGTATTCAGCTGTGAACTTAAGACCCGACATAAAATTCTCTCTGATTCAACATCCAGACAAGACTCGAGGATGCTACAATCAAGGGGCCTGCCAACCCTTTGTCGAGTTTGCAATTCTTGAAAATGAGCCATTCACTGACGAAGTGACCTCCTGCAACAACAAAAGTCCAGATGCAGAGGTTGTACATTTGTGAGTTCCCAATAAGATTGTAGGCGCCGTAAAATCTTACGATTGATGTCAAGAGAGTCCATGTCCCGAAAGTACGGGCGCTCAAATTGGTCACTTCAGAACGAGGAGCTTTGGAGTACACTTTTCGGGTAAGAGTAAGATCTTTGATCAAGTAATTCTGCAAAGAATTGAAAACTGAGACAACTGAAATAAAGAGAAGCCAGTGTGGTAAATACCCGCCCTTCGCAGTTGAGGGCGGAAGTAACAGGACAAATGGAAGCATACGTAAGTTGTTGACAGTCTGTTCTTGCAAGAGTCTATTTCTCGTGGGGTGACTTCCGCACCGTGCGACAATTGGTACCAGATTGCAGGAACACGAGTGAAGTAGCATCTTATTCTAATTACTGTTTATTGGGTCAGCTATAACATACATCAAGTTTGCTTTCTGGTTAGTTGGCTGTTGGATCTTGTTTCCTCAATACATCGAGGGCAGGACCCAATAATCTGGTAAATCCAGACTTGCCCAAGGTAGCGACGATCACGTTGTTCGCAGCTGTCACCGTCGCCTGTCTAGGTAAATCGTTCAACAAAGCAACCTCTCCAAAATATTTGCCTTTTCCAATTTCACCAATCACACCTTCTCCTTTCTTCGAAATAACACATGTCCCTGATTCAATGAGGTAAAACTTCTCACCCACCTCGCCTTCTGTAACAATCTCCTCGCCAGCTGAGTAAATTTCTGTGCTCAAGGCACTAGCCAATTTTGACCTTTCTTGGGAAGTTAGCCCCAGGAGCACTTTGACATCCTTCAAAAAATCTTCGTACATGATTCTACGATTAAAAGTCCCTTCCAACAAAATACGACGGAAAGTCGCTCTGTCCAATGCCCAACAGGTCACATCGCTGGCGGCTACCGCAGTTGCAGCTCTTGGAGAATTGTACATTAATGCCAATTCGCCAAACGACGAGCCATCTCCCGAAGTGTTGACCTTGGAACCGTTCACGTAGAAATCTACCACACCCGATTCAATAATGTAGAAGTAGTCTCCGACTTCACCTTGCTTGATGATTTCGGTTTCCTTCAGAAAGTTCTTTTTGATTAACGCGGACAAAACTGTAGACTTAGAGTTGGAGTCCAATTGTTGAAACAAGAAGTTCAGGGACAACGTCTTGCCCAATTCCCCTCTTTGCTGAGGATTCAAATCGTTCACGGGAGGTTTCCACGAGTCCGACTTGAACTCATCTGGGTTCATGGCCTCTGCAGAAACAGAAACTCTTCTGTTCGCATTGAATGTCCGAGGGAGTTTGTTTATAGGCTTTGTTTCGGACTTATCCCCAGCTGAGGACTCTGCAGGATCCGTTTCAGGATGGACGCTTTCTTTGGACCCAAGACTCTGACCAAAGTTGTTCTTGAAGAGCCCCCCTACACTTTCATTCTTCTTCGAAGAGCCGTCATCATGGTGGTCTTTTGCGTGGTCAGAGTGTGGGTCGTTATCGTCGAAAGGAGACTTGAAAGACGGCTGGCGAAAGGTGGGAGTTTTGAATGATCCCATGATCCCGGGTGAAACAGAGCTGGTGTTGGGGAACAACTCGATGCCAGCGGCTTTCGCTCTAGCTTGGGATTGCCATGCGTGTGCCCTTTGCAAAGCCAATTTGTTGCTGAAGAAATTTGCACTGAATTGCAAAATATCAGCGGGATTCTCTGCAATTATTTCCCGCTGTAACTGGTTCAATTCTTCGAATTGGTAAGAAGACATTGAAAGCAGAAGGATGATCGAAGTGGACGAGGTGAGCAATCAAGCAATCAAGCAAGCAAACAAGTATCGAAGTCTCAGGATTTCAAAATGGTGTGACCTATCTGAAACAAGTTCAACACTTCAGGGAATTTACACAGAGGTAGCAAGCGACAAAATCAATGACAACAAGTAATGTCCTAGTTTTGGAGGAATGTAGTGGAATGTTGATAATCGATAAGACCGACTCTACTAGGCCGAACTTCCAGAGTCACGAGCGAGCGCGAAAAGGAGAAAGGGTTTGGGGGTACGGGTGTGCGATAGCCTCTGTTGGAGATAGAATGATTTGGGCGAGCAACCAGGCATTCAGGCCCGCGTTAAATAATTGTCGCTTGCGTTTCTTTACTACTTTGGACAGACTCTATGAACCTTTCAAACATTTGTCAATTTACGACATTCTCCACATTGTCAGAGTTGGGACTCTTGAAAAGCATCCCAGGGAATAGGTTTACTCGTGGCCCTTTTCCTTCACGCAGAATACGTTGAACTGTTCCGCGACACAACCTTTAGTGAGGAGCATTCTATACACAATACTGGGGCCACAAAATTACGGTACATCGAATTGGCCGCCAACAGTAAAAATGTTTGCGCACAGACAATAGCATAGAGACAATAGAGGACTGGTAACGTGACCAGAACAGGTCATAGATGGAACAAGATTCCGATTTTTCAGACAGGATGCGCGCCACTGTTGCCGAAAAGAAGAATGTTTAACAATGCTGTCAGCTAGGTGATGAAGTACTGCACTCAGTGTGTCCATGAACAATGACTTTCCCCCGTGCCGGGAGTCCGCGCCCGTTGAGCAAAGACTGACATTTGCCAGGTGGCATTAAGAAAACGGTGCGCGTTGCCACCGCGACAAATCTGGAGAAGCGCGGTTGCAAAGCCTAGCTCACTGGGAAATTAGGGAAACCATTCGAGAAATTTCGGCAGAGTTCTGTTGAAAATAATTTCTGGAAGAATGTAGAATTTTGTCTCGTAGATATCCAGAAAAAGAAAACTATCCAAAAGAAGAAAGCTCACAAATTCAAAGAACGGCGTAGAATAATCTCCCGGAGCACGAGTTCTCAGAAACTGAATTGTCTCAGAGGACGCGACTACGGCTGGGCTCCGCCGGGCCATCAAAAATATCTACAGCATGAACAATTGTGTCCGATGAGCAAAATATAGATTTCCAAGGTTTTATGACACCATGAAGCAGCAAATACTAAAATCGTAGAAAATTAAAACCGAAACAATAGGAATTTGGGGGAGGCAGTGCCACGTCAATACTAATTTCCAAGGGACACGTCACTAAAAACTGGGGACTGCATCTTCGATGGAAATTCTTCAGCTTTCCAACGCGGTTGAATATAAATTCCCGGTGTCCCGCATTTTCCCACAACGATATAAAAACATCATTGATCACTCATATTTCTGACACTGCTTCACTGTGTCTTCAGAAAATGATTAAATCTAACAATAAACTCGGATTGTCGGGGCTCTCATTCCTCCTAGTGTTGTTATGTGTGGTGTTGCCATTTTTCAACGTAAACAGCGGTGTCGCTTTGGCTGAGGCCTCTGAGGACGATGCTGCGGAAGACTACGGCACAGTCATTGGTATTGACTTAGGCACCACCTACTCTTGTGTGGGAGTGATGCAAAATGGTAAGGTTGAAATCTTGGCCAACGACCAGGGTCACAGAATCACACCATCTTATGTTGCGTTTACCGAACAGGAGAGATTAATTGGTGACGCCGCTAAAAATCAGGCTGCATCCAATGTTAACAATACCGTCTTTGACGTCAAGAGATTGATTGGTTTGGAGTACTCTGACAAGATTGTCCAAAACGAGAAGAAGAAGTTGCCCTACAAGGTGACTAAGAAGGGCAACATGCCTGTTGTAAGTGTCGAAGTTGCTGGTGAAGAAAAGACTTTCACACCAGAGGAAATTTCTGCCATGATTTTGGGTAAAATGAAGACTGTTGCCGAGGACTACTTGGGTAAGAAAGTCACCCACGCAGTTGTCACTGTTCCCGCTTACTTCAATGATGCCCAAAGGCAGGCCACCAAGAACGCTGGTACTATTGCAGGATTGAACATCTTAAGAGTTGTTAACGAGCCAACCGCTGCTGCCATTGCCTACGGTTTAGACAAGACTGATGAGAGACAAATCATTGTCTACGACTTGGGTGGAGGTACCTTCGATGTGTCTTTGTTGTCCATCGCGGGCGGTGTGTTCGAGGTCTTGGCTACCAATGGTGACACCCACTTGGGAGGTGAGGACTTTGACCATCAAATTGTCAAGCATCTTGCCAAGACATTTAAGAAGAAACACGGCGTCGACATTCTGAAGAACCCTAAGGCTGTTGCTAAATTGAAGAGAGAGGCTGAAAAGGCCAAAAGAACTTTGTCTTCCCAAGTATCTGCAAGAGTTGAGATTGACTCTTTGCACGACGGAATTGATCTCTCTGAGACAATCTCCAGAGCTAAATTCGAAGAATTGAACAACGCTTTTTTCAAGAGAACTCTTGCTCCGGTTGAGAAAGTGTTGAAGGACGCAGGCGTCAAGAAGTCCGAAGTCGATGACATTGTTCTTGTCGGTGGCTCCACCAGGATTCCAAAGGTTCAACAAATGATCGAGGAATTTTTCGATGGAAAAAAGGTTTCCAAGGGTATCAACCCTGACGAGGCTGTTGCATATGGTGCTGCCGTTCAAGGTGGTGTCCTCTCCGGCGATGAAGGAGCTGCTAACGTTGTTTTGTTGGATGTCAATCCATTGACTCTCGGTATTGAGACTGCTGGTGGTGTCATGTCCAGCTTGATCAAGAGAAACTCTCCCATTCCTGTCAGAAAGTCCCAAATTTTCTCTACCGCTGCTGACAGTCAATCAACTGTCTTGATTCAAGTATTCGAAGGTGAGAGAGCCTTGGTTTCGGACAACAACCTTTTGGGTAAGTTTGAATTGACTGGAATCCCACCAGCCCCTAGAGGTACACCTCAAATTGAGGTTACTTTTGCGTTAGATGCCAATGGTATCTTGAAGGTTGAAGCCGAGGACAAAGGAACCGGTAAGTCGAAATCCATCACTATCACCAACGACAAGTCTAGATTGTCTAAAGAAGACATCGAAAGAATGGTGGAGGAAGCCGAGAAGTTCGTTGAGCAAGACGCCGAGATCAAGGCAAGAATCGAATCCAGAAACTCGTTGGAGAACATCGTTCAACAGGCCAAGACAAGCTTGAGCGAGGAGAAATACGCAGACAAGATCGACGAGGAATCGAAGGAGGAAATCCTCGACCTTATCAGCGAAATCAACGAGTTTTTGGAGGACAACTACGATACCGCTTCTTCCGAAGAGTTGGACGAGTACAAGGATAAATTACTTGAACTCAGCAACAAGATCGCTAAGAAGGTTTACGGTGACTCTGATGCCGTCGTCGATGACGAAGACTCTGGTTTCGAGGATTCTGACTCCGACGACGACCATGATGAGTTGTAGATTATTTGATGGATAAAATAAATTAATAAATTTGAGGAAAGAACATTTGCTTGAGCTGTAATCTTTTATGTAACATCAAGATCTAGGCGAGAGTATTATTGGGTGTTAATCACGTGTTCCTACTCGCTCTTTAGATACTCGTAGGTCGGAGCAGAAAAAAAAAACTTGAAGCGTTCCAGACATCTGAAGTCAGCCGAATCGCCCAAAGAATGCACCTTCTACCTTGCTATCTATAATTGAAGACCAAATACAGAGAATAAGATGTCAAACAGAAAACTACAGAAGTATGTACGTCATGTGTGTTGGACAGTTTTAAAAAATGATAAATCAACTATAAAACGCAATTCGCTTCCGAAGAATTCCCACTAACAAAAAATCAGAGAAGTCGAAACTATCTTTAAAAAGATACACGAAGGTCTAGATCTCTTCAACTACTACTACTCGCGTCATGAGTCGTCAACGAATGACTCACAGCGAGAAAAGTTGGAGAGTGACTTGAAAAAAGAGATCAAAAAGCTCCAAAAGTTCCGAGATCAGATAAAAACCTGGCAAGGCAATGACTCCTTGGAAGCGACAATAGCTTCGCTGAAACTACAAGAACATCGAAGACTTGTGGAGGAAGCTATGGAGTGCTATAAGGAGGTGGAGAAGAACTCAAAAATGAAGTCTTTCTCAAACCAGTCCATCATGTTAGCTTCTCTCGACAATGGAGAACACGAATTATCACCAGAAGTTGAAGATGCTTATGAATACTTAGCCGGAGTCACTGATGAATTACTGGAACAAAATGAACAGTTAGAAAGCGAGTATGAAAAAATATCGCAGAAGAAGGTGAGAAAGAACAATCTTCTGATAATTGAAGAAAGAAAGCAGGAACTTGAAAACTTAAGACAGCGCAATGAGTTTCATATTGCAAAAATTGAATCTGTCATGTCTTATCTCAAAACTAATAAGATATCTGTGCAGCTGATATGGGAGATTCAAGAGGATTTGAACTTTTACGTTGAATCCAATCAAGAGCCAGACTTTATTGACGATGAAACTCTCTACGACCATCTTATCAAAGAGGCTCGTGAAAACCAAGAAAACAAGACGAACGTCATGAATGAGATTCCAGCTCATGCGGACCCCACTCTATTGCACAATGAAGAATATTCTGCTCCGAATGGCTCATCTGACTCGGTGACAAAATCTCAAGCTCCTAAGCTAAAATTCGCTTCTGAAGCGTCAGCAAGTTCTTCTGAATCTCCTCTGGTATCGGAGATACCGTCTAAACAGGTGATGACGCCAAAAGCCAAACTCACCGGCAAATCTCTCGTTCTTGAACCTTCTAGTCCCGCATTTGTCACTACTCTCAAGCCAGCCTCTGCGCCATCCAAGCCTGTTGCTGGCTTGAAATGGTCAATTGCTGCTGCAGGTACGTCTCAAAATGGCGATACCCCGCCCCCATCTCCATTTTTATCTCAGGAAAAAAGCGTGCCTCTAAAATATTCAGACAATATCAAGGAAGAGCCAAATGTTGCTATTTCAACTGAGGGCTCTAAGATTATTCCAGACACCTATACGAACGATCAAAACGAGATTGATGCATCTTCGGAGTTACTTTCTCTCCTCACCAAAAACGAGGAGTACTCGCCTTATTTGGATGTTTTGCAAAACTCTAATTTGGGAGTAGTTGAACTAGAATTTTTCAAAGATGTGGAAATGCTTAAATCTCCATCTGGAATCCAGGAGTTTGCTTCATCCTTTATTGCTGCAAACAAATTAAGTCAATCAGGTATGTTCCTCAAAAAGCAAATCAAGTATAGCCCGTTCTCAGACGCTTTGAGTAAGCCATACTTGCCTCAAGAGGGGCTTGGAAGTGGCTTGAGCTGCTTTAGGCCACCGTTATTCTCAAGCAAGCTTCATAGCTATTGGAGTCGTACTAGGATGAGCAATCGATTCAATCAGTTACTCGACGAGATCCAATCTCTAGAAGATCAAAATACCCCTGAAAGCTCAGATTTGGCCAAGGATTTAGTGATGGTCTTGTTTTATGGTTATTATTACGGATATCTTCCGTTGGAGAACATCATTGCCGAGTCTTTGCTTCAAAGACTAGGGTGGAAGCCATATTGTTTTAGTGCTGAAGCTGCAGCTTCGCCGATTTCAACGGTTCAAAATATTCTTTGGTTTAAGAAGATTTCGAGATCAGTGCAACACTCAGATGAAGGGTTGGACATTGACTCAGGAGACTTCATGGTTTTTGATGTCAATTCTTGGGAAATAAGCGTGAAGTTCGGTTTCAGATTTGATCCTCGCTTGAGCCGAAACAATCCAGCTACAACTTTAGCTTGAGAAAGATTTTTTTATACTATTGAATCTTAGAAAGAACAATCTATTTAGTTTACTTTATTTCTTATTTTCTTGTGCTCAGCTGTGAATTTTCTCTTATCGAGTTGTTTCGCTTGTAAGTATAATTTGTGTGTGTTCACACTCAAATTCACTACTTAAAATTTCCAGATCAGATACCAATTTGTTGTCTCGCCCTCCATTAAGAACATCACAGTCCGTATCTTGTGAAGTATTTCTTTCAGATGCTTCCAGGAAAATAGAACAGAAAGATTCATTACCTAGATCAAATATTAGGTCAAAAGATCCACTAGAAAGTGGGATGGTCGGCCGCTGGGGTAGTCTATGTATCCCACTGCCCATAATATACAACTCATCCAAACAGAATATGGACAAAGTGTATGGTTTTACAATGATATAATCTAGGATGTCATTAAGAGATTCAAGATTTTGCATTTCTCTGGTGAATTTAAAATGTCAGTGGTTCAAAACAGTTTATGAATTCGCATGCTTTAAACGAGCTGTCATTCTTTGGCGCAGTCCGGGATCTACGTGTGAGCCGACTCAAAGCCCTGTACTTTTTATATTTTCCAGAAATAGTGATCGGGTCATAGCTGGCAAACGCTTCATGGGCATATTTTTGTGATAATAAAAGTACAAGTGATAAACTAAAAGCCATCGATATATATATAGTACTTTATGAACTCCGCACGATTTCCCTTACGCTCGTTGTGACTTGCGGGGAAGCGAGATCACCTGGGCATCAAATGGTATAAATAAAATGGAATATTACTCCTCACTTGATGCATCCAAGCTCGACCAAGAAACCCCGACGCTTTTTGAGCTCATTTCTGCAAACCAACTAGAGGCTCTTTTATCTCCCTCTTTGCGGTATGTTCTCGTGCATTATGCACAGAGATACCCAGGCTATCTTCTCAAGATTACGAATAAGTTTGACGAGATAAATCTTCTACTTCGGACCTTGGTGGAATGGTATTTCTTCAAATATTGGCGCGGGAGCTTCACAGAAAATTTCTACGGAATCAAGCGTGTGAGTCAGACGCCTCTCTCCAGCAAGAAGTACAATGCTAGCAAGTTGACTCAATTGACCCCTTCCATGATTGAAGAGCGCAGGGATCTTTCTAGAGTCCAATCTCTTGTGTCTATTTTCGAAGTTACAGGCCTCTCATATCTTCGGGAAAAACTTAATTATCAATATGAACTTCTTTATTCCAAGCTCATCACAAATCAGCTCAACGCTACGGAAGCAACAAGTACTGGCGAGGCTAGATACATAAAATTGCAGTTATTATTTGTCAGGTTCTATCCCTTTGTTCAATTTGCCTGCAAATTCTCCAATCTTATAACAACACTTTTATACTTGAGTGGGTCATGCAAGTCTCCATCTTTGCTTACTTTTTTGTTCAAAGTGAACTACGCACGTTTGAATCAGTATGATTATTCGAGAAACGAGCCTTCGTTATCCTCTGATAAAAGCAGCAAACTTGATAGGGTGAACCCTCCTTCTAACTTGGAGCGATTTGCAAACATACTTAAAGATTATGTCGCTAAGCCCTCACTCAAACTGTCAAAGATCATCTTGGGTACTATTTTTCCTATCGCCATCTTTAGTCTCAAATTCTTGGAGTGGTGGAATAACTCAAATTTCGCGCAAACAGTCGCTAAATCTCAGAGAAATGATCTCGAAGAACCAATACCTCCGCCTTCTCTGTTGAAAGCATTGTTTATTTACGAACAAAACCCTGCAAAATTCTTTCGGGCGAATAGTTCGTGTCCTCTTTGCAAAGATGAGATCCATAATCCCGCTATTATCGAAACAGGACATGTCTTTTGCTATACTTGCATATTCAATTACCTTCGTGACTCTCATAAATTAGTGCGCATGAAAAAAGCTGCATCCGAGAACGGACTGTCGAGTGAGGAAGAACCTGAACAGGAAAAAGATGACACCCAGGAGAAAAGAATATACAGCAAAAGTGAGCCAGGAACCTCTGAACTTTTTTTCATTGATAAAGGTGGCCGCTGTCCAATAACAGGGCAAAAGCTCTTGGGCTGCAAATGGAACGAGGTCACAGGGGAGTTTGATGTCTGATCAGGCTCACAATGTTGGTCCTGCATGCTGGTGTCTTCTCGATCTGATTGATGTGAAAGCGTTGAAAACTTTCACATAGAAGATCATCAAAGAATGACTGGAAAAACACTCGAGGCAATTAAGTTTCTGAAGACCGATCTTCTGCTCCGGCTATTAGACCAGCTTAAACTCCCTTACACGACTTCTTACATAGAAATTAAGTCCATTGAAGATGCCTTTCAAGCTATCAAATTGATGCAAGTCAGGGGTGCCCCTGCAATTGCAATTACGGGGGCATTTGCCATCACAGTAGACACTGCTAATCAAATTAAGTCGGAGACAAACAAAACCATAAAGAATTTGGTCGCGGACATTGACTACTTAATTACCTCAAGACCTACTGCAGTCAACTTATCGAATGCATGCAACGAGATCAAGACCATGTTAACGCTGACCTTTGCGGAACTGAATACTTTGGATCAAAAAATTCTCGACGCCCTTTTTAAATATTCTGTGAAGTTGCATGAAGATGATTTACGAAACAACTACAAGATCGGCGAAAATGGTGTGAACTATATCGTCGAAACCTTAAGAAACCAGAAATTCACGGGTCCTTTTTCTATCATGACCATTTGTAACACAGGGTCATTAGCTACTTCAGGACATGGAACTGCTTTGGGAATCATTCGCTCCGTATACAGCGCGCTTTCTAGAGGAAATAGCAGCGAAGAGTTCTGGTTCGAGCATGCTTACCCTTTAGAAACTAGGCCATATAATCAGGGAGCCAAGCTTACCACCTATGAATTGCAATACGAACAAATACCATTCACTCTCGTCTGCGACAACATGGCTACTTCTTTGATTTCTTTATTGAAGAATGGAAAATCGGTGAAAGGCTCTATGGCACCTGTGAAATTTATCATCGCGGGAGCAGACAGAATAGTCAAGAATGGAG